TATCTTCTTCAACAACTCTATTATATGCGGCGTCGAGTCTATGGCCGTTTTCCGGCGGCGGCGGCGGCGGCGCGTGGTAGCTAGAGAGGAGCCGTCGTTTGCTGGTGCGGCATCATCGAGATTCACATGCAAATCCGATTTGCGGCTGTGAGTTTGCCGCCGATACCATGAGAATCTTGATGATGCTGCATCGGCCATTGACGGCTATATATGTAGGTTTATATTTATTTACAAAGCTAAGTCGATGGAGAGATCGTCGATCAATTATCCCAGCACAGCTCCTTCCTCCGCAGGTGAGCATCTTTTCTAGCTAGCTAGGGTTTCGTTTTGTCGGGTAAATTAACTACGATTATCATGATCATGGCCGACAAGTCAAGTTATTGGGATTAATTAGTTCTTGGCATTGTATCATATGGTCTTCTGTGACGGAGAGATCTTTCTGTTTGAATTCCAATAACCCCATATGTTCTACTTATAAGCACATGATGTTCAAATTTGTGCGAATCTCAAGCTAATACGCGCATGGCGATTTTCGTTTGAGGGATATATTAGTAAATAGTATATATATATAATCCATAATTGAATCTCTCTGACTCGAGTTATTGGGATGAGGATGCAGATGGGTTTTCTTTCCCTCCATTGAGAAGGAGTATGGAAGAGTCTTGAGTTTGTTGATGAGCAGTGATCTAACCTAAGACAGGTTTACGTGCTATTGGTTGGAGTTTCTGGATTCTCATTATATCCCACCATGAGCCAATGACATCAACTTCCATTTTCATTCAACCTCAAAAAAACCCTCCTTAATTTTGTGTTAGTTAGCTAATTATCCCCATGTCAAACGTGTAACGTTTCATTTGTCTCAATCTTGGCATCTTTCAAACAAATTGGAATAATTTTCTCAGAGTTTTTAGTGACATGAACATTGTGTCAAAGACATAATATTGCATACTAGTTTAAAATATGTAGTTGTTATATTGATTTAAGTATTCGTAGCTTCATCTTGTATCGGTTTTGGGTTCAATTTTCTACATACATATTTGTTCTTTTAAATTTAGAAATAAAAATATCAAATTTCTTGTATCTTAGATTCTATCAGGTTCGAAAAAATAAGCTGATATTCGAAATTTCTTCTTTTTCTCTTCTGATTTCATTACAAGTCATTCTAAAAAAACCGAAATGCTCGATTGATTCTCATATGGACATGCATATACAAGAAGTTTCAAAACCCACATTGATTCTTCTCCCAAGTGGGTTTTCTTCCCTTTTGTCCTAGTAGGAATGTATCATTGGAACTTGGAAAGTGATGGTTGCAATCAAGCCCACTAATCAAGTAGCTATATGGCAAAACAATTGGCATTATACAAATGTATAACCACTCTTCACTTCTAAGTTCTTCTAACAGACAAAAATCTCATCACTTGATTACTATAATTGCAGCAAAACCCATTGATTAATTTTGATTTAAGCTTATATATGAGTTGGTAATTTTTTGATGTTATGATGAGCTAGCTAGCTAGCTAGGTAATTGGCTCAACCTCTTTTGTGAATTTTGGTGGACCAATAAGTTCATCTTTCTGTGTATTTCAAAACACTATTGATGATCTCTTCCTCCCTCAGAACCATCATCATCAGTAGCCATCTCTCAGTCTGTCTGACTCTCTGTTTCTTTTGTTGGCTCATTTGGTCCACCCTATATCTGTATCTCACCTATTTCAATAATGGTACTAGCTATTGGAACTTGGTCACTAATAATTATACCTAGTTTGATGAAGTCTACTTATTATAAAAACTTGCCCAATGAGAGTTTAACAACATTAGGGATTGCCACATGTTTAAACTTGTTTTTGCCTTACCTAATGCTCATGAGATGTAGCCGATCGTCACTGACAACGAAGAAAGAGATTGTATGTAGGGTTCTGGTTTCGACTCCACGTTATTCTTCGTTTAGATGAAATGTTACCTAGTGAAGGTCATATAGAGATGACTACTAATCCGCACTATACATAAACGAAGAGCATGGAATAGGGGGAACGTGAAGAATGTATACGAGAATTTGTGAATGTTTAACTAATTGCGTGTATCTCTAATGTGCCCGCATATTTTAGGGTTTGGAGGTGAGAAATGTCGTATGTAGGTTTGGGTGTTGAGTCAGCCAAAAGGCGAGGATGGAAGCCTTTTGCCAGAGGCTTGGCTAAGCGAGCTTGGACTCGGAGGAGGTGAACTTCTACACAAAATTGAATCGAATCGACTTGAATAACATCTCGATATGATGCTTCAATTAATTCTTTCATCAATTCATCCATTCATTCATCTTCATGATGATTGACAGTGATGATTCATGTCAGTCTAAAGATACTGTGGAGATCTGTGTGCCTATTAGCTTTTTTTTATTACCATGTATATTGAGATCCCTTTTACCTTCTTTAATTTCCCTTTCGAATAATAGTTGGGTGTGTGAGTTCCAATTCTTGTGAGCCCTAATTGCCGATCTCTTTTCAAGATTGTGTCTGTACTATGTGTCTGAAGAGAAAACAACGGGACCAATGGTATCTCTTGAGTATGTGGCCTAGCATTTTAGTTACCACACAAATATATGTAGTACATGTACTAAATCTCTTTAACTAATCGAAGCTTATCACGATCTAATATCTATCAGTGCCTATTGAACCAAATACTCGCGACATGGTATTAGAACATTTGGGCGGGTCTCGGTACTATAGAATCCTACCCAACCCAATAGTTGACAAGAATCTACAAGCTGGTCGGTACTCAATATGATAAAACTGAATTTAGGGCTTTAGAAATGCCCTTTTTTTTTTTTTTTATCGCTAACCCAACTTCTTAATTACAGGATATGATTCTATGGCGATAGCATGCATATTCTAATTCTCATTTACTAGTACAGCTTGAAAGTTGAGGTATTAATTAGCTACTTAGCTAGAGCTTTTGAACAAATGTTGATACTCCAATCTTCAAGTACGACCCAATATTGATACAAATAAACTCGGAGATTTTTCCAGAAATAGCACTGTTTAAGAAAAAATTCCAAAAATAGCACTTAAGTCCGAAAAATTCCAAAAATAGCACCCTTTCCCAAAACCGCTCCCTACCAGTGCGGTTTAGGCGAAAACCGCCACCCAGGGGCGCGTTTTTCGATGAAAACCGCATCCCTAGGGGGCGGTTTTGCAGATCGCACCCCCACCATGCGGTTTGGTTGCAGACCGCACCCCCACCATGCGATCTGTTTTTTTTTTTTTTTTGAAAATCCTAACCTAGGTGGAAACTTCAAACGAACATATCTTTGTGTTCGGGTATCAGATCGTCGCGATTTTTTTGATTCTGCATAACTTTTTGAGATCTTGCAAGCCGAAGACTGCCGAAGGTGGTTTGATCTCGCCTTCGTCACAAAAAAGATCGTTTGCTACCCCGCACGAGCTTATTTCCGATTTCGTCAAACTTTGGACAACCATAACTTTGTGCTCCAAAATTCAAACGACATGAATTTTTTTTATTTCGCATAAATTTTTAAGGAATACAACTTTTATCATAGACATAATTTCAAAATGTACGTGGATTGCTGAGAAGGGAAGGTAAGCTATTCCCAAAATCCTATATATCCAAAATAACTCCTGTTTTGAAAAGTCATTCTAGTAAAAATTATAGTCCTTAAAAAGTTATGCGAAATAAAAAAAAATTCATGTCGTTTGGATTTTGGAGCACAAAGTTATGGTTGTCCAAAGTTTGAAGAAATCGGAAATAAGCTCGTTCGGGGTAGCAAACGACATTTTTTGGGACGAAAGCGGGACCAAACCACATTCGGCAGTCTTCGGCTTGCAAGATCTCAAAAAGTTATGCGGAATAAAAAAAAAATTCATGTCGTTTGGATTTTGGAGCAGAAAGTTATGGTTGTCCAAAGTTTGACGAAATCGGAAATAAGCTCGTTCGGGGTAGCAAACGACATTTTTTGGGACGAAGGCGGGACCATACCACATTCGGCAGTCTTCGGCTTGCAAGATCTCAAAAAGTTATGCGGAATCAAAAAAAATTCGCGACGATCGGATACCTGAACACAAAGATACGTTCGTTTGAAGTTTCCACCTAGGTTAGGATTTTTCAAAAAGAAAAAAAAAAAAAAGCAGATCGCATGGTGGGGGTGCGATGTGCAACCAAACCGCATGGTGGGGGTGCGGTCTGCAACCAAACCGCATGGTGGGGGTGCGATCTGCAAAACCGTCCCCTAGGGGTGCGGTTTTCATCGAAAAACGCGCCCCTGGATGGCGGTTTTCGCCTAAACCGCACTGGTAGGGAGCGATTTTTGGGAAAGGGCGCTATTTTTGGAATTTTTCGGACTTAGATGCTATTTTTGGAGAAAAAAAATTAAACAGTGCTATTTTCTGGAAAAATCCCATAAACTCGTCCCCCACACATTAATAAAGTGAAGTTAACACGTTTGGATGCTCCTTTTCCCCACTAAACTAGCGTCTTAATTAGGGTTTGATTATATCTATATGTTTTCTTGACCACTTTATAAAGGATTGGATTCTGCACTCGATTGCCAGAATCTCGATTAAACCCTTTTTCTTAAATCAATTGCAATGTGGAGCTAGATAGAGATAAACTCACTAGATAAACCCTAATTATTATATACTGCCGCCGCACTGAAAACTAAAATGATGACATTGCATGGATGGTCAGCAAGAACAATAACTATTTATTCAAAAAAAAAAAAAGAACAATAACTATAATAATGAAGCATCTCTCTGATGTGAATATGCGTTCAGACTTCGGTTTCGGTTTTGGTTGTTGTCGGCGGCGGTTCCAGAAAATTTTCACAGCGTGTCCTCTTCAAAAATTAAATTTAATTATATAATAAATTAAATAATTCGTATATTAAAAATATCATACTTGTGTAATTTGTATAAAATTTTTATTAAATAATAAATTAAAATTCATATTTTGAAAAAATAATATAAATAAACTCCTGTCTGCACTGTTCAAAAAAATCTACATATCCTACTAGACAATACTTCACGAACTTATCACATATTCGATTTCTAACATTGTTCTTAATGTAGCTTAGTAGAAAAGACTCTTTCAACACTTGCCGTGTAACCATAAAATCAATTCAAAATTAAGGGTAGCATGTACGTAATTTAATTATTAGGTATTGAAAATAGTTTGGGATAGCGTTTTACTGTTGCATGATGTTTAAAATAGAATAACAAATTAGTAGCAACATAATTAGAATATGTTTGATAATAGTAGTGTCCTAGGGTGGAATAACACGGACTACCACTTATATTTTGTTAATCATAAGCAAACTATTATCGAGGGTAGGATAATCATTTTTTCAAATGCTAGGGTGTCCCGGATTACCAATTATATTTTGTATACCCATACGAAACTACTACCGGCGGTTGGATAATGGTTTCCCCATAATTTAGGGGTGTCCCGGGACACCCCTAGAGGCCCATGTATCCGCCCCTGGTTGTTGTCGTCGTCATATATAACACTATGATCGATATTGGCCGACTTTTTGTGGAGAAATTTTTTTTTTAACCGATCATAATAAGTAACTTGTTCCATATTTATGTTCGAGTTTTGGCGTTTATATGAGCTTAATATTCGAAATTTGTTGCTGGGTGTTTTGCCTAGGGTTCTCTCATCAGTCGTCATAAATATGAATTGATCATTAGCTCTTGAGAAATACAACGTCTGCATGCTTTGGGATTGTAATAACATTGCTTACATTTTATAAAGGAAAAACGATATATGGTGACTAGATATATACGTACGATGTGATAGTACAATGATAGGGCAAAGAGCAATGATTTTGGCGCCTCTTGCTGGCCCAGCACGTAGTCTATAATATATGCACTGAATGGGGGTCTTCACGTGGAAGTCATGCGCTGCTAGATGGTAGAGCACTGAAATCACAATTGAAAATAACGGAGAGAGCTGGACCGTAACGCGACAAATACTGAAATGAATACCAAAAATCGAAAATTACAAGTGCTATACTAGTTCGGTATTCGGAGGAGGGCTGAACCGTGGACCGAGGGCGGCCCCCTAGATCCTGCCGCTGCATTCAACTCATGATTTGAGGGACATGGCGTTGATAATGTTTGGATCATGGTTGTTATTAAATCGGTGGTATACCAATCGGTGTAGATTCAATTGGTGCGTGTGTAAACTGGTTGGAATATCATCGGTATGAGGTGGTAGTCAAAATCTATCAGTATTTCAATCGAATCATATCACTTGTTAAACTGACAGAACGATACAAACAGGTTTGACAACTCTTTTCCTAAATTCCTACACCTTTTTATTTGAACCAAAAAAAAACAAAACAAAATTAGAGTATATATGTCTCTTTTAGACTCTTATTATATAGTAAGTTGGAAAACCAGTTGCACATATTTGATGGAGGCATATGGATTATGAAAGTACCATTTTGTTAGTCACTTCAAATTGTAGTGACTGATCTGTCAATACATAAACTCCAGTGGTGGATTTGTTAACCGTCCAAAGTTAAGGGACCATTTATGTAACTAAGCCGTTAGGGGAACCCTTCGTGGATTGGGGGCGATGAAACTCGCGAGACTCCGCTCCGATCATCACTGCAATTGGCGAAAATTAGTTTCACTTTCACCGGCGGCTGAACGGCGACACCAACTTCACTTCGATCCTAATTATCATGTCAATCAGAAGCTGTCTCAAAAACCTCAACACCGTCAAAAAACGTACTCGACTCCCGCTCCTTCACCAAGAGCCCTATCGAGAACTCCCGCTGTCCATCGCCAAAACCTTCGACCCATTCTATTCTTCTCCGCCTTCCCCCGCCGCCGCTCTCTCCGATCTCAGCCCTTCCAAACTGCTTCAGATTCTCACCGACCCTGCCGTCAAGCCCTCGGAGGGATATCAGTTCTTCAATTGGGTGCTCGAGAACCAGTCTTCGGTCTCGTTCATCCCCGATCTCCAGGCTCATTTGACGCTCGTCTGCCGGCTGTTGAAGGTGAGAAGGTTCCCGGAGGCAGAGACTCTCTTGAAAAGCTTGATAATTGATCAAAAGGGAAGGTACCCATTTCCTCTACTGGCTTCTACTGTGGAGAATTGTTCTTCTTTGAAACCCAGAGCAGTGGCAAAATTGTTCAATGTGATGCTAAACGTGTATTCCGAGAACGAGAAGTTTGAGCAAGTCCTGGAGGTCTTCGATTACATGAGGAGGAATGGGGTGGAGATTGATGAGAGAACTTGTACCCTGCATTTGGTTGTGCTCAAGAAAAATCAGGAGATGAAGTTGGTGTTGAAGTTCTTTCACCGAATGATTAAATCCGGTATTGAGATCTCTCCTTACTCGCTCGCAGTTGTTGTAGGTGGGTTGTGCGAGAATGGGGAGATGAGAAGGTGCAGAGAGTTTGTGGAGGAAATGATCGGTTTTGGGATCAAACCCAACATCGTTACTTTCAATATAATGCTGAATGCCTGTTTGAAAAGGTGGAATTTTGCACAGTTGGAGTTGATCTTAGCACTGATGAAGAATCAAGAGACGTCCTGCGATGAAAGGACGTATAAAATACTGATTGATGGCTATGTAAGCTCCGGGAAGCTCGAAGAAGCTGAAATGATGGTCTTGGAGATGCATGATAAAGGTTTTGGAGGAGACATCCACTTGTGGAACTTGGTTCTAACAAGGTACTGTAGACAAGGTCTAGTTGATACAGCAGCTTTGCTGTTCGATAAGATGTATTTGAGAGATGTTACTCCGAATGCTAATACGTACTGCACGTTGATCAATGCACTGTGTGGGGAAGAGAAGATTGATGCTGCCATGGTGTATGTGAGCAAGATGGTGAAGGATGGGATTGAGCTAGACCAGGTTATGCTCAACACGTTAACTGATGGGCTTTGCAGGATAGGAATGGCAAATGAGGCTTGTGATTTGCTTGTTGGGATGCAGGAGAGTGGATTTGCTGTCGATGTGAATATTTGTGGTGAGATGGCTAGGCAGCTCTGTTTGTTGGGTCAGTTTGACAAGGCTAAGGTGCTGGTAGATATGGTGAGTAGAATTGAAACAGGTGAACGTTCTGTTGACAGAGATGACGACGATGATGATGACGAGGAGGAGGAAGGTGTTGGTGGTGGTGAAATTGAAAATGTATCGGAACCATGAGTAATGAGTTTCACAACCTGGCTGTCTGCACTTTGACAACCAGGAACTTGTTGCCAGAAGCCAACCGCGACTTTTCTCATACACACGCTACAGGCATCAGATGTATGTAGATGACAATGAAATGGTGTGTGGATACAGATACAAATGATGTTGCAGAGGAAAGATTCGGCTGTGAGTGCAGACCAGAAACAAAGGATACCATCTTACTTTCATTTCTCGGGGAAGGATCTTTTGCATCTTCAACTTAATATCATGTATGTTTTCTAGCTTTTTCACCAAATTGATCATTCTTCAAGGTTGTAACCTATCAAAATGAAAGAATAATAAAAGGAACAGACTGTAACGTGTCCAAAAAGCTAACTTTAACAGTTGCGTCTGCCGGGAGTCGAACCCGGGTCTATTGCTTGGAAGGCAATTATCCTAACCGTTGGACTACAAACGCTTGTTGTTGCTAATATTCTGAGTATCCTTAAAGTCTGTGCTGGCGTATGCCACATCTCCTGAGGAAATTCGAGCGTTTTACCACCTGTGCCCATACAATAACACAGCTCATGGATTCAACTCTTTATAGTTTCTACTGAACAAAAAGATGGAGGATAAACTAAAACAATAGTTGGTGGCTGAAATGTCATTCCCAGTCATTGTCAAAACCCTATTATACATACACACAGCTTGACATAACTACCCAATCTCCTAATTTACTCCTCCGGACCAAAAGAACACTCAACCGCACACACAAAGAACCAAGGGTGCCCAAGTACGACTAGCTCAGGGGAGCCCCAGACAGAATGGCACCATTAACCGCCTCGGAGCCAGGCTTCCCGACGATGGCCGAAATGCTGAGGGAACGACGACGTCTTGTCCGCAGGACCTCTCTACTCCCGCCGTTCTCACCCAAGAGGGAAGAGTAAGAGCACAATGGCTCGCCCAACCGCTCGCTCCTACTTCGGAGGAATCGGTCCAAGTTCTGCAAATACTTGTCCGCCTTTGGTCCATCTATCGGTTCTACCTTGTCCTCCAACTCGTCCTCGACGTCTGTCCTGTACCCGTTGTCTTGCATGTCTTCCATTGCCAGGTCGTCGTACTCCTCATCGGACTTCGTCGACTCTTCATCCACCGAACCAATCTGTTCCAAACCAAGGAGGTAGATGGCATGAGAATTAGTTTAAGCGCTTGGAAGACCCGAGTTCTAGCTAGAAAGGCATGGTGATTTACCTCTTCATGAGCAAGTTTGTCGTCATCATCACTAAGGTCTTCATCACTATCCACTTCAGGTGCATCATCATCCACTTCTTCATCGCTGCCATGCACCGAGTTCTCCTCCTTAAGCTGAAGGGACAATGATTGCAAAAATGGTCAGTCAGAAAATGTTTTGAAGATCTACTTTGTTAAAATTGGTTTTGATTTACAAGATGCACTGTTAGCTAGTACAGACTACAGGGAAAATACCTCCTTGGCTGGTCCATCCGAAGTCCTCGGCGAGCTGCAACACGAAGAATGGTATTTGCTTCCTGTGTCGGTCCCATCAGCCCTCGACTCATCCATGCTCCCTGCATGACTCGTCCCACCATCACTGGGCCAAGCGCTGATCCCAAAGTGGCCAAACTGCAGATTCACCGGTTCAGCCTTTCCGATTTGCAACGGACCATACATAGGAATACCTATCCCATTTTCAGCCCCATGACCTACAAGAGGCTTCCCGTTCTTATCCACTGGACCTATAGGCCAAGCTTTTGCCACTGATCCATCGGTATTAAGAAGCGCCATCAGATGTCTGGAAGAACCCTGCCTCTGAATAAGCTGAAACATTCCCTTCGAGCTCAGTGAATTTGCAGCACATTGGTTCCTGTACTCCTCATCAATAACAGATACCGTATTCGTAGATGGATCATAGGGCTGTTCCCCTGCCTCGCGTCTTCTGAGGCATCCGAAGACTGTGGCATGGATTGCAGCCACACTCTTGTCAACATTTGTGTTGTTTATTTTGGGGACAAGGTGTTTGTCAGCTCGCTTGCAGAGGTAATCCTGGATTGTCCTGATGTTTCTGATGTACTTTACATATTTGTTTTTAGCAGGGTCCAAGGTCATATACTTCGCACGAACGGCGAACCTCTCCAAGTGTTTATCTTCATTTGTGATGTATATCATGAAAGGGATGATTGAAGGATGTTTCTTCATAAGCCCCATCTGAAACAAACAAAAATTGTCAGAGAAGCATTCAGAAAATACTTCCTAGGAGAGGACAATTTATGACAAAGTACAGATGGATTATTACCACAAAATTCAGGCTCAAGTGTACACCCTCAACGACTACAGATTCCTTTCTGTCTTCCCACGCAGTGATCAGGCGATCAAGACTATCAATTACCATTTCACTTTGTGCTTTGAAGCCTTCAATAGCCATTTGTTTTGGGCTAATCGCCCCTTCTGGGACTTGACTACTATCAGGGTTTCCTGTAATAGAACCATCAGCTGGTTCCTCCTTGGGACGTGCTTTTGCAATGCTGGCTAGTTTTTTCTCTCTTCTCCTAGCCTTTGCTTCAGCAACAGCCTCGGGATCCAAATATTCTCCTGCATGATACGTTGATGCCCAAAGAAGTGGATTTTCCTTTTCATCCACAAAACTTCTCATCATGTGACGAATTGAGTCTGTGGACACAACGGTTGTAATCCCTAATCTACTACCCTGCACAGAACAAATATATGGAAATCAGCTCACGTAACTGTGTCTTCCCAGTTCAACATCTCACAAGGAACCCCAGTAAGAAACAGCATCAAAAGCAAAAATCATAGATTCAAACAAGCTGCAATACCAGCAATGCAGACAAGGTAGATTTGCCACATCCACTGGTGCCGCACAACAGCACAGTTACAGACTCTTTCTTTTCTCGAATCCTGCAACAAAACATAACATCAATCTAAGGTATGCATAACTACTAGTTTGATGTATGATCCATAGTATAACTTCAACACCAGGACGTCCTTGGTCATGCTTGCATTGCACAAGCAGACAGAAGATCGACACTTAGTGAAGGAGTCAATTAGCTGGAGTACAGTTCATGCATAGCATCACTAAAAGGCAAATATGAAATAAGTCTGTAAAGCAATATTTGGTAATTTACCTGCACGCCAAAACAAGGTCTGCCCTCTGGTTAGGACCCACATATTTGTATTCTGCCAGAGCATCACAAACAACATCTAAGAAGGTTCCTCTTCTAACAACCAAAGTTGTACGCCGCTTGTACAGTTCGAATGGCACACTTCTACCTTTGCCATTTTTCCCAGAAGGAAATGTCCCCAGAACATCGCTCTTCTCTAATTTTTGTCTGGAAGCATCAACGCATGTCCTATCTTCTTCTTTTAAGATTCGAGTATCAATTGAAGGTGCATTTGTTATAATTTCAAAGACCCTTCTGCTTATCTATGAAAGAAGAAAGATAAAACTCAGTGACCGTGCATATTTCTGCGAATGAAGGAGATAAATATAGGCAGATAAACTGCTTCTGGTTTCAATACATGTAAGTAAGCTAATGCCACTTGCCACACTGAAGAACAGTAAGATGAAGAAAAAACTATCAAAACAATCCGGAATGCAGCATCACTGTCAACAGTGAAGGACCTACATCCAACTCACAGCCACTCTGACAATTACCTTCCATACCAAAATCGTCACATATTCATTGTATGATTAATGCGAATGAAAGCATAAATTTTAGCGGGAAATCATTCCCGGTATAACATGCACGTTCAAGAAAGCATATCGAGAGGGGATCCCCAAGAAAAATGCTCAATAGAAACAGAGTTCATCTCTTAGTGAAAGCTGGAGGCAAACTTCCTCACACCACAACTAAGAAGAATATGGGTATTGAACAAAAAGGAAAGTGAGGGAAAAGGCAGACAAAATTTAGGATAGGAAGAGGAGTAAACAGTATGAAAGTGACTCGACGTTTTCCCAGTAGGCTTAAGCCAAATGAGCCAATAGCTGTCTCACGACGTGAGAATCAGCAATGGTGGGACAAAGGCATCATCGACCTGGCATGGCGTTGAATCAACCAAAAGCTACAAGATTCAAAGCATTGATACCCTTCACAGTTCCTAAAAGCCAAGAGCGTTTCTAAAACAAGTTGCAGCCCGGATCTAACAGTTCCCAGCAGTCCCAGTCATAACTCCAAAATCAAAAGAAACCAGTAAGGCCCCCAGAATAACCATGCAAGTAAAGCCTGAAAGCCATCCCCGGTGTCTTGAATTCCGAAAGAAAACACAAGGGGGAAAAAAACAAAGGAGAAGAAGAAGAAGATTCGTACCTTGAAAGCATGGCGAGCCTTACATCCCATGAGCTGCAGAGTGCTCTGCAGAACCGGACGCGTGTACCGAAACGAGCCTCTCCCCTTGTCTCTCCTATCCTCCTCATCGACCACCACTATGTACAGCACCTTCGCCATCTCCGCCATTGCTGCAACCAGGAAGCACAAAACAAACAAACAACCACATTTTTTGTGTTATTCAACCAGTCAAACACCGCCTGAGAAAAACAATTCGAAACCGACATGCAAAATTCGAAACCCGCGTGGCGCCAAAAAAAAAAAATCCACATCAGATCACACAAAATTTTCGCAGAGCGGCCAATGCTGACCGATCGGAGAGAAGAGATCACAACCTTGCACTTCCGGAACCGAGGTCGGGGCGTCGTCGGTGGCGTGAGAGAACAGATGGGAGGGGGGTAAAGAGGGCGAATTCGGGGAGAGAGGGGAGGAAGAGGTGTTAGGGTTTATGGAGAAGGATTAGAGACATGGCGATGGCAGGGCATACGAAGACGAGGGAAGTGTGAGGAGAGAGGAAGGAGGAGGATCTCGCCATTTTTGTTGTGTCTGGGCTCTGCAGCTTCTTCGTCTTCTTCTGTCGCCACTCACCTGTCCTCCACGCATCGCAACGACAGTGCTTTTCCACGAGTATTTTCCTTCCCTTGCTTGCCTCCTTTTATTTATTTCTTTCTTTCCCAACTGCCCTTGCCCCGCTTCTCTATGCGACTGTCTCTCTAATGACGGTTTTGTGCTCGTATGCAATGGTTTGGTCGGTGGCTCGTTTGCTTGTTGGATTTGAAATCGATACCTAAATTTCAAATTTCACAAGTAAACGACACCAAAATGTATGAAATTGAAATCATATGTTGGATTGGATCATATTGAAATAATGTTATCCAGTTCTAGATCCTATAGCTTTTATAAATTATAAAGAAAAATGAATTAAAATAGATAAGACAGAATTGGCAACGGTTCCGGTCTTTTTGTCCTAAAATGTTTCACTATTAGACTGCGGTTCACATGAATTTGGCTTTGGCCCCATCGTTGCACACCCCTTATTAACCAAACCAAACTCAATAACCCTAGTTAAAGCTATAGTTCATTTTACAATAATTTATTCAGCTGTTCATTGAATTTCAAGAATATGTCAACAACCAATTAATCTCGATAAGTCGAGTCGTTTGGAGCCATTCAATTACGAATCATCTATCATTTGCTAACATACCCTCTTATCATTTGCTAACATACCCTCTTAAGCGAAAGCCTTTATATCCGAGTTTGAAATTTGCACGGGTCCAAACACCATGTTAGTAAATGACCTTTAATCCGCCACTTTTCCACGGCACAAGATTTAACGTACTCCGCCACTTTTCCACGGCACAAGATTTAACGTACAGATCCCACACTAGATTGTGTTCTGAGTTCAACTAAATCAAGTGTTTGGGACATGATTGAATTTGATTGATCACCTTCTGTCCCCTGCTCTGCTTTTAGTTGATCACCTAGCAGCTGAATTCAACAGGTGGATTAACAGAATCCTGGAAATTGGAAAGTACTCATCATTGCATTTCGTGAACTTATTTTGTGTCTCCAATTCGATACACTACACTCTTACAAACTGATTCCAGTTCTGAAACACCTCTTATGAGAAAGACAATGCTTTTAAAGCTCTTATACCCCAGATGATTCATCACTATCCTCCCTACAGAAACACCACCACCATTAACTCTTCGTGTTCACCGCCAGGAAAAAAGTACTCAAAAGACTGTCAGAAACCTTTTTGATAAAATTCCTAACTAATAGCACAACCATCCTCAAGTGAAATGTGCGGGGTTGTTCTTTTCCCCACTAGACAGTCATTCCTTGTGGGGCAGCAGCAGCTGGTGCTTTGGGTCTAACCTTTTCCACAACGATAGCCTGGGTTGTCAGCACCATTCCAGCAACCGATGCCGAGTTCTGCAGTGCACATCTTGTCACCTTAGCTGGGTCGATCACTCCAGCCTCCACCAGGTTCTCGTACTTATCGGTCATGGCGTTGTAACCAACCTCCCATTCACTCTCCTTCACCTTCTCGACTACCACTTCCCCTTCAACTCCGGCATTCTGAGCTATCAACGACGCTGGAGCTACCAATGCCTGCATGAAAAACACAACCAATATCATCATTCACTCCCTGTCACTGACTCAATCAAATCATACACCGGTTCCCTGAAACAGATAGGCAGTTGAATCACCTTCTGTATGATATCAGCACCAAGGCGCTCATCAGCATCTTCGAGCTTTTCCTTGATGGCAGGCACAAGAGTCGATAGGTGAACAAGTGCAGCTCCACCACCGGGGACAATGCCTTCCTCAATAGCAGCAAAAGTTGCATTCTTGGCATCCTCAATACGGAGTTTTCGGTCCTCGAGTTCAGTCTCAGTTGCAGCTCCTACTTTGATCACGGCAACTCCACCAGACAGCTTGGCTATCCTCTCGGCCAGCTTCTCCGAGTCATAGACTGAATCAGTTTCAGACAGTTCCTTCTTCAACTGTGCGATCCTGGAAGACAGCTCATCCTTGGATGCCGCATCAGCAATTATGGTTGTTGAGTCCTTGCTTATGGTCACCTTCCTGGCCAAACCCAGCTGGTCGATTTCTGTTTGCTCCACAAGCAACCCGAGATCACTAGCTTGGAATTCAGCTCCTGGGAGAAATGAAACCAAAGAGATATCAGTAACAGCAAAGTTCAATTATAAGGGCTTCCTTCAAGAACAAAACCTGAATGACTCATTTAATTACAGACATTAAGGGGAATATCAAGCTACCTGTCAAAATGGCGATATCTTGAAGCATGGCCTTTCTCCTCTCACCAAAACCTGGTGCTTTAATGGCAGCGACGTTGATGATACCACGGAGCTTGTTAACAACTAAGGTTGCCAAAGCCTCCCCAGTGACATCCTCGGCAATGATAAGCAAAGGAGCTCTCAGTTGAGTCGTCTTCTCCAGTAAAGGAATAATGTCCTTGATTGCTGTAATCTTTTGGTCTGTGATCAACACCCTCGCATTCTCAAACTCACAGATCAGTTTCTCAGGGTTTGTCACAAACTGAGGAGAGATATAACCTCTGTCTATCTGTAATCAAAGTAAAGCAAGGTCAATCTAACCCTGGAAAAGGTATCCATTTCAATTCAATGCCATAATGAGATAAGGGAAATGCATACCTCCATTCCTTCTTCAACTTCTACAGTAGTCTCGAAAGAGGAGGACGACTCAATTGATAGGACACCATCAGGGCCAACCTTGTCAATAGCATCAGCAATCATTGTCCCAATGAGCTCATCATTTCCAGCAGAAATAGAAGCAACAGCTGCAAGTGTCAAAAGGCATAATATAGTAAGCACAGCACAATGGAGCGATATCCATGAGAGAAAACAAAGAATAAGCAGGAACCAAGCGATTACCTTTAATGTCATCACGACCTTTCACAGGCCTGGACCTCTTTTCAAGCTCCTCTATCAAACCAATCACAGTTTTGTCAATTCCCTTCTTTATCGAAACTGGATTTGCGCCAGATGTAACAGACAACAGCCCAAGTTTAATGATTTCCCTTGCAAGGACGGATGCAGTTGTCGTTCCATCACCAGCTGAGTCGTTAGTTTTGCTAGCAACCTACATCAAAAGTTCAAAAATATCCTTCCAGATTGAGATCACAACAAGGACACAAAACGGATATATATCTGGCAAAAAAGGAAACCTGTTATTCAAGATGTTACCTCTCTGATGAGAGCTGCTCCAGCATTCTCCATGGGGTCAGGCAATTCAATTGCTCGTGCAATGGTTACACCATCATTGACAACCTTGGGGCTGCCATACTCGTCCAGGACAACATTCCTCCCTACAACAAGCAAGTCCGTCGTAATACACTATACAACACCAACAATCCCAATCTCATTTTACTCAAATGTTGCTTCCCAAAAAGACTAATAGCCTCAAGTTAGGCCAGTGGACCTCCAATTATACTGGAGAAAGATCATCATCAAGCAAGGAACGACTCGTCAACTAGCTTGGAACAAGCGTGCACAAAGCTGATAACAAAAAAAGGTAGCAACGGAAAGAACAATTACCCCTAGGACCGAGGGTTAGCCCAACAGCATCAGCAAGCTTATCAATGCCGGACTGCAACGCCCTGCGCGAGTCTTGGTCAAACGCAATCTCTTTAGCATTTGCTCTCACGGATAGCCTCCTGGCGGAGTGCCCAAAGTTGAATCTTTGATTCTGCCGCTGCGTTACTTTCCTCCTCAAAGTCGCCTAATTCATCAGAGCAAAATAAGAAACACCCACTAGTCAGTATTGAATTCCTCACCATTAAATTATCTTAGGTTCGCCATACTAACTGCTTATTTCATTCATTCCCAAACAAGGTCGCCATACTAACTGCTCATTTCATTCATTCCAATCAAACCCATCAGAACCCACAATCCCATTGACCTTATCCCCACGCCACAACCATCATCGAACCGATGAAAATGAAGAAGAAGAAGAAGAAAAAGCCCAGGAAGAGGGGCATGAAGCAGCGGCAATACCTGGGAGGGAGAGCCGAAAATGGAGGCAGTGGTGAAAGCATTGGATGTTGCCATTTCTGTCGTTCAACGCTTCCTTGTTGTAAGCGTTGAGCGTATCTCTCCTTTTGCAGGAGTTGGATGAGGAGGGGAGTAGATAAGGAAAGCTGGGAGAGAAGGCTGCTGGCGCGACTACTGGTAGACTGAGGTTTGTTTAGGGTTTTATTGCGATGCTTTTATCTTCGAGAAGTTTCTTTCAATCGGTAGAAACGGAAGGCCACCATCGAGAGTCGTTGGCGCCGGTGATGGCCGGCTCCGGCTCGGCTCTCCGAGATCAATTTTTTTTAATAATAAATTAATTAAATATCAATGAAACTGTTAACGGGGCGATTGAAATGGGCTAGGCTCGGATAGAAATGTCAGGCCCGGAGAAAGAGGCAGCGAGGGAAGTCAATTTAAAACGGGCCGGCGGCCCATAAGATGTGAAGATAATTCGGCGACTGCGGCTGATCTAATTCGTCATTCGTGTAATCGACTCCCGACAGAGGCTGTGTCACCTTCGTCTTCGTGTTTCTCCGGTTCCGCCGCTCGCCGGCCGGATCCTACGGCCACCGGTGATTCCATCCCGACCGACGGTAGGAAGACTCTATCTCTACCGACTCTTTTCTACTTAGGGGGTTGAATCGTTGAAGTTCTTTTTTTGGTTTTGCTTTGTTTTTTTTTTTATTTGGAATTCGAAACTTTTCAAAATGTTTTCAATCCGAGTACGCCGGTTACGTTTCTCCGAAACTGTTCAATTGGAGATCTGCTACAAGTTTCTCCTGGGCTTCGTGATTGATTTCCATTTCAACTGTCAATTGTCTGGAGTTGCTGGATAGTTGGTAGTGTGCCCTTCGGTAGGGTAGAAACTGTTTTGTTTTCTTTTAGTTCTTAGGGTTTTACTGCCCTTTCCTTAGCATCTGTAGATTGCTAAGGGTGTGAATTCGTAGAGGATAGTGATTAATCCGCCGTTGCGACTTGAAAGTAGTAGGGTGCTGTTTCCTGAGTGACAACTCGGTTCTTGTTTGATGTTTTCAGCTTTGTGCTAGGTGATTGGTTGTAACGACTGCAGATTCGTGAAAGCTTGTTCCTTTCACGGGTGCGTAAGATGGTTGATGTGGAGGGTACATTTGTAGAAGATAGAAATGAAGTGGGGAAAACTAGGAAGAAAAGGAAGAGAGATGTGGATGTGGAGGCTGCATCTACAGAGGTTGTGGCTTCTCATGCCGAAGGTAGAAATGATGATGGGGAAAGTAGAAAGAAGAGGAAGAAAGTGAAGGATGGTAGTTCTGTTGATTCTATTCCTAGAGAAGATGGAAACAAGGTCAGGAGTGGAGATAATTCTTTGAATGAAATTGAGACGGAGAAGTCTGACTCTTCAAATGAAAGGAAGAAGAAGAAGAAAAGGAAGAATAGCAGTCTTCATGAAGAGCCACCATTGCTGGAAGCCATGAATGAGAAGTTAGGTGATGAGGGTGTTGTAATAGGAGATGATAAAGCGGGTGGGCGAAAGGGTAGGCTTGAGAAGAGTGGTGTGGAAGGAATTGAGACTGAGAATTCAGAGCAGGTTATTGATAGGAAAAGGGAGAAGAAAAAGAAGAAGCGTAGCATGGATGAGGAGCCTGTATTGCAGGAAGTCCCGGTTATACATGCTTGGGATTCCGTTGATGAAACTGTGACTGAGAACTCTGAGGATCCAAATGAAAGGAAGAAGGAGAAGAAGAAAAAGAAGCTAAGAATTGAACAGGAGGCTGTATCCCATGGAGCCCCAGTAGGAGATAATGAAGCTAACACAAAAGAAGTTGACAAAGCTACAACTAAAAACTCCGAGTCTTCGGAAGACAGGAAGAAGGAGAAGAAGAAAAAGAAGCGAAGAGTTGAACAGGAGCCCGTACTGCAGGAAGCACCATTTGGAGAAAAAGAAGCTAGCACAAAAGAAGTTGGCAATGCTATAACACAAAACTCTGAGTACTCCGAAGGCACGAAGAAGAAGAAGAAGAAGAAGAAGAAGAAGGAGAAGAAGCAAAAGAAGAATAAAAGCATTGATCAGGAGCAGCCTGCAACAACAAAGTCTGGGAGAAGTGAAGGGAAGAGAGTTGAAAACGATGCTTCTGACAGCTCGCCAACAAAATCCACATCTAAGAGAGTAAGTTTTTCGGAAGATGTGCAGGTGTTCCCCATTTCTAATGATGATGAAAGTACAGGTCAGGATGAGGAATTGGTGAGAGGGAAGCGCTTCTCACCGGAGGAAGACGAGCTCGTCAAAGCTGCTGTTTTGGAGTATATAACTTCACATGCTCTAGGCGATGAAGGTCTCAAAATGGTTCTGAATTGCCGTAAGCATAAAGAAATTAAGAACTGCTGGAAGGAAATAGGGTTGGCTTTACCTTGGCGCCCCTACCAGAGTGTTTATTACCGTGCTCACATAATATTCGAAAGGGATGGGAATCGTAAATGGTCAACTGAGGAGCGCGAGCTCGTGTTGAAGTTTCATGAGAAACATGGTTCGGATTGGAAAACACTAGCCGAGGCTATTGGCAAACACAGGATTCATGTTAAGGACGCCTTTCGAAGGCTGAAGGTGACAAATTTAAAATCCGGTAAGTGGTCCCAAGATGAGTACCAGACCTTGTTCGATTTGGTGAACGCTGATCTTCGCATGAAGGCCTTCGAGGAGGAGAGGAAGTCAAAGCATGGAATGCTGAAGGATAACATAAGCTGGGAGGCGATCAGCGAAAAGCTTGATACAAGAATCCAGGCTCATTGTTGCTCGAAGTGGTACCATCAGCTGACTTCACCCTTGGTTACTGCTGACCTATGGCGCGATGTGGATGACTACCGGATGGTGATGGAGCTCTACAACTTGGATGCTTGTTGCATGGAGGACGTGGATTGGGACAATCTGTTGGAGCATAGGTCGGGTGAGTTGTGTCGAAGGAGATGGAATCAGATGGTGAAACACCTTGGGGACACCAGCGATAAGTCTTTTGCTGATCAAGTCGACATCCTGTCGAAGAGATACTGCTTTGATGTGCTTGAAGCTAAAGAGGCTTACTATAGCAAACCTTTGGTTGATTGAGTTGCTAATTCCCTGTTTAGGTCCTCAGAAGCATAAACATTTTGCAGCTTTCAAGCCTTTAGAACATGTAAATGCCCCTGGCTGTGGCTTGTGGGTCTGTACTCTAGTCTCTAGCAATGATGTTTGTTTTATTTATTTTAGACTTGAAGACACAGGTATTAAGGTATTCTATATGAGGTGTGTTTCTGTTAAGTAGGGGGAAAAAAATGCAGATTTCTATATTAGGGGTCGTTTGGACGTTGTGATTTGAAGTGAGGTATGTAGCAAATACATGTAATGTAATGATAAGATTAAGTCGTTTTTTTTGGTTCACTTTGAGTTAAAATGCATGTATTACCTTTTTGTTGGGCACACCTACAATCACTCAAAATGAATGATTATCAATCTCTACCAAAAGGTGAGATTGTTAATAAGGGATTGTCTACTCTACTTTTTGTTTCATCATTGCCCCTCCAAACAAAGTATTTTCCTAATACATGCATTGAGTCAATACATCAAATGATAATACACAAATTGATCAAATGCATCTATTTGGAGAATCTCAACCTCCTAACATGTTTAGTTTCAAAATATCATATGGTTTTGGTTCTGATCTAAAACATCACTTGCAAAACTATGCAAATTCTCTATTGTATCATCATATCACGACATGGTATTACAACGATACAATATTTTATAGGTAGGATTTTGTACTCTATATATAATATGTTTTCTATAAGATGAAAGTTAATATAAATATGAAAAATAATTAGATTCGTTCAATTTTTTGTCATATTAAATTCATTCAATTCATTAAAATTAAAATACTATAATACCAAGGAAAAAAATTAAATGCGTTTGGGCCCAAAAAGGAGTTCCAATTAAGGTAGTCCCACTAGTTCTCTGTTGGGCTTCTTTTACAGTCAGAACTCAACTCAGAAGTCCATTCTCGTCTTTCGTCTCTTTTTCACCTTTTTCAATTTCATTTCTCCAGAACACAAAAATCGCCGGAACAGTGCAGTCCCAAAACTCGATTATGTAGCGAAATCGATTCCTCCCCTCCTTCTCTGTCGGGTCACGGCTGGCATCGACTCAATCTGCTGAATTCCGCGCTGTCAGAATAGCGTCAGCTCGAAGTTGAATCGTTTGGCCCTGCAATGGCGGAGCTCCAATTGCTTGCCGTGCGTTAAAAGAGTCTGACGGAAGTTGTAGCTGTACGGCGAGTAAACTTCAGGTGAGTTCACTAATTCAAGGATTTGTTTGAATAATTGGGATAGTTATGAAATGTGATTATTCGGGAATTAAGAGGAATTAAGCGCAGAGGCTTAGCCAATTGAGTTGTTGCCAAGATGTATCAAAGTTTTAGCCATGCGCTAGATACATATGCAAACATTGGTCGCAAGCTCTGTTCATACGCATCTTTGATCAGCATTACCGTGTATACCCTGGTCTTGCCCACTGGAATGCAGCAGTTCTTGTTCATGGAAGTTTTTACCTGCTGCAGGGTATGATCTGATGGCACCTGAGAAGCAGAGAATATTGATGGTTTCGGATTTCTTCTATCCCAACTTTGGTGGCGTGGAAAATCACATATATTACCTCTCACAATGCCTGTTAGAGCTTGGTCACAAGGTGACGGATTCAATGGTTTTCTTTTTGTGTTTTTTCCTTTTAGAGCCTGAAGTAGGATTTATGAGTCTGCAACTTTAAAGTGTTTTTGAGCTAGTTTATCTGGCTGATTTTTCAGGTAGTCGTTATGACCCATGCTTATGGTAATCGCTCTGGTGTGAGATACATGACAGGAGGGCTGAAAGTTTATTATGTACCATGGAGGCCATTTGTGATGCAGAACACATTGCCTACCTTCTATGGCACCCTTCCAATCATAAGGACTATTCTTATTCGAGAACAGATATCGTTGGTCCACGGGCACCAGGCTTTCTCAACTCTTTGCCACGAAGCTCTGATGCATGCACGTACGATGGGTTACAAAGTTGTGTTCACGGATCATTCGCTTTATGGGTTTTCTGATGTTGGAAGCATCCACATGAACAAGGTTTTGCAGTTCACTTTAGCTGATGTCACACAGGCCATCTGTGTTTCTCACACGAGCAAGGAGAACACGGTGCTTCGGTCGGGTATTCCACCAGAAAAGGTCTATATGATTCCAAATGCTGTGGATACGGCCATGTTCAAACCAGCAGAAGAGCGACCCGGTGGCAATGAAATTGTTATTGTTGTTATAAGTAGATTGGTTTACCGTAAGGGAGCAGATTTGCTTGTTGAAGTCATTCCTGAAGTCTGCCGGTTGTACCCCAATGTAAGTCATTTTGAGCACTTATCGTAGTTACTGGTAGATTTTATTTTCCCCTTCAATTGTGTGCTGCAACTGAGTCACTGCTCCTCAGGGCACTTAGGTGGACAGTTCCTAAACCCTGCTATTAAGCTGGTTGATAACCTTTGGCATCAATTATAGTACACACCTTAATAGCCTTTTTTAAGCTGAATGAATCAGTCTAAACAATAATACGAGCTGCATTTTCAGTGTCAAATAACATCTTGTTAAGTGCAGCTTGTGTCCCAGTAGTCAGATCTTTCTTTCTGTCTCAGGGATTTATGTTCTTTTGTTTTCCTCCCCTAAATTGGTTTTCTCAGGTTTGACTTCATTCCATTGGCATGTCAAACCTTCCCTGGACCCTGATGCATCTTCCCTCCGCACTAAGAAGTTGTCTTCATTGCATACGAACATCTTTCCCCTTGAATTGCCTACTCTCATTTGGGAAAACCATTTTTGCAAGGTCCGTTTCATTGTCGGAGGTGATGGGCCCAAACGTGTGCGCCTTGAAGAGATGAGGGAAAAGCACTCCCTCCAAGATCGGGTTGACATGCTGGGTGCTGTTCCACATGCTTCTGTGCGATCCGTTTTGATCTCTGGTCACATATTCTTGAACAGGTACAAGAGTTGCGCAAACTTAGTCTTTTCAACTTGTCTTATGTCCGAGGACTTTTCTTGAATTGAGATATAGTAGAAATGGGATTTTTCATTTTTTCCTCCCAGCCCAAATTGGCTTATTATCAGGCTCTTTCTTTTGTTTCCACTCATTTGGTGACAGTTCTTTGACAGAAGCATTCTGCATAGCCATATTAGAAGCTGCAAGTTGTGGATTACTGACAGTGAGCACTCGTGTTGGAGGTGTGCCAGAGGCATGTCTATAAAAAGAAACTTTCCCTTTTCAAATTCTCTGATGAGTTAAAAGTTCCTTTGGCTCCACAATCGACCCCCTGATTTCACTCTTTGTTATGGCAGGTTCTACCAGAAGACATGGTTGTACTTGCTGAGCCAGATCCTGCCGATATGGTGCTAGCGATCAAGAAGGCCATATCTCTGCTTCCAGAAATCGATCCTCAAGTTATGCATGAACGTGTAAGTAAATCAATTGGTCACACTACTTCCTTTCAAATGTTCTTCCGTACACCAAGTTTCACTCGGGAAATTTATGTCTACCTTCTCTGCAGATGAAGAAACTCTACGACTGGCATGATGTTGCCAAGAGGACAGAGATAGTATATGATCGTGCACTTAAATGCCCCAATCAACCTTTGCTTGGGAGATTATCACGGTAACGATGAGAGACTCGTAACCTCATACTCTGCACATGAAAATTGGATTCATTGGTTCCTAACCTTGCTGCTAACTGTTTCTATGCATGGACTAGGTACCTTTCTTGCGGTTCGTGGGCAGGCAAGCTTTTCTGCTTGGTCATGATTATTGATTTCCTACTGTTGCACCTGCTGCAATTATGGCAGGTAATACTAACTACCGTTTTCCTTTCCCACTAGAGATTAGGAATCTGTAATCCACCAGACATCTCACTTTTGGAACTGTGTTTCTCCCTTCCATGGTAGCCGGAAGAGGACATCGATAAGGTGCCTGATTTTGTTATCCCTCCGGTAGAGATTTCCTCGGCTTTTGATCAGGAGCAAGATGATTAATCTTCAACTGTCTGGCTATTGTGCACATGGAGTGATGTTTTTTCTCCCTTCACGAAAGCTGTTGTTTGGTTTCGTTTTCGTGGGTTCTCCATGTCTCTTTTTACTGGTAGATAGCTTTTACCTCCGAGGTCAAAAATTGTAACTTTTGATCATGAAGAACAGAGTTGTTTTTGTTATTCTTGTAATAGGATTGCCTTGTAAGCTTTCGATCCTGAAATGAATGCATTGCATTGGTTTTCAAACCCAAAAATGGGCTCGAAGATAAAATTTTAAAATTTAAGAGGGATAAAGAAAGGATAGCAGAGTTTAGGGACTTGAGAAGTAATTTGTTCTTTAATTAAAGAGAAGTCCCACAAGTAGGGGGTGTTCAAATGGTTACCGTGGTAATAACCAAACCAATTAAGCCTAAATTTCATTGACCATGGAATAAAATGTCTTAACCAAACTGTCCAAATTAACACGAAAACCAAATTAATCAAACCAAATTAACCAAACCAAAATTTAATTGGTTTGGTTGATAGGATAATCGGATTAACCAAATAACATAACATTATATGAAAACAATTATCCTATTAATGAATAAAACATAATCATATGTTATTACTATCATAAACTATCATTATATATAAACAATAAATAATAAGACTAATCATTCATGCTTATCATCATCATTCGAGTTAATACATCATTCATCATCTCTACACCTAATATAGTTAGCTTACAACAAACCTTTAACATAAATATTAAATATAATTCAATACCACTCATCGGGAAGTTAAAGCTCTTCTACAAAACACTTAAAATATACCTAGTTTGAGGTGACTGTCATGGTATTGTATGTAATCCTAAAGTCTAGTAGTTGTCCAAAATGTTTTGATTTAGTAAATAGGCAGACCTAGGGCTGGACGTTCGGGTTCGGTTTTATGGGTAACCCGAAATCGGACCAAATTTTCTGGGTTTTGGGTACCCGGGAACCGAAATATCATAGTGAAAAATGGGTCTCGGTATCGCATGTGGCTATTATTTGGGTTTTGGGTAAACCGAACCCGGACCCGAAAATAAAAGGACCCGAAGTGGAACCAAACCCCAGCCCACAGGGCCAAATATCATATGGCCCATAGCCACACATACGGGCCAGCCCAGCCTTCAGGCCCCAAGCCTAGCCGAAGTTCGGACCTCCTTAGACCCCTAACCCTAAATCTCTACACTCCACTTCCCACTCCAGCAGCCAACGAAAGCAACCCTCCATTTTTTTCTTGAATAAAGCTGTTGTAACAGGTTGTCTTCGATGGCTGATGGGTATTCGGGGGACCTAACCATACCCGAGAACCGTGACTTCGGGTCTCGGGTAGCCAAGAACCGAGCCTGGGTCGGGTCTGGTTCCTCAAACTGGGGTTTTTTGGGTCCGGGTACCCGCATATTTCGGTCCGGGTACTAGGACCCGACCCGATCTCCAGCCCTAGGCAGACCCATTTGATTTTGACCCATAATGCTTTGGTTTGTTGTGCACATGGAAATAAAATAGGAAATCACTAAAGTTTGGTTTGGTTGCATGGAATTATAAATAATTTTGTGTATTAGGTGTATCATTAATTGGTTAATTGATTTCATTGGTTAGCAATATTGAAACCAAACCAAACCACCTAAACCAAATAAGCTAAATTGTTTAACCAAATCAAACCAATTAACCGAATGCTACTGATTAATATGATTACTGCGATAACCAATCCATTTCAACACTCCTGCCCACAGGCCACAGCCAGCCGTCAAAACAGTTTGGTTCCTTTTGAAATTCAGCATAAACCCTAGCATGCCGGCGCGTCCCACCGGTCCCCTTTTTCTTTTGTCGGCGATGGTTTCTGACACAATCTCCGTTGCGGACCCACCGCTTTCCCTTCTCCCTTACCCAATTACTACGACGACTACTCCTACAACTCAACAATTCCTTCTCCCGGCAGCCGCCGCCTCCGCCCCTCCGGCTACCCACCACCACCACCAGCAGATCCTATCTCCCGCCAAGAAGTCCCGCTCCCGCGACCGCCACAAGAAGGTTAACGGCCGGGGCACCCGGGTCCGGCTCCCCGCCGTCTGCGCCGCCCGAATCTTCCAATTGACCCGGGAGCTCGGCCACCGAACAGATGGCCAGACCGTCGAGTGGCTCCTTAATCACGTCCCTCATTCCCACTTCCCCACTCCTTCCTCCGCCTCTCATCAAAGCTCCGGCGGCGGAGGGGATGCGGACGGGTCGTCGTCTTCTGCTGCTGGGGAGAAGATAAGACCCAGGAAAAAGCGAGGTGTTCCTTGTTTGAATGATCCAGCGAGTTGTGATGCTGATTTCGGCTCTGCTGCTTCCCCTTCCCCTCTGCCAAATTGCCTGCCGTTGTCGACAGTTGTGCCAGAATCCAGCTCCAGGATTATGCCCCCGGTTGCCTCTGCAGCTGCCGTAGTTCCTCTGCCGCAGCCGCCGATGAAGAAGGAAGGGCCCCGGCCGTGTGAGTTTGAGCTGTTTCCGGCGAATTTATCCTTTACTTCGTTGCTAATGCAGTGGGAAAAGGACTAGCTAGCTAGCTAGCGTGTCATTAGTGTACATGTTGCCCCTGTTTTGCCTAGCACCTGTTCGATGTTTTGTCAGTCAGAACTCAGAACCGAAGGCTTTGTAACCTAGTCATTCTTGTTGCTGTGCGAATCCGACGAATGAACCGATTAAGATATGCAAGATATTCTTACTTCTTGTTGTCCACCATGGTGGGCAACCATGAGCTGTAATTTCTCTGTAACCTGACCAAGCTCCGATCTTTTTCATTGGGGAATGTATAAGTGACCCGTTTTTGGTAATGCTGAGCAAGGAATCCAGGATCCCTCATCCGAAATCAAGCCGCAAAATCTTGCTGCTGATTGGTTCTGTGATTATTAGATCAACAGCATATTGAAGATGATTACCTGTTCATAGGATGAGTTTTGAGTTGAAGTACAAATCTTGATCTTTAAGTATTGAGATCTCTTCACCAATGACCACCATACATCTCACCAATAATCTCCACATGAACACACTCCGTTCTTGAAGTGATGAAATCGAACTCTATCCCTCACAACTATGCTTCTATTGAATGCCTTGGATACGAACTTCGTAAACGAATGACAATTTTTACAAACCCTCAAGTTCTTAACTATGCGCAGGCTTGTACCTTCTGGAGTTTTTGCCAATCCGTAAGCAATCGCTAGCTTCTCACTGTGGCATGAACTTGGAGTCTCTGAATACCCTCCTTCAGACCAAGACCCAGGCAGGTTCAGCATTACAGCCTCCTCCTTCACATAGCCAGCTGAAGCCGCTCGTTTCGTTACTTCCTCGAGTTTCTCATAGACTTGCATGCTATCAGGATGTAACTTGTCATCAACGACGAATTTGTGAACTTGGTTAGAGATCTCAATCCAGCTCCAACCAGGAGTGGTCTTCACCCCAAGGGTTTTTATCAGTTTCCTCATTTTGGCAAACCCTGAGGGGTAGTTTGCTCCGGCATATATGGTTGAAAGCAAGACGCAATCCCCCGCGGTTAGTGCCCCGAGTCTCATCAAATTCCTCATTGCTTTCTCTCCAGTGGCCACATTCTTATGGATTTTACTGGAGCCCAGCAGGATTCGCCACAGGACTGGATCGTCCCGTGATGGGCTAGTTTCGATCGTCTCCAGTGCCTTATCAAGCCTACCAGCTCGGCCATATAAATCCACCAAGCAGCCGTAATGTTTGATACCTGGTGTGAGATTGAATTTGGAGCTCATCTGGTGGAAGTAATCAACACCCTCCTGTACCAAGCCTTGGTGGCTGCAACCGCACAACAAACCCAGGAAAGTGATTGAATTAGGCCGGATACCAGCTAGCAACATCTGCTCAAAGAAAGAGATGGCATCATTACCAAGTCCATGGACTCCAAATCCGTGAATCATGGAGTTCCAGGTAAAAACATCCCTCTTTCTCATCTCTCTGAAAACAGAGAGAGCATCATCCAAGCTACCACATTTAGCGAACATATCAATCAGAGCGTTCCCCACAAACACATTTCTAACCAACCTTTTGTCACAAGCAATCCTGTGCAGCTAAACTCCCAACCCCAGAGCCCCCACATGAGCGCAAGACGAAAGCAACCCAACGATCGAGAACCCATCAAGACCCACATTCTCATTCCTCATCTTTTCGTACATTCCCATCGCCTCTTCGTGGTGTCCCACCTGCGAGTAGCAAGAAATCATGGCGTTCCAGGCTACCAAATCTCTCTCAGGCATATAATCAAACAGAAAGCGGGCATCTTCCAAACACCCATTCCTTCCGTAACATCTAGCCAGACCAGTGCAGACCACTGTATCACTTTCATAACCAGTTGTGATTATGCACCCATGAATCTCCCTGCACTTGGGTAGAGCCTTGAGTCTCTCCACCGCCTTGAGAGCGAAGGTGAAGGTGAAAGTGTCGGGGCGAGCTGAAAGCGAGCTGGAGAAGAGCAGGCGGTTGTAGTAAGAGAGAGCTAAAAGAGGGGAAGGGCTCTGGGCAAAGCCTCTTACTATGGAATTCCAAGCCTGAGTAGGCGGGTCAAGCATTTTGTCGAACAGTAGTTGTGCGTGAGCCAGGGAGCCCGAGACGGAGACACCGCAGAAGTTGATAAGCTGGGTAGAAATGGAGGGATCGCATTCGAGGCCGCTGACGATGACTTGCGCCTGGATTTTGCGTAGCCTCGTGAAGCTGTTGCATCCCTGCAACAGTTTGAGAATCGCATTGGCTTTTGCACAGTCGAGCATTCGATCAACTCTGTTAGATTAATTTCCCCATGAGTGCATGCCACTGCTGCACTGCATCCAGCATACTGCATAGTGTTCTGTACTCTTATGAGTTAGTTAGGTGACTAATTTGATAGATTAGGTAAATTTGGTGACCAAATTTGTAATTAACCCTAAAACGAACTAGACAAAGAAGACTAATAAAGTCTCGAAATGGGATTAGGTGCTAACCTTTATAGGGGTTAGTACCGTGATAACTAGCAAAAAACGCTACTAAAAATAACGAAATCACTACGGATTATTATAAAATCAATACAACATCTAAGCTAAATCACTACTAATTCAAACTAATAGTAATTTTTCCCTTGATTAGGACGGTGCTAACTATTGTACAATTAGCACCGTAGCCGTTCCCAGAAACTACTAATGTTAAAAATCAAAAGATGATGATAAAAAAAAATTAAAAAGCGTTTAACGGTGTGTATTTATATAACGGTGTTTGAAGTGTTGGGGGGCTAATATGACACATATAGGTAATTTAGTGACCGGATTGGTCATTGAGCCCCAAAAGTTAACTTGTACAAGACGCAGCCTGCCTCGTTATAAACTTGTTTTGCAATTCCTCAGCTTCAAAGCCCTATTTTCAGTTACCCGCCTCAATTTCCACCTTCGTCCGCCCATGGAGACGCCGATGGCGAGGGCAGAGCAATCGCCGGTCCGAAAGCTGGCGGGAATGGACGACGACAGGCTGAGCTCTTTACCGGACGAGATTCTCTCCTACATCATATCTTTCCTGCCAACCAAGTTCGCCGTGGGCACCGCCGTCCTCGGCCGACGGTGGAAGCATCTCTGGACTAGGGTTTGCAATCTCGATTTCGACAATACCATCTGGGGTTGTTGCCATGGTGCGAAAAGTCGTCACAGAAAACGCACGCGGCGGGATGAATACTTTGGATTCTGCCGCTTCGTTGACAGGGTTCTGAGCGAGCACAAGAATTTGGATTCTCTGAAGCGTTTGAGCTTGCATTTTGAAGAAGGTTACCCTTACAGCTACGGGAACCGGTATCTATGGTTGAAGATGGAATTGGGTTCTGGCTCTCTGCTCGAGGAAATCGATGTTAACTTTAAGGCGGAAGATGGAACTGGCCCAACCTTTCCTATGCACCGGCTTCCAGAGTTTTTTTACACTCTGACGCATTTAAGAGTTTTGAAGCTGGACGGTGTTGTAATGGAGACTGGGTCGTCTGTTTTTCTTCCTAATATGAAGAACTTGCAGCTCTTGAGGGTGAAGAAAGTGGACGGGGAGTCATTAGGCAGGCTCCTTTCGGGTTGCCCTGCTCTGGAGACTGCTCATCTGGAGACTGATCATATGAAGATTGATGAGTATCTACGCAGGAAGGAGGAGTGCAAACTCATTGCTTCATTACCATGCTTGAAGAACCTAACAATTGTCCGGTTCCATTGTATTACGCATTGGGCGATCGAAGCACCGAGTATCGAGCATCTCCATCTTCGGAGTGTTTTTGCAGAGTTGCAGTTTTTGGGCAGTAGTAAATTTCCATGCCTTGATTCAGTAACTGTTCTTGGCTCTGTGGGCATGATCTGGGAACTTTGCCTGCTTTATTTCCTCCAACAGATCTCCAATGCAAAAGAATTGAGCTTTTCTTGGCAGCCGCTTGTAAGATTACACTTTCCTTCCTCAACTACCACTCCCATTTTTTTTTTTTCTGTCATTGATTAAATTTGGTTGATGAACGCTCTGCTATGTTGCAGGCTACGCTCCAAGTCCGTTGTGATTTCGAGCTGCCAGCCTTTCCCAATTTGACACATCTGAAACTCGCAGTTGATGCAAGCATTCTGCACCGGTTTCTCAACTCGGCCCCCAATTTACAATCTCTTGTCATTTGTATGGTGAGCGTTCATCATATGTTCATTACTCCTTAGTCCCTGCATCATGCACCCGTTTTTTTTTGTTGTAACTTGTTGTAACTATGAACTTCTTCCAATGGTCAGGAATCGAAGTTGGGCGACTCGATGATACGACGGGAGCCAGTACCTGCCTACACACCTGAGTGCCTCTTGTCGAGTCTTGAAAAAATCAAGATCGTGAATTTCGAAGGAGTTGAGGATGAGAAGAAAATGGTGGCGTATCTGCTGAAGGTCGGAGCTGTTCTGAAGGAGGTTAATGTGCATGTACCTAGACGTCGTGGTCCTGAGTTTGGAAAGCTTGCATCACTGCTAAAGCTGCTACCGCGAGGATCGAGTGCTTGTGAAGTTCTTGTTTTCGATGAAGATGACTATTTCGATGACAGCGACCAATGAGACCGACAAATGGGGGGGAAGGGGCGGGTTGAATTTTCTCTTAAAAGGATATTGTGATGTAGCAAGAATAGTTAGTGTGAGACTATGCCCTAGTCAGTTGATCATTGAACAATTGGAGGTAGTGATATCTGAAAACCAACATTTCAAATTTGATTATAAAGAATTTTACTTCTGCCTTAAAAAGTGTATTAGTTAATTATTTTTGTGTTGTAATTAATTAGATTTGTTTAGATCAATGCAGTCAAAATCGCGCGCTTTAAGGCGTAAAAGCTTACGGTTTTACGCTTCTAGGCCATCAAAACGTTTTTCGTTTCCATATAAAATCTTTAGTGTATAAAATCGAGAGTAAATTGCGCTTTAAAGCTTAAAAGCTTACGCTTTTACGCTTCTAGTTCCCCAAAACGCTTTACGCTTTTAGGCTTCTATTCCGTAAATGGGTATTCTTTTCATGAAATTAATTATAAAAAATATATTTTAAAGGTAAATCACCAACAATTCGATACATTTGAGATCAAAAGATAAATACCAGGTACTTGGATGCATTCTCAATTTAAATAGAGGTACGGATTCACCAGCTAGGTCATTCCCAAATTCATTAACATAGATGGGAATGTGGCTTATTGTTAAGACCTATCTTAATGAACTTATTGTTAAGATGTTATGAGTTGCTTTACTTTAAACATGAATTACAAGCATTTATTAACTTATCTAAATTACGAGCTCTCATATTTTACATAGTATTTGTCGTACTTAACAGATTTTTAGCTATTTTACAGTATGTGTTAAAAACTTATGCTTTTAGCTATTTTACAGTATTTTACGTAGAATAGCGCTTTTGACTGGTTTAGATTAATAATGGGGAGGAGGAGAAGAAGTAAGGAAATGAAGGAGAAAATGCATTGACGCCGGTCTAAAAGTCTCCAACGGTCTCCTCCTCCTCCTACTACTCCGCCAGGCCAACTGTTTGCTTTCCCCCGCCATTTTTCTTCCTCCCTCTCAAAAAAATCCTTCTCCCTCCATTTCTCTCTCTCTCTCTCTCTCTCTCTCTCTCTCTCTCCTTGTTCTTCCGATTTCCCATCCCCAAAAGAAGGGAAAACAATCTGTTCCTCGAATTCGTTTCTTATGTGACCCCGTCGCCGAAAGCCAAATCCCGCCCCCGGTGATCCCCACCACCACCACAACGCCGGCCGAGATATGAGCAGAGAGAAGGTCAATGTCCGTCGGCGTCCTCGTCCTCTCTCTGCGTTTTCCCCCAACTCGTTGATTCCGCTTCTGCTGCTGCTATTGCTGTCGTTTTCGCCTCCGGTTTCCTGCCAAGACGACGATGGTGACATCCCCAGAAACATACAGACCGCCGCAGCTGGTGGCGGCGGTAATCAGGTCGCCGAGGAGCTCCTCTCGCAGGCGCTCTACAACAGTTTCGCCAATTTCACCACCATCTTCAAGCAGGACATCAAGAAGCACTTCGGTTTCTGCATTACCGACGTGTATGTTACCATTGAAGCTGTTTCGATTCCGTTTTTCGCCTTGGGTTTTTTTTTATTGTTTATCAGAAATCATTTTGTTTATGGCGGATTGCAGGGATAGGGATTGGAATGAAGCTTTCAACTTCTCCAAGAACACCAAATTCATGTCCAATTGCGCCAAGAGAACCAACGGTAAGAAAGATGAGTGATTCCAATGCCTGATTTGCAGCATTCCTTTCTGATTCAATTGGGTTGGTTTTGATTTTAAACAAGACTGGAAGTGGGTGGAGAGGGACGTTCATTTGTTCATTCATGTTCAATTTCTCGAAAATTTTGATGATGCTGCTGCGCAAATCTTGATGACCCTTTTTGTGTTGTGGCTTTGTGGCGGTGGATCAGGGGACATTGGGCAGCGTATATGCACAGCAGCAGAGATAAAGTTCTACTTCAATAGCTTCTTCACCAAGGGTTCGAAGACATCTAATTATTTGCATCCGAACAGGAACTGCAACCTGAGCTCATGGGTGTCTGGATGCGAGCCAGGGTGGGCTTGTAGCGTGGGAAAGGGAATCAAGGTCGACCTGAAGAACTCCAAGGACATGCCTACCAGAAGTTCCGATTGTGAGAGCTGCTGTGAAGGGTTCTTCTGCCCTCATGGTCTCACTTGCATGATACGTAAGTGCGAATTGGTAGAGTAGCTATTGGCAATAGAATGAAGCCGCATCATACATTTATGGGTATATCTTAACATTGCAAGTTGATCAAGTACGCATATGTGTATTATTTCCCACGAGACAACCTTCTTAGAACATGCGGCAATGGATATGCATTTCATACCAGATTGACAGGTGTTCAGAATTTCAGTCCCCTTTAGGTTTGGACATCCTTTGTTCTGGATAGGCATGGTGCTTGATCAAAAGATTCTTTATCTGCTTTTGATTCATGAGTTTGATAGTGAAGGAGAACCTTGAATTACTACTGCATGGCGATAAAAGTTGCTTGAACTGTACTTGCTTAACTTGCGCAGTTCGAGAGTTTCTTTCTGCTGAACTTGCATGAACGAATTGTACAATTAAAGTTTTTGACTGAGATGCAGTTGGTTTTTCCTTTCTTCTTTCTTTTCTTCCACCAATGCAGCTTGCCCGTTAGGTGCTTACTGCCCACTTTCAACACTAAACAAGACTACAGGCGTATGTGAGCCGTAAGTTTAAGTGCTGTCTTTTGTTACTCAGTTTAAGCTTCTTGTGCTTAGCCATGCGTTAATAACTATTAGCAGAAAACTCTTGTAGATACCATTACCAACTCCCTGCTGGGAAACCAAACCATACCTGTGGAGGAGCTGATATTTGGGCTGATATCGTGAGTACTGGCGATGTATTCTGTTCAGCAGGATCATACTGTCCGTCTACTATCGAAAAACTTCCTTGCACTAGGGGGTATTGTAAATTATCCCAAACCTTTGAGCACTTACTATAATCATACTTGCAGTTTGTTTTTCTGTTCGGTTTGCTGCTCTGTTAAGGATTAGACAGGTAATCCCTGTGCCGATTCCATCACTGACATGAGTACTGCGGTTCTATTTTTTGTGGTTTTCAGGCATTACTGCAGGACTGGTTCTACACATCAATCAGGTGGGTTCCTTTCCTCTGTGGTATAAACACTATATAAATATGAACTTCGTGTGTAATTTCTGCCCTTAGTAATGTTACCTGGCAATGGTCTGTTATGAACTTATGATACTTGTTTGCTGTTGAATGCTGAAGCAAATTGAGGCGACTTTTATTCAGAAAAATCTGTGGGTTTAATTTTAGGGATAATACCACTAGGAAACTCGAATTATTAAGAATGTGTCATTTGTGTCCTAAAGTATCTAATATGACATTTGTGTCCCAATCTATTATAGTTTTGTGTCATTTATGTCCCACCCTATTATAGTTTTGTGCATTTATGTCATAACTCGAACTATTAAGAATGTGTCATTTGTTAAATACTTATGGTCAACGCCGGTCAACTCTAACGGAAAAATAGTTTATGACACAAATGTCATATTGGATACTTTATGACACAAATGACACATTCTTAATAGTTCGGGTTTCCTAGTGGTATTATCCCTTAATTTTATATCTCTTAATTGATTTAGCAGCATACTAACTTTGCCACTGATCTTGCAGGGTGTTTCAAGTTGGCAACATGTGTACCACATTCAGCAAACCAAAACATTACTGCATATGGGCTCTTGCTTTTTGTGAGCATTCATCAGCTTAACTCGATTGTACATTTGTGCTTATAATTAATCACAAAAAGCCAGCAAATCAAGTTTTGATTTCTTCATCCAGGCTGGGCTATTCTTTCTGCTTATCATAATCTACAACTGTTCTGATCAAGTACTGGCAACTCGAGAGAAAAGACAAGCCAAAACCAGAGAGAAAGCAGTTCAAAGCGTAAGAGAAACCCAATCACGTGAAAAATGGAAATCAGCAAAAGAAACAGCTAAGAAGCACGCATTGGATCTCCAAAGCCAGTTCTCAAGAACATTTTCTCGTGTAAAGTCCAAAAGGGAAGACACCAGCTCTTCGACAAAAGCAAAGAAAAAGGAGAAAGGAAACCTCACAAAAATGCTGCAGGAAATCGAGGCCAACCCTGAGGGACATGACGGCTTCCATGTCGAGATCGGAGACAAAAACATTAAGAAACATGCACCAAAGGGTAAGCAGTTACACACTCAGAGCCAAATGTTCAGGTATGCATATGGCCAGATCGAAAGGGAAAAGGCTATGCAAGAGCAGAACAAGAACTTGACCTTCTCTGGGGTAATCTCGATGGCTAGTGATGTTGAAATCAGGAAAAGACCCACTATAGAGGTTGCTTTCAAGGATCTAACCCTCACTTTGAAGGGGAAAAACAAACACCTATTGAGATGCGTGACTGGCAAGTTATCACCTGGACGAGTCTCCGCTGTCATGGGGCCATCTGGAGCTGGAAAAACAACCTTCCTCTCTGCTTTGACTGGAAAAGCACCTGGCTGTCAGGTCACAGGCATGGTTCTTGTAAATGGTAAAGCAGAGCCAATCCAAGCATACAAGAAAATCATTGGCTTTGTGCCTCAAGATGACATTGTGCATGGCAACTTGAGTGTAGAAGAGAATCTTTGGTTCAGTGCAAGATGCAGGCTCTCTGCTGATCTACCAAAACCAGATAAGGTTCTGGTTGTTGAACGAGTCATTGAGTCCCTAGGGCTTCAGCCAGTGAGGGATTCTCTTGTAGGGACGGTGGAAAAGCGAGGAATCTCCGGTGGCCAAAGGAAACGAGTCAACGTGGGGCTGGAAATGGTGATGGAACCTTCACTTCTTATATTAGATGAGCCTACATCTGGTTTGGACAGCTCATCTTCCCAGCTACTCCTTAGAGCTCTTAGACGTGAAGCTCTTGAAGGAGTGAACATTTGCATGGTTGTCCATCAACCAAGGTACCAAAAGGCCTTCATTTCCTCTTTGTTTGTCGTTTCTTTCACGGTCGTATGATAATTCTCGTTTTCTTCTTTTGTTGCTTCAGCTATACATTATTCAGGATGTTTGATGACTTGATACTTCTCGCCAAAGGTGGTTTGACAGCGTACCATGGACCAGTAAAGAAAGTTGAAGAATACTTTGATGGACTTGGAATCACTGTTCCAGACCGCGTAAACCCTCCAGATTATTTTATCGACATCTTGGAGGGAATACTTAAACCAGCCTCTGGTGTACACTATAAACAACTTCCAGTGAGATGGATGCTTCATAATTCGTACCCAGTTCCCATGGACATGCTTCAGAGTACTGAAGGGCTTGGAGGCACTGCAGGGGAAGGTTCGAGCCATGGAGGAGTGCCTAGCGAAGCAGGGTCCGAGGCTCAGTCGTTCGCTGGAGAGTTTTGGCAGGATATGAAGTCTAACGTGGAGTTCAAGAAAGACAATATGCAGCATAACTTCTTGAGCATGCCTGACCTGTCTGGAAGAACTACACCTGGTATCCTTCAGCAGTACAGATACTTCCTTGGCAGGTGCGCCAAGACATTTTCTTGCTGAGTTTCACTTTGGCTCGTTTGAGGTGATTTACTGATATTATTCGCCTTCGTGATTTCTTTGAATGCATCTTTTCAGGGTTGGTAAACAGCGATTACGGGAAGCCAGGACGCAAGCTGTAGATTATCTGATTTTATTGCTGGCTGGTATTTGTTTAGGAACACTAGCTAAAGTGAGCGACGAAACCTTCGGTGCAGTTGGCTACACGTACACCGTCATTGCAGTTTGTAAGTAAATAGATATCGTCTTTTAAGTTCTCCTCTGTTATACACACCTTGACTGTCCGGTCTAATCACGACAAAATCTCTGCCATTGACATTTCAGCTCTCTTGTGCAAGATTGCGGCATTGAGGTCATTTTCTTTGGATAAGTTACACTACTGGAGAGAAAGAAGTTCTGGGATGAGCAGCCTGGCATACTTTCTTTCCAAGGACACCATTGATCACTTCAACACCCTCATCAAGCCCATTGTGTATCTTTCCATGTTCTACTTCTTCAACAATCCTAGATCAAGCATCTATGACAACTACATTGTATTGGTCTGCCTGGTGTACTGTGTCACTGGAATAGCTTACATATTGGCTATTGCCTTCGAAGCCGGTCCAGCACAACTGGTGAGAACACTGGACTAAAAACAAACTTCTTCCCCATATTTCCCCCTCTGAGCCTCTCATCTATGTCCTGTTTCATACAGTGGTCAGTGCTACTTCCAGTTGTTTTGACTCTAATCGCGACCCGGAACGATGATGGCATTGCTGGAAAACTATCGGACGTCTGCTATACCAAGTGGGCATTGGAAGCATTTGTTATATCAAATGCCAAAAGGTTAGCGCGTAGTTGACTCTGTTGTACCTGGTCATCCTTGGCAGTGCTTTGTTAGCTTGAGTCTTGATTTGCTTACTCCTCTTTCTACTTTCAGATATAATGGAGTATGGCTGATAACACGATGCGGTTCGCTCATGGAAAATGGGTATGATCTCAATCATTGGAACCGTTGCCTTATCCTTCTCGGTTTAACTGGCCTAGCTAGTCGTGTAGTTGCCTACATCGTCTTGGTTACATGCCAAAGGAGGTGAAATAATCTGTCAACTTGTCCTTGTAAATAGAAGAACGAACACAGTGCCTGGATTCTTGATCTCGAATTAGGGAACTTGTACAGCAACTGAAAAACAGAAAGAAAAACCTCGCATAGAGAGTGAGATGACTTGCAGTTGGGACCACCGGGAAAATATCACTTGTGGGAGCATGCTTGATAGAGGTCAGTCACTGCATTATGTGCAGAGTAATTTTGCATTGCAATCCAGCCTATGAAAATGTACTCTTCGATTGATTCAGTACAGGTGTTCTAGTTTAAGGAAATATAGGATAGAGGCAATCTTCAGGGTTTGCCTTCTATTGCTTCGGTAGAAGTTTAACAGTTAGTATAGATATGGTAAACTTCATCTGGAGTGTATTCCTGCTTTAACAGTCTAACCACAGTAACTGAATCTTCGCTATCATAATAATCATGATATGCTCATCTCAGCAGACGGTGAAGAATTGAAAGCATGAATTGATATGAATTAAATGAAAGCAAGACACCAACACATTCTTAGTTTACTGTATTGAAGAGAAAAAAAGGAAGCAAAATGTTCCTCTATGCTGCAAGACTATAAACAACGCTATCGACTCTTTCTCAGTTCCCCTCAACTTGTTGGCGATTATTTCCAAACCGTGTCTCCCATGAACTTTAGAGCGGGAACGCCTCTGATCTCTGCGTCGAACAAGGGTGCCTCCACTAATCTCAACTTGTCGAGACCAGGATCTTTCTGTATCATATCCAACGCACGTGCCTGATCCTGCATTACCCACAAACATAATTGAAGCTTCAAGATTGCAGATTACACCTGTTTTTTACTGGAAATAAGCATGTCTACAATTTCCTGCTATTTTCGGCGAAGAAGAAGCATATACCTTCCTTCTCATTGCACAGAACTTGCAATCTGTGGCTAATGGAGGCAACAACTGATTAACAACAAGCCTATGAACAGGAATGCTCTCCTTCAGCAAGGATGCATGCAGCCTCGATGATTCGCTCACTGCCATAACCTTGAAAAGCACACAAGTACAGTGCGAGGGAGACATGAATTTGCAATAATGAAGGGAAAGGAACTTTTGGTTAAAATTCTGTGTTCAACAGTTTGGAAATGGAAGGGAAAAAAACTGCTTGCAGTATTGAATGTCAACGAAGTGCTTGAACATTCTCTTTCTATCAAAAGCATCATCCATAGCTAAAGTGCGAAATTTCAAACGTACAGTTGGAATTGTGACGATGATGAACTCTGTGGAATCCGAGTCACGGAAAAGGTCTCTAACTTTGTACATTTTCTCTCTCAATTTCTCCAGCTTGTTTGACTTCAGGTTCACAAGGGAATGTTTAGGGATATATTGATCAGAGGGAAAAAGAAAACCCTAACACGAATGACATCAGTTGCTTACAGTGAGTTGTTGCTTCTGTCCATCATTTTTGCCGAACATAGACTTGAGTGCAGAAGTTGCTGAAGACAACTTTTCCTTCAGCTAGAGTTGGTTGATTCAGAAACGAGTTCAGTAAACAGCTATTGAACTCTTCATCCCAAAAAGCCACATCAGAAAAAGAGTTAATAATTCAACCTTTGTCAATCATACCTTCAGCATTTTGCCTATAGATGCATCCATGAAGTCTGGTAGAGATAGAAGCCGGAGTGTATGGCCCTGTAAGACCAACTCATGAAAAATACAATGTGAGTTGACCTGTATGACGAAATCTTAGGTACGTCAGAGCAGATTTTAACTAACCGTCGGCGCAGTGTCAAAGACTATGCGAGTGAATTTACTATATTCTTCAGACTCTGTGATTTGCAAAACCTGGAAAGAAAAAGAGCTCCATTAGGTCACAGTACTAGAATATATCGATTATCTCGTGACCTTACAGGAAAAAGAATATAAGAGATTGACATGCCTTGGAAACTGCAATAGCTTCATCCAACCCAGGCGGAGGCATGTCTAGCAACTCCCCAAGTTTCAGATCCCCAAACTACAACATCAGCAAAGTCAGTCAAAACTCAAAATCATGCCGTCTCCAGCTCATGAGGAGTATTAAACATACGATTGCTAACCTGGTCGGAAAGCATGCCAAGGCCCATACCATCCATAAGGTCTTTCACCCCATCATTACCCGCCTTTTGAGATGTTCGAAACTCTTCCTTTGCTTTCTCAGGGTTTAACTACGAGAACCAAAATGTTCTATTCAGGTAGTGGAACATGTTGAAATGAATCATCCACACAAGAAGATATAGAGTTTCAAACAGCTTGTTTAGTAAACAAGTACCTCGAGAGCAAACAAAGGAGAATCCACTCCTTGTACAGGTACAAGAGTCCCTCCAGTTAGATCCTGAGAACGAAGAACTAAACATGACTTTTATTATTCTAGAGCAATTTCCAGACAGACATATAACATATAAAAGAAAAACAGAACGGAACGGAACAAAAAGAAAGAGGAACACAAGAATGCAGAGAGATCACATATACCTGAGCAAAAGAATCACTCAAAGAGTGAGCAGGGTCGGTGGAGACAACTATGGTGGGGTGGCCATGGTTAGCAAACTTTACTGCAAGAGAGGCAGCACAGCTTGTTTTCCCAACACCTCCCTTCCCGCCTAATAGATAGAACTTCCTCTGTCTTCCGCTTATCATCTCATCAAATCCGGTAATAGTTCCAGCAGGAGTCGACATCCATCTAGCTGCAGGAAAATCTTACACCTCTGTGACCTCAAACTTGAGCAATACCTCAGAAGCCATAGAAATCTCACAACCAAGTTTCTGTGCACCAAGATCATAGCTTTAGCCTAGTATAAAAAGCTTGGCATTTCGATGGTAAGCCGGAAAAGTGGTAAGCTTGGCCGGAGGCTATCAACCAATCACATAGACTACAATACTTTAGCTCTCATTCAAATGTAGCCCAGGGCCAAGATCATATCTTTATCCTAGTCTAGATAGCTCGAGATTTCCATGGTAAGCAGGGAAAAGGATCAACTAGGTCAGAGGCTATCAACCAATCACCCAGACTACAACACTTTTTGCTCTCCTTCAAATGTAGCTGTCAACCAATCACCTAACCTAATCACTCTGTTCCTCCAGTTGAAGTGACAACATAATTGCATCACTGTTCTGCCATTCAATTAGCCTCTTAACATTCAAATTTCAGTCCCATTGCCCAAGAAAGTATCCGGAATACAAACCCCAGATTCACAATGGAGAATGAGCAAAAGGATCACCTTGGAGAGGAAGCTGGAGGGGTTTTCCATACATTGCTGTTGCTTCAGAAACTAAGCTCCTGCCAATTCTGGAGAGCTGCGTATAAAAAGTTCGGCCTTTGCCGAGACTGTGGAGAAGAATCGCCATAGGAGAGTGAACCAGATGTTTCGCTCAAATTCTCAATGCAAACTGATTGGACCCGAATGGAGCTATGAGACTCTGAACTGTCGTGGGGGTTTTAGAGGTTTTAATTTTACTAGGGTTTTACAGCGAATATTTTCCTCTCTTTTTTTCGCCTTTATTGTCACCCCTTTAATTTCAGGTTGACGAAGGTAAAGGGCTTCTAAGGCCCAAGCCCAATATTTGTTTTCACAAGCCCGTAATGGGAATTCATTGGCTTTTTAGATTTTAGTTTTACCATATCAACTAGCTTTTACCCGACCCGTTGGTCGGATGATTTCATCTTATTTTTCATTACTTCATAATAATCGAAAGTGATCTTTGCACTACTTGATAATTGTGACATTGATAACAATTAGTTCATATGTATTTTTGTTAATCAGATTATTCTAACTCACTACGGCCTATACATGTTTCGTATTAAAAGAATTTGCCCTATTTATTGTATTATAAATTGCTTAAAATTATTTCTTTATATTGGTATTATTAACTTGGTTTACTATTAGATACAAACAAAACTAAAACAATTATGCATTAAATTAAAATAGTAATTAGAATTTCTTCAAGGAATTAACTTATTGCTACAAAAGCATAAAATTGATCATCTTAAGATTTCCAATCGTGCTCCATCAGACACAAATAAAAAACCTTTCACGAACATAATAGGAGGGAAGCATATAGCTAAAATAAAGAAGCGAAATGGCAGACCGATAGAAACAAATATCAAAAGCGGGCTGGTTGATGGCTGAGAATTACCTTGACAGAGAGAAGCTGCTAGTGGAGTTTTCGCTGAAACGCTTTCATGGGTCTGTGTGATTTAAACTGCCTTTTATACGCATAACGCAGAAGGTGATTTCGTTTGCTGGCGTGAATCGAGCTTGGGTTGGTAGCTGAAATTACCTCGACAGAGAGAAGTTGATAGTGGCATTTCTAGAGGAAGCACTTTAACACCCCAATTTCTTCGTTAGAACATTACAGCCGCCGACGTCGAATCTCAGACATGGAGAGCAGGAGGATATGGGTGGATCTAGCTACCTCCGACACAATCCCTATTCGACACTGAATTTGCCCACTGACATCCACTTGGACGTCGTCCAACCACTGACATGCAAAACAACCGTTTGATCCTGGCTTCCCAATGAAAGGAGAGGACGGAGAACGACGATAGAGATGAAGGGAGCGGAGGAAGGGCCCTCTACGAAACATTTAGGCCAACAGTGGTAGACGACTAATGTATCAATCCCTAGCCTTTCTTACAATCATTGTTATCCTTATCACCCAACATTTTGCTAAACCCATTACCTATTGCAAATTTTAGGTAGAGTTCCTACTAAAGTACACAAATCCCCCTACAACAATTTAATCAGAACCACTGGTTAGACATTCACTCATGGCAAATTTGAGAAACTGGTGCAAAACTCTACCATCCTAAATTTGAAAATAGTCAAGTGTAAAAATAATTTAAGTCCATCCAACTATACCTGAAATAATAAGGGATCCCACAATACATCATCATATACAACTAACATTGCTATGTAAGTTAAGCATTCTAGGCAGGGGCGGATACATGGGCCTCCGGGACACCCCTAAAATTTGGGAAAACGATTATCCAACCTCCGGTAGTAATTTCGTATGTGTATACAAAATATAATTGGTAATCCGGGACACCCTAACATTTGAAAAAATGATTATCCAACCCTCGATAATAGTTTGCTTATGATTAATAAAATATAAGTGGTAGTCCGTGTTATTCCAACCTAGGACACTACTATTATCAAACATATTCCAATTATGTTGCTACTCATTTGTTATTCTATTTTAAACATCATGCAACAGTAAAACGCTATTTCTTTATCCCCCAACTATTTTCAATACCTAATAATTAAACTACGTACACGCTACCCTTAATTTTGAATTGATTTTATGGTTACATGGCAAGTGTTGAAAGAGTCTTTTCTACTTTGAGCTACATTAAGAACAATGTTAGAAATCGAATATGTGATAAGTTCGTGAAGTATTGTCTAGTAGGATATGTAGATTTTTTGAATAGTGCAGACACGGAGTTTATTTATATTGTTTTTTCAAAATATGAATTTTAATTTATTATTTAATAAAAATTTTATAAAAATTATACAAGTATGATATTTTTAATATACGAATTATTTAATTTATTATATAATTAAATTTAATTTTTGAAGAGGACACCCCTGTGAAAATTTTCTGAATCCGCCACTGATTCTAGGAGCTAGGAAATATATAGCGTAATGTAGTAGTGTTGCAACTTGATTAGAAGATAGAGCCATAGATAAAAGAGGGGAAGAGATAGTGTATATATATATATAGTTATTGTTAGAAGGCATGATGATTTGCATGATGCTCCATGCATAAAAAGAAATGGAGTCACAAACTTGGTGAAGTATTCATACAAAGTGACTTAGCAAAATAAAACGTGTAGGTATAGAGAAACACACAATCCACTCAGCTATAATGCGTATAAAGTCATCGATAAACCTAATTGAACATTCATGAGAATAAACATTCAAAAACTCGATCATCAGTGCATCACTTTCTGAATTCACATGGACCTTCCTCTTTAGTGACTCGACTAAAGGTGTTGCAATATAATATCATGGTTCGCTTGATCAATTTTGGTGCATTTGGCAACATCAAGGTCACCAACTTCATGTTCACTACTAATATTATGGGAGCTTTAGGCATTAATATTTTTAGTATCGAGCAAAGCTTATTGATACATCCACACAACCACCCTATCCATTAAAAAACACGAAATATATGTAGCTCATTAAGCCATGGAGATTCAAGAAACACATATACAATGCAGTGACAATACTAAACCACATAACTCAACTTTTGAACGCCACAAAGTTTGGCAAAACTACAAAGATGTAGAGATAATAATAACTTAACAACTTTACCAAAACTCATACCCCCAACACTGTCTAATTCTATTATAATAATAAAAGTACCTATATAGCTAATTGAGTACTACTTTTCCTTACCTAAACTTATGTAGGGAAGCTATGAGAAACTTCAAATCAAGAATAGACACAGCAAAATAAAACACCATGACACAATCTACAAAAGGCATTCATCCTTTGTTGGTGGCCAGCTTTTAATTTCCCTAGAAATTTATTAGTTTCCAAGAACATAACAAACAAAAAAGGCCCGGAGGAGAAATCAGCTGTGGAACAGAATACTCTACATAATGATATGATAAGATGAATGCATCAGATCTATGTTTGAGACATAACTTGGGCCTATCAACTCCAAGAACAACATGCTGAATTTCAAATGAGAACACAAAACTTTAAACTAAACATTGTAGATTCTAATTTTTCACTAATTGTCTTATGAATACTAATGCTAAACCCTTATCATTTCTAGCAAATCCTAAGTTTTTGTCATGAACAATAAAAATGAAGGTATCTCACAAAGAGTGAGCCAACCCATGGTATCCCAAAACCGAAGCAGGAAACTTTGGGCATTCTCATTTAAAAAGAACAGCAAAAGGAAACACATGTTTATTTTGTGAGACAACTTATCCTGCTGCCACTCACCAATACAAACTATAAAAGCACATCTCATGAGAATATGTAAAGCATGGTAAGGCTTATCCCACCACTGCTAATGTCACAGTCTGCGCCAGTCATGACACCTTCCAAATTGAAAGCTGAAGGAAAGAGCAAAGTACCAACTTGCACGCCACGATGGAGGGAGACAGTGCAAGTGGCACCAGCAAATCCGACAATGGCTAAAGCCGAAAGCTTTATTAGAAAACTCAAAAGCGAAAATAGGGGTGGTGGGATCCTGGGACGAAGAGGGGCAACCCGGTCTCCCGAAAACAGGGGCGGAGAGAATAGTAGGAGAACATCGAATGTGGGGTTTCCAAAGGGTAACATTAGTGCGACATGCCTGTAATTCAAACATGGAGAATAGAATACAAAGAACAAAACAAAAAATGAAACACAAAAAAAAAGGAACAATAAGAAACTGAACATAAAAGAATAGAAAAATGAACCACGATGGAAATCAACAACAAATAAAGCCCGCAAAAGAAAAAGGTTAGATAAAATCGACTGAAGGTGAGCGAATGACATGCCCACAGTTCATAGCACCGGATCTGAACATCCCGACAACAGATGAAGTTGTGACTGGTTAGCGAGCCTCCTTTGTCCTTTGTTCCTCTCCAACCAGAATTGCGAACTATTCGACGTCAAAATCGAGCGCGTGGCCCTCTAGCTGGTTCCCCTTTTGCTGTTGCTCGGTTGCCATTCACTCAGTCTTGGAGAATAGCGTCGTCGACTATATCCATCAATAGGGAGCAATCCAGAACGGGAACTGGAGAATCCGAGTAGAGAAGGCCCCAATAGGCGAGGTCACACAAAAGAGATTTTGAATTTGCTCACCGACGAACCAAAATTGGAATCCCCACCTCTGGCCGTCGCAACTCAGAAACCTAGATCTTCCCCTTTCGTCGCCTGATACCCGAGTTTCCTTTGCCGACGAAAAAAACAAAGAAACTGATGCGAAGGGGAAGAGGAAGGAGCTTTGCCTCTGGATTTTGTTGTTTTGCAAATAAATACAAATTAAATGAGAACGTGGGCCTGGAAGGAGAGAAGGTGGGTAGTGGACAGTTTTTTGGTTCTGAAATCAGGCGGGACTCCTTTTTTTCCCCGCTTAACACTCTGCCACATCAGCTTCCTAAAATCACTCTATGGGTAGGAAATTTTGAATGGGGGTGCAGTTTTACTTTTCAGCTATAAATTATACTGTTGATCACTCAAAGAGTCATGTCAAATACCATATGCCCTCTTTTGTGGGTTAGTATATGCGATTATTCATAAAATTTTGCAGTGATTTAGTAGAATTGTATTTGAGTCTCAATACAAATAATTTGATAGAAGTTTATTTCATCTACATTTGTCTTGCATTTACAATTGTAAGATGATATGACATGAATATTTACGTGGCATGGCATATGTGTCATGAAAAATTTACTATTTCGTACTACCAATCATTTAATCCATACATACATGATGCTATTGGCATAGTAGTATTAGTGAACAAGAGAGTATCGCAAAGCTTAGTTCGAATTCAAAAGGTTTTTGACATATCGTTTTCTTGCGCTCTTTTTAATGCAGAAGAAGTAGCTGCTGCAACTATTAACAAAAGAAAACTGATAATGACGTGAAACCATGGACAAAAATCCAATATCTTAAAAGAACTTTTAATGTAGAAGAAGTATAGCTGCAAGCCTGCAACTATTAACAAAAGAAAACTGATAATGAAATGAAACCATGGACAAAAATCCAATATCTTAACAATATATCACACAAAATTAATTTTATATATTTTGGGACACATTACGCTAGAAGGAGGGCTTGAACCTCCGACCTTGTGGTTAACAGCCACACGCTCTAACCAACTGAGCTATTCCAGCTAATTGATTGCACTACGAAATTTTCTGTCATCACATTATGACTTTATCACAGAGTTTTGAACCTTTTCTTCTTACATATGACATTACTTAAGATAATTACCCTAGCCTGTAACTAACTAACTAACTCTCTCTCCCTCGCCTCCTTATCACCACCTTCGATCGTCTTCCAAACTGTGATTTTATTCTCCGTTTGAAATCTGCTTTTCTTCCGTCGTTGATGAGAGAAAATGCCTACAACCGCACCCCCTTCGTTACTTTCTCTAGCAACCCAACCGCAACTATATATACAAACTTCGTTTCTACAGTATTCATGGATTAACATGATGATGGAGCTTTATGATCACCTCCATTGTTTCATTTCCATAGCAAGCTAGCAGAAGTAGATGGCAGGGGAAGAGAAGAGAAGAGAAGAGAAGAGAAGAGAGAATCGCTTGAAAGAGAGGTAACTAGTGAGTGTATTATGGTTCATAAGCAACATTGCATGACTTCATAGCAGATGCCTTGTATATATAGTTAGGTAGGGTAGCGAACATGTCTACCATACGCTTTCAGATTTACCGACAAATGCAATGATAGTCAAATTTTTAATTTTAAGATGTCCTTCACTACTGAACTGCAGTTCTTATGAGTTTGGTTCAGTCTGCCACGTACTTGTATTTTTGTGACAGACCAATTGCCTTAACAAGGACAAAGTTCGTAACATAGTTATATGGTAAAGTCGAAATCTTTTAGGCTGGAGGTCTATTTGTGGATTGAATTGGTTGGTACCCATTTTAGTTTCGTATAAGCCATTGAAGAAATGTGAGGTTAGGATTAAAGTGACCCAAAAGGATGTTTAAGGCTTTGGGATGAGCCTAGGAAAGTTGTTTTTTTTTTTGGTCGGTTGGTGAATTGAGGGCGAATGGTTAAGGAGAAGGTGATTGTTGGTGCATTAATTGTGGTGGTGGTGCTATTGGCGATTGGGTTTTTGCCGGTGGCCGGCGGGGAGATGACGAAAGTGACAAAGGAACAAGCGATAGCGGCGATGGCGAACACGTGCATGCCGGTGTGCATGAGAGAACGTGGGGCGACGGTGCCGGTGTGCCGGGAAACTTGTGAGCAGGCGAGCATCGTTGTTCTCAGGAACCCTAGCGTTCGGCTGGCGCTTAAGATGCAAGCCAAGCTTTATTAGATCCTTTTTTTTCTTCTTCTTCCTACTTCTTCAATTTCTTTTTTCTGTGTTTTTCTTCGTGTTTTAGATTAGTATATTCGGAGGATAAATAGAATTACAGTTTTCATATTTGAAGATTAAACTTTGTTGACGATTTTTTTTTGTTTTTCGTTTTGTTTTTGCATTGTGAATACTGAATAGGGAAAATCCACCTTGTTTATTAGTTGACTTTACTGTGATGAATATGCCATCCCGTGTCAAATGCTCCTTTAATTTATTGCTGCAAGTTACTGAACGTTCTGAATAACTTGGAGAAACCATAATTGCCACAAAGAAAGAAGGGGGGAAAAAACGAATTGGATTTTTTTCTCGTCCACTAGTTTAGACTTGCTTGACTTAATTCAAATTAAATTTCTAATTTTTTTTCTATTTCGAATTAAATGTCTTTCAATAATTGAAGAAAACGATATAACAAACTCATTCAGTTAAGTCAATATAAATTAAGATAACACACATTATACTCAAATCAGCGATACCATAGCGAAGTTCAAACATATACAAAAGCGGTAGGATCGTCATAGAACATTCTGTCATTCATAATGATTTAGATCACATATGGAGCTTTAACTATGGTTAAAGAGAGAGGGATATGCAACATAGAGAGTGGTCAAGCGAGAGTAGGAATCTTTTTCCATGACTACTAGTGATGGTAATGGGGCGGGGCGGGTACCTCAATTCTCATGTCCTGCCCCACGCTACTACGGGTCGGGCGGGTAAAACCCGCGCGGGTACGGAGCGGGACGGGTCGACCCACTCTTACATGTTGTTAAAAAAAATACAAGTAAATTATAAGAAGTTGGTAAATTAATTAAACTAAATAATAACGAAAATTGGGACTTGTGATTAATTAAACTAAATAATAAGAGGTGGCATTAAATTATAAGAAGTTGGTAAAGCAAAATAGATATGACATATGTGGTCTTGAGGATTGAACCCACCCACGTCCTTAAAGAGACAAGTCAAATTTGATTTTCATTAGACCACATAGTTATTATGTAATATAATTTACAGAACATGTTGATAATCGACACAAAATAGATCGAAACGGAACCGAAACAAGACACGATTTACGTGGTTTCCTCGTTCAGTATGAACGAGACTAGTCCACGGCCGAAGCACACAATTCTATATTCAGCTTAAGTTCATGTTACATGGTACATACATATATATAGGCTACACGTATGAGAACCCTAGAGATGATTCTCGACCGACTAACCTACATATATAATGGGCTTATAACCAATCACCTAACCCAAGACCAGCCAATACAATTGTGGGCTTCGTACAAGAAGGCCTATTACTTAACAACCTCCCCCAAATTGATGGGGTTACACAACATCAATTTGCTAGCCAGATAAGAGTGTCTACTAGCAGTAAAGGCCTTCGTAAACAAATCGGCTATCTGATCCTCAGATGATATATAATGAAGACGTATTGTGCCATCTCGAACCAAATCCCTGATGTAGTGTAGATGAACCTCAATATGTTTTGTCCGATTGTGCAGTACTGGATTAGTTGCTATCTGAATAGCACTTGTATTATCCACAAACAGCTGCATGGGAGTGTCGCATATTACACCTAAATCACCTAGCAGGCGACAAAGCCATTCAAGCTCAGAATTAACGTCGGACATGGCTCGATACTCTGCTTCAGTAGAAGATTTTGATACTCTATCCTGCTTCTTACAACGCCAAGACAGGAATGAGTCTCCAAGCCGAATACACCACCCAATAGTAGACCTACGAGTATCCATACACCCAGCATAATCAGAGTCTGAGAAAGCCTGTAAATCACACGTACCAATGGATGGAAGAAGCAAACCAACACCACGAGTTCCTTGTAGGTATCGAAGCAAACGACGCACAACATCCATATGAGCCGTACGTGGTGTGGCCATAAACTGACTAACTATCTGCACAGCATATGAGATATCAGGACGAGTAGAAGTCAAATAAATTAAACTCCCTACGATGGTACGATATTGCTTCCCCCCATCCTCCAAAGGATCGCTCGATTCCTTGCTCAGTTTGAGGTTTAATTCCATTGGTGTAGAAGCAGGTAAACAGTCACTCATGTGTGCAGAATCAAGAAGATCATCCACGTACTTACTCTGGTGAAGGAGGATACCTCGCGGAGACCGATGAATCTCCAGCCCAAGGAAATAAGACAAGGCACCAAGTTCTTTAAGATTAAAGGAAGCATGCAAGCCCTTCTTAAGAGCCTGAATACCATCAATATCATCACCGGAGACAATCATGTCATCCACATAAACCAGTAGAACCACGATACCCCGAGAGGAATGCGAAGTAAAGAGAGAAGGGTCGTTCAAGCTCTGCTGAAACCCAAGACCAACAACAGTCTCCTGAAACTTATCGAACCAAGCACGAGGTGCCTGTTTTAACCCATAAAGAGAGCGACGAAGCAAACAAACCTGATCTGCCGTACCAAATCGATATCCAGGAGGACGTTCCATGTACACAGTCTCCTTCAAGTCACCATGCAAAAAATCATTCTTGACGTCGAGCTGAAATAACGGCCACCCTCGGAGAGCAGCAATAGCAAGCAGTGACCGGACCGTAACCATTTTTGCTACAGGAGCAAATGTCTCCTCAAAGTCAACTCCATATTCTTGAGCAAACCCTTGGGCGACAACACGAGCCTTATTCCGCTCCAAGGTACCATCTGGTCTGACTTTGATTGTATATACCCAGCGACTCCCGATGACAGGAACAGAAGGAGGAGGCCGCTGTACGAGATCCCAAGTGTGATTTGCATGGAGTGCGTCAACTTCGTCATCCATCGCATTGTCCCATTCAGGAATACCATGGGCTTGAGAAAACCTGGTCGGAACAAAAATGGGCTCAACATCAAACGTAACATAATCCTGCAGCCGAGAAGGGAGCTGCCCAAGGTTGCGGCGAAGAGATCGTCGAGGAACTGGCGGAGGAGAAGAGGGTGGAGAATCTGTTGCTGACGAAGAAGAGCTGACCTCCGAGCCTGAAGGAGTAGGGCTGCCAGGAGAAGAAGGAGGGGAGTCGGGGGGTAGCGTGTCATCATCAAGAGCTAGGCCAGCCACATCATCGTCATCGGTGAACGAGGGAAGATCAACATCATTAGAAAACAAAGGGGACGGAAGTATGGACGAAGGGTAATACATCAAATTTTCGAAGAACACGACATGACAGGTAATACGAAGACGTTGGGACACTGGATCAAAACAGAGATACCCTTTGTGAATATCACTGTACCCTAGGAAAACACAACGAACTGTCTTAGATGTAAGCTTGGTACGTTCCCGGCTAGATAGAAGAGCAAAACAAACGCAACCGAATACTCTAAGACGCGAATAAGGGGGCTGGACACCAAACAAGCAGTAGTATGGACTCGATTGACCTAAGATAGGAGTGATCTGATAATTGATGAGACGAACAGCAGTGGCAACAGTCTCAGGCCAGAAACGAGAAGGGACACGAGAGGCTAATAAGAGAGCACGAGTAGTTTCAACGACATGACGATTTTTACGCTCAACCAAACCATTTTGTTGAGACACCCCTGGACAAGACTTCTGAGTTAACATTCCCAATGACTTATATAACTCAAGAAGAGGAGTGGAACTAAATTCCCCACCAGGATCAGAACGAATGATACGAACAGTCTTTCCAAACTGCGTTTTGATCATAGTGAGAAATTCAGTAGCAACGGAAAGCAAATCAGACTTAAGTCGAAGGAAATAGACCCAGGTATATCTTGTGGCATGATCAACAAATAAGGCAAAGTACTTATATCCATGACGAGACGTGGTAGGACTAGGACCCCATAAGTCGGTATGAACCAAGTGAAACGGATCAGAAATAGTGGTGGTACTAGAAGGGAAAGAAATTTTGGTCGCTTTAGCTTCAACACAACTAGTACACTGAATTTTCAAAGATGATCCGACAGTATCATTACCAAATAATTTCTGTTTAAACATTGTCGCAAGGCGAACAGAATTGGGGTGACCTAAACGAGCATGCCACAAATGGAATTTTTGTTCACCCATACTCGAAAAAACAGGAAAGGACAAAACCCTAGACACCGAGTGAGACGAACCACTCCTAGACACCGAAATGGAAGGGGAAATATCCGACAACGACGAATGTGACGTAGCTGGCAAATCTTGAAGCTCATCCAAGTGAAAAACACGACCAACCTTGCTACCCCGCCCGATCTCCCTCCCTGTCTTCAGATCCTGACTAGAACACCCATGTGGAGCAAAAACAACACGACAGTCATGTTCAGTGAGTTGACCAACGGACACCAAGTTTGGAACTAAACTAGGTACATGTAATGTGGCAGGAAGGGATATTTTTGAACTATGCACCGAACCAATACCATTAACACCCATCCGTTGTCCATTAGCAACTTGCAAACTCATATGACTAATAGGACGAATATTATCAATGTCAGATGCACGACCAGTCATATGATTAAAGCATGCGGAGTCGAGAATCCAATGAGAAAATTTACCCGATGCTTGAAGACTGGAGAAGGCAGAACTGATGGCCTTATTAACGAGTTGCTCCAAAGACTCAACAGAGATCGAACCCCCAGCATTAGCACCAGCTGGAGTTGCAGCGAAGGCAGGACGAGATTGCAAGACACCAGACCCTTCACCACGTCCTTCAGCACGACTCAGCATCAACCGGCAATCAGGCACTATATGCCCGGACTTCTTGCAGTACACGCAAAAGTTGTGTTTGCGGCACTACTTCTTCGTGTGACCTTTCTCCCAGCTGTGATAACATTCGACATCGGAGGACATAACCCGACGCTGAAACTGGGGCCTATGCGCAGCGAACACATCATCATCAAAACGTGCTCCATCCGACGGAGCTCCTTTGACATCATTGACAGTCGACTTGGCAGCAATAGTCGACTTGGCAGCGACAGAGAACGTTGACAAGTTATTCCCGCCGCCTGGGCGAGCATCAAGAAGAGCTTGCGTACGAAGAAGGGTCTCCTCCCGTATCAAATCACCAAGAACCCCTTCAATCTTCAAGTTCTCCCGGTTAAGAAGGGTAGCACGGACAGGTTCGAACTCAGGGTTGAGGCGCATCAAGAAGTGAAGTAGCCGGAGTCGATCACGTTCAGTTTTCGCACCTGCCGAAACACCTGCCGAAAGAAGCGAAGCAGATACGAGGTCCTACTCAGCCCAGATTTTCCGAGCAGCCCCATAATATGTCGCCACGTCCTGATCGCCCTGAGTGAGATTGGAGAGTTCAACCTCGAGTTCGAACTGGCGGTTGACACTGGTCGTCGCATAAGTCTCCGTGAGAGACTTCCACATCTCTCCACCTGTAGATAAAGCACGTAACCCTAACACAATAGTAGGTTCAACAGATTAAGATCCATGATTTTACCCTTGCATCATTCTGTATCTAGGCAGCAAGGTCCTGTTCAGTGGCGGGCGGAACAACCGGCCGAGCCTTGCTACCATCAAGAAATCCGAACAAACCCTTCCCTTCCACATGCACCCGAAACTGAAACTCCCATAGAGCAAAGTTCGTCGAGTTGAGCTTAGCCGAAACACGATCCGAATCCATCGTCTCTGATACCATGATAATCGACACAAAATAGATCGAAACGGAACCGAAACAAGACACGATTTACGTGGTTTCCTCGTTCAGTATGAACGAGACTAGTCCACGGCCGAAGCACACAATTCTATATTCAGCTTAAGTTCATGTTACAGGGTACATACATATATATAGGCTACACGTATGAGAACCCTAGAGATGATTCTTGGCCGACTAACCTACATATATAATGGGCTTATAACCAATCACCTAACCCAAGACCAGCCAATACAATTGTGGGCTTCGTACAAGAAGACCTATTACTTAACACATGTACTAGTTATAAAATTTGTACAATATATATTTAAGGTTCTAGGGGCCGGGACCAATCCCGAGGGAGCCGGGGCCCACCCTACGGACAACATAGTTCCGCCCCTGGGAATGACGAGTTGGTTGGTGCAGGTTGATCGATTCTCATATAGTATTTGAAGAAAATAAATGCAACAAATTAATTTTTTCTGATAAAACAAAGGTGGGATACTTCATAAATGAGATATAGATAATAGACTGAATAAGTGAGTCCAATTAGGTTAAATATGAAGTCTTGCACTTATTTAAGATTTTATTGGGTGAATATATGATTAAGAAGTCCAGATAGGTAAAAATAGTTCAAATAGGAGAAATTTGAGGCAAATCGAATAGAACTGTGAGACTTTTTTTCGGTGCATGGCGATGCTTCTATTTTAAACCAAAAATGGAAGGGGAACTTATTTATAGCAATATCTCGAAGCTGAAAGCAGGTCGTCATTTAATAGTTAATGCCTAGGGTTAGAAAAAAGCTCCAACAAAAGTTATAAAGCGTATTCGATGTGTAAATTAAGTATTAATGTTTGAGATAGTGGAAATTTAGATACAAGACTTGTGTTAATCAATTATACTTAATGATGTCGTGTCAATAGAAAAAATTGACTTCAATAAATTGTGTTATTTTTTCGTTGATTGTTGGTCTTATAGTTATCATAGTTGTAACAACAAAAAAAATCCCAACAATCTCACTACTCAAATTATCTCAACAATCTCACCTAAAAGATAAGATTTAGCTCTCCATTATTTAAATGATATCTTTTCATATCAAACAAACAATGTTTTTACTGTATGTACGTAAAAAAAAAAGAAAAAAAATGATCGATTATGAACAATACAAGCAATTTAACAATTTCAATCAAATTATCACCCAAAACGAAACGATGAGTTACATGTCTATGAGTTTGCAGAAGTCATATGAGTCCCAGCAATCCTGTGCTTGGGTTTGAGGCTTTGAGCTAACTTCAGTTAGCTCAAAGACACATTTAGAGGAAGTGATGGTAAAAATAATTGTCCGTTATGCAACCCAAGACACATTTAGAGGAAGTTCGTGTTAAACATTTAGATGAACACAAATATAATGTATTAATGTGGTTAATTCTTATATGAAAATATGTTAACTGTACCATTGATTGTTCCTTTCATGAATCTTTTCGCGGTGTGTGTGCCATAGGAAAAGTCCTTCACATACGCCTTTTTATGTATAAACGGCTTGTCAAAAGAATCTGGAGTCTGAATTCTAGACTTCCATAACTGTGTCTGCAAAGTCTCCATTAATGTCGATCGAGCTGTATTTTCACTGCATGAAATCTCTGAAATAATCGTCTCATGCATGCATGTTATGTCGAAATAAGAGGGTGAAAGTTGAAACATAACTCTCCATATATATGATGAAGAAATTAGCTAGCTTTTACCACTAATTTAACGTTGAACATCAAGAAATCTCCATATATAGTATTCCATTTCCTTCGTGACTATGATGATGAGGGTAGCAAGTATAAAATAGTTGTCCATATCGTGACAAAAAAAAAAACATTTACATCATTAAGTCGGTTATTATTCTAACAACATTTTTACCATGTATTTTGTCACCTGGCCTGCGAAGGTATTTTAAGATGATTTAAAACAATTTGATTTCATATACTATCGTGGGTTAGCCAGCCGACGTTCTAGACGATCCAAACGAAATGGAACTCAACAACTCTTCCACTTTGACTTTGCGGGTTGTTTCAGTTTTGCCTCTAGGGTCAAGAAATCTTCGATGAAAGGTTGAGTCAGAATATGTGTATTTTAATGATCATTTGATCTTCTTTCTGGTTATCCAAGCTTGCTAAAATTTCCAAAAATTATCACTAAACAAGTTATAATTCCACCTTATTATCAGTCATATCAATGGGAAAACGAACGTATATAGAAAGACGAGAACTTGCTTTTCATAGACCAGAAGAAAAAACAGACCATATGAAAAGCAGTTTCATCAAACGAGAAAGTTGGTGATTGGGGCCGACTTTGGTTACACGGCTTCCTTATAATCTCTCTATAACATGATGGTAAACTATGCATATATGATAAGTAGTCTCTCACCCACCTAATCGCGTATTCTAATAAGCCGGTAATTAATTCGAATAAGAGTGGTATAATTAACCTTCTGTTAACAATTTGAGTTATTAATATTAGCTAATTTATGACATAATACTAAAGATGGTTTGATCAAGTGATCGTTTCGACCGAACCGAAATTATGAATATATATCGGGTCCCCGAATTCTCCCAAACCTCAAATCGAATTTGAACCGAATTATAATTCGGTTCGGTTTTCACAAAAAAAAACCCCGAATTTGTGAAGCTGCTTGTATCTTCTCGCTTTTAAATTATTTTTCACCCCTAATATAAACAATAAATATGCAATTATATGCATCATCAATGATAAAAATCAAACTTTTCATCACATAAGTCATAAAACATTTCAAATATTTAAGTCCAAAAACAACTGCAAACATAAAAATCTACCATTTGGAGCTTGCAATTATAGTATTTCGGTTTATCGGTCGGAAATCGGTTCGGTTGAAAGAACCATGGTTTCCGAACTATCCATATTTTCCTTTTGAATTCCGAATCAAATAGCATTAATTCGGTTCGGTTTAATTCAATTTCGGTTCGAATTTACCGAAGCGGGTGCCCACCCCTACTGTTCAAATCTCTACGCGACCGTCAATATTAACAATGATACCCATCCCAATTCTCAACATAGGTAAGATCATGTAATACCCGACAAACGTGGTTTCAAATTGCAATCAAAGAAAAGGAATACCAAATTGAAAATGGAAGCAGAAAACCAGATTGAATCAGAGGGAAAGGAATGATACGTCAACGGGCGTACTATTTATTCAAAAAGGTTTATCAATTATCAACACCAAACAAATAATGCAAATTAGTGACGCCTTATATACAATTAGTCACTATTAATTATGGTACTATATTAGCAATATAATGGAAATTGTCAAACTATATGGCTCAGAAAAAAAAAAAAAATTCAACATTCGCTCTCCTAATTAATCATGAGGCTTCCATGACCTATTTTCAATTATTCAAGCTTTTAACTGCCGAAACAATTATACTGACCCCAAATTTAATTTGGTCAGGTCAAACACGAAGAAAATGATGAAAATCTGAGTTTACTAGGCAAAATCACAGTAAGAAATTTTAAGTTGTGGAGTTGGCTTCGAGAGGCTTCCTGCAGTGTGAAACATATATGTGTTTTCCCATTCTATATATCGAGCTATTTCACCAACTGTCCTCACTAATTAACTTCAGGATTCGTCGCGCCTCATGACCAGATTTTCGTAAATTCGTGAATTTCACGAATTTGGGAACTCCAAATCGGCCAAATCTGTAGATGATGAATTTGACTCTTCTCAAAATTTCTCCAACAAACACGGGTTTCTCTACAAATTCATGATAGTTTGGATTAATTAGAGTATTAAATCTATCACCACAATCCAACGGGCGAACGAAATTATTTTAGGTGCTTCCAAATTATTATTGTAAGATCAGTAACAACAAAGTTGAGCTGTGGAAATCCTAGAACTCTTTTGGTGTTTCTCATTCATACTTTGGGTTTAAATAGGTCACGCGCTTGCCCTACATGACAAGGTGTGCTAGCTTACCTTTGAAGAGAACAACAAGAAAGATCATAAAACATAACTTAAACTAAAGTATACTCTAAACTAAATAACGACATTAAACTAAATATGATGATGATAATTTTTTCTCTAAATATTGTCGATCCACTTTTGACATTCATGATCTGTCGGTTTGAATGTTGACGATATCTTTAAATATCTCCTGTTAATCCGTAAAACCATTAAGAGGTCGTTTGGATTGAGTATTTGACAAACTTGTTGTTTGGGGTCAATTACCACACAAGTACCACATAATATAAAATATGTTATTTGGTATGTGATATTTGGTCTCAAACTTGTTATTTGGCAAATACCTGCCCCTCCCAAGTATTTGGCAAACAACACTTTTTGTGTTATTTGGTCTCAAACCTGTTATTTGGCAAAACACTTACATCCAAATAACGCATCTCACTTTTTGTCAGCCAAACATGTTATTTGGGATCAAATAACACAAAATCTGTTATTTGACCCCAAATAACACCCCCAAATACTCAATCCAAACGACCCCTAAGTAGTAAAGTATTGAAACCGAGAAAGAAAGAAAGAACTCTAGCTTGTCTTCTCTCCCAGTCAACATTACCTACATTTCTTCCCTTTCGCGTTCATATATTCAACTTTCCCACGTACGCGACAATTACATGATCTCCTCTCGCTATATAATTAAGCTCGCCCAAGTCCCCACCTGCAGCCATCATTAACACGTTGATCTCCTTCAAGTCCAAATCAAACTTCAAATCAACTTTTCTCTGATCTCTGTCTCCTTTAGCTTTCTCCAACATGGCCAAAAACCTCCTCCTTCCACAGATGCTTCAGTACTATTCCCTCATCTCCTTCTTCTTCTTCCTGGCCACGATTCCAATTGCCTCCGCAGCTACTGAAGTGGGTAAGTAATCGTATTGATAGAAAAATACCTGCTTACTTTCATTTCTGTTTCCTGTTTCTTAGAAAACAGATGGTGAAAACAGGCGAAAACAACATTTTATCGTTTTCGAAAACAGCAGGAAGTTGCCACTTTCTGTTTTCATAGTTGGAAACGAATAGAAAACAGAATGAAAAGTAAACAAATCTTCTCGTTTCGGTTGCCAAATTTATGACATGAAAACAGAAAACAGGAAAAAAAAAATGGAAGTCAACAGGCCGAGTTGGTGTTGTTTTTGTAACTTTGGTGCAATACATTGTGCAGAGGATGAGAGGGAGTTTACATACAGGCCGGACGGGGAGAATGGGCCGGCCCGATGGGGTGAGATTCATCCTCAATGGCACAGCTGCAACAAAGGGAAGATGCAATCTCCTATCGATATGTTGGACGACAGAGTTGATGTCGTTTCGCATTTGGGGAGGCTGAATCGAAGCTACAAGGCAGCCAATGCCACTCTTATGAATAGAGGCCATGACATGATGGTATATATATATATATAGTCTATTTTTAGTTTTTAGTTTTTTTACTGAATTAGATGGTATATAATAATATAATAACAATCTTGTGAATATTTGTGATTAATTAAGGAGATCCATTTGTGGATATATTACATATATTACACATGTGCATAGAAAAATACTAATTAACCACCATCCAGCTGGGGAGAAATTGAGCCAAACCCGAGGCCCGATCCTGGAACTCCCCAGAAAAATTCTGGCTCTAGAGGGGTATAAACTGGCCTGCCTCGCCCCTATTTCTTCCTTGACCTTGTCTGACTCGCGAGGGGCTGGGGCGATCTAGTTTGTGTTTATGGAGAACCCTCTCCCATGCTCCTACTTTTTCGTCTCCTGATTCCGACTACCCTTAAGGTTGGATCGCGGACCAAACCATAGGGTATAGAGGGTCCGATATACTATATTTTTTTAAAAAAAAGAAATGTTCAATTATACATTTTATATTACGATTTTTTTAGGTATACATCTCCTTAAGAAAAAAAATCAAGCTCATTTGTTCGAATTAGTTAACAATGGCTCACTCTACCTTTTAGTTAAATTAAATGTCGTGACATGAGGTTAATTTGCATCTACCACGTTGAAAATCGATTCATGCTGATAACTCGAGATAAGTAATTTAGGTTTGTGTCTTGAGTGATGTGATTAAAACGAAAGTTATGGTGGATTAATGCAGTTGAAGTGGGAGCAGGGTGGCGCAGGAAGCATTCGAGTAAATGGAACTGAATACTTTCTCGAGCAGTGCCACTGGCACACTCCTTCCGAGCACACCATGAACGGCAAGAAATATGCTATGGAGGCTCACATGGTTCATCAAAGTGTCGATGGCAAAATTGTGGTGGTTGGGATTCTGTACACCATAGGAAGGCCCGACTCATTCCTTCGATCGGTTAGTTATATTTTAAGTAGTACGTGTTAGAGAGTTCTCCCAACAACTCGAGTTATTGGGAAAATGTTTGGCTGGATCTTATACCACTTTCTAACAGTACGTTCTTTAATATCTATTTAATTTCTCTCAATTTCTCTGATATTGTATATATGTGTTTGGGCTTAATGAATTTTTATCAGATAAAGCATCATCTAGAGGACGTGGCGCCGGGGGCGAAAGAAGACCGGACGGAAGTGGGAGTAGTGGATCCGAGAGACATCAAGATCGGCAGTAGAAAGTACTATCGATACATTGGCTCCCTTACTGTCCCTCCTTGCACAGAAGACGTGACATGGAGTATTGTTAAAAAGGTAATCAGTTTTCTGGTGAATACATGTAAAAAATTAATATTTACCGCGCATGGATGATCAAAATATAGTAAAGTTTTAACATTTTCGTAACACGAGCTATAAAACGACTCCTCTTGGCAGGTTAGAACCGTCTCCAGAGACCAGTTGAGGCTGCTTCGGGTGGCTGTTCATGACGTGAGTTTCTTCGACCCTGCATAATTTTTTATTATCAAAATTATCTCTACAAACAATTCTAGGGTTATTGATTATGTGTTGTTTTGCAGGATTCAAACTCAAACGCTAGACCATTGCAACCTAAGTTTGGAAGGAAAGTGAATCTCTTCAGGCCCGAAGAAAGCAGAGATGATTAGTTGATTCACTAGCACATATTTGTAGTAAAAATGGTATTTGCTGAGTCATTTGATTTTGAGGATTAATAGAGGCGTATTTTTGCCTTTGTTTACCAAGTTTTGAGGGTTCTATATATAGAGCATATTCACGATATTTATAGTTTATTTATTTATTACATCAATAAATACACAATGTAATATAATGTTCATTATTTGGGAATAAAAGCATCATTATTGAATGAAAAATGTTTCCCGGCCTTTATAAGCATATCAGTAGATACTTGCAATGTTAAAATTGTCATGAGAAGGCAGCTGTAATGATGTTAAACTGTACATTTTGAAAGCTTTTGAAAATTTCCATTTCATGAACATACTCTGATGATTCTCTTATACAGATGATTGGGACAAAATATAGTTGAATCAGTGTTAGTTTCAACTTCAAATACCCCCTAACTCTATCTCAATCTCTTGATCTTATTAGGGAATCATTGTTAGTCCGTGTATAATAGCTATCACACTTTTAACAATACCAAAACATGTATAGCTAAAAATGTATTCATATTATTATTATATTAACACTTTTTTTTTTACTTATCATAACCACCTTCCAACTTTCAAGGTATTTTTTTTACGTATTTCATCATTTACAAATAATCAATAACATTACATGATCATCAATTGATGGACAAATCGATTGTATGGGTGAATTTATCATAACTAGGTTTGCGGGGCAATAAAAAAAATTAATCATATATATACGTGAATTATATTTCATCACCAACTACTTACCCACCAATTCAGCAGCCAAACATTTCATGGAATGATAGTCGTACCATACGGAAGAAGACAATAAAATTAGCCGTACATTTGTGATGACGAAGACACTAATTAATTCATTAATCAAGTGATCAAGTGGTTAATTGTTCTAGAAGACGTAGACTTATCATCATTAATCACATTGATAATTGATAATAAGTACTAAGCTAATTCTTCCTCTTGTTATTTCTTAATTATTATAGGTAATTACCATCTCCTTACGTGTGAGATCTCAGTCGTTAAGTCTTTGTATTGTGTTCTGATTAAAAGCTCAACCAAGTTTAAGGAAGGTCCACCATGCATGCTTCATGTGTTTCGACTTTCGAGAGAGCAATATTATGGGATTATGACGTCCCAGTTTTAGGTCAAAGGCAATTTGGATTGTAAAATATAGCAAGTAGATGTTGGGAAAATGAAAGTAGGGAAGAAGATATCGAACAATGATATCTTTGACTGACTTGTTAGTGAATTAATGGTGAAATTAGTGAAAGATAAATGTTAGGTGTTTGTGAGAACTGGGAATGATATAAAACTCATTCGGAACTTATCTCAACAACTCGAGTTATTAAGATTGATGAGTTTTTGAGACAGTATTAGCATTTATAATGATGCAAGTGGTCTTTTTAATTTGCTTGAATTCATATACTAAAAGATTGTTCAATATATAACAAGGTTTGGGACAGGGGGAGCTGTGTAAATTTCAAACCCACAAATTGAATTTTGTTTCAAAATACAAGTAACAAAATTAGATAACATCCATGATTGAATTTGAATATCTTTCAACAAATTGATTAAATTGTTCCGTTGCAATGGAAAACATTAGTTGTTTGATCATGTGAATAAATTTACTTAAAATGCAAGTATAATTTTCATATGACCACCGAATGCATTAAACTTATTGTCATTTTCACTGTAATGGTTCAAAAGCTTTTGTCAACGGTAGGTGCTACGAGATTAGGTTTCTAAAAATCTAAATAAAATATTGGTGATCCATGTTACTTAATTACCCTAATGTTACTATATTAGCAAATGCTAAACAAAAAATGTTTAGAAAGGATATAATGCTACTTTTTTTCCTCGTTACATTCAAAAGTCAAAACCTCTGTATATTAGTATAAATTAATGACAGCTTAGCTAGCATCCACACTCCAAGCCAAAACCTTCTTCTTAACCTTTACCTTTCTCCCAAACAAAAATGTCGAAAACTCCTCCACCACCACCAACATTATTCTTCCCTTCCATAGTATTCTGCTCCACCCTCTTCTTCCTTCTCTTCCTCCTTCCACCAACATCAACCCAAGAAGTTGGTATTATAACAATCAAACCCTAGCTAAATCCCTTCTTCAAATCCCATATCTCCTTTTTTTTGCAACTCACCAAGTTAATTTCATGGTTTTGCAGACGACGAGAGAGAGTTCGATTACGTGGTAGACAGCGAGAGAGGGCCATCTAGATGGGGAGAAATGCACCCAGAATGGCACAGTTGCAACAATGGCACGATGCAGTCTCCGATCGACATGTTGAACGACAGGGTCGACGTCGTCTCCCATTTGGGGAGGCTCAACAGAAGCTACAGTGCTGCCAATGCGACTCTCAATAACAGAGGCCACGACATGATGTTGAAGTGGGAAGGTGATGCAGGGAGCATTCACATCAATGGAACTGAGTATGTTCTCCGCCAGTGTCACTGGCACTCTCCTTCTGAACACAGTGTTAATGGGAAGAAGTATGCCATGGAGGTTCACATGGTTCATGTGAGTGAGGACGGGAAGATTGCTGTGGTTGGGATTTTGTACACTATTGGGAGGCCCGACTCGTTCCTTGAATCGGTTAGTTTCACTACCGTGGCATAATTGAGTAAACATATATTTATGTCTACCTCCATGACCATGACTCTCAAATGTAGAAAAGTCAACCAATATGGAGAACTAGCTATATGTTGAAATGTGCACAAAAACGTGATAAAAAAATACTTTGATATCATGTCGAGAGTCATATTATCTCGATAACTTAACTCGCTAGATGAAAATTTTCTTACGCTAACGTCATACTTTTTGGACTTAACAGATATATGATCATTTGGAGGATATTTCTGGAATTGAGAAAGACGAGAGGGTTGTTGGACTAGTGGATCCAACGGACATTAAGATCGGGAGCAGGAAATATTACAGATATATCGGCTCTCTCACTATCCCTCCCTGCACAGAAGATGTTTCTTGGACTATTGTGAAGAAGGTAATTTGAAGAGTGCGCTCGGAGAGAAATATGATAGCAATAACTAATAATAATGTTCCTTCAACATGTTTTTCTAATACATATGCATGCCATCTTAACCCTTGTCAGGTCAGGACCGTCTCTAGAAAACAACTGAGAGTGCTCCGCGTATCTGTTCACGATGTGAGTTCTTATAATGCCACTATTGATTAGCCTCCTAGCTTAAACACATATATCAACACACCATCGAGCTATTTGTTCATACCATTTTCACTATTTGACCAACACAGTGTTTATAACGTTCGTCGATCCAACGATTGAAATCACGTGTCATCAGACATATTAGTTCCATGTGTGCTTTTCAATCACTCTGATTTCGCTGCTAATTGTTACAGGATGCAAACACGAACGCTAGGCCAATACAACCGAAATTCGGAAGGAAGGTGGAACTCTTCAGACCAGAAGACAATGTGCAAAGCCAAGATGATTCTATTAGTAATTAGGGAGTAGTTTGTACATTGTAGCAAGACTCTCAATGTTTCTTTTTTACACATGAATAGAAAACCTTCTATAATAAAAGAACTCAATGATGTCTATCCGTCTACCATATACATTTGTATCTCTTTCCCTTGCTGGTTCACTTCTTCAACTTGTTTATGTCAGCAACAAATAAAATAACTTGTACTATATATGGTGAGATCACAATAATACACGAACCATGTAATTTGCATAGTACAATCGTAATTGTACATGTTCTTAGGATGTGATGACGTCACATTATCTAATTACTAGTTGATTTATTCTTCAGATATTTTGAATATATCCATTGATGATCTCATATGATGTCTCTCCTTGCTGCTTAATTTCTGCAACTATGTCAGGAACCTGACAACAACAAATAAAATTATTTATATGTAGTACTAAAGTCAACTATACTGAACAAACCATGTAAATGCACAGTACAATTCTTGTATGTATTCGTATGTGATATGGTGGCTCTTTAACAAGACAAAAGATTAATTGAGATTTTGTGGTGTGGTTTTTCATGATATGTTTTTATTTATTTGCGAAAAGAGCTTTGATTCCATTAGATGCAATTAGGGGTGTCAGTTCGGGTCGGGTTCGGTTATCCAAACCGAAACCCGAAATCGAAAATCACTAAAACCGAACCCGAACCCGATAAGGACTTGCGGGTTCCGGTTACCCGAAACTCGTAAATTTCTTATCGGGTTCGGTTAAAGCAAAACCGAAATCCGAACGCCTAAAAATACGGCCTGAGTTCTATTCATTGGAGGTTTTTAGACGGAACCCGAAAAATCGATAAGCAAAATCGAACCCGAAACTGAAAAACCCGAAACCCGAAACGAACCCGAAAAACCGAAAATGTGTATAATCGGGTCGGTTTCGGGTAAACCCAAAAAACCGAACCCGAATTGACACCCCTAGATGCAATAAACCATATGTGGTATAAAGTAGGGACAAACTCAAAGAAGTAAGAGACAAAGGACATAAATGGGTGACAATTTTGTACCTTACGTATCCGTTAAACATATTACATCGCTAAAATTTCTTGCATTTTGTTCTAGACATAGTGAAAATGAATTGAACGATAACGTTAGCATAGTAGTTTATTAAAAAGAATGTTATCTGATTTTATTATTTCCAGTAAATGTGAGGCGAAATTGCTCATTACATTGCGATCTGTGTTCCATTGGATTGGGATCAATGAACCACTTGTTTACTGAGTGTTGAGTCTTCAAAGAGCCATTCTTAGCTCTGTTTGGTAAGTTCACAGTAAGAACACCAGGGCAGACTCGGTACGAAGAGTTTGTAATGGACTGATTTGGCAATTTATGACAACCTTAACGAAATTCAATAGTCAATGACTAGCAATGAAATGAGACTTAAAGTGAGTGACTAATATGAAAAAGAAAATTATTAGAATGATTAATATGAAAAAGTTTAATAAAACGAGTCACCAAATGTGTAATTTAGCCTGATCAAACCTCAGATATGCATAACAACGCGAATGCCTCCAGCAAACTTTCTGGTCTTCTAAAACAAACTTTCTCTTTTCACTTCTACACAGTCCTGTTCCGCCCTTCCCAAATTCCTTTTTCTTCCGCGGAAGCAATCCCTCCGACGTTCAGTGATAAGAGGTGGTGGCGCGTGGAAATCAAACCTAGCACCATCTCATCGCCCGCGTGATTTCTCGCCGGAGGGGAGGACACACGTACGGCGTGTTCCCAGCCTATTCTCATGCAGGTAAGTAGGTCATTCGTTTGCATTTCGAAGTTTACAATCCGCGTCGGCCGGGGGGTTCGAGAGTGAGAATTAGGGGGTTTCTTTCTTAGTGCGTCGCTACAGCCTGCAGACATTGTGCAGTTGTGCTTCGTCTCGGTTGATAACTTCTGTTTTCCCCGTGTTCGTTAGGGTTTTGGCCGGTCAGGGTCCACGGCATTGTGCTGATGACGGTGGAGATGACGTGTATGAACTTCTCTCCCTTGTTGAGCTAAGTTAATTGTAGAGAAGAGTCTGTAATAGGGCCAGTCTTAAGTTCGGTTCGTTTATGGTTGTTATTGAGCAATTACTGCTTTGGTTATTCATGGAGATTATAGGCTTTTAGCGTCGTTGTGAGGTTTTGTGGATCACATTGAACTTGGACTCTGACTGGGACGCGTTATCTCCGAGGCAAAATGCTTGATGGCGGCAATTAGCATCGAGTATTTTTGTTACGGTAATTGGCAGCTGTCCATGAACTCAAAGCCCTATTGACGCTGCCTTTTTGGTTTAGAGTGTAGGGAATGGCTATAGAGACTCGAACTGGCCGCGGGTCTAAGGTCGAGGAAAGCAGCAGTCCGAAGAGGACTCCTAATAGCAAGGCCTCAGCGATTCCTGGTTCTGCAACACCATCTGCTTCTGGTCTTAGAAGGTCAGAGAGATCGTCGAAGAAAGATACAATACCGAGTCCTCCAAGTACGCGGAAGTCTGGGAGACTTCAGAAGCCGTCCCCAACCCCACCAACACGGGGTAAGAAAAAGATTGGGGCCACCGTGAAGAAGAATACTCTAAGTCCGTTAAGATGTTCGGCAAGGAGTAAGAAACAGTCCTCACCCAGTTCTTCAGTGTCAAAGAACTCAACATCAAGTTTGAGCTCGTTGGCTATCCCCAAAAAAGAGAAGAGCATGGTACAGTTGACCCTTGAATCCAAAGAGGTCAGCAGTTGTGAGGGGGAGTTGTCAAAGGCGAGGCATAGATTAAGCTCAAGCGCGTACAAAGCATTTTTCAAGAAGCAACGTAAAGCTGCTGTGCAACGTAAAGTTCCTGTGGACGGTAATTACAAATGCCTTTGCTTGTGTCAAATGTTGTCTCTTCATTGTTTCTCGCATGCCCAACTCCACCCTTCTTCTTTTCAAATGTTTGCTTCTGAGGGTAAATCTATTGAAAATTTGTGGCATTCTGTTTCAGCTGGACCTTTTCAGTTGTCTCTTGATTGATGTTTCTTCATTTTCAGTTGATTCTGAAAGCATTCCTACTCCAGAAGCAATTACTGAGCAGTTGAATGATGTGTCTGAGAGACTTGAACATCTGGAGCCTGGCGATACTATTTTGGCAGAAACAATAACTGATGACAACAACTCCTTGTCTAAACGGAAAAGAAATGAAGTTAATCTAGATGCTGAACATGCCATGGTTTCAAATAAAGATGCCAGCATATTTCTTCCCGTTGCAGTTGCACTGCAAGATCATTCTCAAGAGAACTGTGTGTTGGATACTTGTGCCATGGAAGTTAAGAGGCAGAGGTATTTATTTTCACAATTTTAATGTTTTCATAAATATCTAACTAATGTATTTCTGTCTCCTTCTCTTACCTGAATCATAAAAGTTTCAAAATATTTGATGATCCAAATTTTAATGTTTTCATAAATATCTAACTAACAGTTTGGCTAAAATTTTGTTCTTGGAGAAGAATATGCACATTGTGTTGTGTTTACTTTACTTTTGAGCTGGTTACTGTGGATCCTCGACTCCTTGCTGACTTCTACTTCTTGTTTTATTATCTCTTTGTTTTTGAACTTTATATCATCGATAGTATGCAGAAACTAGCTTGCCAAGTCATCATCCATCAAGATAATTATCGATCACTATCTTTGTGGTTCTTATTTAATTAAATCTGTAATCTACTATCATCTATGTTTATCCGTTGATGCCGAGCTAGTTTCATAAGAGACTTACAAAACATACGTAAATTTCAGAAATGGCTTGCTTCCTCCCAACTTAGCTGCTATCCCTACACTGTCGGCTTGAGGAAACTTACTAGTCACAAAGTCCTAAAAATTCTGAATTTTGAAATGGTAGAGATTGATAGCATGCATAAAATAGTCTGCCAAGTCATCCTTCATCGAGATAATTATGAATCACCATCTTCTTATTTTTATTCAACTAAACCTGGAATCCACTAAGATTTATATGCATCATTTGATGCTGAGTTTCGAAAGAGACCTACAAAACATACCTTGATTTCAGAAATGGCTTACTTCCTCCCAACTTAGCTGCTATTCTAGGCTGTCTGCTTTAGGTAACTTACTAGTCAGAAAGTCTTATAAATTCTGAATTTGAAATGGTAGAAATTGATTTGATATCCTAGATTAGTTTCATCTGTTGAAATGGCGTTTTTTTTAAACTTTGCATGTGTTTTGGTCTTGAATGTCCACTTTTCCAGGGTTGACAATGACGGAAAAGAGCAAGAGCTTTGCTCTTTGAACAAACAATCGAATGAAGATGGAATCTCTGTACCCAAGGTTAGTTTTTCTTCCAGTGCACCTATTTGTGTTGCAACTGATGTCGAACATTCGATCAATTCTGTTGACATCCGCTTTATTTTTGTTGGCCACCCCTTGCAAATGTGAGATACATGAAACAGTTTCAGATGGATATGTCTATCGGTCATCTTAATTCATTTCTGCCTAATATTCTACCAAAATGTGATTTGCTGAAATATTTCTTTTTCTGGATTGCAAGTCATTGGGAGTATTTGCTGGTCTTATTCTAAGTTTTTGGACCTAAATGTAATATTAATGAGATGAGAGATGATTTGTTTAATGGGAACCAAATGTTTTTAGAATTTATTGTAATGGGTGTAACTTGGAGGTTTTGATTCTTATCTAATCTGGGTAAATTGGAAATAAAATTATGTTCAACGATGTGCTTTAACTGTAATAATTTACAAAGCTATCGTGAAGTTTATGCTTAAGAGGTTTATTTGTTTGAATGATTTTTTCAATCTAAATTTGAGGGGCTAAAATAATGGTGCATTCAGCTGTTTGAGGTTTCATCCGTCACAAGTAGGAGATTCTGCCGTATCTTGAATAATTGTTCCCTCAGTTAGATCCAAATAAAAAAATTTCGAACTTTAAAGAACTGCTGAATAATAATGCTACAACTTCTCTTGGAATTGACCAATATTCTTTTCAATAATGCTATCATCCCTATTATTTGGTCTTAGGAGAACGCTGGAAAAGAAGCTTGCCCCATCACAACCCAAGGAGCAAGTGAGCCTTGCTCTGACAAATTGCAAGATGTACCAATTGTTATTGGTTTGAAGGTGGACAGCGGTCAAAATGTGTGCCATGCTTGTAAACGTGGGGGAAAGCTCTTGTGAGTTATTTTTCTTTTCTCCCTTCATTACCGGGTGCCTTGTAAATTCTTTGGTACATAATTGCATTGATCGATTTGCTGATTGTTTTTGCTAATGTAGGGCATCTGTTCACTGTCTCAATGTCTAATTTCAGGTGTTGTGATGGAAAGAGTTGTGAGAAAAGTTACCACCTTTGTTGTGTGCATCCACCTTTTTTGGATGTTCCACTTGGAATTTGGCACTGTGCTGCATGCACTAAGAAGAAGGTAGAATCTGGTGTACAAGCTGTTGCAGACGGAGTAGAATCGATTTGGGAGTCTAGAGAAGTGGAGTTACCTGATCTTAACGGTATGGGAATACTGCATTCCACTTGTTCCTTAAGCTCCTGATACCATTATGCATGCTGAAAATCTAAAATTATGTTATTTAAAATCTGGATCTATTTTCAGATCCCGTATACTCGTTTCTGATCTCTTGTTTGCCTGGTTCTGTTCAGGTTTGCTCAAGAAGAAGGAATTTTTTGTTAAGTACAAAGGTCTGGCTCATGTTCATAATCAGTGGGTGCCAGAAACTCAATTGCTTTCTGAAGCTCCCTCTCTTGTTGCAAATTTCTACCAGAAAAACAAGGTTCTTATCGGAGATATTATCATGCTAACTCGAATATATTTCAGTACACATGTGGTTACGTATTCATAGTTCTTGGAAGATGGATTACTCTTTACTAACTGTTCGGATGGAGTTGTGTTGCACATCCCCACTCCCCTGGTGCCCCTTTCTTTTCATGCCTTGCTAACATTCGTTGGACACTGGATTAGGAAGGTTGTGCCGCATACAATATTATTTGTTGCTGTTTTTCCCATTTTCTCCTAAGGAGGTATTTGTAAGTTCAGCATCCTCTTGTTTGAAGATGGTTAGCTAAGATATGAATTTCTGCAGGTGAAGTGGAGGAAAGAATGGGCAACACCACATCGTCTGCTAGGCAAGCGACCTGTGGTTCTCCCAAAGCAGAAGAGGGGTGATACTGAGGCTTTAAGCTGCCATCATGAATGGCTTGTGAAATGGTGTGGTCTTGATTACGAGCATGTGACATGGGAGTTGGAAAGTGCTTCTTTTATGAATACAATGGAAGTTCAAAGCCTCATGAGGGATTATGAAGCCCGACATGAAAAAGCAAACACTGATCATTCTTCATCTGAAATGAATAAGGTGCAACCCATTGGGAATAAAATATTGTTAGTGATTTACTTTTGTCATACAAACTAATTAAGTGAATGTAGATCCTTGAGTAACATGCTTTCTTAATTCTTTTTTTCCTCATTAATTTCATGGAGGCACTTGCTTAGCAGTGGTCATTTAAAGTCTTTTCGACTGTTTAAAAAACGTGTCTTGCTTGAAGCTTTAAAGCTGTGCTGGTGCAAGTTAAGGTAGATACTCTCGAGGTTCACTCTAGTTCTTGAAGTATAATATAATTTTAGTAGATAAAAGTGACTGCAGATGGAATTTTTTTATGGCTTTCTCATAAGCATAATACTTATGAGTGGTCAGTAGATGGTCTTACACACTGATAGCAGATTCGTGCTCAGGATGTAAAATTTTCAGTAGTTTGGAAGAGGGTGGCTTCTTTGATTCTCCCTGTATCAGTTTCTTTCTTCTGTGTAATGTACTACTAGGTGATGCTTTGTAGCTCTAGTTGGGATTTGTTCTAGAGTAGTATGGTTAGGCAGCATGTGAATTTACGCATACCTAACTTGCCGATGACTGTAATCAAATACTGTCAGAAAGTGGCTACTGCTGAAGGTTCACTGGCCAATGTGGCATGCTTACCAGCTGGACTTCCGACTGGTTTGGATTGTAATCATCTGGATGTTGTCAACAATCTGCGCGATTACTGGCTCAAAGGAACAAATGCTGTTATTGTTGATGACCAGGTTTGAGAAGTACTTTCTTTTATGTTGGCTTCTGGTTATAATATTTTCTGGTGTCTAGCATCAATCTATGGGAAGCGTTTGTAGGTAACAAAACCTTATTTTCCCAATGCCACTGCAGTATTTTCGCAGATGGGCGAAAACCCAGCTCTTATATTAGCCCTCTGTCTATACAAGGAAAAAGTATAATGCGCAGAGGGTAGTGCTAGAAAAGGTCCAGCATTCAGCTGGGGAGAAAAAATGATTATTTTCACTTTCAAATTATCATGAAAATTGAACTAGGAGTAGCTATAGTAGCCCATGGTACAATCTTTGCTGCAGAATTTGATAGATTGGATTTTTCTGTTCGAATCGCCTCAAACACACTCATTATCCCCTCGTCTTACCTGGTTATAATTGTGTTCTCTCACTTTTTTTGCTGTCCTCATCCTTGGTTCTTCTATGGTTTGGTTTTATTTTAAGCGATCCCACTTTCTGACACTGACTGTAGCTTTCTGGCTATCCCTTTCATACTTGTGTTTCCAGGAGCGGATCGTGAAGGTGATTTCGTTTATTTTGTCACTGACTTCCACTGTATCTCTGCCTTTTCTTATCATCACAACTCCTTCTGCACTTGATTCTTGGGATGAAGATTTCACCCGTTTCGCTGGTTGCATATACACTGTTGTTTACAATGGCAAAAAAGATGTGCGTAGACGTATAAGATCTCTTGAATTTGGGGAAGGAGGTTGTGTGATGTTTCAAGTGCTTATAACTACGCTGGAAGTTGTGATGGAGGTACGCATATTTGGTTGCATTACTAACCGAAGGAAGTCATCGTGAATTTTAGTGTTGTCATTTTTTGAAGAATAAGATACCAATTATTAAATCATGTAAATCTGCAACACTGATCGGTTGTGCTATATCAATCTACTTCTACTTCCCCTTGAGGGTACTGAATATAAAAGGGAAAGTGTATCAACTGCTGTTTGTACAATGACATTTGACCCTTGGTGCATAAAGATTTTGCTGTGAAGATCTCTACTTCTTAAGTTGCTATTTTTACGCAATGAACTAGGTGATTTGGTTTTTGTATGTTCTATTTTTTGTCATATTGGTTATTTGAACAGCCTTTACTTAGTCATGGTTTCTTTCCTTCTGAATACATCGTGGTTTTCCATTGGTTTTGTTTGATTGCGTTTATGGTTCATGTAAACTATAATATTTCCTAGAGAACTCTTTGTACTACTAGTAATTGATGCTCACTTACCTGTTGATGGCTTTGCAGGATCTGAATGATTTGAGATCAAATAAATGGGAAGCGGTAATTGTTGATGAATACCAGCGTTCAAAGATTCATATGCAGTCTGAACAGATTAAAGCTTTGATGACTGAGATGAGAATTTTACTTGTCAATTGTGAGCTAAAGGTATGTATGCATCATATGTTCAATGTCTGCTCTGGCTTGTTGTCATTACCTTCTCTTATGTCTCTGGTATTGCAGGACTGTATACTTGGTGAACATCTGTTGTCTCTCCTGGCAAGTACTAGTGCTTCTGTCATCAGTGAGCCTGCATCTAATTCAAGTCCTAAGTCTGTAAATGTCAAAGAGAAACTATCAAAGTATATTGCAAACAGCTGCAAGTCCGACTGCAAGTCTGACAGTTCTCGATTTGTTGAGTACTGGGTTCCTGTGGAGATATCCTCCATGCAACTGGAACAATATTGTGCTACTTTATTATTAAAATCTTTGTTCCTCTCTGCATCCTCGAAGACCGACAATGTTGGGGCCCTGCGGGATGTTCTTGTCGCTACTCGTAAGGTTGGACGTTGTGTAACTATTCACATAGGATTTTCATATTTGGTTTGTTAAGATATGTATCTGCTGTTTCATTGTAAATTCTGTAAGATCATTCTTTTATGTGGCTGAGTTAGAAAATCTTATTGTTTATCATTTTTGAGAAGTGACTGAATGGTACTGATAAGTTTAGATTTTTGTTTTTGTTTTGAATGGTCTCACTTGCTCATATGATTTGAGTTATATATATGTGGTCTATGATTGAGTTCTTCTGGTTGTTATTGCAATTGATATCTACGCTCTGCGGCTATGTTTGTACATTTTGCTTTAAATTTGAAATGTGTTTCTAGGGAATAGTTGCTTTTTTTTTTTTTATAAGAGGGAATAGTTGTTTGTTTGACGGGTGTAACTGATGGCATTCTCGAGTTCTGTAGTTTTCATTTTTCTCTTATGAATACCAAATTGTCCGGCACGATTTCTTTTAGTGACAACATAACGTGCAACTTTTGCTTCTAACTTTGGATACTTTTCTATTTGATGACATTGGCAGTGCTGTGATCATCCAAACCTCATGGTTGATATTCCTCCTCCACCACCCCCGGCAGTTGATGCCCTAGATTTTGGAATAAAGGCTAGTGGAAAATTACAATTACTGGACACCATGCTCATTGAGATAAGAAATCGAGGTTTGAGGGTGTTAATTCTCTTCCAGGTACATTTCTTGATCACCTTGGTATGTATTGGTATTTTCCTCGGCTTGTTACCTCAACTTATTCTCAAGTTCTGTTGCCATACACATTAAGCATGCTTTTCCCTTCGGAAAATAGTTGTCCATTGGTCGCCATTATGGTCGAACTTGCTCTTATTGTGTATTATAATAGAACTTAAGAATGTATAGACAGATGTACTTCTATTGGTTGTCATTATATTTTGAATTCATCTGATTTAGCCCTTCCTTTAAATTGCTCTTGGCAGTCTATAGGCGATTCTGCGAAGGTTAAAATTGGAGATATTTTGGATGACATGGTTCGTCAAAGATTTGGTGAAAATTCTTATGAACGTGTGGATGGTAATGTTCAGTCTTCTAGAAAGTACACTGCTCTGCAGAACTTCAATAATGAAAAGCAGAGGTTTGTGTTTTTATTGGAAACCCGTGCTTGTGCTTCCAGCATCAAACTCACCTCAGTTGATGTTGTCATCATATTTGGAAGTGATTGGAGCCCGGCGAATGATATAAAGAACCTGCAAAAGATAACACTTGATTCACAATGTGAACAGATAATGACATTTCGACTTTATTCTTGTTTTACCGTGGAAGAGAAGGTCCTGATGCTTGCTAGGGAAGAGAAGACTCGTGATACTAAGTTGCCGAACATAAACCGTACTACTAGTCACTTGCTTCTGAAGTGGGGGGCTTCACATTTGTTCAGAAAGTTGCATGAGTTCCATAGTAGGGATGATCAATCCTTCTCAAATAATTCCTTGTCTGAGTCATCACATTCAAAAGATGTTGTGGATAATTTCTTTGCAATACTTGCCAAGAAAGAATATGATGCAAGCAATTTTTTTATTCTGAAAGTTAAACAAATTCATGGAAATTATATTTGCAATTCTCTGCTGCCTGGAGAAAAGGTATTGCAATGCACTAATGAGGAGCCAACCCATCTATTTTGGAAAAATCTACTTGGAGGCAAAGAGCCTCAATGGAAGTATTTGTCTCATCCATCCCAGAGGAGCAGGAAACGGGGTCACTATCCTGACGTAACAAAGATTGTGGAAGCTGACTTTGATGCTGTAAAAAAGCGCAAGAAGACAGTCAGTTGTGCTGAGCCAAACTCTTCAAAACCTGTTACAATGGAAGGAAACATTGGTAGGAAAAGGGAAGGTATGGCTTGAACCACTGTTGATCATTTGATCTGTCTTGTACTTACCCAAGTTGGCTTCGCTTTCTATGTTGGATGTACTATCGGTGGGAAGTGTGAAGCATTGATGCCTTGCATGTAAACATCTCAATATGTTTCTGTATGTGCAGGAAGTTCTGGAGCTTCACTGCCTACTACAATCTATGGATTGGGTTCTGTACGTTCAGCTTGTAATTTGTCAGAAGAACACGAGAGTAATACTGGCAAGTTCAATGTAGATGCCGCTCTACACAATTCACAGAACAGTTTACATTGCAATTTGAAGCCAAAGATTGAAAGGCTCTGTGAAGTTCTACAACTCCCTGTATGTATCTTGTTTCTTCCCTTGTGACATTTTTTAAGTATCTATGGAACATGGCATGGTGTACTTTTCTGTTTATCGGGGAATGAGGTATTTACTTAGTTTCCCACTGAGTGCTGTTATGTTCTGTGATTAAGAAATTTCTGCAGCAACGAATTTGATCACTGTGTGTCATTGCTTTCCGTTGTGGTATTGTCAAGTCCAGGATTTAATTCTTCTTGGTAGGCATTATGGTAAAGCGGATCTCATGCTATACAAATCATAGTCTTCTCCTGTCGCTAAACGAGGGTGGAAGTGATATGAGCACAACTTATCTTTGTATAAAGTCAAGTTTTTTGCAATCATCATCCAAATACATGTGATTTTCGAAATGAATAAACTATTGTTGATTTCATGCATGGCTGTTGATAATCCTTATCTTCTTTCTATTTTTGCAGGATGACATCAAAAGTGTAGTGGAAAGCTTTCTTGAATATGTGATGAACAATCATAATGTCAGCCAAGAATCAGAAGCTATATTGCAGGCTTTTCAGATTGCTTTGGTTAGAACCTTTCATACTTTTAAAAATTCCTGCTATATACATTGTTTTTTTTAATCCTAATATTTCTGTCACTTGGTCTAAATGGAGAGAAAGGAAAAATAAAAAGGTTAGATTTAGTATGAAATTTATATTTCTGTGGGTAGCAATATTTTGATTATCACACTCATAAACTCTTTGTTGGAAAAGAAACAAAAAAGGAAAAAAAAAGAAGCTATCGCTAGGAATGAAATTATCCAATTGCTAGGAATGAAATTATCCAAGTGAACTTGGGAGCTCAGAGTAGAAATTGAGTCCCCTTCTTTTATCTTAACATCTTTGTTGTTTTTACTAGCACACACACACCGAGGATTGGTTTCCGTATTAGACATGGATCTTCTAAATACGTTGTAGTAGTTGCTATGATCTTTTACCAGATTCAAAATGTGCAGTGAGTGCAACAAAATGAATGCTCTCGCATTCATCATTAGCCAATTTTTAGTGTAACCTAAGATCAGCTCATGCCATATGACTAGCTTTCTTTATGGCCAGAAAGTTGGTTCCATTGACTTCTTAACCTAGTTACATTTTAACCTGATGCATCCTTGTCCTGACCCTTTCTCTTGTGTGTAAATTTCAGTGCTGGACTGCTGCTTCTATGCGGAAGTACAAGATTGACCATAAAGAATCTCTGCTACTTGCTAAAGAGCGTTTGAACTTCGAATGCAAGAAAGAAGAAGCGGACTATAGGTATTCAATGTTGCGATGTTTGAAAAAAGTATTTCTGTACCGTACAGAGAGTTTGAAGATACCTAGCTCTGCCGAATCTTCTCAGCTGTTGAGTAAATGTGTTTATGATGATCACACAAGTTCTTCTAGATCTATATCATCTGAACCTCACAAGCAAAAGGATGGGGTACAATTGCAGACAGATTCTCAAGAATTCATCAGGTCTAGTGTCTTTCAACAGTCACTCGGACTGGCACATCAAGATTTGTCTAGAAGTATCAAAGATATCTATAAGAAATGCGACAAGCTGATGAGAAAGCTGCTGGAACAGCAAGCAAAAGAGAAAGAGGAGTTCCTCAGAAAGTATAAAGACGACAAGGCAGAACTTGAGCGCAAACAGAAAACCGATGCAGCTGTGATTCGCTGTCATAGTCATGGTTCAATGAGAGCAGATAAACTCAAGTCCCTGGAGGCCGAATATGCCAAAAAATTTGTAGAACTGGAAAAGAAGAGGGTGGCGTGCCTTAACAATCTTGAGGCAATGCAATCTGCCACAAGGAAAAAGTTGGAAGAGAGAAAAGTGAAATGGGTTGAAGGGGTGGAAGCCTGGGCAAAGGAGGAATTGATGCCTAGGCTGCCTCCAAATGAAACTGGCCAGACTCCCGGAATGGCTGTCTCTTTTAATGTTCATCCCAAGGAGTTTCCTGGAGTGCGAGGCATGTCAGATAGACAGAAGCCATCCAATATATGTGAAGTTGTAAACTTAAGTGATGATGAAGAAGAAATAACCCAATTGGTAGAGCCTGCCGTTGGAGTGATTCCTGAAACAGCTTTAACCAGGCATGTTGAAATAGCACCTGGTGGAGTTACCCCAGGAATGTCGGCATCTTGTGGTGCTAGGGTTGTTGAGCAGGAGGGAGGAATTTTATCTGCAGCATCTGAAAGACTGATGGCAGACCAACTAAAGGATAATAGTTCTGCTCAACTTCAAGTTGAACAGAGCAATGTCAATGGTAGAGAGAAAGCTGGAGTTGGGGCTACAAACTTATCGCACACTGCTGGAGCTCATCTCCAAAGAGAACTTGTTAAAGAAGTTCCTGAAAGTGCTAAAAGTAATTTAGTAGAGTCCGAAAGACTTGTGGCAGACCAAATACTTAAGGATAATAGTTCTCAACTTCAAGCTGAGGAGAGCGATGCCAATGGTAGAGAGAAAGCTGGAGTTGTGGCTGCAAACTTATCGCACACTGCTGGAGTCCAAGGTGAACTGGTTTCAGAAGTACTTGAAAGAGCTAACAATAGTCTAGTAGTAGAGTCTGAGAGACTGGTGGCAGACCAACTACTTAAGGATATTAGACTTCCTCAACAGGAGAGTGATGTCAATGGTAGAGAGAAAGGTGGAGTTGAGGCTACAAACTTATCGCACACTGCCGGAGCTCATCTCCAAGGTGAACTGGTTTCAGAAGTACCTGAAAGAGCTGACTGTAGTCTATTAGTAGATAATGCTCATAGAGAGACGGAAGATGGCAATATCACGAGGATTGAGAAAAGCAAAGGATCTGTTGAGCACCATGGCAGCATGATGCCAGCAGAAGTTCCTAATGTATGCTCGGAAGATGTTCATGTCGATACCACTGTTGCATTTGATGAGAGTATAGACAAACTCCGTTTGTGTGTTGTGGAGTCGTCTCCTGGAATCATGGTAGAGCAGCGGGATCGGGTAAGTCCTGTAGTTCCTGATACTGCTGCTACAAATGCAAGCAATGTTGGAGACTTGCCCAGAGTGATAAATGGAGCATCTACTAATATATTGGACAGCTATCAGAAAGATGGAAGCAGAATGCAGGATATAGCAGCATCCACCCCTGCCAATAGAGATGCTCGTGTAGAACTTTCTGGGGAAAACTTGCCCCCTCTGACGATGCTAACTGAAACTTGTTCAGCTGGAGACTCTGTGAAGAATGCATCCTCTGGTGAAGTGAATCAGCAGGAGTCTATGGGAGTGTCTAACATGAGCGTTGAAGTGGCTAATGGCAGCAGCACGCTTCATGGTAAAGACACTACTGAGGCTCATAATAGCAACCAACAGCAACCCTGTGATATAGTGGATTCATTATGTGCTGCTGCTGAAGGTGAAGTGCTTCAACCGGATGCAGGAGCCCATGAAACAACAGTAGCCACTGAAGTTATGGTCTCCCCTGGGGAGATCAATGATGTAATCTCTGCTGAGATATTAGATAATCAGAATGATGAAGTTATTGTAGGTGATATAGCTGCTCGTATCTCCACGAGCCAAGATGATAATTCCCAAGAAACCTTGCTAACAAATTCAGCCTCAGTGCATGATGGTGTGATTCCAGGTGTCCCAGATACAGATACTAGAGATTTAGTGAATGTTGGAGATTCGTGCAGAGAGAACAATGGATCGTCTGCTGGTGGTGATCAAGAGTGTGTGTCTTCTGAAGAAGGTACTGCAGTGGGCCAGCAGGACAGAACAGTGATTCCACCAGCTCTGGGGACAGCCAGTACAGAAAGAATGGATCTGGGGAATTCTCCTAGAGAAAATGATCATGTATCTACTGAGCTTGACAATGAAACAGTTGGGATTTTGGTACAGGATGTATCAGCTTCTACTTCCAACAGAGATGATGGTTCAGAAAAAAGTCCGCTGACAAATTCAACTTCTGTTCCACCAATTCCGGAGACAGTCAGTGCCAAAAGAATGGATGGAGGGGACTCTTGCGGAGAAAATGGTCATGTATCTACACAGCATGAGAACGAGGCTGTCGGGATTTTCGTACAAAATGTACCAGGTTCTACTTCCAACAGAGATGATTGTTCAGAAGAAATGCTGTTGACAAATTCAACTTCAATTCAGCAGCCAGAAGCTGCTTCTGCGCAAGTCAGCCAGTTCCTGAACCAGGTTGGTCATCGAAAAGGCTGATTACTTCTCTTTTTCATGATAAGTTTATGGTCATTTGTGCACTATAAGATTGATTCTTGAGGACTTCTATTTTGGATGCCAACTCTTCTCTTTTTAACTTGACTGACGATTGTAATTGCTCAATATGGTTTAGCCTGTTCAAAATGAAGCAGCTCTACAGCCAGCAGCATCCACTAGAGCGAATGTTTCAGAAACTCTAGCAGCTGCACCTTCTACCTCAGCAATTGGTGCCCGGATTTTACAAGCTACGCCTGTTTATCGAGTACCTTTGCCATTGGGCCATGACCCTCTCCAAAATGAATTGGATAGGATACGCCGCGAATTGGATCACATTGCCAATGTGCATGAAAAGGAGGTCAGTTTTCTATGTTCTCTCCTGATGTGTTACTACAGAACAGTTTTTAAAAGTAATACCTTGAGTAATAACCTCCGAAAATTTGCTCCTATATGCAGAAGATGCAGTTAAAATCCGACTGTGAGAAGGAAATAGAGGAAGTTGTTGCTCAAATTCGCAATAAATATGAAGTTAAGATGAAAGAGAAGGAAAAAGAAATTATGCTTAGTAAGCGGGAACTGGATGCAAATCATAATAAAATCCTCATGAACAAGATCCTGGCAGAGGCTTTCAGGTCCAAATGCATGGATATCAGGGCATGTAATTCGCCTGGAGTTCTACAAGGTAGGTACTGATGTTCTACTAGGTTTTTAATTGCATTAGCTGATTTTTTTGTTAGTTTGCTTCTTATGAGCAGACCAATATATGGCATAATCAGAAGCCTACATGGCATATGAAAGTCATGCCTAACAATGTTCATAGAGGTATATCATTGATCAGATGACATTGACACTTACATTACTCTCAGCGCGAAGAACGCCTAAGAAAAGCTGTCTAGTTGACTGATATGCTTAGGGTTGCTGTAGAAGTTATGTCTAGTGAAGAGAGAATTCAGGATTACTCTTGTTGAACCTCTGAGAACACAAGAGTCCCAAAAATGGGAAGCAGTTTCCTCTGTTAAATGTCCACTCCACAGTTTGTTTGGGAACCAATATTTGATTAGATAAGTTACTACTCAGTCCATCATACTGGATCCCTAACTATCACTTGTTTCCCTCCTCCCTCGCAGACGCTGCTGCCACTTTCATGCAGCAATTCCGGCAGATGGCTTCGATGCCTCCGCAGGGATACTCAGGACCCCGATCTTCTGCTGCTCCTTCTTCTCGCCCTCTGCCACCGCCTGGGGTTCTAACCGGAGATAGTCGGCAGACTGCTAGTGCTCTACCTTCTCCTTCCTCGACCACCACCTCTAGGGCACAAGCTGTTTTTCATCACTCCACATCACAACCTCTCTCGAGCTCTCAATCCAGGCCACCTACTATCAACTCCATGTCAATCCCTGCCACCACTGGCACCGCTACCAATCATCTCCATATCGATAGCCAGAATCGAGCGCCTGCTCCACACCTTCAAGCTCTTAGACCTACAGCAGCATCTATGGCGCCGCCAGTTACTACTAACATCCCTCATGGGATGATGCACCCGCCAAGTCAACGTGTCTCCACTGTCCTTCCCTCTCTGACTGTCCTGCCCCCGCATCCGCATCAGCCTGAAGCAGCAGCAAACCCTGTCCAGCAAAACAACGACGTGGTTTGTTTGTCCGACGATGATTGACCGTGTTAAACGCGACATCATGCATTTTGCATCCCATAACTTAACAGTTGAAAGCGGATGGGAGGAGGACTCCGATTGTTTTAACATGTGCAGGGAATTCCTCATCTGTATATCTTTCTTGTGAACAGTCCTGATGTAATAGCTATTTTTGTCATAGTTTGTGGTGTGGAATGTTTATATATTCTTCTGCTTCAGCTCCTTTCCAGTCACTCTCACACCACCACCTCGTTGTTGAGTAGGTTCGAATCTCTGCTATCAATTCGTCGCAAGCTCGAGTTCAGATCATCTCTTCTTCGGTCGATGGATGTAAATGCAATCGTACCCTTGTGTGCGTGGATCAAATGTGCAGTGTTATTGTTTCTTGTCAAAGTTGTACTAGCTAGATTGACTGCCGTCTGATTTTAACCTCGTCGTTAAGGTCGATATATGTTTGAATTTGTAATTATATATTTTTTGCCATGCTACTGTGAGTTTATCCTTTTATTGCTCATTTTGACTTTTGAGGGTCAGTTTCCACTATGGCTTATTAGGAAAGCATTACACTACACCACCATGTCCGAAGCTCAATCCGCTGCTAGAATGGTGAGTTTCTCGAGCTGTACTTCCATTTATTACCAAACCAGAACCAGTCCATTGCATTATAACAATGATACATATTCGCTATTGTAACAATCATTATGTCAAACCAAACATCTTGACATTATAGCCATGATCAATAAACATTTGCAAGATACATTCTCATGAATTACCAAAACATGCACCCAATTACCATATGGTAGTTCACAAAAAAAGAGAGCAAGTTACTTGTTGTTGTGATTGTTGACGATGTAATCACCGACGACGTGGGCAATAGTGATAAGTGGTTGGATGGAGAGCTGGGAGAGAAGGTGTGCTTTTGAATCGTTCTCGAGCTCGTACTTGATCGTGGATCTAATAATACAATGACGTGGTTGTGCGTCGTTGTCGATGACCTCAACTCGTATGGTATAATGATCAAACCCAAGATGTAGGAAACCACCTTCCAACGTGTCCGATTCCTTCACACGCTTCTCGTCGTCCATGATTCTGAACACTTCTTTTAGGTATCCAATTCCGGGAGTTCCTAATCACGCCACAGACCAAAACTATCGATATTACAATTAGGAATGATAATGAGGCAGGCAAGTCGGTGGAGGTATTTTGGTACTCATACCTATGGCAGGTTGGGTTTAGGTCGAGTATGTTATACTCTGACATGGATCAGGGAATCAGGTCGACCCATACGAGTATGTATTTTAAAGTAAAAAAAAAACACTTGGCCATACAATTTTTCATTAAAAATTAAAAAACAAACTATGACATGATAAATGAAGTTAAATTCGAGAAATGGATCTCACCTGAAATTAACATAATTTGGACAAAATTGAATCGAGAATGAAACGAGTCAAGTCGAAGTGAATACAATCAATACCTATCCCACCCATCTATATGTAAAACGAATAACCAAAATATGTAGAACAGATTGAATATAACGTGTCAGGTTGAAATTCTCATCCTAATTATTTCAATACTAATTATTTCAATACTATCCTCTTGATGATTCACTATTGTACATATATATCTTTTGACTTTTTGCTGTAACAGAAATCCGCGGGCTGGAATTAGCGTGAATGTTAAAAGAGAGTACCGGAAGTTTACAAACCTGGAGGAAAAACGAGCTTGACAATCGTGCCGGCGGATCCATCTCCCTCGACGACCTCCACGGTGCCGACGAGGTGAGGCATCAGCTCATTCACCAGCCGGGAAAGCTCAAGCCCTCTGTACGATTCCCACACCACGCTCGCCGGAGCTTCCACCGGAGCCTCGTGACATATCTCCCCTCTGATTACGCCCATCTCTTCTTCTTCTTCTAAAATATATACGGCATGTGAGCTTGCGTCTGCTTTGGGTTGTCCTCCATTATTTCTTATATAGTCTGTGTTTTATTCTGCTTCGTTTTCCTTTTGTCTAAGCTTTGTATTTTGTCAACTCTATGACATGGGGGTGTTGCGCTCACGTGGTTAATTAATTGTCGCCGAATTCAATGTTTGTGCACTGGTGGAACTTTCCGGTGGACCAAACTTAGAACGTCCATCCAGGGTCATGATCGGTTCTACAGAAAACTTAGATTTCCATTGAATATAATAATAGTCTTGTTTTAAAATTTTCTTTTCTCGCCGGCCGGCCGGAGAGGTCATAGATGCGATAATCATGTGTTAGTTAAATTATTAAGAACGCGTGTATTTGTTACGGGCTTTTTGGTTTTATCCGAAACTGGACCGTATGACTCGGATCGAAACAGGATCGGGATCAGATAGCAAACAATTCAATCCAATTTTTCGGGTCTAGATTTGAGGTAAAAAATTATTTGGGACCGGACCGAAAACCGGATAAGAGAGCCCAACACCCAAAATTTAACCTCCTCGCCCTTTCAGGCCTTAGGTCACTCAAATCCCCCCTCATGCCACTCAAATCCCCACAATCTCAATATAAAATCAAGCCTGAATTGGGACCTGATCGGACTGTATCCAATCCAATCTTTGGTCTTTATATTCTCGAAAAGATCGGACCGGGAATTCGGACCAATTTAACCGGACCGGACCGTATAATCACCCCTATTTTAAAGCACATGATATGAGGACAAAAATGCTTATTTCCTGCCCAATAATATATGTATTAAGAACATATTATGTGTTATAAATACATACATTCTCGATCTGAATTAAGTAAAGATAATATTACATTGCAGATTATATATATATATATTCTAAAATCAGATATTTCAAACGACCCCTTGGCATTCTTCATGATTTCGTGGTCACATGTTTAAGTCTCCACAATCCTCGTTATCAACCATTGTTTTAAAGCACATCATATGTGGATTTGTGCTAAAGTGTTGATTTGCGATCCAATAATATATGTATTAAGAATACATTATATATTATAAATAGATACATTATATAGACCCAAATTAAATATAAGGCATTATATTGCAGATGATGCGTATATTCTAAAATCAAAGATTCCAAACCATCCCATGTTCGGGATTTTGATCCAATTTATATGGGATATAACTTATAACATCCATGTCCTCGCGAAATTCCAATATTAATCGATGTTTTAAAGCACATGATATGAAGACAAAAGTGCTGATTTTCGGCCCAATATATAATATATGTATTAAGAACATATTATGTGTCATAAATACATACATTCTCGATCTGAATTAAGTATAAAAAAAAATATTACATTGCAGATGATATATATATATATATATTCTAAAATCAGATATTTCAAACGATCCCTTGGCATTCTTCATGATTTCATGGTCACATGTTCAAGTCTCCACGATCCTCATTATCAGCCATTGTTTTAAAGCACATCATATGCGGATTTGTGCTTAAGAATACATTATATATTATAAATAGATACATTATATAGACCCAAATTAAGTATAAGTCATTATATTGCAGATGATGCGTATATTCTAAAATCAGAGATTCCAAACCATCCCTTGTTCGGGATTTTGATCCAATTTATATGGGTTATAACTTATAACATCCATCGTGAATATATATGCCAATGTACATGTTTATTTTATTTTATTTAAACATATGCAAGTTTCATGGCCTACTAGTACTATTATTTGTTAGGTTATGACCCGGGAGTTACCCGTTCACATGTTTATCACCAAATTTTACACCTGAACTTGTTGAGGATATTAATTATTTAGTCAAAAATAATTAATTCCTTGTCCTCTAAGTCCCTTGTTTCCTTGTCCTTGTCAAAGAAGGAAACCTGGTTGTCATTAGGGTTTTAACCCTAAGTCTCTCTATATAAGCTTAGCTATGAGATTGTCGTAAGAAAGCCGTCACAATGTAGTCGTTTAATAAAATGTCAGCTGTGAGCTCTTTCGAGCTCACCGTGGATTAGTCTCGATCAATCAATCGATCGAGGATACCACGTAAAATCGTTGTCTCGTGTGTTGTTTCGTCTTCCGCATCATCAAATTCTTCATGGTATCAGAGCAAAACTCGATCCTATGTTAGGGTTTTGTGTATCCGCAAGTCTCTACCTTTTGTCTATTCGTCTTCGTCAATCAGTCACGGGGTTTGAAGACTCCAGCTTAGCAACAAAGGAAAAGAAGTTGCTAGCGGCATCAACGTCATCAGTCCGACGTTCGCCTCTGTTCCTTCGTTCATCCGACAGTCAGCAAGAGTCAATTGCATCCGTCCACTGAGTTTTTTGTCGCCTGGTTGCCGTCCATGGCGATTCAGATCGCTTTGCAATTGTCCGACGGTAAGCATGAACAGAAGCCGCAGAAGTTGGTTGCTTCCAGTCTTCGTCAATCGAGGCTTGTCTTCGGTCATCTCGTGCCTCAGATCCGCCGCCGAGTCCGTCAAAATCCGGCAAAGCTGGCGTCCCCGTCAATTCCTCCGCAGTCATAGGCGAAGTCCATCCCGCCGTCGAGACGAGATATCAAGTCCTCAGCCGTCGTCATCTACTGTGCTCTTGTTATTGATCGTCATCACTTTCACCATAGAGCGTTGCGGACCCAGATGGGGAATCGAGCGCCGCACCCATCATCCGAATTCACTATCGTCGTCCTTGCCACCGCTGGCCGGCATCATCGGCAGACTCCGAGTAAAGGCCTTCTTTAGTGGCCTCAACTCGCCACCGTTCCTCTTATCATCATCATCGTCCACGTCCCGACTTCGTTGAATCATCATCATCGCAGTTGTCAGTAGAGGTTGCTTGGATTCGAGCTCCCGCCAACGTCGCCCTTTCCAGGTCGCCGCCATCACTAGCCAGTCATCTTCCCAGCCATCATCGTCGTCTCGAGCAGAATCAAAGTCGTTTGCACCGCCGATGTTGCTGTCGTCGTTGCCTCTCCAGTTCACGTCGTCCTCCAGCCGGCAGCCGCATCGTTCGTCTTCAACTAAAGTTTATGCAAATCCACGAATCAGGGTTTGAACCTTTGGTTTTGTGATTTATTTTGGCCTCCGGATCGTCTATTATTGGGTTCAGATTTGGTCGTCGAGAAAAGAAAAAAAGCAGCTTGTCCATTGCGGGGTTGGTCTTCATCAACGTCACGTGGAACTCAAGAGTTGCACATGGGTAAACACTTATCAAGCTTAGTTCAACGGAAGTCAAGATCAATGGTTTTGTGGCAGTGGTTGTGTTGGTATTTGCACAAGGATTAACGTGAAAGTTAATGTCAAAGCTCTCCCAGTGCTTGTGTGTCCTGGCGCTTCCTTTAATTTGTGTGGTACTCTACAGTTGGGAAGTGGAAGGTGGAGTTTTATCTCACCACAAGTCATGTTGCGGTTACATCGTCACAAGTCATGCAGTAGTTGGGGTTGAGGAGATAAAACAACTTTCATCAACAAAGAAGTTCAAGTTATAAATCGAGGCAGTCACGATCACAGAAGAGATCGTCCTCTTGATGTTCAGAATTAGGTAATTTTCAGTCTCCACTATTTTTACTTTCAAGCTGGGCATTCACGTCGTTCATGCGTCAGCTTGAGGGGGAGAATAGGGAGTCAAGTCGTTCAGGAGATGCAGTCAACCATCTCCACCATATCATACGGATAGACGTAGTCAATCGTCTCCGTCAAATCATTCAAGAGACGCAGTCAACCGTCTCCGTCAGGTCGTTTAAGAGACGCAGTCAACCGTCTCCATCACGTCGTTCAAGAGATGTAATCAGCCGTCTCCGTCACGACGTTCAAGAAGATGCAATCAACCGTCTTCGTCAGGTTGTTCAAGGGAGAGAGTCGGTCGCCTCCAAATCAACCTCGTTCGAGATGTTATTCATCTCGAGTTTTGTTGTTCAAGCTGGTCATGCTTGTTCGTCACATTTCCTTTTTCAAGCTCGACATTCTTGTCACTCATGTCTTCGCTTGAGGGGGAGTGTTGAGGATATTAATTATTTAGTCAAAAATAATTAATTCCTTGTCCTCCAAGTCCCTTGTTTCCTTGTCCTTGTCAAAGAAGGAAACCTCGTTGTCATTAGGGTTTTAACCCTAAGTCTCTCTATATAAGCTTAGCTACGAGATTTTCGTAAGAAAGCCTTCACAATGTAGTCGTTTAATAAAATGTCAGCTGTGAGCTCTTTCGAGCTCACCGTGGATTAGTCTCGATCAATCAATCGATCGAGAATACCACGTAAAATCGTTGTCTCGTGTGTTGTTTCGTCTTCCGCATCATCAAATTCTTCAGAACTTTCCTGTGGACCGAACTTGTACGATCAACCTGCAGTACACTAGGCCAACCAACATGAACATGATGATGGGTTCCATTTTTTCCCCGGTGAACATAGGTTCCATTTTACTAAACTAAAGTGTTACAATTTCTATTAGATTTTTTTATCCATTTAATTTATTTTGGATGTTACTCTCTGTTATTACTGTTGGGGGCATCAGAGAAGAAGCCCAATGAAGAAACCCAATTGTTAAGACTAAGTGGAGAGGCCCAGGAAGAGGTCCAATGAGGTATAGTTTAGCCTAGTGTGTGGGGTCCGACGGCGACAAAACCCCGCCCAGTTAGGGCAATGAGTCAGGAGTAGAGGTGAGACCTGTCTCTGACACAAAGCGCATGTGGACAAAATAGTATAACGGTCGGAAGTGTACGGAGGGCGCCGCAATGATCTAAATTAGGTCAATCATTTTTTTGAAAAAAAAAAATGGTTTCGAAATTTAAAAAATTCTTTCGAAGAAATTGTATTTGAAAATGATGACGAACTATACAAATATTAACATGAACAAATTATATTAAGGCTTCCATAAATACATTTTTGAGTAAATGGAAAACTGGAAAAAAGGAGATTCCCATATTTAGAGAATGTAGCATTTGAGTAAAAAAGGAGAATTTGGGGATGCCCCAAATTTGGTGACTAGCATTGGACTCAACCTTAATTATGGTTATAAGACAGGCATTATCATTTTATCACTTTCATATCACACTATATTATCACAGAAATAATATCTTGATATGACGGTGATAAGAAGATGTGAAACATTTTTTTGTCAGAAAATGTCAAAATGGATATCATCTTATAGAGAATAAAAGAAAAATATATTCTTACACAAAATGTTAAATTCGATGAAAAACGAATGTCCTATGATCCGTTAATTACCGAAGAAAATTTGAAAAATGTTTTAATGGCACATATGAAAATCCACACTAGCCCAAAAAAAAATTCAGTTATCTACCAAATAATCGGTAAACTCTCTCCTAAGTTTTGTATTTCCCTCTCACTCATTTACAATGTGGACCATTAGATATCTCCTTTCCAAATTACAATTATGGGATTTGATTTTGCAGTACTACATTTTACTTAGGGATGACAATCCAACTCGAAACTGTGGGTATCCTACCCGATCGTAACCGGTCAACGTGGGTAATTACCCGCTTTGACGGGTTAAGGGCCGGGTATGAGTAATACCCGGTTGTAAAAATGCGGGTAGGGTACGAGTATGGTAACTGATAATACCCGCCCCGCTAATTAAATTGCTAAAATTTAAAAAAATTAAATTTTCTGATAATTTGTGGTTAATTTATAAAATTTATCATTTTCAAATTAACCAAAAAAATAAATTTATTATATATTTTTATAATTTTATTTTTTGGTTAATTTGATAATGATAAATAATAGAAATTAGAAAAATAATTTAATTTTGAAAATTTTTAATGATTTTTAGGATGACATGTCGTGTTGACTAACGGTTAACGGTTTTGACCGTCCAAATTGACGACGGCCAAGATGTTAATTTCTTAAAGCACCGACCAAAGTTGATTATATAGTCATAATTCAGACCAAAATAATGTATTAACCCTTAATTTTTATAGTTAAATGTTACGTAACATATTGAACTTTTAAACATACATGCTAAAAACCCCTAGATAAGTCATTGTCGGCCTTTAAATTCACACCATTAAATGGAGGCTCCATTTACAATAATTAATGGCGGTCAACATCTCCACTGATTAGAATCCCTTTGTATTTTCCTAGCATTATTGCAGAGAAAAAGGAAATCGGATGATAACACCAAAAGTCCAAAACGAGTAATATTCCGTCCATAGAAAACAATATAATTAATACACCAAGCAAACAAAGAACGTCAAAGAATTTTACAATACTATAAGTGCTATAAGTTTTTGTTTTATGGTTACAATTTGAAATTGTACATTTAACGTTATGATACAATTTCAACTTGTACCTATACGTTTTGTACAAATTTTTTTATGGTACAACTTAAATTTGTACATTTATGTGATGATACAACTTCAAGTTATAAAGTTGTACCATAACATAATTGTACAAATTTCTTTATGGTACAACCTAAACTTATACATTTAATGTTATGGTACAACTTCAAGTTGTACATTAAAAGTAAAACACCAAAACTATATAGTATAGTAGAAGTGCTCGTCAAACAACAACATTATAGTACTAATCGACAGTGGCAGAGTCATGTTAAGCCCCCAACGAAAGCCCTAGCCCCGCCTCAGCTCTACAAATCGTGTAAAATTACATATAAAGATTTCGTAACAAGTTCGAAAACCTAAATTTTTAGCTCCCCTCGTTTATATTTCTTACCAACGATCAACACGAATAGTCCACGTTTAGGGGTGTTATTTTGGTTATAACCGGTAACAAACGGTCGGTTATCGGTTAACAGAAATAACCACTCCCCCTACCGAAAACCGATAACCAACCGAACCACTTTTAAGAACAAAAACCATTTCGTCCAGCCTCCGATAACCGACCGAAGTTCGGTTACTTCGATAACCGGTAACCGAACTGCCACCCCTATCCACGCTACCTTTACTCCTGCTCCTTACTCTCACGGCCGTCCAAGTACTGCTGGCAGAGGTACGAAAGGAAGCCCCAGAGAGCCAGCACCATCGCCACCACCTTGACACCGCTCATCCTGTCGTCGAATATCACCACCGCCATGATCGGCGCCAGCGGCAGCCCCACGGTGCCGACGGCGTTGGAGAAGACGGAGCTCACCTCGAAGACCAACGCCATCGTTGCCACCGCGAAGAGCTCCCACGTCACGCCGGTCCAAACCAACGTCATCACGTAGCCAACTTTCCCGAGCTCGTAGTTTTCCATCTCCTTCCCGAGTCCCTTCCAGTCGCCGCTGGCGAACAGCCCCACCGCGCCGATCCCGCTCGCCACCATCCCTTGAAACATCAGCATGTTCATCACCACCTTCAGGCTCTGCACCTGATTAGGAGGGGAAAAAAAAATCGTAACTCTGTGCTCGATTATTCGATCATAACAATATAACAAAATAATAAAAATGATTTTGCTTAACTTTTCGAATCACAAATTTGCTTTCAGCATTTTTTTCAGCCACGACCTACTATCGATCTCCACATAGTACTCCAGCAAACTACAAACTGATTCGTTGAACGCGGAGGAACTGCTTCAAACTCTAGTATTTTGGAAAAAAATATTTTTGAAAAAAAAATTCTTTTACCAACGCTTGTATTTTGGGATTTAAAAAAAAAATTATCCGACGCACTCACCTTGAGAACTTTCCTGAAGGCGTACTCGGAGATGGAGAAGAACATCCCCGACGCCGCCGCGGAGGCGAGGGTGCAGAGGAACCCGACCGTGTACTTTGCCCTGGTGATCCCCCTGGGGTCAGCGGCGGGGTCCCCGGCGAAGACGAGGAGGACGGAGGAGACGGTGAGGAGGAAGAGCGAGTTGACGACGAGCGGAGTGAACTTTTGGGCGTTGAGGAAGTAGGAGAAGAAGGCGTTGAACGCCAGCTGCGACGACGCGATGAGCGTCGACGTCGAGACGGGGAGGTAGTCGATCCCCGTGGAGTAGAGGTACGTGCTCCCGCCGACGAGGAGGCCGACGATCGTGTAAAAAGCTCCATGTGTCAAGTTTGAAGACGGTTGTCGATCCCCGTGGAGTAGAGGTAGTCGATCCCCGTGGAGTAGAGGTACGTGCTCCCGCCGACGAGGAGGCCGACGATCGTGTAAAAAGCTCCATGTGTCAAGTTTGAAGACGGTTGTCGCCGGTCACCACCGTCGACGGCGTGGTTTTTGGTGGTGAGGTGGTAGAGGTAGTAAGGGATGAGGAGAGGGAAGCCGGCGAGCTGGACGGTGGTGACGAGCCACTTGCTGGCTCCGCCCTTGACGAAGTAGAGCCTTGCAAGTAAAACGACGGCGGTTTGGGAGGTTAGTATGATTGTGGAGTAGGTGAGGACTTTTAGCCACCACTTGATTTGTTTGGCTTTGGGGACGACGACGAGTTGTTGCTGTTGCTGCTGTGGAGATGGGTCGGCGGCGGCAGCGGGTTCTTGACCGGTGAGAACTTGCAGCTGAACGTGGTCGTCTCGATCGTGATCCTGTGCCGCCATTCAGGTTATACAATATGTTCTGACTGCGAAGAAGGGCGAAGGAATGAAGTTGCTCGATATAGCTGCAGATCTAAGGACTTCGAAGATGTCCTTTTTGTAGGGGAGGGAGGGAAAGAAGTATATGTATATTTAGTGCAACATGTGAACCATGGAGCTACAACATTTTGTAGCTTTGTAAAATTTCTGTTCACTCCGCTGTCAGTAAAAAAAAAAAAGGAAATGACTTATTTTGTCACACAGCATGACATGTCATCAAATTAACGTTGAGTTGTTAGTAGTAGTAATTTGTAAGGGAGTTTGAACATGTGGCTGGAAGCCTGGAACCCTGCGAAAAAAGAATCATATATATTGGATTCGTTTGCCTGAGTCATTTGTCTAAATGGTGACTATTTCGGTGCACTCACAAAAATGAGTGCGTTCAATGCACCCAACTCAAAAACTAGTCTTAAGATGTCGGATTTTGAATTTTAATTTGTAGAATTAGTGTAATATGATGATATAACATATGATAACAACTAATTAGTGGATTACCCTAAGCCCTAGACCTCCAATTTTGAGTTCTATCCCTAAACCCCAAATTGTAAACCCTAACCCTAACCTTAAATCTCTAACTCTAAATCCTTCAAATTAAAGTAAATCTTCAATAGTTTTTGTGCAAATTCATGTGTGTTATTGTTCATCACATCATAAGTGATGATTGACATCATTTTGACATAAATCGCATGTTTAAAATGACGGTTATGAAGTGAGTGCACTGAATGCACCCAAAAAAGTGAGTGCACAGAAGACGCCACCTTGTCTAAATACAGGCATTTGAGAAATGTAGACATTTAAGAATGTAGGCATTAGAAATGCATTGTTTGTTTAAAAGTTTTTAGATGAGACATTTTTAGATGAGTTATTTGTATACTGTTACCATTTTGCCCTTACATGTAATATGTTTCGTTATTTTATTTTCTACTCTAACAAAACCAACCACATAAAAAAAATTATTTTGCAAACAACAAATGGTAGTGTTTGAGAACGCCTTCATAAGTCTCAAATTTTAAGCTAATTACAAATGGTAGTGTTTGAGAACAAAAATGATGCGTCGTTACGTAGATGACCGGCCCTCTTCACCGTTAATGAAATTCGGGAGAAAGAAAAAATAATTCCGAGAGGAGACGGAGCAATGATATAGAAAACAAATGATTGAAAGAGAATGATAAGAGTGGGTTTACATAGAATAGGCAAGGACATAGTTGGATCATTTAGACTAAATAATGAGTCATTTAGAAATGACTCATATTGTATAGGAGGCATTTGGAAATATCTCATTAAAGTCATTTGAGAATTTCGTATGGACGAAATATTTCATATACTGTTTTTTCCTTACAGCAAACAAGTCATTTGGTACCAAATGAGTCAAGCAAACTACCCATATTGTTGTTGCTCTGTTCCTTTCTTAATTGCAGGCTTCAATCGGAAACTTTTCAAGCAAACCCTACTAATGATGTGAAAGAAAAAAAGTGTCAGAATGGCAAATTTGCAATTGATTCTATTTCTATCCGTATAATATATTCATGTTGTAGAATGTAGGCCTCAATGTTATCAACTATATATAAATAGATTATGAACAACAATAGATTTCACAATGAATTATGAAATCTTCTTTTGGAACAACAATAATGGAGCAACATCAAGTTTAGCAAAGAAAAAGCTTATGTTTGGTGGTACATATTTGAGCTTATTATTAAGAGGAGAAAAAAAAAGATTGGTGGTCCTATTGTGGGAGGAAGACCATTTGGCTAGATAGCAACTACTAATTAGCTCGTTGATTTTATTCGTTATAAAAAAGGCAATGAATTATTGTTTATCATTTTTCTCTTTTCATGATTTTAGAGAAAATTAAAAGAGTACCACTTAAGTGGACGAAATGTTGGAGTTTTAATTACCGGGGAAAAAAAATGTTGGAGTTATATCACTTGATTTAAAACAGTGTGTGGGATAGTACCAATGTCGGATTTTTATAGCTTCGTTAATTTTCTATTCATTCCACTAATAATAATAAAAATTTAAATAATTCATTTTGCTACAAAACACGAGGAATCAGAACTCAGAAGTAGGGATGGCAATGGATCGGGTTGGGGCGTGTTTTGTCAAACTCGAACCCAAACTCATGGGTTTATCCGCCAAAAAAACCCGGGGTAAAACCTGCTGGGTTTGAAAAACTCAAACCCAACCCAACCCGCTGGGTATCCGCGGGTTCATGGGTAACCGTGGATTTTTGTGGTAAAAAATTTACAATAACAAATTTCTTTCAAAATAAAATTCTAACATCAATTTTCTCATAAAAATTATCCTTACAAAAAACACTAATCTAGAGCATACAAGCAAACCCGAAATTATCAATACAAATTGTTCAAATTAAAGATAAACATCTATAAACAACATGATTAATTGAAAGCTCCTTCCTCCTTGTCAACTAAACTTCTTCACTCTCCACTCCATAATATCAACTTCATTGTACACAATTTGAAAGAATAAATTAGACATGTCTCCACAAACATAAAGAAGATTAGTTATTTAAGAAAGATATATTGCAAATAACCCGGAAAAATTAATTATATGGGTGTGGGCGGGTACTCATGGATCGGGTTTACCTAAACCCAAACGCAACCCAACCCGATGAATAATGTAGCGGGTTTAAACCCAAACCCGGTCCAAAACCCGTCAACACGGGTTTTACCCGCGTTGACCGGTTGAATCGGGTGAGTACCCGTGGGTTTGGGTTTTGTTGCCATTCCTACTCAGAAGGCATGTTTGTCGATTCATGACCGTTAAGACGGCATTTGTGGGGGAATACTTCTACTCCTTCACCTAGATTTCAGCTGGCCACTTCACTTCTTTCTATATATAATGCTTAAATCTGAACATGAATTATGTATTCTGTCGTTCGTTAATATCATCATTTTTTGCGTACTTATTTTGTTAGTTCGACCTGTCAAAAATTATTAATTGGGGTGGTGGGCTCATCAGTGTAAGGAGGTGGTTAAGTAACATATATGGGTCTGTATAAGATTCAGAATAACATTTTCTCAACAATTTGAGAGACCAAATGGTTTATGACAAGGTATCAGAGGTCAGAGCTGGTTCCGCTACTGAGTTCAAGTTGGATAATTTATCACATGCAGCGGATCAAAGCAAACAATTGAAATATTTATTAATCAGAAAACCAAGAAATAAACTATAAAATATGATAAATGTAGTTAAGATATCTCAAATTAGTCATGTATAAAACCATGGCAAATTGATGAGAAGAGAAGGAGAAGACGACTTAGGAAAGATAGGTATAATTTCTAGTCGAACGAGAAGATAAGGGTAAATGAGGAATGATAAAAAAAAATGCAAATTGAGAAAGAATGGACAAATCGGTACCGGATTTCATAATAGTTAAGGGGGCAATTAAGCTATTCTGAAATCCGATCATTGAAGAATTATGAAATTCGGCATGCTAAAAGTCTCTCGTCCTGACAGCCTTTACCAAACGAGTAATTCGAGCAAAATTCCGCGGAACAAATTATTTGGGAAAAATCCTGCATCCAAATTCCTCTTACACAAATCCCAAATTGAACGTAGTGTATCAACTGATATATATATATAAGAGTGAAATAAGTTTATATTACAAGAGAGAAAACAAAAAGCACACATAAGAAGAAAAGGGCGCCAGAAACCAGCGTCACCAACCAAAGACAGAGGCGACAGCTGAACAACGAAAACAACAAAGACGAACACCAGAAGAAGAAAAACACAGTGCTTCACGCAAGAACCAGCACCCTCAGCCGCTAGACATCAAGAATATGGGTGCTGCGGGGGATCATTACTCGCCCCAACGGGAAAACTTCTCGGAAGAACCCTGAAAATAAGGTGCTGAAACCACTAATCAGCAACCAACCTGTCCACTCTTTTAACCACAATCAACCAATCAGCAATCTCTTTGCCAATGCCAACCCAAAACATGTTCCGGAGTCGTCTTCTTGTCTTTGAATGTCCTAGCGTTTCTTTCGCGCCACAACCTCCATCAAACTGATATATATTGTACTTGTACATTAATGATATATGAGATGTAGACTATTTATTGAAGGAAAAATATAATCATTCGATGTGGTATTAAATTTGTTAGTGGTTGGAACCAGCTTTTAGTATTTTGAAGAATTGGCATTGTTTATCTTTTTCTCCTCTCATATGATTCCATGACTCAGAATACTAAATACAGTACGGATCCTCCATGATTGACTTCATGTTCCCCCGCTCCTTTCTTAGTCCAACCCTACTAAATAATGCCGATAAAAGAAAAGTGTTCGAATCGCCATTTGCAATTCAATTTATCTATAAAATCTTTTCACGTAGTGATAGAAGGTATGCCTCAATTCTATGAACAACGATAGATAATTATGAATTGTGGAGTCTTTTTGGGGACACATTTCCTCTATTAATAATCTCAACTCCATGTTCCACCAAATATAAGCTTTTGTTTGTTAAAGTTGATGCTGATCCATTATCGGCCTACATAATTTCGATCAAATTATATTGTTGTTCCAAAAGAAGACTTCATTATTATTTGCTGATCCTATTAGTATGTATTCAACTATTCTACAACCTAAATGATTGTCACTTACGTCGAAATTTGAGGGGAAAAAATTCATGTACATATTGTTTTAGTGGTGTTTAGATCTGTACTGAGTATTGAGGATATAATTCAAGGCTCCATAACCAATCTAAACTTATCAACAAAAAAAAAAAAAAAAATCATTACCAACTATATAATTCAATCATGGAGATCTGTACTGAGTATTGACGCGTGGCATAATGAAAGAAGAAAAAAGATAATAAAAACTATAATTCTTTGCAATTTATTATTATTATTATTATTATAATAAAAAATCAACGAGCTAGTTAGTAGTTAGAGTATCTCCATCAATACAATTGCAAAAGTAATTGTATTTGTGTTTTTTATTGTCAACCCAAAAATTTTGCAATCCACATCACATTCATTTCATTCACCTACATCAATGCAATTAACTTGCAATTACAAATATAATTAAATATTATGTTTAAATTATATAAAATTAAGTAAAAGAGAAAAAAAATATATAAAATACAAAATCGCCATTTTTTAGGCTTTTTTTACTTGCATATTGAATTTTATTTGTTGTAAGCTTGCAAATATACAATTAATAGTCATATCAATGCAATAGGTTTTTGCAATTGCATATATCTATATCATGTCATTTTGCAATTCAGAATGCAATACTAATGTGGATGCTCCGTACTTGTTGCTATCCAGCCAAGCCGCACGTTTTTAGCACCAAGTCAGTTCCATGGTTCACCAACTATGAAGAAAGCAACGGCGTTCTTACTTACCACGTACACAGCCGTTGGATCCACATTCCACACTCTATCCCTTCACAATCGTTGGATAAGTGTGATGCCAATCCTATAAATATAATGACAAGCATTAATTCAAATTAGTTGCTGAGATCGGTTCGAGTTTAGTTATCATATAGTTTAGTTTATAATTTGTAATTGTTCGTTATCACGTTGCTTAATATTAATTAGTATTTGAGCAATTTATGATTACATAATTTCTCTTTTAATTTATTAAATGAGACATATTAGTACACGTGCTCAAATTCTTAGAATGGTGTGATGTATAATTTAACCATATATGAATTATCAACAAGTCAATGATTAAGTTATTAAATGATTCGCTCATAAGTTGATACTAGCTAGTTGAGGACCTGAACTGGCTTCACTAGCCGTACCGTCGCACGCGCGAGCCATCTCAAAACGAGCTAGCTAGCTCAACAAGCCACCAAATCGAATTGGCTCCTGTGAGCCCAATAAACAATTTTAGTCCAAACTCTGACTGGTTTGTAAATGAGCCGAGTATTAAACGACGAGTTGGCTCATTTGCTTCCCTAATACGCAGTAAAAGAAAATTATTGATTGCCTCATCTCCCATACTCCATGGCAGCACAGAAACAAGGTCACGAAGACATCCAAGTCCAACTGCAAGTCATTACACGTCCACCGGCCGACGACGGCCCATCTCCGCAACCGCCCGGCCCACAGCAACAACAGCAACTCGTCGTCGTCCCCAAAGCCAAACAAATCAAGTGGTGGCTAAAAGTCCTCACCTACGCAGCAATCATACTCACCTCCCAAACGGCCGTCGTTTTACTTGCAAGGCTCTACTTCGTCAAAGGCGGAGCCAGCAAGTGGCTCGTAACCACCGTCCAGCTCGCCGGCTTCCCTCTCCTCATCCCTTACTACCTCTACCACCTCACCAGAAACCACGCCGTCGACGGTGGTGACCGGCGACAACCGCCTTCAAACTTGACACATGGAGCTTTTTACACGATCGTCGGGCTCCTCACCGGCGGGAGCACGTACCTCTACTCCACGGGGATCGACTACCTCCCCGTCTCGACGTCGACGCTCATCGCGTCGTCGCAGCTGGCGTTCAACGCCTTCTTCTCCTACTTCCTCAACTCCCAAAAGTTCACTCCCCTCGTCGTCAACTCGCTCTTCCTCCTCACCGTCTCCTCCGTCCTCCTCGTCTTCGCCGGGGACCCCGCCGCCGATCCCAGGGGGATCACCAGGGCCAAGTACACGGTCGGGTTCCTCTGCACCCTCGCCTCCGCGGCGGCGTCGGGGATGTTCTTCTCCGTCTCCGAGTACGCCTTCAGGAAAGTTCTCAAGGTGAGTACGTGGGATAATTTAGAAAAAAAAAATCCCAAAATACAAGGGTTGGTAAAAGAATTTTTTTTTTCAAAAACATTTTTTCCAAAATACTAGAGTTTGAAGCAGTTCCTCCGCGTTCAACGATAGTAGGTCGTGGCTGAAAAAAAGCTGAAAGCAAATTTGTGATTCGAAAAGTGAAGCGAATTTTTTTTGTTTTATTATTAGCATTGCTATGATCGAATAATCGAGCACAGAGTTACGATCTTTTTTTATTTCCTCTCTGATCAGGTGCGGAGCCTGAAGGTGGTGATGAACATGCTGATGTTTCAAGGGATGGTGGCGAGCGGGATCGGCGCGGTGGGGCTGTTGGCCAGCGGCGACTGGAAGGGACTCGGGAAGGAGATGGAGAACTACGAGCTCGGGAAAGTTGGCTACGTGATGACGTTGGTTTGGACCGGCGTGACGTGGGAGCTCTTCGCGGTGGCGACGATGGCGTTGGTCTTCGAGGTGAGCTCCGTCTTCTCCAACGCCGTCGGCACCGTGGGGCTGCCGCTGGCGCCGATCATGGCGGTGGTGATATTCGACGACAGGATGAGCGGTGTCAAGGCGGTGGCGATGGTGCTGGCGCTCTGGGGCTTCCTTTCTTACCTCTGCCACCACTACTTGGACGGCCGCCGGGAGGAGAATAAGGAACAGTTTGATCACTAATCCTGCAGTTAATTACTGTGCTAAATTGTTTTTACTTTCTTGGTAATAATATGCTACGAAAAAAGACTAAGCAAGGCATCGAATTAGTGGAGATATGTTGGCCGCCATTATTGGAAATGGAACGTCCACATTAGTGGTGTCATTAATGTAATGGATGTCGTTTTAGGTGGGATCTCTTGAATAATTAATTAATGGATGTCGAATTAGGTGGTCTCAAAATAGATTTGTTGGACTCATTAATCTAGCTCGAAGTCATAAGTTTTTCCTTTCTGTAGCTATTTATAGATAATCATTTGTCTATTTTTTATCCAAACCCTTTTCAAATTCTTTTATATTATTCAGATCTATCGAAATACTGAAAATTAGTCAAATGTTAACTTTCAGTTAGCAATTTTGTTAGTAATATGAGGCACATTAAGGTCAACATTGCAAAATTTTAGTATTTTAACTAAGAAAAGAGTTACAAAATTATTAACGATAACTTAAAAATGGCTAATATTTTGATGCGTTACGAAAGATTTGGTTAATTAATGGAATTTTAATAGGTTTAGATTATATAAAAGAATTTGAAAAAGGTTTGGATATAAAATAGACATTACGCTAAGGATGGGTAAAATATCTGTAACCGTGGATATCCGCCCGAATCCGGTCTAATCGGGTAGGGTAAAACCCGAACCCGAAGGAAATTTAGTGGGTACGGGTAAATCCCAAACCCGAATATTGCGGATAATGGGCGGGCATGGGTTTCTCACTATCCAACCCGAACCCGCCCGATTATACACATGCATATGTATTTTTTGTCTATAAATAATCATAATTTTTCTCTAACATATTTTATATTTAGCATATAAATATAATATTTTCATGAAATTGTGATGTTTTAATTAATTTTCTTCATTTTAGTGAATTATTGTCGTACTTTTTCTCTTACGTAAAGTGAGATTACATGTGAATGTTAACATATTGGTTGGAGTTGTGAAGAGAAATTATTACCCATGGATAATCGTGGATACCCGAAATCCAAACGGATATGGGTATGAGCATGATTTTGATTTTCTACCCATTTCACATATGGATATGAGTATGGATAAAACCCGAACTACTTTAAGTAGGGTAACGTTCCGCCCCGACCCATTATCATCCCTACATTACCCTAATCATTTTCAAGCTGTCTTCCACTTCAGCTCCCCTGCACTGTTGTTCATTTCTTGATCACCAGACTTCCTTTCTTCGGCAACAATACACAGATAGCTCGAATTACTCCATACATTTGATTAAATGGTAAACAAAAAGAATAACCATACTCCATAATGTGCGCCATTATTTGTAAATGGAACCTCCACTTAACTAATGGGGTCAATTTATTCCTTTCACTACTAATGTGGGAAAATTATCATTTGTATTAGGTGGTCCAATTTATTCCTTCCACTCCTCGACGAAAGTTAAGGCATATTATTTGTCGTCAATGTTTTTATTATAAATGGCTAACTTTTAAAAAGAATATATATATAATTTTATAATTGTATTAAAAACCATATCTTCAAAAAAAAAAAATCACAACACCAAACACATCTCAAACTCCTAAATTACAATAAACTCAAACACCTGATATTCGCTGTAAATTCATTACGATAATCGGTTAATGTACAAGCTGGACTGGTGTTTTCCCACGTTTATAAAAATGTAGGGGTATATATATTTAATAAAGGGTGGCTTCTAGGGAACCCCGGGTGAAATCCGGGGTATCATATATCTTGAGTATGAAAATTCTATCTAGACCTCGAATTAACAGAATTTTTGGACCTAATATTGTACCATAATCCTTAATGAGTGAACCCTATGTACTAGTTATCTAAATCATAAACTATAAACTCTAAGATGGTGCATTCATTTTTTGCCTATATTTGGGTGAATCATTACCGTCGATTATTGTTTCTAATTAAATTGATCTTGGGGTATAAGATTTAGAGAATTAAGGTCTAGATTGTGATCTTTAAGGGTTAGAATATAGTATCATGTACGAAAGTTCAATCAATTCAAGATCTAGATAACGCTTTCATATTCAAGATATGCGGTACCACGAATTTCACCATGAATACCGTAAAACTCTTTATAAAGATATATATTACAACCATTATTAGTAAATTCGGAAGTTGGATAATGTATGTCATCATTTTTTTTTGCAAATGTGGTTCTGGCCGCCAAAACCTTTGTTCCATTTCAGATCTCCATCTCGCGGATAATCACGAAATTGGTCAGAATTATTTCGTCAAAACACGTAAAAAAAATTTCAAAGCACCAAAAAAAAAAAAAAAAGAATATCGTAATTGGTATAAGGCCAACTCAGGGTCGGAGGCAAGGTTTGGCTGGCCGACGGCGGATTTTAATTTGTTGACCTACGACAAGCTCACCAAAATTCAGAAATGGTGTTTGTCGGGGTTGGAATTGAGCTTGTGGATATAGGAGTTTATGGAGTTAGGGTTTTAATAATAATAATAATAATAATAATAATAATAATAATAATAATAATAATAATAATAATAATAATAATAATAAGTAGTTGGTGGAAAATAGTAATTTTGTTGACCACAAATAATATCCTTCCAACTTTAACTTATTTATTACCAAGCCAAGCAAAGCATTGCGTAACATGGTTCACGAAAGATGCGTCCGTTTTTTGTTATTGTTGACAATGTAATCACCGACGACGTGTGCAATAGTGATATGCATCTGGATCGAGAGTTGCGAAAGGAGGTGAGCTTTCGAGTCATCCTTGAGCTCGTACTTGACTGTCGATCTGACAATACTACGATGCATGTGGACATCATCGTCAACGATCTCGATGCGAATGGTATATCGATCAAAACCGAGATGGAGATAACCACCTTCGAACACGTCCGATTCCCTCACACGCTTCTCCTCGTCCATGATTCTGAACACTCCTTTTAGATATCCGATTCCCGGAGTTCCTACTAACCCGCACACAAAAATATTGAATGCAATTACCCCTTTCGTTATAAGCTAAGGTAAGTTAATTATGAGGGATTGGAAGAAAGGCTAATAATGAACCTGGAGGAAAAACGAGCTTGACAATCGTGCCGGCGGATCCATCGCCCTCGATGACTTCCGCGGTGCCGACGAGGTGAGGCATCAGCTCGTTCACTAGCCGGGAAAGCTCAAGCCCTCTGTACGATTCCCACACCACGCTCGCCGGAGCTTCCACCGGAGCATCGTGACATATCTCCCCTCTTATTACGCCCATCTATTCTTTTTCTTCTTCTTCATGTTTTCTTTTGTACTTCGTTTGAACCCTCTAGCCTATATATTACATGTGATCGTCACATTGGGTTGTCCTCTCTCCTGTTTGGCGGAGCCCGCATTTCAAACCACCTCTGTCCTTTTTTCATAATATAAATATTTAATTAAAAATAATTATATATGCATAATTCATTCACAGATTAAAAATTAATTATTTTTATAAACAACCACGAAGAGATTTAAATAGGTCTTTTTCAATGTATCTCGCTAAATTAGCATTAGGAAATTAGTCGCCAAATCGACTTGAAAACTTGTTCTTAATATAACTCAAAGCTGAAAATTCTCTTTTTACATTTGCGGTTGTAATTCGTAGAATCAAAACTAGTAGAATTATCGCTGTCGCTGGACAATTTCAGACTTGTTGGGAAAAAATCGAATAGGCATAAGGAGAAAAGAGATCCGATTAGGTCTTTATTGCAATTAGAATTCGTTTATAGTATAATAAATTAATTTTATATCAATTTATGAATAAACAATGAGTTGTGCTATAGTGACAAAAATACTCTAATACTATTTATAGGCGTTGTTTTCCATCACCAATATACATATATATGACATATTTTTGTTCCTCGGAAATTTACCCCTGTCCCGGGACAACGCTCAATAGCCCTCCCTCCGCCTATGACATACTCTAATACATATATAGTTGTGTTTCATTTTGCTACGTTTTCCTTTTCTTATATAAGCCTTGTAATTTTGTGAAGGCTATGACATGGGACTCTTTTGTGTGCTTATCACCAAATTCAATGAGGGTGCATGCATCTAAAATTTCCTGTGGGCGGGGATGAATTCGTCGAGTATTCATAAGCGTCGAAATAGGCAGATATATAGCATTGAATGGCCAAGTAGACTATATATTTTTTTTTTGCATCAGGGGAGGCAAAAGCCAAAGAAGCAGAGTTACAGGGGGGAGGGAAGGAGATTACAGAGAGGGAGGGGAGGGCGTAACCACCACATTTCGGGTGAAAGTGATTCCTCTATCATCATCATTAAGGAGATTATACAGCTCGTTGGGCGGATTTGACAACTCATACATACCGTAGGGATAGATGAGACTGTGTTTCGAGAGCCAGTCCGCGACTCTATTCCCTTCTCGATATGTATGGGAAAGTCGCACCACCCAGTCATGAGCCAACAACCTCCAAATCGCAGCCAGAAGGGTCGCATAAGGGTGGACGGGATCTATATATACGGCTGCTTCTTAACATTTGATGGTGGTGGATGAATAATAAATTATTGGGTTGGTTTGATTTTCTTCATATATATATGGTCTTTTCATATCATTACAGAAAATCAACAATAAAAAATCAAAGACATCGATAATTCGACTATTGATCTAGCTACTATCATGTTTGATATTGTTGCTTCTCATTACATTTTTTCCCCCTTCTTTGAATCTTATTAAATGACTACATTAAAAGAAACATTATATATTCATCATCATGACAATCATGTCAAACCAAACAAACATCTTATTGAAAGAAACATGTTTATCACGTACTACACCAAACCACCCAACCGCCTTTTGCATAGTTCGCAAAAATGGGTAAGTTACCGGTTGCGGTTCTTGATTATGTGATCACCGATGACTTGAGCAATAGTGGTAAGAGGCTTGATGGAGAGTAGGGAGATAAGGTGAGCTTTCGAGTCATCCTTGATCTCATACATAATTGTCGACCTGATAACACTCCGATCCGGTTTGGAATCGTCGTCGATGACCTCGAAGCATACAGTATAACGATGAAATCCAAGCGGCAGATAACCACCTTCCAACGTATCCGATTCCTTCACACGCTTCTCATCGTCCATAATTCTGAACACTTCTTTCATGTACCCGATTCCCGGACTTCCTACACACCATCATGAGTTGAAGAAAAGAAGAAAAAAAAAATTGGAACGGCAAGCTAATTAATAAGGGAGAAGAGTGGCCGGGGGAAAGTGGAAAATCTGTATATGGTTTACCTGGAGGAGAAGTGATTTTGAGAACGGTGCCGGCAGATCCATCACCCTCGACGGCCTCCACGGTGCCGATGAGATGAGGCATCAACTCGTTTATCAGCCGGCCAAGCTCAAGCCCTCGGTACGATTCCCACACCACACTCGCCGGAGCTTCCACCGGAGCCTCGTGACATATCTCCCCTCTGATGACACCCATCTCTCTTCTCCTTCTTCTTCTTCTTCTTCCCACCTCAATCGGTTGACCAAAGCAGGCTTATTTAATACATTCGATCCAGGCTGGCTGGCCGGCCGGCCCCTAGAGTTGACTTTTTTAATTTAATAAAATTATTTTGGAAGCAATGCAAAAAAAAAAAAATTGATGGTCCAGATTGGACAGCCCAACAGGCTATTTGGGCCTGAGAGTCACCGGCCTGTTATCCCTCCACCGCCTAGAGAGGGGAGCCACGCTGCTCTGTGAGCCCAGCCTGACGCTTTCTCTCCCAACTCTAGGGGCCGAGTCAGCTCAATCTTCACCGAACCTTCCCGGCCCAACTCCAAGCTTGACGCGGGCAGGCCAGAAATTTGAACGTCACCAAGCCCAGCCCTTGAGGCCGGCCCAATGTCCCACCACTTTAGTGCCTCCACTTGGATCACAAGCCCTCGTTAATGAGCTCGGCGGCACTGTTTGCTTCCCTTGCTTATTTAAAATGCTATACTAACTGCATTTCCAGCGATGTGGTAGCTTTCTCGCTTTCTCTTCTTTAACCCAATAGCAGCCAGCAGCAATGGTCTTTTTCCCTTAACTATCACTCATAATAGTTGAGGTTAACGAGCGAAATTCGAATGATCAGCTGATGAAGTGTCGATTGTAACTCGAGTTCGAGATATCCTAAAGTCTTTCGAGCTTGATTGGCTAGCCTGTCGCGCGCTGAACATGTTATTGCTCGACTTCGGTTCGTTAATTGACGAGCTTGTTCGCGAGCACCAACTCAGTTAAAAGACGAATCCAGGTGGTCGAGCTTGTACGAGTAATTAGTCTCTGCCAATATGATCGATCTCCTACTTCATTACACGAAACATTCAAATATCAGATAGTTCGAAAAGCACTGATCAATCTCAGTCACAAAGCTATAGCAGAAAGAAAGATCGTAAGTAAGCATGCATCTTTCATCTGCAGCTTTGGCCCCATTTTTGCACTGTTGTTCCCCCCAAAGACTTTGATACAAGAAATGTATATATACTATTAAAATAGGCAATGACTCATTCCTTTCGGACTAAGTCACTCGTGTTCTAATGTAGAAGCAATCAAACTGTGTATTCAACTAATAATAATTCCAGTTGTTTTGTTGAATTGTCAACAAAGGAAAAAGTCTCTCTCTGGCAGGGGAAAAAAGTTAGGCTTTGTTGGTTGGTTATATTCGAGCACAGGTCGATTCTCACTTTGTAACCCAGGTCAAGAATCTCGTAGAACTTGAGCTATGTGAAGAAAAAAAAAGAGATGGAAATGTAGAAATCAGAATTACTGTCACAGGAATTTAACTAGAGTATTAGAGTAGGGAGGTAGGTCAACCGTCTACCATGATGCCACTTTTCGAATGTTCGTTTACACATGATTCGGTATATTATAACTTAACACTTAAATGTTAAGGAGAATTTATCTCTTATTTTGAACTATATATGTAGCTTCATCATCATATAAATATGAGAGTTAATGTAGTTAGTTACCATCCCTCCGAATTATATCATTCTCTCTTCATAGTTGAATCAATAGAGCTAATATACAATTGTTAGAGCATATTTAAAAGAAAATATTATGGGTGAGTTGGGATCTATCATTCCGATACAAGTACCAACCAGAACAGAGAAACATGTATGTGTACAAATGATCTCTCGTTTAACTGTCGAAAAAAACAAATCAGAGTCGCCTTAACACCAGTCGGTAGACCAATTGTCCAATACTGGAGCCTGGAGAGAGAGGGAGTCGTCGCTCGGCAAACAACATGTCTGTTGATAAATCAGAACTCATTAGAAATTATTGTATAATTTTATTGAAATCAAGTAGGATTTATGTAGACAATCAACTAACATTATCAATGTAACAAATTAAATAACAATGCTTGTAGTATAATTAACCACGTATCAACGTTGTAGCAGCCATGCATATATATACAACATGTAATTATTACTTAATCCCTCATTTTTCATATTAAGAAATTCAAAGAGGAAGAAAGGTGACAAAACAAAAGTTTTATTATTAATAAAATTTCACATGAAAAAGTTAAAACACACAAAGTCTGGTGACTGATTTTATGAGCGACCTTAAGCTTAAGCACCGATTAGTAATTAACCCTTTATTTGAATTTCTTTCCACCGTGACAAGAAGAGCGAATCGTTTACCTCCGTCTGAACAAGACAACTCACACCCATGACCCAACTCTGCATTTCGACGATTCTTTATTCTTCTTCTTCTTCTCCTCCTTCGATTCGAACTCTCCATTTGTATTTTGTGGGCGATTTCAGTGACAGCGGGCCGACGCATCTCACTTGAGCTACTTTCCAATTGGGCTCTCAACAACACCTCCTTCCAGTCATATCGGAGCATCAACTCCGAGCTTCCGAATCAACTCAGAACGAGCAAAAAAATCCCATTTTCTTCATCCTCTTTACCCCTGTCTGGTTTGCGTTGAAAATGAGTAAGAAAATCAAGGTCAAAGAGGATACACGCGCAGGAATCGAAGTGGGTTTCACGTGAATAAACAAGTAAGTTTGTCTCTCTTATTCGTCTTCCTTTGATTTGATCGAATTGGGAACCAATGAGTTGAGGCAGCCATGGAAATTTGGGTAGCTTCTGATTGAGGCTATGCTTAATGGCTAAGGTGAATGGTTCAAAACCCATGTGGGTTCTTTTGTCCTTAGTAGAAGTTGGAATTGATTCCTTGATTGTATGGGAAGGGAGAGGGTTTTAACTTTTTCCCCCATTTGTATCTCGTGCAACAAAAGGGGTAAGCTACATAAGCAATAAATTGACTTTCTTCTCCGGGAACGGGTTCAATGTGGTAGCATCGTCCTTTATAACGATCAAATTATAGAAGGTAGCATGGCCTGTTAAGGTTTCTGGTTCTGGGGATGGAAATATCTATGGCTGCACAAATTATAGAAGCTTGATTAGGGTTTTCCTTTCCCACCACACGTTTCCTGATTCAGATGTGTCTGAGACGAAAGAGGGGAAAAGAAGGGTCTTTTAAGTGTTGTGGTTAATGGGAAACTTGTATCCCATGTTTGACTAGCCACTTTTCCTGCTTGAAAGGAGGGCAGACGGTCTCTTAGGTGCCAGCTGCTTTACTTTTTTGGCAAAGATCATTTCTTTCAGTTCACATGATACCTGGTACCCAAGAAGCCATTGATTGGCTGGTGTTCTCCCCTCTTTTTCCCCCGTCCTGTGGCTTTCAGCTCGTGCCTTGTCAATTTTCAGTCTCAAAAGTGGTCTTTTGGATTGCTTGGCTCTGAATATACTACAAGTAGTAGTAGTTGATCTTCCAAGCTTGTTATATGATGCAGAAATCTGCCCCTTGCTGTGCGTTCTGCAACATTTCTTTGCTCCAGTGAAGTTGCAGCCAGGGTTATGCTCCAGGAAGAAAAAACAAACACAATATGGCTTATTCAAATTCAAGATCTGTGAGGTTTGTAATTTCTCATGCTATTGAGTCTTCCATATTGGGTTCTGGAATAGATGTATGTATATTTTGACTTGTAAAATGGGGGTAATGTTCTTTTTCATTATAACAGGTTTAAAGATGATCTTGAATTGACAAAGCATCCAACAACGAATATAGATGGGACAGTCAAGCTTAAATACAACATAAATGGGATTCATATGTCGGAACCCAGTGCCAAGAGCTCTCAGAGAGATGCAAGGAATGGGAAATCGCTGAAGGCCAAAGTTCTGTCTCGAGTTTTCTCGGAGGATTACGAGAGAGTGAAGAGGAACATATTAGATCCTCGAGGGTCAGCAGTTCGAAGATGGTCTAATATCTTTTTGGTAGCATGCTTAGTGTCTTTGTTTGTCGACCCTCTCTTCTTCTACTTGCCAAGAGTTAACAGGACTGCATCCTGCATAGACATTGGGAGACCACTTGAATTCACCCTTACAGCTCTTAGAACAGTAGCAGATGTATTTTACATGGTCCAGATTTTCATACGGTTTCGGACAGCATATGTTGCACCTTCTTCTCGAGTTTTTGGGAGAGGGGAGCTTGTTATTGATCCTGAAAAGATTGCCTCGAGGTACTTTAGATGGAACTTCTGGCTTGACCTTATTGCAGCCCTCCCTCTTCCTCAGGTATCATTAATGAACCACACTGAAAAGCACTCAGTCCCCTTGCTTGAATCCAGAAGGGTGTGTTATGAACTTTTTACTTTTCATATTTGCAGGTACTTATTTGGCTAATCATACCAAACCTTGCTGGTTCAACCATGGCTAACACGAAAAACGTCCTCCGGTTCATCATCATTTTCCAGTACATTCCAAGACTTTACCTAATTTTCCCACTCTCTTCTCAAATCGTTAAAGCCAATGGGTTTGTGACAGAAACAGCTTGGGCTGGAGCTGCTTATAACCTGATGCTTTACATGCTGGCAAGCCATGTAAGATCCTAGTGAGAACCCCCCAAAAAAACCCTTCCAAACAGAATAAACTTTCTTTAGTACTGAAAGTTTTTACAATTCCAACTCTTGGAACAGGTTTTAGGAGCTTGCTGGTACCTTCTATCAATAGAAAGGCAAGAATCATGCTGGATAAGTGCATGCGACAAGGAGAAGCCATATTGCAGCTTCAAGTTCTTTGATTGCCAGTCGGTTGGCAACTCTGCCAGGGACTCGTGGTTCAAGTCGACCAATGCTTCGACTCTGTGCAAGCCGGATAACGGGTTCTACCAGTTTGGGATCTACGGCGATGCAACAACTTTTGGTGTTTCATCCACATCATTCTTTGACAAGTACTTCTATTGCCTCTGGTGGGGCTTAAAGAACCTTAGGTATGTCATCTCCCTCAATGCTTCAGTTTCGTTCATGATTCCACTTCCTGATAATGTCAGAATCTCAAATATGCTCCTGGCTGCTGCAGCTCACTGGGGCAGAACCTTTCAACAAGCACATATGTAGGGGAAATAACTTTTGCCATCATTGTTGCAACTCTTGGTCTGGTGCTCTTTGCTTTGCTCATTGGGAATATGCAAGTAAGTAAGGTTTCCTTTTCAGAAGAGCAAATTCATGAAAGATAACAACTTTTTGCCAGCTTTGTTCTTTTCAGATATTTTCCTTTCCTGGGTTTTCTTCCCCATCCCACCTTAAACTATGTTTGCCTCCTGGCTTGCAGACATACCTGCAATCTACAACAGTCAGACTAGAAGAATGGAGGATCAAAAGAACCGATGCAGAACAATGGATGCACCACAGGCAGCTCCCTCCTGAGCTCAGGAACTCTGTCAGGAAATACGATCAGTACAAATGGCTCGCCACCCGTGGAGTTGATGAAGAAACCCTCCTCAAAGGCCTTCCCTTGGACCTCCGCAGAGACATCAAACGCCACCTCTGCCTAGATCTAGTCCGCCGCGTAAGTTCCCATTCAGTGCGTGCTGACATCGTTGAAATGCGTCAGGAAAAATGCGGCCTAATTGTCCTGTTACATAACAAGAATCAACATTTTCACAGGTGCCACTGTTCGATCAAATGGACGAGAGGATGCTGGACGCCATATGCGAGCGGCTGAAACCTGCTCTGTCAACAGAAGGCACGGTCCTGGTGCGAGAAGGAGACCTGGTGGACGAAATGCTGTTCATAATCAGGGGCAATTTGGACTCCCACACCACCAACGGCGGCCGGACGGGGTTCTTCAACACCTGCAAGATCGGCCCGGGGGAATTCTGCGGCGAGGAGCTCCTGACGTGGGCGCTCGACCCGCGCCCCAGCGTCCTGCTCCCGTCCTCCACCCGCACGGCGAAGGCCATCTCCGAGGTCGAGGCGTTCGCCCTGCGGGCGGAGGATCTGAAATTCGTGGCGTCGCAGTTCAGGAGGTTGCACAGCAAGCAGCTGAGACACAAGTTCAGGTTCTATTCGCACCAGTGGCGGTCGTGGGCGGCGTGTTTCGTCCAGGCGGCGTGGCGGCGGTACAGGAAGAGGAAGGAATTGGCGGAGCTGAGAGCTAGGGAGGAAGGCAGGGAGGATGATGATCGGCGGCGGGATGAGGCTGCGGCGGCGGTGAAAAGGGGTGGTTTCGCGGCGGTGTACGCGGCGAAGATGGCGACGAGCACGAGGAGAGGGGTGACGATGATGAAGCATTCTTCTTCTACGGGGACAAGCGTCGTTAATGTGAATTCGTTGCAAAAGCCATCAGAACCTGACTTTTCTGTGGTAGAGGATTAAGAATCAAGGGAGGTTTTTGTTCCCTGTTTTTTCAATGTGTATAGATTACAGACTATGTTAACTATACAGAATATAGCATTTTACCTTATGCTTATACAAATCAATTGAGTTTTACTCGAGTTATTTCGATACAACTTGTATGTTAGTCGGGTTACGATGAATCAAAATTGCGGATAAATCGAATTCTGGGTTCATCGCATTTCGAGTTGTACGACTACTAGTTATTAATCTCTACATTAGGTCGAATTACGAAATTAATGGGTATGAAACAGGCTTGCAATTAGGGGTGTGCAATGGTCCGGTCCGTACCGGACCACACCGGACCAAACCGTTGTTAAGACCAGACTTGACCAGACCGAGTAAATAGCGGTCCGGTCCTTGGTCCTTGTGAATTTTATAATTACTGAAGAAATGGTGGACCGAGCTCATATTTGGACCAGACCGAACCGGACCAAATGGACCAAATGCAAGAATGGTCTGATCCTTGGTCCTAACATGTCTTTCACTAATGGACCGCGGTTCTCATGAGTTTGGTCCGGTCCGGACCGAACCGAAACCGTTGCACACCCCTACTTGCAATGCAACATATGGATTATAAAAACTAATACGATTCTAACAAATTACATAATAATAATAATAATAATAATAATAATAATAATAATAATTCTCATGGTTTGACGAAATTATCTGAATAGTGCAATTCACGTTTCAAACTAAAATCCTAGAAGCTGACATAAACTTGGTTTTTGATAATTAAGCTAATAAGATGTCCATTGCGTCTCAGTAATGTCATTAAGAATTGGTGGAGATCGATCCAAAGGTTTGTGGGGATCATATTAAGAAGCAGAGTACTTCTCCACTATCTACAAAGATTAAAAAAAGGGCTTATCATGAACAAGGATGGGACTATTGACACCAAAAGTGGGTTAATATCAGTTATATGTCTGTTGATGAATAAGAATTCCACTTCTTTCAAGTGGGGAACTCATGTTTGGTTTGTCTTCTGTTGTTCTTATCAAAATGGACAATATCTATAAATAGTAATGGGGCTTCTAATTTACATAACTTGAAACTAAGCAACTATTAGTGAATTGACGTCCTAAGAGATTATCCATAAGTGTCTTTTACTAAGATATAAATGAATTCCATAAGTTTTGAGGAATTCATTTTGAAATGAAATATTTTTGTGTTTGGTATTAAAAAGAATTCATTTTCAATTCTAAATTTTGAATTCTATGGAATTGGAACTAGTTATAGCAATTCCGAGGAATTGAGATAGAATTTCCAAATGAATTCCACAAGTATTTACTAATTATAATAGAATGACATGATTATCCTTTTTTATTAACTAAATTACTTATACATATGACATACCAAACACAGAAATTCATTTGACAATGAATTCTACACGAAACTTCAATGATTTGAATATAACATACCAAACATAGGATTTTATTTGACAATGAATTCTACACGGTAATTCATTTTATAATGAAATCAATTCTCGATTCATTTGGTACCAAACGGTCTGTAAGTGATCTTATATAAGTTAAACTTAGTACATGTGGAGTTATATTGTTTATCTAAGCATTTCGCTGATATAAAATAATATAATGCAGACTTCGTGTGAAAGGAAATGTTGCGTTACAGGGACCATATATGGATCTTACTAATCCTTTTTAAATTGTGGGCAAAATATTTTATCTATTTGGACTCACCGTAAGTCATCGTATGAAAAACACCGGTGCTTTGATCTGTTACATTAATCAAGCAATGTTACGAATCGTCACTTATAGGGAGACATGAAAATTAGAAATGCGAGAACTTGAATTAAACCCTAAATGAGCTTCTTGATCTCCTTGTAATTCAAATCATTCATCATATCATCATATGGGGAAAAAAAGAGTGTTTCTCTTGATACCTAGTGAGGAAAAAGGAAGCAGCATATATGGCCTATGATATTGGAGGATCACCAATTTGACCTATAGTAATACCAAAGGTAGTGGCCCAAACCATCTCCTCCTCTAGTAGAAACTAAAAGATATTCAAATCCCAAGCTCATGTCAAATAAATATATTGTTCCTCTTGAAGGGTACATAATGAAAAGTACTCTAGCGCCCCAGAAAGAAGGCAAATTTCATTTGGTGCTTGTCACATTTTGGCCCCTTTCTATCTATTCCTCTGTCTCTCGCACGCAACGTTGCAATCGCATCTTTAGTTACGTATGATAACGATACATGGCCAGACTTTCTGTCACAAATTACAAGGTTCGTGATAAAGTTGATGTGGTTGACCAAATTAGTTACATTAATCAGTGAGTTTTATGAAATCTTCACTTATAGGGAGACATGAAAATTAGAAATGTAAGGACTTGAACTAAACCGTGAATGACCTTTCTCACTCAGAAACCCTTGAATTCAATCATTCTATCTTATATGAAAAAAAGAGTATTCTCTTGATACCTAGTGAGGGGAGGAAAAGCAATATATACCCTATGATAATGGAGGATCACCAATTTGACCAATAGAGATACCAAAGATAGTGGGGCAAAACATATCTCTCTTCCACTAGAAACCAAAAGCTATTCAAAACCCATGCTCATATCAGATACATATATTGTTCCTCTTGAAGGGTACAATTGAAAAGTACCATAGCTCCTAGCAAAGCAGGCAATTTCATTTGGTGCTTGTCACATTTTTGGCACCTTTCTGTCTATACCTCTGCCTCTCGCACGCAATGTTGCAATCGCTATTTTTAAGTTATGTATGGTAATGATGCATGGCTAGACTTCTCCAAATACAATTCCGAAAGTTACCATGAGGTTGGTTTTGATATGGGTTTCAATGATTTATTTCACAGTCTGTATATATACAAAGTTTGGCAAATCCCCACAATAACGATTGTTTTACACATAATATAAAATATTCGAGTTGATTTGGTTCGACGAAATCTTCTCGTAGACAAAATAAAATGTTTGACATAAAGATCCACGAACGGTTCAACTTTTTTTTCCCTAACAAAATTGGAGCTGTTAGGGGCGAGGTGCTCTTGAGATACTTCAAAACAATTCAAGCCGCTTGTTTTCATTCGGGATCCCATAAGGTTATCTCGACATGTTCATTGCATATTCAAGAAACTCGAAAGAGCAAGCAAAATGTCACCAACAAAATTCTCACTCGGATGATAATCGTAAAAATTAAATCCATTAATATACCGACCCAATATCTTATCCGTTCGACCCACCGTTTGTGCTATGTTCGAACCGAAATATAAGTTATGACAAGGATCAAGTACGTGCATAATTGATGCAAAGTAAAAGTCTCATACAATGCCTGGAAACCCCCCCATTTCGAGTGAATCCTATATGCATTATTGCTCTTTGGATGGTGAATTGAGTTATAGCTTTGCTGCATCGGGCCAATCTGTGTTTGTACAAAAACAGAGTGTTATCAAAGAGTGAGATGGGTTTGTTTGTCGCAATTTCATAGGTCGCCCTCCCTGGAAAAAGGCACTCGCAGTTTCAGTTTCCTGCATTGGAAGAGTTCCACTAGCAACCAGTAATGACTACTCCTAAATGGCACATGTTTTTGTCCGCCTCTAACTCTTGGGGCCAGTCCTACGTGGCCAAACAGAGAAAGCAAAGACATCACTAATTCAAACAACCATGCTCCCAAAGTAAGGTATACAATAGCTCAACCTGTAGGCTTAATCATATGATGACAAAGACAGTCAAACTTAATTAGTTAAAAGTTATTTGAAGTTAATCGAATATATAGATCTCGAACAGTTGATCAACCGAAAGGATATGATCATTAACCTGCATACAAAGTCAAATCGTTTTGATGTTTCGGTCGACCTTCTTCTGTCATATAAAACACAAACCACCTGTGGGTGCAGCTATCTCCGCGGTTGAAGCATGGCAACTTGGGAACGGACGAGGCAAGGCCGTTACAAGTCACACAAATTGAAGCGCATTACATATTGTCACTAATTTGGTGAACCACATCAATAACGGGGGTCGATCAAAGTTGCCCATCAATCTCCAAGCAACTTTTACTTAGAGTTTGACCACTAAATCAATATTGGTGTCATATATAATACAATCACAAATTTCTACTGTTGTAGTCTTTCTTCTATTAAAACCAATGATTGTGAAACCGGATCAAAGATTGTATAAAAAAAAATTCAGTGATAAGATATTTTGTACTAAAATTATAGTTCATCTGTTTTATACCGTTAAAATTGCCTATCTTTTTGAGTCACATACCTAACACTACCGATCTGACTGATTCGATAGAGTATGCTTTCTAAAACATTGTTTGAAAGAGATTAATCTAGGACTGGACAAGGCAAGCTTGTTATAGGCCAAAAAAAACACTAATTTGGTCAATCCCATCAGCAACACTGGCCATCATACTCCAAGTAACTTTTATTTTAAGTTAACCACCAAATCAACATGAGCTTACCCATTTTTTTTAATACTAAACACGAGTCAAAAGCAAGCAAAAGGGTGACAGAAATTGTCAAATGATCATAAGTGCTACTGATGATTAAGATTAGCCAGTTAGTGATGATTTGGGTTGACACTGATCAATGCGCCTTATATTAAACAAAGTTAATTAATCACTTCAACTTTGATGATGCATGTGGTGGACTAGTATAGCTTGGCAAAGTAGCAGAGCCAGGGATTTTTAGGGTGTTTCGGGATGCTGCTAAAATTTAGAGAAAATCTTATTGACCTTCGAATAGTATTGTTTTGATTGTTTCGAGTTTGAAAAAAAGAGAGCAAAATATGTGAATTTTACTAATTTGAACTCATAACCCTACATTTATTATAGAACTTGTTATAGATTACAAGAAACAATCTTTTGTTGGGCTTAAGATGTTAATTTTTTTTATGTAAATTGAGACGGAGAATTCTTAGCTCCAACCTAAGTTGAACGCAGAAACTCCAATCATCCACATGTCAATTTCTTATTAGTAAGTTCATCTTTATTTTTTATATTTTAAGGGTTTATTTAATTAGCATAATTAATAACGTTAAATATTAACAAAAAAAGGAAGATGGTTGGAGCTTCTGCCTAAGAATTTTCCAATTGAGACACCCCGCAATCATACCGGAACCAATAATAAAAACAACAAGATAATCTACTCCCTTCTTCAATCAAATGGGTGATAAGTTCGTAATCAATTGTCTAATCGGATATATTAGATGTATTTTCCTTGTGTAAAATTTATTGTTCTGCCGTGGGCTTGGCCTATCACAAACGGAGACAAGAACTGCAGTAGCAATATGGAGGTATACGTACCAACCCATTCTGTTCTTTACCAATTCCCCTCAACAGCAAGACATGCATGTTTCCCAAAATTAGAATCCAAATGAAAGGCACGTTTTGGACAGGAAGAGATGAGCCAATTTTCTGCAGTTTATGTCAACCCATAACTTGGTGTTTACTGGTTTTGGACTTTGGATGCTTTGATCTCTGCATCCAGACATAAGGACATGAATTCATGCACCCCTTTGGTCAGCTTCTGTCGTACATTATAGGTGTGGCAATCACTTGCCACAATGTACGGGTCGGATCCGGGACTTAAGTCAGTATTAGATTCCGTCAGGCTGTGTTTTTTGCGTTAGCATTAATCGAGCAAGTTTGATCGGAGATTTAGTATGGGTTCCCCGTCTTACTATGTGTTTTTGTGTACCGTTAATCAAGCAAAGATTCGGAGAGATCTAGAAAAAAAAATAATACACAAATCATCGGTAGGTTAAACTCGTATTCGGAATGACAGTTCTCTGAAAGTGTGATGAAATGAAACCCCTCGTGAGGTTTTATGCAGCAAAGTGTCAATAACTGATATATGATCAATAATTGAACATCTCCTAATAACTCGACTGGTTCTTTACATGATATCAGAGTCTTCTGTTACCCAAATGTCTTTTGTTCAAATCCCGACGGCTCCATTTCTTAAGCGCATGGTATTCAAACATGTGCTGATTTCAAATTTATATTTGATGCTTTTGTTTGAGAAGGTATTTTAGTAACGGATATACGATATATAATTGAATCTCCCAACAATCCCAATTATTGGGATCGACTCGTCATTTAAAAAAAAATAGTTATTTTCACCATAAATATGAATATGTAACACCAACATCTCTCGCTCAGAGAGCGATGGCATATCAAAGGTAAGATAGTCTAACGGTAAAGCTGTCGCAACAGTAAAGGATTGAGAGTTGCATATCCCAGGTTCGAATTCAAGCGAGACTCGTTGGTGTTCCCGGAGGTACAAGATTGCTGGGGAGCGAAGCCCCGTTTGCGTCGAATTTGATTGTCGGGAAGATATAAGGCAATAAGACAAATGAATTTGGGAGGGATGGGGTGCAGGAAAGTGCAGAGAACAGAGTGGGGACTGCAAGATACATAGTGTTTGGTTCCTGAGAGAAGATAAGGAGATGGAAAGTGAAAGAAAGTGAATTAATGGAGTGGAGGCAAGGGCAACTAGAAGTTCTATCATCTCCTTTTGGAATTCGGAATTCCATAATAATATAATTAGTAAGAAAGTAAAATATGAAATGAATGTTTCCTCTGCAGATAACAAGGCATGTCAAATGTGACGGTGGTTGAGGGCACATTACCGGATGGTGCCATTCCCATTTGGCCGATCGAGTTCCACTTAAACTAATCATAAAACTCTCCATCCAATAGAGCAAGATGATAGGGTTGTGCAATGGGTTGGTTAGTACCAGATCGTACCGGAGCAAATTGATGTTTGGACGTAGATTATACTGAAGCGAATATAACGGGGTTCAATCTTTGAGCTCGTGAATTTTATAAATATTGAAGAAAACTGATTGAACTGACAGTAGGACCGGACCAAACCAGACTAAATGCACTGTTGGTTCGATCCTTGATCTTACAATGTCTTTCACTAATGGATCGTGGTTCTCATGAGTTTGATCCAGTTCAAACTAGACCGAAACGTTGCACACTCTAGATGTGATAGCAACTCGTTTGTTAGGCGGCCTTGGGTGTTTTCTTTGGTTTTCTATGTTACGTATTGTGCTTGTGTGGGTATTGGGCTTAGGGGATATTGTTGGGTTAATTAGTATTTAGACTTAGTTTTTGGGAGCTAAGTCTCCGTTTATATGTTGGGATAGGAGAGGGCCAAGAGGCCTAGGGAAGTAGTAGGGGTCGGATAGGGTTGATGGTTTAGGTATTAGGTTTAGTCGTCTATATATTGTAATCAAGGCATTAGTCGGAGAATCAATCAAATAATAAACCTAAAACAGTCTTTCGACACTTTACGTCGTTCTCTCGCTTGTGAGCTACAAGCAAACCCTAACCCGATAGCAACGTGTTGCTATCAATTGGTATCAGAGCCTGGTTCGAAAGAACCGAGCTCTAAACAGCTCCCAGGGAAGACATCGACAACGCCTGGTTGTGCTCGACATCAGAGCATGGTCTTCAACGTGGAGGCCTGTTGCGCCATGGTAGAACAGATGACTGCAACCTGTCAGAACATGGTGGCAAGGATGGATGCTTTGGAACAGTTGTTGGCGGGGTTTATCCCCGAACGCGTGACCGTCATCGACGGGAAGCGAAGCGACGACGACGTGGCCCGCGTCGACGCCAATGAAGTCAGGGCAGCAGAGAAGATGGAGATCTCCGACAATAACATCGACGGGAAGGAAACAGTGCGCAACGGCGATTATCACCTCTGCGAGGCTCTCACCCAACGATCTGGAAGCGATGGGAAGGAAACACTGCGCCGCGGTGATTATCACCTCGACGAGGCTCTTACCTATCGATTCCGAAGCTGCGAGAAGGTGGAATCCGCAGTCAGGGTTCAGTCCAAGAGAAACAAAACTATTGTTCTAAACGAACACTCGACGGGATCGTTCGAATGGACGCCATCATTGCAGCGTCTGGGGGTGGAACGTGTGGAATTGGATGACATTCCAACCGATGCGAGGACGGACAGAGTTCGGACAAGGAGGTGGAAGTTTCGGAAGCGACCGACGACTCAACGTCGCCGCAAAAGCTGTTGTTGCTTTCGACGACGACCACCGCGTCTCGTCATGGACCGAACCTTGGAGACCAAGGTTCCTTAAGGGGGGAGGAATGATAGCAACTCGTTTGTTAGGCGGCCTTGGGTGTTTTCTTTGGTTTTCTATGTTACGTATTGTGCTTGTGTGGGTATTGGGCTTAGGGGATATTGTTGGGTTAATTAGTATTTAGACTTAGTTTTTGGGAGCTAAGTCTCTGTTTATGTGTTGGGATAGGAGAGGGCCGAGAGGCCTAGGGAAGTAGTAGGGGTCGGCTAGGGTTGATGGTTTAGGTATTAGGTTTAGTCGTCTATATATTGTAATCAAGGCATTAGTCGGAGAATAATCAAATAATAAACCTAAAACAGTCTTTCGACACTTTACGTCGTTTTCTCGCTTGTGAGCTACAAGCAAACCCTAACCCGATAGCAACGTGTTGCTATCAAGATGCTACCAAAACCCTTGGCGAGGGAACGAGGCTGAGAGCAGGAGCGAAATCGAGAGTGAGACTAAAGGGGTAATCCCAATGGTAGGAGGTGCTAATAAATCGGTTTCCTCTCTTACCATGTGTTTTACAAATGAGATTGTGTAGATTCGAATACAAGACCTTTCCATCATCGAAAACTTTGATACAATGTCGTGAACAAATCTATCCCAATAATTCAAATTGTTGGGAAATGTTAATTATACATATATATTATACCATTTACTAAGAGGTGAGGTAAAAAAGAAAAAAAGGTAAAAAACAGAGTCACCACGCCTGAAAACGACAAGAAGGAAGTGAACAAAATTTATTTCTTCCTTTTCGTGTCCCATTTTAATTGTTAATCTCCTACGCGTGGGGAGGTGAAGTTGTGGAGGATGAGTAAAACATCAGTAATTGCTAATCCCAAGCAGCACCTTTCCTTCTTCTGCTCCACCGTTATATATTGCAGAAAATCCCCCACCCACCACTTGCACTTCCCACTCAGATTCATTCCCTTCACTCTCCTATAGCTAACTTACCTCTCACTCTCTGTTTTCCTTGCGAGGGGTCACTTTTTGACGAGAAACAGAGGAAAGAACAAAACAGAGCAGGAGGTTACTAAAGAAAAAAAGAACATTTTTTTTTCTTCAAGGTTTAGAGAGATGGGGATGGAGATGGAAACAATGGAATCCAAATTCAAGAGGGTGTGTGTTTTCTGCGGGAGCAGCCCCGGGAAGAAGACCAGCTACAGAGATGCTGCCATCGAGCTCGGCCGAGAACTGGTAAGTAGCAACACACACACACACTCTGTTTCTCCTCTGTTTTTTGCTCTCTGTTCCCCCTCTGTATTCGCCTTCTTAAACCATGAGAGGGGATTGTGAAGGTGACGAGGAATATTGATCTGGTGTACGGAGGCGGGAGTATTGGCCTGATGGGTCTCATTTCTCAAGCCGTTTACGAAGGTGGCCGCCATGTCATCGGGTAAGACACAAAACTGAAAACCATGATCAACCAACCCTACTACTCTGTTTCACTCTTTGGTTTGCTCTGTTTTTCGCTGATTATGGCTACTGTTTGCTCCAAACAGGGTTATTCCCAAGACATTAATGCCTCAAGAGGTGAACCACTTAGACTCAAATTATTTGAAGGTTTCCCATTATTAGTCCAACAGGATTTTCCACATTTCAATGATTAACAGTCCTTTACCGTTCTGTAGATAACTGGAGTGACAGTGGGAGAAGTAAAAGCAGTTGCAGACATGCACCAGAGGAAGGCAGAGATGGCTCGCCATTCTGATGCCTTCATTGCTTTACCTGGTTCGTCTCCTTTCTTCCTTCCTTCCTTCCTTCCATCAACATTAATGGAACATATGAGAATGTTCCTTCTTCCTTATCTCAAAACCCCAATCCTATCTTCTCTTCAGTGCACGGTTTAGCTTATTGGTGCAAGTGGGTTGGGGTTAATGGTCCTACCACTTTGGTCCGGATATATGAAACATCCGTTTATAAATTATATCAAATATCATTTAACACCCGAACAAATATAACATCACACCAAAATAACATATCGTACTTAAACCCAACATGTAGTAAAAATTCACACACGCTTATATCATATCAGTATTTAAATGTTCAATTTAGAATTCTAAAGATAGCATTAGGCGAAGAGGACAATAAAACAAAAGACGCATTTCACAAATCAAATGAAAAAATAACGTCGTGTGATCTCCAACCCAATAATCTTACGGCCGGTCAACCCGTAAGTATGTGTAACTCGTTTTTTTCTCAAAAGATAAAGATCAAAACGAGTCAAACAGGCAAATCACTGTTGCCAACTTTGCTTCTGTGCTCTGCCAACAGCAGCAGCAAGCAATTATATTTTGTGGTGAAAGAGTGTTTGAGTTCGAGTGCTATTATTAGTGGTAGCAATAGCAGGCAGCACACCCGACCAAAAGAAAACAACAAAACACAAACGACCAAGAAATGTCCCTACAAAGTTTACAAATTGGTGACAACAAATTATCTTTCGGTAAAAATAAAAAAAATGTACTGTTCAACCTTTTGTCCAGTCAAGTCCACACTCCCTTTCCACATCCTTTGGCTTTTCTTTCCTTTTTCACATAATTTCTACTGATTCTACCTTTGTGGTGTTTAAATTATGCTTTCGGTTGGTGCTTTAATTTGTTCAAAAAAAAAAGTTGGTGCTTTAACGATGTTTTCGGTTGGTGTTTAGTTGTTGATGATTAACACTACACCGGTAAGAAAACCCTGAACTGTAAATTCGTATAGGAGATTGTAGAACGCTTAGCGAAATGACATTTTGTTGGTCGATTATTGTTTAGACGAGAACATATTGTTTTGTAATACACTAATACTATTGTCAAAATACAGTATCCAAACTAGTATCACATAAAAAAATCGATACTTGGGCAACAAAATGAAGGCCCAAGAGGGTGTAGCTGAAGGCCCAGCCCATATTTCTTGAAAGTAGGCCAACTCCCAACTACCATTCTTGTGTTCAACAACTAAAATTGGATTTGGGTTGCAGGTGGCTACGGGACACTGGAAGAGCTTCTTGAAGTCATAACTTGGGCCCAGCTAGGGATCCATGACAAGCCGGTAAATATTCTTTAAACAATAACCAAAAAACTCAGCTAAATCTCGTTTTTTTTTTTTTTTTTTGCAAGTCTTATTCGTTGTTAATATGATTGATATGAAGGTGGGATTATTGAACGTGGATGGGTATTACAATTCACTGTTGTCATTCATCGACGAAGCTGTGGAGGAAGGTTTCATCAGCCCAAATGCACGCCATATAATTGTATCTGCACCAAACGCCAAAGATTTGGTCAAGAAAATGGAGGTAATTTATAAATTCATACTAGCTAGTCATTCCAATTCCCAATTCAAGTGAATTTATAGTCCAAATCACCTCCCACCATCGTATTTGTTCATAATGGGTCACCGAGATGTTAATATCTATCAATGGGTTTCTCACGAATTTGATTAATATACTGATAAGGGTAGGCGTCGACGCAGGCTGATACTGTTTGATCGCATGATCCAATCTTCTTTACCCGTTGAGTGCACACACTACATTAGTGAATGTGTGCATCCAACAGGCAGATTGCAGCCCGTGTGATATGACGAGTTAAAAAAAATACTAAATTTGAAGAGAAAAAAAATAACGCCATAGAGAATTTGATCATCATTATAAGTGGGGTTTTTGTGTTTTGTTTTGCAGGAATACTTGCCAAGGCATGAGAAAGTTGCATCGAAGCTAAGCTGGGAGATTGAGCGATTGGAGTTGGGTCATTCTACGAAATGCGATATCTCTCGATGAAGTGAAAGCCAATCAACACTAGAATTTGTAACAAGAGAACCCTTAAAAAAATGACCAGGCAAGGTGGTCTCCAGCAGCTCTTTTTTTCTTTTGTTGGAAAATTGTAAAATGTTTCGTTTTGAGCTTCGGAGATCATATTAACCCAACTGAGAGGGATGTTTGTTGCCCCCATTTGATATTTCTAGTTTACTCTCGAGAACTACTGCGATGCCTTTATGATATAGGTATTGGTATAATATTATCGAATAGTTCTAGTATTCATACATGCGGTAGTACACGTCACCTTAACACCTCACTTTTTTCCTTTCTTTAGTTTCTTCGATCTTAATCTTTTATTAAAAACGGAGTGTTCAAACCATTATCTTATTTTACAAACTAGATGCAATTTCATAATGTCTTCTGATAAACATACTAAATTTCTGCAATCTCTTTGTATCTCTCAAAATTGTAAGCTAAACACAAAATCTTCTGTGGCATCTTTGATGGAAGACATGCCAATGCCCTAAGTTACTCTTTTGTTCATGTCATTTGTCTTCTGTCATTGGCATACCAGTCTTTTAATTACCTCTTGACTTGTTATCTTGTACAGTGTCTGTTCATTTACTGGGATCAAAAGATCAATGCAGTCTTTTAATAACACTAGAGATTGTGTATCTAACGACGGATCCACCACTTGGATTCTCTCTAATCTCCCTCAAAGTCGAATTAAGTTATGGATTGATGACATTAATTGTTTTGCTATTAATTGCTCTGCCTACAATCCTCCAAGTAGAACAAGAAGGTAAGTTATTAGTCTATCTAGCGTCGATAAGGTCAAACAAATATCTTTCAGTATATCTCATAGACCAAAAAAAAATTATTCCGAAACTTGTTTACTATGTAGCCCAACGCTAAAAATCTCTTTCAACATTTGCAGTTGCAAACGATAAATCAATATAAGTTTCAGAAGCAAATAGACTAATTAATATAATAAATTTAGCTTTTTATCATAGGACGAGCTAATTCATCAATCTCTTTTAATATAAGGTACTTCTTGTCATTCTTAACGCATTGCCAATAATTCTCGAAGGGTAGGGCGACCAGCCTGGAAGTGGTCTCATCTTACTGAAGAAAAGGGAGTCACCCTGAGTCGAGAATAATGTTTTGTTCGTATGTTCATAGGAGAAAAGAAGGATACTGAATATAAATTACTCTCAAATTTTAGACTTTTAATAAAATTGAACAATTTAGTTAGATTTCACTAATGTATAGATACATTTATTGTTTCAAACTTGACAAAACTGAGTTTGTGGCCCAATCACTTTACAAGAGAAGAGTTGACATTGAAACTGGACCTAATACAATCACAATGTGTGAAAACAATATTTTACGAGAGAAGAGTGAGTCGACCTTGAAACTGGACTAAATGCACTAAATGAACATATGGTGCATTGAAATTTGAATGGATGACGGGGTGAGTTATGTACCACACAATATGATACTAACTAACTGCTTATCTTGATCCACAGCTCGCCAGGACTCCGCATGTCTTGATTTGTGATCATTGATTCAATCACTTTAACCAAATTAAATCCGATTTAGTATTTTTTGTCTAACAAATTATAATTCCCGGCTCATATCACAGAGGTAAATCTTAGCCTACTTGGCAAGAGTATAGTATTTCGTAATAACCAAATAACTTAACCCAACCAAGATCGTTTTGCCATATGATATCAATAAAAAAAATTGTTTTAAAAGTTGGTTAATGCTTAAATTGGTTTTTAGTGGACAAAGTATTCAACAAAAAGTTAATTTACTCTTTTAGTTTCTTATGAATCGTATCCAATATCCATTAAGGTTATTTTCAGTTTTCAACTCCCAATTTACTTTCATTTTATTTAATATCTCAAGTTCTATCGATTTTATTTTATTCCCCCCATATGAGCGGAAATCAAAACAGCTAAACCATTATTTGGACCTTACTGATCCCTTTATCAGCTGATAATTAAGACTTTGATTCCTCATTCAGAAAGATAATCAAGACTTTAATTAATTCATAAATCCTTGTTTTCATTGATCCTTTCCAAAATAAAGTGTCGCTGTCATATGCAGCGACCGACACGTAGCATTTGCTTCAATTTTTCGCTTTTTTTTTTTTTTTAATTCTCGTATTTGTATTTTTCTCTTCCATTTTGTAATTTGCAATCTTTTTGAGCAAAGCAGGAGAGGAGGAAGCCGGCGCTGGTGTCACCTTCTCTCTGCAAAATCTCTCTTCCCCATCTTTACTTCACGCTGCTCCCTCTTTTGTTCTTCTTCTCTTCACCGCGCCGCTCCGCTCCGCTGTCTCATCTGCTCCGATCTCAGCCCGCTCGCCGGCGTAAGTATTCTGATCCGACTTCCTTTCAATCTGCTCTCGTCCTTTCGAATCGAATCGGTGGAGATCTTCCTGCTCCGTCGGTGGAAGTTCGGTTTCCCTCTCTTCTTCGACTGCGCTCTGTCTGCAGATTCGGTTTAGTTCCGCTGATGTTTTTCAGTTCCGCCTTCCGCATTTAGTAATCTCTAAGTTTCTGCATCTGAATTTTGAGTTCGACTGGGGGCGATTCGTTTCCGCTCTCGATTTGAATTGGCCGGCAAATGGTTCGTTACGCGTTTGTTCGCTTTGTTTCTGCTTTCTTTTCGTTTCCTTTCCTTTTCTTCCAACTTGCACTGTGTAGCATAGATCAGAGAGAGCCACTGCAGCAGTTCGGAATCTGTGGTACTGAACTGAGTAGTCCACGGCCAAATTCGGCTTGTTCCGGAGTGTAATAGCTTGCTGGTTTTTTGCTTCCTACGGTTGCTTAGAGCCGGAGGTGCAGCAACCATGGCGTTTCTTGTTTTTTCTCTTCCTTCCGAGTTGGTTGAGCGATCACGGTGGACAGCATTACCAACTAGACTTCGCCATGAAGCTAAAGCGATTTCAAGTTGTGGGAGTTATTAACTTCAACCGTACGGTTTAGCCTTTCAGAAGCATTTGAACTGTCACCGCTTAATTTGACAAATGACAACGAGATTTGCATTCATTTTGAAGTTTGTTTTCTAGTTACGGACGGACTTCTGGAAGGCGAATTTATAATTATGAACTACCAATATGAGGGTTCAGAATAACTTTTGAATGTTCTATTGGTGGATTACTATTTGTTGAACACTCTGCTGATCTATAGTTAGGATGTGAATATGTTTGGAAACAGTGTCTTCGATTGTTCTAATGGTAACATTTCCGTTTGCCTTGAAGGTTGAAGCATCAAAACCGTTGCGACGAATGCTTGGTTCCGGATCATCTGTTCCGTGCTGAAGTTAAAGAATGCAACAATTGATACAAAGTGCACGGGTGCATGTGCTTGCTTTCTCAGAGTGATCCACCTAATTTGCTTGAATGTCTAAATCAAAAGGGATGACAATGGGCCTTACTAACCGAAGGTTCAGACTATGCAAAATTTGGATTGATTTCCTTTTGACTGCTGGATGAGCAACTGAAATCTCAGATATCTTGCATTTTTGTGAAATCTGCTGCAGTTTGCTGAATCCTTCAACAAGTGGTTTTTGAATAAGTTTGCTGACATGAGATAGTTTCCTTCCTTGCATTGCAGCGGATTTCCTAGAAGAACAAACGACACTACTAGGCTCATTATTACAGCACTTCTAGGAGTTATCTTTGGATTTTTTATTGGTGTCTCATTTCCGTCCGATTCCCTTTCTAAGGTTTGTTTGAAGTTACTGAGTTGTGCATGTATTGTAGTAAGGAAAATTTTCAACAATTCACTTTGGTTATTCACAATTTGCAGATTAATTTCCCCTCTGGGTTCAGAAGTCGTTATGATTCAGCGTCAATAGATGCAAGAAGATCTAACACAGGCGAACCTGAAAATCGTGAGTCGTACAACATCCCCAAGGTACATTTAGTGCTTATCTTTTTCTCCATGTCTTGGTTTACATGGCATAATTTGACACAAACTGATCATTATGTGTTCCTGTTTTGCTCACTGCCACAGATTTATGTTCCAACAAATCCCCGTGGTGCAGAGTCATTGCCTCCAGGAATCGTTGAGGCAGAAACTGACCTTTACTTGCGGCGATTATGGGGTGAACCTAGTGAGGTATATCTAAACGGAAATCCAGCAATGATTTAATAAAAACTCTCATCTGTTTGATTGTCAATGAGTCCCGGCCTTGGCTTTCCTACCACATTCGCCTATTTGTCCTATTGTCATGGTTGATGCTCTTCCAATAGCCTTGCTTTGCCTTTTTGGGACAATTCCGTCTTGACTTTGTATGCTACACTTCGACATCAAAGCATGTATTTTCCGGAGAAGGCATATATCATATCCAGTCTATAAACTATCAATTGAGAAGAAGACTGCCATATGCTAGTAATTGCTACTAGCTAGCTAGTATACTAAATTCTGTCCTTGTTTTTCCACAATGCCATATTTTGCAGTCTGGATAATGAATTGAAACTACATGACTTATGATGCAATTTATTGGTTCCAATCGTGTATGCATAACATATCAAAGATGTTTTGACTATGCAGGATCTCAAGAAGAAGCCAAAGTACTTGGTGTCCTTTACAGTTGGTTGGAATCAGAGGCATAACATAGATGCAGCAGTTAGAAAGGTGTTAAATCCATTCCGTTCTGTGTTATCTTTTATTTTTCGTCTGGTTTCAATTTAGGGGATTCTGAGGCGTTTTTCACATGGTTATAGTTTTCAGATGAGTTCACAATTGTTCTTTTCCACTATGATGGCCGGGCTACTGAATGGGATGTGTTTGAGTGGTCAAAAACTGCGATTCATATCAGTGTGAAAAGGCAAACGAAATGGTATGGAATTTTGCATTTAGTTGAATCCTCATATTGAAGCGTAAAACTGCTCTGGCAATTTGGCTGACCGTCTGTATGTTTTGTCTAGGTGGTATGCTAAAAGATTTTTGCACCCAGATGTTATTGCGTCATATGAATATATCTTCATATGGGATGAGGATCTTGGAGTTGAACATTTTAATGCAGACAAGTGAGGTTTCTCTTTATTGCATCCTCCCTGAGAAACTCTGGAGTTGCTTGCTTGTCTAATCCTTGCCTGTAACAGATACATTCACTTGGTTAAAAAGCATGGGCTAGAGATCTCTCAACCAGGTCTTGAGCCCAATAATGGTCTCACATGGCAGATGACAAAACGGAGAGGTGACCGCGAAGTTCACAAGTACTCCCTCTCTCTCTCTCTCTGTGTGTGTGTGTGTGTGTGTGTGTTTGTGCTTGCACATCTTTCTCTTCCTTTGAAAATAGCTATAACGCTCCCAAGATACTTTTCTCTCCATTTAATATTCATTCACCTCCATTCTGGATTTTCTCTGTGAGCAGGGATACAGAGGAGAAACCAGGCTGGTGCAGTGACCCACATTTACCTCCATGTGCTGCGTAAGCGCCTCTGTCTCATTCTATTACATTGGCTTTCATTCTCTATGTATATATGTGCGTGCGGGTATATATATGTCTGATCTACCATACAGCAAGCATACTTCAGGCATACCCGGTGTTGGTTGCATGACTATGTGTCATTAACTTTTTTCAGCTTTGTGGAAATCATGGCGCCTGTGTTTTCTCGTAAAGCTTGGCGATGTGTGTGGCATATGATCCAGGTATGCTCCGTCTCATAATAGTGTAATTTATATTTATCTTCGTAAAATTGAAGACATGTCAGGTTTTCTTTGGGGTTATGCTTTCAGACATTGTAATGATTATGTAATAAAAAACTTAAATTGGAAAAAGGTTCAACCTGTGTTCTGCAGTCACTACTATGAAATCAGTAGACTACTGAGGATTTATATTCTTATAGTTTTTGTGAGATAATTCTTTCTAACCATCACAAGCTCCGTCTGAAATCAAAGTATCTAGGTTCCTGATCCTTCAGCTGTATTGTACAAATTATAAATCTTGTACGGAGCATTTAGCCATTTACATGTGGCCTGCTTTCTTTTGGTTTTCATTTTCTGGGCAACCCATAATGATGTTTAATGATTTTTTGTAGAATGATTTGGTCCATGGATGGGGATTGGATTTTGCTCTGAGAAGATGTGTAGAGGTTGGTATTTTTTATCTGTTTGTGTTTTGCTCGCAATCTTTCCCTCTGATTCTCATGTTTGTCGACCCAACCCTGGGTTCTTCTGCTTATGGGATGATGGATAGTCGGTCCAAGTACTATTTGTGCTCTGACATACTAAATCCCATATGCTCCATTATCTCTCTCATGTTGGAGAAGATAAAAGACATGCTTTTATCTTTCAAACCTATTTATAATCCAGGTGCAGGACAATTGCTTCCACATTTTTCAGTAATTGCATTGACATATGCACATAAATGAGCATATGCTATATAATATAGTCTATTATTTTGTTTTCACTAGTCTATCTAAAGCAAATAGCGGCAGGGGAGCCTCAATTGCCCTGTCCATCATGTAAAATATATACGAATGCAGCTCGGGTACTTGTTTCTCAGTTATCTTCCATCAGACTTACAACTGCATCTGGTCTTCTTTGACAGCCTGCACATGAGAAAATCGGGGTCGTCGATTCACAGTGGATCGTACATCAAGTAATTCCCTCTCTGGGGAGCCAGGTGAGTCAAACCACCGTTCGTCTACATTCAGAAAACCGAGTAGTCCAATGCAAGAAGATTGATTGAGAATTGGATATCTCCACGATGTATTAGTGAACATTTCGACAGGTCTCCTTATATTTTTCAACAACTTCTGTTTTGCTATGTTTACTTTTTTCAGGGCAAATCTGAGAATGGAAAGGCTCCTTGGGAAGGGGTGAGAGCAAGGTGTAAGAGCGAATGGTCCATGTTCCAGGAACGCCTGCTCCGTGCTGATAAAGCGTACTTCTTGAGCAGCACGAGCCGATCTGCGACTGCTGATAAGCAATACGTGGCTCGCTTAAAGGGGGTTAAAAACTGAACCAACCAATGCTAGTGTCGTCGTTTTGAGTCTGGGGGGGGTGCGTCGGTCGCCTAACTACTGTAAGCTACATTCGCTGCTGCGTCTTGCTCACCTCCAGCCGCAGCCACGCCATTCACTGTGGTTTTAAGGGGCAGATCAGATGAACATCATGCGTGAGAGGTCTGAGATGCACTTTCTCTCCCTCCCTGCCCACCGCGAGCTCCCCCTTTTTTGTACATTCCGATTTGTTTATTGTACACCACCCGTAATAGGTTCGCTCCTCTTGATGTAATAGCTAGTAAGCCGCTTTTGGAAGAGAGATTCGTACTCCGATCGGTTTTGCCTGCCGGTATCTTCATCTCGGTCTCATGTTTGATGCTCTCGAGAATACTAACGCTAAGAGGAAGAAAACTTTTTGTTGATAACTTTGCTTCGCCCCACCCGTGTGGCCTTCTACTGTTTTGCAGCCTCTGTAAGTAACTGCGAGTTTCGGCTGGAACTCCTGAGTTTTCAGTAAAACTGGCATTGGCTCTGGCCTCTCGCACATTATCCATCTGCACTTGGGAGTGTTCTAAATCTATGGCTTCCTAGCTAGTTTCTGAGTTTGCCCGTTCCGTCTCTTCTCATTTCTCAATGCGTCACAAAATGCATTCCTTTACGTTGTAGGATTCAAAATCTACTGTCTCGTGCATTCGAAGAGAGAAAATTCCACTTATTTTGACCTACTTTGAGTTGTCCATAGGATGGCAATGGGTCGGGTCGGAGACTTACCTTATCCAAAGTCGTTCGGGTTTTACCCATACCCATATTCACATGTGAAACGGGTAGAAAATCAAAACCATGTCCATACCCGTTCGGGTTTTGGGTATCCACGGTTATCCATGGATAGTAATTTCTCTTCATAACTCCAACCAATATGTTGAAATTCATACATATTCTCACATTACGTAAGAGGAAAAGTACGACAATAATTCACTAGAATGAAGAAAAAATAATTAAAATAACACAATTTCATGAAAATATTATACTTATATGCTAAATATAAAATATATTAAAGAAAAATAATGATTATTTCTAGACAAAATACATATGCATGTGTATAATCGGGCGGGTTCGGGTTGGATAATGAGAAACCCATGTCCACCCATTACCCGCAATATTCGGGTTCGGGTTTTATCCGTACCCACTAAATGTCTTTCGGGTTTGAGTTTTACCCTACCCGATTAGGCCGGATTCAGGCGGCTATCTACAGTTACAAACATTTTTGCCATCCCTAGTTGTCCAGCTCGTATAACATAAGTCAAACCTTCTCAGACTCCATAATGACTTCACGAGGAAGAAGAAGTACCAACCAGTATTCGAACCCAGGACCAGCAGCTGCTCTACTCCATTTAGTAAAGAGGAGAGAGAGCTTTCCTTTCTTTAGCAGTCATTTCCCCATTTTTACCAGAGGCATCTACTCATCTTTACCAAACTATCTTTTTTCCATCAAAAATCCCAACGAATAAAAGACACACCACACATCCCCTCCCACTCCCTTTATTCACTACCTCCACCACTCCCACACTCTTTCGGCTTTCCTTCCTCCAAAGGAAAAAAAGTTGCAGAGCGACAATGGCTGCCGGACCGACGTTCCTCTGCTTCCTCACCTTCCTCCTCGCCATTTCCACCTCCCCGTCCCTCTCCCGCACTCTACCACCTCCCTCCTCAACATCCCTCGACGTCTCCGCCTCCCTCCACCGAGCTCACCACATCCTCTCCTTCGACCCTCAATCCACCACCACCACCTTCACCGAGCTAGAATCCGAAGAACAATCCTCTTCTTCTTCTTCCCCCTCTTTCCAGCTCAACGCCTCCTCACCATTCTCCCTCGACCTCCTCTCCCGACAATCCGTCCTCAGATCCAGCCACCCGGACTACAAATCCCTCACCGCCGCCAGGCTCCGCCGCGACTCCGCCCGCGTCCAGTCCATCTCCGCCAAGCTCCTCCTCTCCCTCTCCGACTCCGACCTCACCCCTCTCCTCGATTCCGACCATTTCCTCTCGCAGTCCGATTTATCGACTCCGGTCACATCCGGGTCGAACCAGGGCAGCGGCGAGTACTTCTCCCGGGTCGGGCTCGGCACCCCGGCCCGATCCTTCTACATGGTCCTCGACACCGGCAGCGACGTCAATTGGCTCCAGTGCGACCCTTGCGCCGATTGCTACCAGCAAACCGACCCGATCTTCAACCCGTCTTCCTCCTCCTCATACTCCCCGCTCTCCTGCAGCTCCCCTGAGTGCGCCGCCTTAGACGTCTCCAGCTGCAGATCCGACCAGTGCCTCTACCAGGTCAATTACGGCGACGGGTCCTTCACCTTCGGCGACTTCGTAACCGAGACTCTCTCCCTCGGCAGATCCGGATCCGCGTCGAAGATCGCCCTCGGGTGCGGCCACGACAACGAAGGCCTCTTCGTCGGCGCCGCCGGCCTCCTCGGCCTCGGCGGCGGGCCTCTCTCCCTCACCTCCCAGATCCGAGCCTCCTCGTTCTCCTACTGCCTCGTCAACCGCGATTCCACCTCTTCCTCAACCCTGGACTTCAATTCCGCCTTCCCCGCCGACTCCGTGACGGCGAATCTGATGAAGAGCAGGAAGGTCGACACGTTCTACTACGTCGCCCTGAGCGGGATGAGCGTCGGCGGGGAGCTGCTCTCGATCCCGGCCTCGGTCTTCGAGCTCGACGAGGCCGGGAACGGCGGGGTCATCGTCGACTGCGGCACCGCCATCACGCGCCTCCAGACGCAGGCCTATACGTCGCTCCGCGACGCGTTCGTGCGGCTGACGCCGCACATGAGGTCGGCGAGCGGGGTCGCGCTGTTCGACACGTGCTACGACCTTTCTGGGATGTCGAGCGTGAAGGTGCCGACGGTGGCGTTCCACTTCGGCGGCGGGAAGTCGTGGTCCCTGCCGGCGTCGAATTACTTGATCCCGGTGGACGGGGAGGGGACGTTCTGCTTCGCGTTTGCTCCTACGACGTCGTCTCTGTCGATCATTGGGAACGTGCAGCAGCAAGGGACGCGCGTCAGCTTCGACCTGGCGAACAGTCGCGTGGGCTTCTCCACCAATAAATGTTAAGAGGAAAAGAAGGGGAAATAATTATTTTTTTACTTTCGTACCGTTATAGCTATCGCTCTTCCTGGTAAGTGTAAGTTGTTGCTGTGTCATTCAGTAAACTAGTAAAAAAGGGAAAGGTAAAAAGTTCAAAAAAATTGAAGCCTATAGGAAGAAGGAAAGGGAAAGTAGGGTTTGCTTATTAATTGTGTAATTTATTGTTTGGTGGGCCGAAGAAGTAAATGTAATGTGATTGGATTGAAGGCGAGAGCTTTGGTTTGGTGGGTTCTTGCTGGATCATAATTGTAAGTAGGTCCAATTCGAGCCGCTCATCAGCGCGATTCGACGTTCGATTCAGGAATACTCGATTCGTTCAATTTAAAGTTGAGTTTGTTAACTTGCGAGACGGACTGATTCAGTGATTTGTTAAGCTAAATTCGTAAATTGTTTTAACTTCACGAGGTTGCTCGATGGTTTGGATGGTGAACTAGCTCCTGTAGTGATATATAAACAAGGGCATAGATAAGGTGGTGGTGGCAATTCATGGTAAATTGTTTGGGGGAAGTTGGGGTAGTTTTGGTAATTTGATTTTTGCATACGAAATGGGAATCCAAGAAAAGTAAAGTGAGAGGAGCAACGCAGGGCGGACCCAGGGGGTTTTAGGAGTGTCTCCGGACACCTCTAAATTTTGGGAATACGATTATCCAACTCCCGGTGGTAATTTACGTATGGACAAAAAAAAAATTATAATTGATAGTGAGAGACACCGCTGAAATTTGAAAACATGATTATCTTACTGTCATTTGTGTATAGGAATATAAGTGGTAGATTGGGTAATTCAAATCTAGAACACTATTCTTATTAATAAACTTAATTTTCGTTGACCTACAACTCATTTGTTGTTCGATTTTGAAAAATGTAATAGTAAAATGTCATTTCCTGTCTCTAATTATTTTAAAAACCTAACAATTAAACTAATTTCAAGCTACCCTTAATACGGCAAGTGTTGAAAGAGTCTTTCAGCTTTGGGTTACATCGAGAACAAGTTTACAAATCGAATATGCGATAAGTTCGTGAATGATTGTCTAGTAGGGTATATAGAGACACAATTTTTTTAACACTATAGACACCAAGTGTATTCTACAATTATTTTCGAATATGAAACTTTTTTAACCTGTACAAGTAAGGTATTTTCAAATTTACGATTTTATTTTTATTTAATTTATTTTTAAAAGAGAACACCCCTGTGAAAAATTTCTAGGTCCGTCACTGGAGCAACGGTAAGTGGGTGGTGGTGGTGAAAAATAAAATAGAGAGGGAGGGCTTTGGGGGGAAACGGACGTGAGGGATTAATTGTGGTGGGGTTGGGTTTTGTTTGGCATTGGCGGGAGGGAAAAAGGGAATGGATGCATGTCTGACACGTGGCTCGGCTTAATTCACGGGTCGGGTGTAGGGTTTGTCTGTCTTTTCATACGTACGTTACGTATGTGGTTTCATTGACCTGGCAGTCAAAGTGAAATATGGTTTTTTTTTAATGTTAATTTAATTAGGGGGTGCTAATTGGTTTGATTTGGGTAATCACTAATTGATTTGATGGTTAGTAGTTATCACTAAGAAAAAAAAAATGCTTACAGAAAGCTGATAACGGGCTTATCGACTAAACGTTTGTTATCTGTTTGGTTAGCGGTTAGTTTGACGGTTAACTACTAATCAATAACAGATTCCACACGTGATATTTTTCCTTTTCTTATTTTGAAATTCCATACGGTGTACTTTGTAATAATAAAATGTAACCATATAGATAATTGAAAAAACAATTAAGTTGTTTACATAGAATAATAATTATAAGAAATAACATCAATACAAATATACAACACAATATCTATCGTGAATTCATAATCCAAATCCCAATCCGTAAAATTTCAAATATTAGACAAGCGTATTTATTCAACTGACGATTATCAATTAGCAAGATATCAAACACAAGCACCACAAGATCATCATTCGTAAACATTAAAGAAACAAAGATTACTAGAGTGTGACTTGCGAGGTTTGCTTTGTCGATGACAAAGGGGAGAGTGAGAGAGGGGTAACTTTCAGGTTGTGACTCTTGTATATATCTGAAACCTTTGGGCGGAGGATTGTTTGGCAATAGCTATGAATTGGGATGTTTTGAATTGCGACTTTGGTTGGTTTTGAATTTTTGAGACTTTCTCCTTAGGCAAAACCCAAAATTATGTGTTATACATTTTCTTATCGATTAACCACTAACTGATTAGTCGGTTAGTGGTTAACCACTAAGCAAAACTTGGGATGTTTTGAATTGCGACTTTGGTTGGTTTTGAATTTTTGAGACTTTCTCCTTAGGCAAAACCCAAAACTATGTGTTATACATTTTCTTATCGATTAACCGCTAACTGATTAGTAGGTTAGTGGTTAACCACTAAACAAAATAAAACTAATAAATCTCTTGTCACCATCCTTATAATGTATGAGACTCATGTATGCATTTCGATTAGGGTTGTATTCTATGGCTGTGATTCTAACATATATGTCTTTTCATTCCGTCAAAAATCGACTTTATGGTATAGGCGCTTATGACCTCCCCCTCTATGTCTTGTGGTAATGATTCCTCTGGAATTACGGCCATTACCACAACGATGCTGTCGATTTCTTTCGAAAAGAGACGATTATGCATCTCCTTCTCACCTCCTTAAATAACCGGAACATTGAGGAACTGACCACAAAGAAATAATAGGTTAACCACTAATCATCGATGTCGGTTACAATCGATAACCATTAACTCTTTACCACTCCTAAACTTAATACATTGATTAGAATTATGATGTCAATATTTTCACTAACAATCTAATCGTTATTACCTTGTTTGGACAAGGGAGGAGGTCGTCGTGTATCATTGAGTGTTGTTGTAGACTCGACGCTAACCAGTGAACAACTAGAATTTCGTAGGACCCTCATGGTGGATGGACGAAGTTATTTGAAAGACGAATGAACTTGTTGTTGAGTGTTTACACATGAACTTGTTATTCCTACTTTCTATGAAATTCTACAACATTGTGATATATTTTTGTTATTTTAGCTTCCAACATTCTAGTGTCTTCTTTAACCCCCGGTGTAGATAGGGTAGGTTAGTTGAAATAGATGTTACAACAGAAAAAGAAGGCAACATTTATGGTCAAAATCGACCTGCTCTGCCTCTGCTAGTTGGCAACCAGTACTATTTGATTTGGGGAGTTCCGTCTTAGCCTTAGCCAGCAGCAAATTGATTCAATGAATACCCATCTCCCATTTCTTTCACCTACTTACTTGGTGGGAATTCATTCCCGCCAGTCACGGGGAAAGGGAAAGCTTTAAAGTCAAAGGAGAACCAACCTTCCATTCCAAATCTTCCATGTAAAAAAAAAAACATTACACTTTCATGGCTGCTTTCCCTTTGCTACATTGCATTTACATGCACTGTTTCCTTCTTTTCCAGAGCTGCTTATTAGCTTTGCTGAATTGGGTCAATCCAAATCACAGACAAGGAGAATGGAACAGGGCACATGTTTGCAGTTTGCACAGCTTTATTCAAAGTAGAACTAGCTGCTGACTCTCCCTTCTGATGTGAGTGCAACACTAGGCAGATATCAAACGATTATTCAATGAAATCTCCAATGGTGGACACTGTTCTCTGAGCCAATTTGTAGATAATGGTGATCCTAGTTCTGCTTACTCAATGAGGGAGTGGTTTTTACACATTCAACATTGCTTAAGGAACACACCACCTAACCGAGGAAAAGTCTCGACTACTTTTAAGTCAAGCTTGGTCTAAAATTCCTGAAAGATTGTCTTTTTATATGATTATATCGAAAAATAATCCGAGAAAAGGTGGATTGTTCCGAGCAGGCTGAATGGACAATGGGGACGGAATAGCAGATCAATGGCACTTCTCATTCTTTGAGACAAAGTGGGGAAAGGTAACAATTTGGACTTTGACACAATAGTAGAGACATGATATCATGAGCCATGAGTAGTATGATAAGCAGGAGTATACTCATTGTGTCCACCTTTTGGCAACAATCTCAACTTGGCAAAAAGGCAAATCCAAGGTCATCATATATCTGTATGATAGAAACCTAATTTTTAGGTTCTATCATAATTGTCATAATTATTAGGGGTTTAAGAAATCATGAGGCATTTACAGAAACATCAGCTGCAAAGCAGGTGGTACCAGCAGACTTCATCTCTACTAGCTCTTCAATTTTCCAACCAGTTTCCTCCACCAACACCTTTTCACTCCAAATCTCACTGATTGCTAGTGTCCACAAGTATCTTCCAAACTGAAACAGCTTCCCAACTTCAGTGTAGCCTCTTGTAATCCTTCTTCCAATCCATCTGTAGGGAGATAAGACCATACTTTCCTGAAAATCCACTGCAGAAACCTGTTGAACATACATGCGTTTGAAGAAAAGATGGTCTCTAGTCTCTATCTCACTCATATTTGGGAAATGGCTTTTCATCCCAAACAAAAAAAACTGCATTTTCTGTTTTTATCAGATACTGTGCTGCAACATTTCAAGACTTTTGAGGATTGGATAGTTACCAACAACACTTGCTTCTGTGCAACCTGCAAAATGGAACAATAGGGATTACAGTCCTCCTCCCCCACTGTATGGCAGCAGTTGTCACCTTGAACACCGGTAAGAATAAAGATGCTAGCAGATGATGAGCTTTACTTGCAGGCTCACACCACTAGCACTGAAGAAAAGTTTGTGGCTTTGCAAGCATAAAAGTCTTACAGGGATGTTGCCAACAAAACCACCTGGAATTCAAGGAACAACCAATGCAATGATGTAAGCGCTAGAGCTTTGACAACTGAAAGCAAAAAAGACAAGACTCGCATGTTCAGGTAAAGCTGTTAAAAAGAGGGAGAAACTTGAAACCTATTGCAAAAAATAACGCCGTTGCCGGGGATCGAACCCGGGTCACCCGCGTGACAGGCGGGAATACTTACCACTATACTACAACGACAACTTGTTGTTGATTCACAATAGTCCTTCAAATTCAGGGCAGTTGTGACTTGGGGGAACAGAGGATCCATTGCTAGAATAGACCAATCCTTTCATGGAGTGAAACTAAAGGCTTCTCCTCATTGGTGTCCTTAGTTAGTTTTCTATATATTGCCACCTTCTCATTCACCAAACATATTTCAGCTGGAAACTTACTTACTTGCTTGCTTGCACTTGCAGATACATGAGAAAACCTCCATCTCACCTTCCTAACTTGATGCTTAAGGCCCAACATAAGATGCCAGGATCATATTTTGACATGAGAAATCATTTAACACAATATATATATATAGCTTCTGGAAGCAGAGAAACAGAGGCACTTGACTGGTTAGTTCTTTGCTGAAAAGAGAAGAGAAACACCCAAATACCCATTTATAAAATGTTGAAAACAGAGGACCAAACAACACCACCACCAACCCAAGTTTCTTCACCAATATTCCTCAAAAATATAAAGACACCCTTCTCTTTTCCCTTTGTCACTCTTACATTCTTATACAAGCCAGACAAATCAAATCAACACAACATTCTCTCTCTCCATCTCTAGCTTGGCAGTTCTCTCAGGAGGCAGAGTCCTTCAGCAAAGAGGATAACTTTTCTTTTCTGCCAGTCATTTTTTCCTTTTTTTTTTACCAGGTCAGTAAATGAATGCATGTAATTTATTGCCTATAGTTTGAATGTAACACATTTGGTAACTACTTCATATGCATAAATTCTTCATTTACCAATGTACCTTATTAAAGATTTTTCATTTGGTATCAATCACTTCAAATACTATGGTGTTATGCAATGTGCAGGGGAAACTTAAAGCAGCAGCAGCAGCAGAAGGGGAAGGAAGGAAGGAAGAAACAGAATAATGGGAGAAATGGGAGGGATCCCATTGGGAGTCATAGGGGCTCTGTTCCTATCAGTTGCCTCTTCAGTCTCCATTGTCATCTGCAACAAAGCTTTGATGAGCAATCTCGGCTTCCCTTTTGGTAAAAACATATACAAATTCCCCTCCGAATTGACGAGAAGATGTGAACTGTGAACATGATGTTTTGACATCAAACTGTTTCATTTGCAGCTACGACACTGACGAGTTGGCACCTGGTGGTGACATTCTGCACACTCCATGTGGCTCACCGGTTCAACCTGTTCGAGTCGAAGTCGGTCGACATGAAAACCGTGATCCTTTTCGGGCTCGTCAATGGTATCTCCATTGGGTTCCTGAACCTCAGCTTGGGTTTCAACTCCATTGGCTTCTATCAGGTTAGGAAACGACTCATCATGTATCATCCTTTTTTGTGTGTTTTGCTACATTTGTTCACATTGGATCATGATTTCTGACACATGTAATGTCACAAATATTGCAGATGACAAAACTTGCAATCATCCCCTTCACTGTCTTACTGGAAACACTCTTCCTCAACAAACACTTCAGGTATTTCGACAACCCGAGTTATTTTGAATGGAAATTCGATATTCTGATACACGAAAAAACGTGCTGTATGAATAGAAAATCGTATTTCCATTTTGCAGCCAAAAGATCAAGTTTGCTCTCTTCCTATTGCTTGTTGGAGTTGGGATTGCCTCTGTGACAGATATGCAGCTCAATTGCCTTGGCACCATTCTGTCCCTCCTTGCCATCTTAACAACCTGTGTTGGCCAAATTGTAAGACCCCTTCTATTTTTTCACATATTTCGCCTATTTGGGATGATCGTCAACGCAAACTGTCATCACTGCTGGATCGTGTCTCATGTGATCTCAGTCATTCGTTATACGTGATGAACCTTATTTCATCCTAGTACGAATGTTGTTAACTGACTTGCACATAATTTCTACCCTTTTTACAGCTGACAAACACAATCCAGAAGAGGCTGAATGTGTCTTCAACCCAGCTCCTCTATCAATCAGCTCCATTCCAAGCCGCGGTTCTCTTCATCTCGGGCCCTCTGGTCGACCAGTTCCTCACCAAGAAGAATGTGTTTGCATACAAATACAACCCCTTAGTAGTGGTACATTTTTTTTCACTATACAGTAACCTCTCTCCCTTTTCACCCACCTTCCATTTTCCCAAAAGAAATTGAAATATGTAACATGTTTGTGGTTTTCTGCAGACGTTCATAATGCTGTCATGCGTGATAGCAGTGGCAGTGAACTTCAGCACGTTCATGGTGCTAGGGAAGACGTCCCCTGTAACGTACCAGGTTCTAGGGCACTTGAAGACGTGCCTCGTCCTGCTTCTGGGGTATACTCTGTTGCGCGACCCTTTCTCGATCAGGAACGTCGTTGGGATCCTCGTGGCCATGGGTGGGATGGTGCTGTACTCATATTTCTGCACCCAAGAGAGCAAAAAGAAGCAGTCGGATGACTTGGTAAGGAAATGATTGGTCTTGTGGAAAGAGTTTGGAAAGTTGGGGTACTGATGTGTAATTTGGATTTTTTTTTTTTCTTGGCAAGGTGAAGGAGAAGGAGGATGTGAGGACACCGTTGATCGTGGGAGTCCAAGAGAAGGAGAATGGTGAAGGGAAGAAATTGGCTAAGGACTCTGTTGTGTAGAAGTAAATTTTAGAAACGTTTCTTTTTTCATTCATTGGTTCTCTTTGTTTTTGTGATGTGCCCTAGCCCTAAGGTGATGAGGTATGGTTTTTGTGGGATGTAAAAGTGATTTTTCGATTCTTTCAAATAAACCCAATTTTTATTCAATGCATTTCTCCAGCCAAGGAATATTGGAGTGGAAGTGATGTAGAACTTGATCGTTTTTACCGTTTCCGTGAATTTTTGAACAATGCATCCATCATTTATCGATCGAGATTATATGTAAAGTGCGTGTTGGAATTTCTCGTTTAATTGTTTATAACTCAAGCCTACCAACACTTGTTTTGAACCGTTGGATCAAGATTAAGTTCGTCAAATGGTTCAGAGAGACTTTATGTAGGTGTCTTTTGGCACGTGATTTCTATTATCAATTATCACCTCATTAGGAACATATATATACACTACGAGATTGTTTGGAAGTCATTCTAATGATGATTGAGCGGTTCTTTAATACGTAGGTGCCTTTTAGCACCTGATTTGTGTCGTCTCGTTAGGAACGCACGCACATTACTAGATATTTTGTAAGTCGTTATAAAATGATGAATATGCAGTTCTTTGCAAATTTGTGTGGTGATTTATGAAATGTATAATGTTTTACAAAATGTCAATTTTTTCTATTTTACAAGCTTTTTTTTTCACAAAAAGAACTCGAGCCGGTTTAATCTCCCATTAAAATGAATATATTTAATATATAAATACCGTTATAGTCCCATCAAACTTAACAATATTCTGAAACCATAGTATCACAATTCACAATCTCATTCACAGAGTATATCAATTCCTCAGAATCATGTGTTTCACAATTTCCAGTTGGATCTCAACCACATAAGAGAGAATCCCATGAAGCAAAAGCAATCAGAAAATGGGAAGAGGTTCACAAAAATCCCATGACCAGCACCAAGATCCTTTATTATTTGGTGTAACCTCAACAGCCTCTTTGGCACCCAAAAAAAAGAGGCCCAAAGCCAAATCCTAATGCAACCCAAACACATGTCACAGCTATAAGTCACGCATTTGCAGTGAACAAATGGTACAAATATTTTCACACTTGTCGTAGTGGGTACATCCATTACTCAACAATCCACGGTTTCACATTACTAACAAAGGCATCCCAACAGGAATGGGTGGCATTGGGAAGAATTAGTATTTCAGCAATACGCTTTAACTTTTTAGATATCAAATGTCATTTCTCAATTCTGAGGTAAACGTTCTTGTTCTCTCTGTAGATTTTGACAGCGGCGGATCCAGAACACAGAAGTGCACTGGGCCGCATTTTATTAGGAAATTAGAATAGTAAAAAAAAAATAATGATTATAATTTTTTTACAATGTAAATTGTACACGACGGTATTTTAATTTAGCGAATGCATTAATAACGGAGTCCACATCCATACCAATAGTATACACTGTTTCAAATTAAATACTTGAGCAATCGACTAGAAATCCTTCGCTCATTTTGTTGCGCAAATCAATTTTCACATGTTTCGTTGTTGACAAGGTTCTATTCGTATTAGCTGTTGAAACGAGCAGCATCAACACTAGACAAATCAATCTACTAATCAATTTGCATTGTGTTTCCATCCCTATATCCACCAGCTGCTCTAGTAAATTTTCCAAGGTAACAAACCTCATATATGTTTTAGTCTTTTACGTTTTAAACTTTTTGAATTTTTAGATTTCATTGTTTTTTTAGACGAATAACCTTTGGGGTTAGAATTTATAAGCTAAATTTAGAGTAGTGATTTTGAATATGTTCATCTGAATTATTCTTCTAATTATACCCAATCTTATTTTAAAATAACAACGACCCGAATATCTCAAATCAAAAAATTCATAAGGCCTATTACTAACTATGGATCCAGATGAGGGCTGGGCCGGGGCCCGGGTTGGCCACCCCCTGGATCCGCCACTGGATTTTGAGCAAGCGATATTAGGCTTATGAGGCTCGATTATATGACAACTGTGGGAGAAAATGGGAACCCCACATTTCTTGGAACTTTCAACTTTGGGGGGGAAGCTCAACATGAGAGCAATTGTGCATCAAATTCGGAAGACTTTCGTCCGTTGTGACTTGACTATGATCAGAGAGGCCGACTCTCTGTAACATTACACGTAGCGAGAGAAGAACAGGGAGGTCGACTCGCTTTAAAATTTAAGTTATCAATTTGTTAAAAGTCAAATAGTAAGTGACTATTTTGTTAGTGATCCCAAACATAAGTAACCTTTTGTGTTATTAATCTAGAGGAACATAGAGAATAATGAGAGTAGAGTTTATAAAGGAAAGAAAAATGAGAAATTTTATTATGCATTACTATGTGAACGTTGAACTCATAGCTAAATCGTATTAATAGGGTTGAGCTGGCAGATTATCACAAGACATCAAGAAGTCGGTACACGTTGACTCGGAATTGAAGGAGCCAAATGGGTGAATGAATTTTGAGGGTGAAATTTGGTAGAATTTTGAATTCTTCATGTTCTCGAGTTTCCCATCCATCCAAAGCCCAAACTGGAGAGTTTGGTTTCTATTCCCCTTTTGATTTATCCGGCCCTCGTGCGGAGCTATGGGCCTGGCCTCATGGCAGAAAATCTTCAGTTTCTTGCTATACTGAAACGAAGGCCCACGAGATTACCGGTCGGGCCTAGCCTCATGGCAGAAAATCTTCAGTTACCACCACCAGCCAGAAGAGGCCACACAGCCAATGCATGCAGGCAGTTCCTTTTGGTTCCGATTTCTGTTCCTATTTCCGCCATCGAATTCCGCCTACTTTGATCCTTCGCCGCCAACAAAGGAGGTGGAAAACGGCGGATAGCACCGGAGATCGCAGCCGGCGAATGTGCAATATATAGTTAACGGCAAAAGGACTGATACGGCGAAAGTTGAGAGAGAATAGTGTATTAGTTGAGTGGAGAAGAGAGAGAGAGAGAGAGAAGTGGAGGGTGAGTAAACCTTCATCGGATCTTGTACGTTTTTGTTAAACGACGAACAAGAGAGAGAGAGAGAGATGGAGGTGGTGCCGGTGGAGCAAGAGAAGGAAGAGGTTACGGAAGGTTGGTTGTACGTTGTGCGGTCCAATCGAATTGGATTGCAGTACTCCAGTAAGCGTTAGGGCTGGGAAAATAGACCAGACCGTTAGAAAAATCGTGATCCAAACCGTACCGCACAGTTTGGTTTGGACCATAGACCATTAAGTATGGTTTGGTCTGGTCCATGGTCTGGTCCCTACTTCATTCACAACCACCTTTAACTAGAGAGTAGAGATAATAGTGTCTCCATATGACATTATGTTAATGTTTATGACGTTATGGTGCAAGTTGGGATGCTTTTACTTTGTATCTTTGTTATGTACTAAGATTTAGGGTATCAAAATTATTCATGCATGTTAGGATTAATGTTTTAAGGCAAATAACAATGATTTTTCATGGTTATTGGTTCAATTTTTTGTGTGGTTGACTAAACAAATTATTCATTTTTCGTTGAGTGTGGTCTATCTGGACCAGACCGAACCAGACCGCACAGGCGTGGTCTGGACCAAACCGTATAGTTTGTGGTCTGGTCTGTGGTCTATACTTCAACCTCTCGGTCTGGACCATAGACCGTATATATGGTTTGGTCTGGACCAGACCGCACCGTTTCCCAGCCCTAATAACCGCTACTTCCTCCTTCATTGAATTGGAATTGAATCCCTCGATTTGAGATTTTGATGTGTCTGGACTTTCTCTATTTGTGATTGATTGTGTATATAAAATAGGTCCTCTCATCATCATATGTATCATTTGTGCTTGATACCAAGATCCTCTTACTCTCTAGCTCCTCTTTCTTGAAAGAATTTGAAGCCTTCGTACGATCTCGCAAAATGAAAAATGACGCCCCATAAGGCCATAACTCGAGATAAGTTGACGAATATCGATTTGTAAACTTTGTAATCAGCCTCTAACATACGTAATTGTAATTCGATCAATAATCCTAAAGTATTTGTGAACTTTTCTGATGTCTTTCTAAACGATTCACAACTCATCTTGACTCTCGATCAAATAGTTATCTTACAAAGTCACGTATTTAACGATAATAAACTGTCCACCCACAATCCAACGAACACGATGCGTTGTAAACATTTTTTTCACTAGATTGAGGGCGGCCACCAAAATTCCTCCTTTCGGGAATCAGGTTTGGACTTTGGGCGGGGTTTAATAAGATATATATAGTATTTAATTCTTAATATTGAAAGTGTCGCCCCGATTTCCCAAACGGAGAAGAGAAATGATTGACTGAGTTAGTCAGTTTGTCAAGTTCACTCCGTATCTGTGTTGATCGGACACGGATCACTCCGGCCGGGCAACCCCAAAAAACACCACGCCGGAGAAGGAGGGAAAACGGAACTCCAATTCGATTGCCTTTCACCCGCTTGGCTCATCTTCCGTCTGGTTGCCGAGAAAAATCCCGCCGATCAGTGTTCTGCCTACCTGCTCTTCAGTTAAGCTCCTCTGTGGTCCGCCGTAGGGTTTCTCTGAGCAAGCTTTCAGTCTGTATCTTTTTCCTCTCGGTGGAGTTTTGGTTCGTTTTGCTGCTTCTTTCTCCCTAATTCGTTATTTACTTGTTTGGTTGCTAAGGAAAATGAATCCGATCACTTCGAGACGTGATGGTAAAGTTACTGCTGGTTCTCTGGCAGAAGTAGGTAGTAGGCAAGGATTCTTCAGGCCAAGAACTTTGGAGACTTTAGCTTAGGATTGAATTCTGTGTTTTTGCTGCCACTATGGGGGTTGCCGCATATTTCATTTGAACTCTATATTAGTATCAGACTATCAGTGTTAGGACAAACTACAAGCTAGATTGTTTCTGATTTCCCGCAGTTGGTTCTTTTTTATTAGATAATGACATTGCTGGGTGTTTGCTATGGCAGGAGTTTGAGTAGGATCTCGGTGAATGGCTCTTGCCCTCAAACTAGTACCGGTTTTGGTGCTTACTTACGCGTTGGGTAAGTTTGGCGGGGACTTGTTTTGTGGATCTTGGTTCATCAATATTCCTATTCCGTATTTGTTTAGCGGATACAACATAGGTTACCCATGGTTAGATTGGGAAGCATGCAGCTAGGAAGTAGTTCTGTTGTGTGGTGAATTTAATTGTCTGCAAGTGAACCATTGTTTCAGTTGATAACTAATCATTTCTTCTCTCTGGCATACCACATATGTTTTCCGCTAGTAAACAGCTACGCTGTTGAAGATGGTTTTGGCCAGTGTGAAAATGTTGTCAAGAAGTGGACCACCTCAGCTCTTGGACAAGAAGCTAAGGAAGACAAACATACCCTTCGAGATTTGTTGTTTTTTCTTCATGTCCCAAGAACTGGAGGGCGCACTTACTTTCACTGGTAATTCTTCAGAAATATTAGTTTAGTTACCTGAGATTATTAAGCTTTTGCCTGTCTATGTAATCCTTAATTGTGTCTGATTTTTTCTTCCCTCCTTTCAGTTTCTTGAAAAAGTTATACTCTGGCTCAGATGAGTGTCCCCGTTCTTATGATAAGTTACACTTTGACCCAAGGTACCATCTCTTCCTCAATTTTGCATACTGCCAATTTAATGTTGCAGTTTTAGGTTAAAAGTTGAGCCAAGCAGTGGGTTTTCATTTTGTGCAGCAAACAAAAGTGCAGGCTATTGGTTACTCATGATGACTATAGCATGATTTCTAAGCTTCCCAAGGAGAAAACTTCAATGGTGACCATACTCAGGAATCCTGTTGACCGGGTCTTTAGTGCTTATGAGTTTTCAATTGAAGTAGCTGCTCGGTTTTTGGTGCATCCTAACTTAACGTCTGCAACTCAAATGGCTGGTCGCTTGCGGTCTAAATCCCCCGGAATGAGTACATTGGATATATGGCCTTGGAAATACTTGGTTCCATGGATGAGAGAAGACCTGTTTTCTAGGGTAGGTAACTGGTATGTTTCCTGCTTCATCATTCTGACCTGATTGCCACTTATCTTCTTGCTGGATGTAAATTGTTTGAAGTTTCCTTGCTTATATTTCAGTGAACAGAGTGACAGAACTTTAAAAGTAGTAATCATTACTCCCCCCAAAAGCATATTCTGATATTTGTATCACTCTGTACCGGTCTTCTTTCAATATTTCACAATGTGATATAGGGGAGCAATGTTCTAGAAACTGCAAGAATTTTGTGTCCATTGTTCTCCTTGATCATACAGTGTTTTTTGCAAGGACTGTCATCTCATTCCTTGCTCTTAGTTGTGCAAACTCTTATTTTTGTGTGCAGAGGGATGCAAGAAAGCTTAGAGGCTCAGATAGAATTGAGAGCAATAACCCATATAGCATGCAGGAGATCGTGATGCCATTACTTCAATATATAAATGACCCTATAGCTCGTGATATTGTTCACAATGGAGCAACTTTTCAGGTATCTCCCTCGTTTAATCTCAATGCATTTTGATGTTTAATTCTCTATTACTCATTTGATCATGCACTGCACCCCATATAATGTTAAGACCAGGCTCTTGCTAAGTGATTTCTCGGTAGTTGCAGCAGTGTGTAACTGCTGTAGTAGGAAGTGTAGACCCAGAGCGATATCAAGAATATGCCCCCAATTTATGTCGAGTTTGGTTTTGGATTTTATTGGTGAAAGAATTGGTGTCACATTTTGAGTCGCTGAAGTGATATAATATCTCATGACTAGGGTTCTATAACCTTACCGCTGCGGTAAATCTCGACAAACACAGAAGATATCATCTCAAGCAGATATTCACTGGGTTTGCATCTTCCCAAGTTTTGTGGAACAGTTGGCTTCATGCTGTCGGGTTTTATTTAAGAGAGCTTGACAGCTAGATTATCTTTAAGGTGATCAGTTGCCGTCATAAATGCAATTGAACTTCAGTTGTGGAGCTAATATTTTGCTTCTTTACTCTGACGGTCAACGTTTGTTGATTCTTTTCATGCTTGGACCAACTTATACAGATCCTGACTATTGAGTTCCCAACCATGCTTAGATCATGGTTTTATCTGATTTTGTGGCCATTGGTATAGAAGACGTATAAAGCTGACTTGGAGGGTGTTACGCAATCATGGGGAGAAACCTGAAATAATATAACTGGGAACTCCTGAAGTCAACTGATAACTTGGACATCTTTCTGAACTTGCTTGAATACAAATGAAAATTAGGATAGGACATCGACAATTCTAATTGCCTGCACAGTGACTTTATTATTGGGCGGGAGAGAGATGCCAATGTATGTTATCATAGAGAAACCTGAAAATGATATAACTGGAACTCCTGAAGTCGACTGATAATATGAGCATCTTTCTGAAACTGCTTGAATTCCACTGATAATTGTAGGCCATAGCAAATTCTAAACGGCTACCTTTGGCTTTATTGGACAGAGAGAGGGAGAGAGCGTGAAAGTGACTTAAGTGATGCCTAGAAAAGTTCCATCACTGTGCAATTTGTTTCTTCCTGTAGTGGGAACTTTTTTGTTCTCATATCTGAACAGTGAATGGCTCTTGAAACTTCATGAAAGATAATGCACGTCAAATACTCTTAGCAGCTGAATTCTGTATCAAGGTTGTATGATATACTCTTTTGGCTGCTCACAGATGGCAGGAATAACTAACAACTCCTACTTTCCAGAAGCACATGAAGTGCGTCACTGTGTACTAAAATACAAGGTCCTTGGAGATTATGTCCTTCAAGTTGCAAAGGTAAAACATGCATGCACATGTCTTCTCTGTGATATGTACAAATGCTGCTATCGCAGTAGTAGCTTGCATCTAACTGTTTGTTTCCCCTGCATGGTGGTTTTGTTAATGATATATACAATTGTAAATAAATCTTGCAGAAGAGGCTTGATGATATGCTGTATGTTGGTCTCACAGAGGATCACAAAGAATCTGCTGCAATGTTTGCAAATGTGGTCGGAGCACAGGTGATATCCCAGACATTATCATCAAATGCTACCACAAAGTGGAAACCGGCTAATCAGAAATCAGGTTTGCATGCCTAAAGCCTTCTCGACCTTGTTCATTATGTCAATAATTTGATGCTTCTGAACAAAATCTATCATCCACAACCATTTCCAGGCCATAGCTCTTTAATCTCAAATCCCGAGGCTGACCACGAGGATCATCTAGTGGGGCAGACTAACACCACAGTTCATTCCACAGATCTTATAAGTGACAATAGAGAAAATGTAAGTGATTACTGTGCACAAACTTCTGATATTAAAAAAAAAGAGAGCTTAAATCCTTGCTTTTCCTGCTATGTTCAGATGACGGTGAAGAAACTAATGGGGTCTTATGAAGGCTGTATAAAGAATTTAAGGAAAACACATTCGCGCCGTCGAACTCTCTCCCTGAGGAGGATTGCTCCTGCAAACTTCTCCAAGACGGTAAAATCTCTTCTCTCAGTCTCTCAACTATTTATTTTGTGCGTTCCTTTCCCTCCCCGTTAATCCCATTATTGTGACCAATTAGATCCATAAATCTCCAGATGTTTGTTGAATAAACTAACTTCCAACACTCTGTAACACAGGACCGAGTGAAGGTTCCTGAGATGGTGCTCGAGGAGATCAGATCTCTGAACCAGCTAGATGTGGAGCTTTATGAATATGCTCGCAACATCTTCACTAACCAACACCAGAAAAGTCTCTTTCAACCATATGACACCACTGTAAGTATCTATTTTTGCTGTCAAACAAACAAACCCCAAACAGAAAGAAAAAAGAAACTAAACAAAACAACACATTTGCTGAATGTGCTTCATGTGTGTTCTTTTGCTGGCACTCACATGTCACCAGACAGATCGTGTTTTCCCCTGTTGCATCTTGCACTAAGGAACTTTATTATAACATGCCTCGTACACATCAGATCTGTTTCATCTTTCCAACATGTTAGCTGATGGATAGGGTTGTTAGTCTTGAGATCTTTGACTGTTTTGAGTCCTTTTTCGGCCGGTTATCCGTCGGGTTTCCTTAAACTGATCATATGTTGTGTAACGATGGCAGGAAGGCCTGGGAAGGCTGGGCAGCATTTTCAGCAACTATTCATCAGATGGAGGAGTAATGTCGTTGAGATTACTGTCACTGGGCATGTTTGTGGCCTTGTTCCTCCTGCTTGTATATGTCAACGCCAGGAGGAAAATATCGAAAGTCAAAATATAGAACTGAACAGGTTAAAGAAAAACTCATAGACGGAGCCAGGGCATTTGAATGTGGCATGAGACACATCTAGTTATGTCAAACTACAATTAACCGCCATGTATGTCAATATAGGATGATGAATTCTACACCTCTGCACAAGAGCATTTTGTCACTGCACTACAATTCATTTCTTGTGATTTTATTGTCATATGATAATGTACCATAACTTAAATCTCCACTTACATCAAATCCTTACCTTAATCAACCACAGCTGAATTAAAAATTAGGGTTCAACCCGAAATTAAAATCTGGTAGTCACCGACGGAACCCTAAGAACGAAGGAAAATCAATGAATCAATCAATCGCATGGCCATGGATGGGATCTCAAATCTCATCTAATTCTTCACGTTCGCATGTGATTCCCACATGCACCTTTGAATTTCCTTCCCGCAATATCTCTATTGTTTTTTTCTTTTCCCTTAGTTGATAATAATAATAATTATAATTATAATTGATTGCTTCCTCCTACAAAAATAATAATTCCCCCCCCCACCAAACACACACTACAACACACCACCTTCTTTCCTCCCAAATCTCCTTAAAAAAAAAAACTAATCAAAATCTTGAGGAAATTGTTGCTTTAGAACATAAGTTCAGAACGCCAGTTGTGGTAATTTCTATTATTAGTCGACACATATAATTAGAGGTTTCGAGAAAAGCATCACGCGAATCAGCTGATAAGCTTTGTTTAAAGTTAAAGACGTCAATTACACGTAAACACAAAAACAAGTATCATTGCACCTTTTTAAGAACGATGAAAATATGCTTATAATGCATTAATCCATCTAAGAAAGAACCAACAAACGCTCTATATTCGAGCAGAAATATTTGACAAACAAGTACGGTAACGATGCATCGTGAATGAGCATAGGCATGGGCTTCCTGCTCAATAGATTGACAACCTCCTAAAGCTGGATTTGGGAAGTCTCCATGTCTCATAAATATACGGAATGTAATTCTGCAGCCGATTACTTAGCTAGTAAATACCATGTTTATCCTTTTGGCACACATCTATTCGATGTGAGCGATCCAGATTTAATGCATTGTTATGAGAATTTCCCAAGAACGTTTAGCTGATACTATGTAGATCTGTGTTGCTTCTATCCTTCTACCCAAAAAAAAAAAAACGATGCATCGTGAATGATCGACTTTGCCAGGTGTATCTACAAATTACAAAACGACCTTCAAAGCAAAATGTTGTGTAAGGCTTTGAGGAACTTTTTTCCTCCTCCATTCTTCTTTATCCTTCCAACATTTTTTCGTACCATCATTTATCAACAAAATTTGTTGTATTGTTGTTTGGTGGCTCCAAGGAGAGAAAAAAAATTATATGATGCCATGCACCTCTCAACCGTCGGTGCTCTCTCGAGATCATATGAACAAACAAATAATTAATTACGAAAATATCTCTTCTTTTTCCCAACTTCCACCCTTCCTAGTTCCTATTGCTGCCTTTGTCCCTTTCTCTATGTTCTAGTGCTTCACGTTCCACTCCTCTTCCTATGCACTCGCCACTTCCCGCCCTTCGATTCACATCCATCCCTTCCTCCGGGAATGTTGTAGTATTTCTCATGCATCGCCAAATTGAAAAGATCGAAAATTTCCATCCACTGCATCTTAGATTGTTCAATAACAAAGAGCCGAGTTGGAAAAAAGGATTGCAACTCAGAGCTCTGTTACGCGGATCGAGAGTGTCACTAGTTTACGACAATCAATTCGCTTCCGGATAGATAAGGGTAATACGCTCGTTTCGTGGTCACTAAAATAACTTTCTGACACGCGCGGTATGGAATTGGTGCAAGCATTAATACAAATCGATGATCGGTGAAACATTGAAGCAAAAGAGCATTTGCATAAATACATGTTACACACCCTCTAATAAATGTCTATTTCTGCAAAAAAAAAAAACAAAGTTAAAAAGGCGTTGCGTTTCGTATGTCTGCAACGTTGCACCGCGGCAAAACAACACGTCATAATTTTTCACAGGGATGTGTGTCAACATTTTGTGAGACAGATCCACCTAACAAACTTACAAATTTTTTTATGTATTTTTTAAATGAAATTTATTTTTTTTTAACAACATAATAGCTCGCGATTGAATTCATGAATGCCTATTTCACAAAAATCGTAATATGGCATTGGCATTTGGCAACACAACAAATTCTGCCACACCATTTTTTTCTGTTTAAAAGAAATCGCCACCGGGAAAATAATAAGCGCGGGATGCACGGGATTTCCATGAGCCCGCCCCCAGCGTAACGCGCCCTCCGAGTAGAAAACCTAAAAAAAAAATCCCTCTTTCTATCTCAGACATCGAGATTCAAAGCGGAGGCGGAAGTGCGGAATCTCTCTCTCTCTCTCTCTCTCGCTCACATTTCTTCATCACTCCCCACCGCCACCTCATCTCATCTCATCCCCTTCCTTCTCCTCCTCCTCGGCTCCTCTCCCACCCGCTTTCACCCTCCTCTCTCGCCGCCGCCGGAAATTGAAATGCCCGGCCTCCGTCGCTAAGCTTCCCCACGCTCCCCGCTCGTTTCTTCCCTCCCAGCTACCAGAAAATGCCGACACTCCTCGCTTCCTTCCTTCTCTAGGGCTACCCCTAGGGTTTCCACTCATTCTCTCCCGTTTAGCCAGCCGAGCCAGGTTCTTTCCTCTTCTCACCTCTCTATCTATCTATATTCTCTGTTGCCCGCGCGCGCGCGCTGATTTCTGCTGTGTAGTTGCATTTTGTTTTTTTTTTCTTTTTATTCCCGTTTTGTTATGCTTGTTATCCGTTCAGTTGCATGGCCGCCCCTGAGAAATTGAGAGTTTTCGCTGCCGTTTGGCTGTGTTGTGTTTGTTCGGCGAGGAAAATGGAGGAAAACGAGTGGAAATTTTTCGAAATTGTTTTTTTTTGGGGGGGAAAACGTATGAGAGAGAGAGAGTTTCGGTTTTCTGCTGCAGTTTAATTAGGCATTCTTTTAGTAACGAAAATGCGTTGAAAGAGGGAGGGAAGAAGAAGGAAGTAGTTTTGCTTAGCGATGCTGTCTTCTAGGTGTTTGATTAAATGTCACAGACACGAAGAAAACGATAGGGTAATCACCGTTTGAAAAGGACGCACCTACTATTTTCCCCATCCGTCTGGTATATGAGTCTTGGTGTTTTCCATAAATTTTCGTTCTTATTTAGTGGGTGTGGATCCTCCTGACTTGGGAGAGAAACTCTCCCTCTCCTTGCCATTTTTGGTTTGTGGGTGATTAGGAGTGTATATCTTTTCAATGGTAAAAAATATATATATATATAGGGAATGTGTGTTTCGAATAGGGTTAATCAGTGATGTGGCGGGTAATTAGTGGGTGTGCCACATAACTGCAGCCAATAGAAATCCTACAAGCGGCCCGGGTGAGCAAGAAGATTAGAAGAGGAAGGGGTGAGAATAATCATATGAAAGAAAATAAAAGCCCACTAATCCCGTGTGGCACATTTTGAGTCAAAATGGATTTGCTATTAATGTGTTGGAATATTGGAATGTGCGTGCGGGGTAATTAAGGGTAAAACGTATCGTCTTAGAATCTTAAAAGGACTGTCTTTTCATGGTCAGTTTTTCTTGCCCCTGATTCCCATATATATTTTTCAAAACGTGTCCATGACAGAATGTGATTGCTCTGAAGAATTTGGCTGCATATTTGTTTTTCTTGGATAAGGTTGGATACATGGAGTATTGAGAGTTCGGATGATAAGGATATCGAATACTTGAGGGTTTGTCTTGTCTTCCTGTTCTTTCTCTCTGTGTGTATGCGTGTGATTTTCGGCGATTGCATATCCTCTTTGCTCAATTCGTTTCCTTTCGTGAATGTCATTGGTGGGTTTCGGATTGTGAATGACGGGTTTTTTTTTCTTCCCTGTGTTTGTTCGATTGTTGCAGGTTTTTTTAATATGAACGACTCTTGGTTTTTCGACAAAAATTTCAGCGGGGTAACGGATGATTTCTTCGATGAAACGTTGAAGTACTTTGATTTCCCTCCAGAGGATGTTGATCCTGCCGCTGCGGAAGAGGATTGGCAAACTAAATTTCAAGAACTTGAGCCTCCTTCCATCTTTTTGCCAAACTTCCCGTCTGATATCTGCTGTGCAAGTGGCAATGCCGCTGTCAAAGTAGAGGGCACTTCCTCCATTTTGGTAAGTTTTTGGACCTACACTTGGAATTGTGTAGTTCTCCATTAGCATTGGCCGGTTTGGTTTTGTTGAGTCTTCATTGGTGTTTCGCAGTACAATGCAGTATTGGAAAAGTTTGAAAGTTGATGGCTTCATGTTCTTTCAAGTTACTTGTTATCTTTCCCACTGGCTTCATATCGCTCAAATTATTTAGTGCGTGCACACACTGCTCTATATTTGGCTTTGTTGCATATTTGCATGGCTTGCTATATGGTGAGGACTTTTAGACAATATAGCTGCTCTCTTTTCATCACCTGTTTAGTGACTGTAGTATAGTCTTTAGTCTTTACTAATTTAGATGATAGATAGAATCAGAGTTGCAGTATATGGCTTATGACGTCAGTGTACATGTGAGTGCCACCCAAGCTAGAGAAAAGTATTGTCTTCTGATTGTTTTCCCAAGGCATACTGATAACGCAGTAATCACTGGAAGCCTAACCCTGAGAGGAACTAAATATGCTACTCCGGAGCTAGTATTATTTTCTCATGGTAGTAAGAATCATTCTGGCATCCGAGAATTATGTTGCTCCTTGTAACTAGTAAGGATTTTCACTACAGTGAAGTTTTAAGCTCCATGTACTGAAGTGTTTTGGTAGCTGGGTCTGTCAGTTGGAATTTCTATGGAGAAGTGGTGGCTGGTTCTGAATTTGGATGGCAAAATGGTTGGCATCCAAGATATGAATATGGTGGTGTGTAGGCTGTGTATTTCACCAACTATACATATCTTTAACGCCATTGGTTCTTGTGGCTGATATGTGTGCAACATTCAACTGTTTCCAGTTCTTAAAGAAACCTTGTGGTGCATATTGAGTTAAGAATTTGAGCCTGATGCCTGGTATATTAAGATAGTTCATACTTGCTTTGAATCCACATGGAGTATTGGACTATAATCTTTCTGTCAGTAGCTCAACAATGCTTAGTAAAATTGTAGCCTCTCGTGACAGCCTTGATTAGTTGAGGACAAATCTATGCTACTGAGTGTGAGTGTTTACACAGGACAAGGCTTAGTCCAACCTTGAAGCATACAATGTGATCAGGGGCGGGATACTAGTAAGAATACTGGAACACAGAAGCTTACATGGTACATGATGTTCAGTAAACAGTCAGTAGTCACTAATGTATTCAGTTAGGAACTCACGATGGTTGGTTGGGTTTAAGTCTTTAAGAGGACCTGGAAAATGTCCACTAACTAAGTCGTCGCGATGACTGTGTCATTGATGTCTGTTAATAGTTTTCAGATTCTACATCCCTTTTCCTATTGATATTTTTAAAGTGCGAGGGATTCTTATGGTGAGTTCTAGTTCCATTTTGCCATCTTAGGCTAGTACTGCAGTTGTTTAGCTCACTGCTCCCTTACTAGTAGATATTCCCTTCTCTTCCAGGTCTCACTCTGTGTTTGTCATGTTGAAACATCATTATTATCTCTGCTTCTGATTCTTTTTGCCAGTGAATTGCAAACTAGAAAACTGGTTTCCAGTGCTCTTTTCCTGAACCTCCTGCTTATTTGGTGTTGCAGCAGAAGAAATCGTCCGAGTCCAAACAATGTTCAATAATAAGCGGTAACAAGGCATCATCCAGCAGAAGCATCAGCATCCAGTCTGATTTCTCTTCAGATGCGAAATATCCTCGACAACATTTCAGGACCTCAAGCCCAGTTTCTGTCCTTGAGAGCAGCAGTTCCTCTTGCTCGGCCGAAAACCCAACAAATTATCACTCTACAATCCCCATTGCAGCTAAACGTACTCGAAGCAAAGGCATGCGCTCCCAACGTTGCAGTTATGAGTTCTTCCAACGTTTATTCTCCTCGGGCAGAAAAAGGCTTCATCCGCTGGCCCAGCTCGAGCCGGAATCCGTGCCCCGTGTAGATGAGAAGACATCATCAGGCCTCCTGAATGGTATTCAGAAAAAGAGAAAGCAGCAGCAGGGTACTGGTGGTGAAACGAGGAGGTGCTCCCACTGTGGGGTGTCGGAGACTCCGCAGTGGAGAGAAGGCCCATTGGGTCCCAAAACACTCTGCAATGCTTGTGGGGTTCGTCACAGGTCTGGACGTCTGTTCCCAGAGTACCGCCCAGCTGCTAGTCCGACCTTCATCCCTTCGGTGCACTCGAACTCACACAGGAAGGTCTTGGAGTTAAGGAAGAAGACTTGTGATGGCAGTGGCGACGAGGAGGGAGCAGGAGCCACGACCACCACTTCGATGGCCTGAGAATGAAGAAACCAATGCTGATTTTGACTGGTATTCGTTTGATTATTATATTGTTTAGGAGTAGCTAGTGTGGGTTAGGACAAACGACGAACGGTTAGCAGCGCAAGTCTTGTAATCTCTCTCTGATGATGACGATGATGCTAATACTGTTTGTGGGGTTTAATTTGTTCTTTGATGTACATTATTACCTTGAGAATAAGAAGCATAGGGAGGTAGATTGATGAAGAGGCAGAGGTAGAAGAAGTTTGGCTATGCAAGCGGAAGAAAGAAAGGAGGCTCAGAAGGACTTCGAAGGCAGAGCGAGGCATTAGCTTATTATATGCTGTGTGATTGTGTAGATGTTGCCGAAAAGTTCAGTTGGGGTAGTTTCTTCTTTCTTTCTTTCTTCTTCTCTAGTGATGCAGTACCCTTTTCTAGCCATTCCTTGGCTTTTATATATTCGTCGTTGGCTGCTATCAGTGTCTTCTGGGATCGTTTGATGATGGTATGTGGATTTGTTACAGGTATTGTTTGTTGGCTGCTATCAGAGTGTCCCCTCTCGTATTTCATCCGCGATTTCTGGGTCGTTGGATGGTGGTATGTGGATCTGTTACAGGTCTCTTTTGTTGGCTGCTATCAGATTGTTCTCTTGTATTTCATCTGTGATCTTCGGGATCATTGGATGTTGGTATGTGGATCTCTTGCAGGTTGGTTTGGATTGCAGGAAATGGTATTTGCATGGATCGTCAATATACAATTGGAATGTGCAATGAAAGGAACTATAATTGTACGGAAGCAAGTTTTTTTGTAAGGGGAACCCAAGCTTTTGCTTGTAGGGGTGGCTGGTTGGTTTCCGGTTAGCGGCTAACCGGACGGTTTAATCGTTAAAAATCCAGTTAGCTGCTAGCCGAAAACCGACTATATATACCGTCGATCGGTTTGCCGAAAGATATAAGGGTTGTTCGGTTAGTGGAGTAACGGAAGCTAGTTAACCACGGTTACCCGACTAACCGACCTCCGCCCAATTTGCTTGGAAGGAACAGTCTAAAGATTGGAAATCAAACGAAGGCCCAAAAGCTTCACTCCAGCCAAGAAAAGCCCACAGACCCGACGTAGACCCACAAACACCCCTGGCCCAGCCCAAACTCGGCGATACAGAAACAACTGCTGCCGACAGCCGACAAGTGGATGAATATTATTTAAAAGAAAAGGTTTAATCAATATTATTGTACGAGCCCATAATAATAAAAGAAGGGTTGACAATATAATAATATAAATAATAATTAACGAGAAGAGATAAGGGAACAAGGTCTGGCTCGGGTACCACAAAACGGGGCAGGCTCCATCGTGACGTTACGTCGACGTCTCGTCGTCACATCAATCAATTCAACGCCCTCCACAGAAATACAAAAAACAAAAAGAAAAAAAAAACAGTGGGATTCAAAGACAGAGGTCCAGTTATGAAAAAGACAAAAGAACAGGCCCATCAGGACGCATGGGCCCAGCCAGCTATAAACCCCGAAGGGCCTGTTGTCTTTAGCTGCCTGGCCACGACCACATTGCCGCCAGGGCCCACAATCCACCACCAACACCATAAAGCCACACCACATTGTTTGCCGTCGTAAAGTCAACGAGACTTGACAGTCTGTGTGGTACGAACACCGTTAGTTAAGTCAAATGTTAGTTTGTAGTACAGAATTTTTAAGTCGGTATTCAACGCATGGTGTTGTTGGATGTTGGTTAGGAAATAAGAATATTCAAGATTTTTCAGTGTTTAAGAGAAAATGCCTAAGTTACCATAGAGTGTTCGTGTGATTTCCCTCCACATCAAAAGTAAGGAGGTAGGGAGTAGAGGCTTTGATGTTTAATTATGAATTATAGTGGTGGAAGCTACGTGTTAAATTTAACGGGAGATTTGGTTTTGAGAAAGTTATGATGTGTGTTGTTAGAGAGTGGTATAAGATCCAACATAACCTTCTCCCAACAACTCGAGTTATTGGGACCAACTGGTTTATGACATGGTATCAGAGCCTAGAACCGAAAGGTCATGTGTTCGAATCTCCACGACCCCCAATATTAACCGTTGTCTTTCAAGCACATGGTATGGTGGGCCTGTGCAAACTTCAAGTCCATGGGTTGGCTTTCGTTTGAGGGGGCGTGTTAGAGAGTGGTATAAGATCCAACATAACCTTCTCCCAACAACTCGGTCCGAATACTCTCCAGCATGATACAATAGGCGTACATGTATCGTGGTAGAGATATTTCGAAATCATGGAAACTAGCACACGACTCTTTTTGCTTTTCGTTCGGAAGAGAGGAGGATGCAGGAAATCACAAGCGTTTTAGACAGGGAACGAAGGGTAGAACAATCAACGCTTAAAAACGTTGAATCGGCTGTGTATTTGTAGAGATTGAAGAGGTGGCCTGATCCAACCACTACCTTGGTTTGGATAGTGTAAGGTGGACATGAAACCATAAGTTGCTTTCAAGCAATGTCTTGGTTCGTCTATAGGCTGTTGACCCAAGCAATGCCTTGGTTCAATTATGATTCGGTTTAACTCTAATAGTTGGAGAACCAATCCATCAAATCATATCGATCAAAGTCAAAGCGACCACACGACGACGCGAGGACCTATTTTGCTCCTTTTATTAGCCTTATCGGGCTTCTCAACTTAACTACCCACAATTTCGTGAGTGTGGTACAAATAAGATTTTAATTCACTTCATTCCCTTCCCATTTACACCTCCATTACTCGACATCTTAATTTTTTATTTATTTTTAGTCCCTCTTCAACCTAACTGGTGCATTTCGAGTATTCAGTTGCGGTCTAAGACTATCCCGACCAAATGAATAGTAACCGAACTAATAGATGTGAGCAATTCGAGCTCACATTTCTCTCGAGGACATAATAAAAAAATCTTACGATAATAGGTCATGGGACTCGAACTAAACAGAAAATCAAAATCGTGTCTACCCTTATAGTTTACACTCTTCACTAGCAACTAAAAAAATCCAAGATATTTTCAGAAGTTCATCATAGGAACTAACTAAAAGATCTAGAAGAGGGATGTGTGGGAGGGCAAATGGCATTAGGAGTTGTCTTTCACTAATCAAGGTTAGGTTGGTGTGGGATGTCCCATATAGCTTTATTGCTCTTCTTTTATACCAAAATTAGGGGCTAATCTCGTTGGGTTAGGCCTTATATGTTTGTTCTGCCTTATTGTGAAAGAAGAAAGCAAGTGGGGGTTGTAGAAGGAAGAAAGCATAATGCTTAAGTATTATTTAGGACCCATAACGTGTTATGTTTGTGCCCTCCCAAAAAAATCAATTATTATGGCCCAGTTTTAAGACTTCTGATTAATTAGGTTGGGCCCTTTTACCACATGGACCACGTTATAGATGGATATATAGATGGCCCAATTAGGTGTTTTGTAGAACACATAATTTGTTGCATGTTTGGTTGCTAATGAATTTTGGTGCTCGCGTCATGATACCAGAGATTCGATTCATACGCCATTGTATCTGAACCCACAAATCAATTTAAGCACAAGCGCGTGCAAATATCAAACCTATTAGCTGATTTTTTGTTTTAAGTAAACGTGGGGAGAAAACATATAAAAACTAGAGTTGCACTCTATCAACAACTCAAAACGTCATCATATTGGTCTTTGCAAGAGTTTTTAGTTGAATCAAGTCGGTTGTTGAACGGGAAACACTCTAATTTTCCATTTCCTTTCTAAGTACGACAAGGAGTGATGAAACCTACGTAGAGTTCAGAAGAGACTACAATCCCGCGTCTTATCTTTTATCTAACGCTACAATGTGTATACTCATTGATATTCCTGGTATAGTAGATGATATCACACATACAATCATACTCAATTCGATCGAATTGTTTGATCTTAAAGGGGATCTTCTATAATTTCGCACGTGAGGGGTTATTTCTTGGTTTCGTCCAGTCATTAATAACTTGATTATTTTTAGATAATAGTATATAGAAACAACGCTCGTAAGGAGTCCTATTGAAACCGAAAAACATTCAAAAGTGTTATAATAAGGTCCATCAGCCCTCCTATATATCAGCCAAAATTTCCTTTTTCACTTGGTGAACACTTCTTCTTCTTCTTCTTCAAACTGCTGTAAGAGGAAATGCATGATTAATGAGGTCGGCATTCCGGCATTGAATGGCACTTATGACTTATGGAAGTGGTCAAAATTTCCAACTCTTTTGTGTGAATTGAAAGATGGAAGGGAAATGGCTAATAATTAGGGCCACTATTTTCCAGCAAGCCAAACAAAACTTTAGACCAGAAAACCAAAACCACGTTACCTTGTGCTTTGAAGGATTACGATGTGTGTCTTTGGCTTGGTTATGCTGGCCTTGGCCTGCCGGCCGGCCGGCGACCGCGCTCGCAACCGACGGCAGCATAAGTCGACGGACGTACGTTGTTACTGTCTATGTACGTTCGTATGCATGCATTTCTGTATATACATTTGAACACCAAGTGTAGATCCCAACTAGGTTACAATTGGGAAAGGTACAAATTAAGTGCATTATGGACTAAAATGGGTTCTTAGTTTACACCGTCGGCAGTCATGTTTTTTTGTGGTTTGGATATGGTAAAATATGACCAAGGACATAAGATGAAGCAAACTATTATTTTTTACCAAAAAAATTAATTTCATTTCATTGCAGTTCTAGAAAGTTCTTGACCAGGTACGAAGCGTGGTTACTAATGCTGATCTTCGTGTAGATTGTGATAAATTTCATGTGTGTTCTTTATGCGGCGAGTAACGCTCTAGAATGAGTTTAATGCACAATACCGTCATCATGTGATTGAAGTTCGACGCACAGTTCGATTGGTAACCCTCTTTCACAAGTGGTGTTCTAAACCATGGCAGGAGACAAATGAAAATTGAACTAGAAATCTCCCAGCTCAAAGTTTTCTGTCTTTACCATCAGATCTTATTAAAAGTTGGACATTTTTTAAGTTTGAATTGATAATTTAGAACTACATGTATTTTGTGCTCACTCTTTCATTTATTCTGTGAAAATATTTTAAATAAGAATCATATTATTTGGGTACGAAATTGTATTTTTAGATTTATAAAGATCAGCAAGATAATAACCAAAATATTATACACGCGAACAAGGATTATATAAATTAATGGGGTTTTGTAGTTAAATAAACCTTTTTCTTAGGATCGTTGTAAAAAAATAAAAAGAGTCAATAGTTGATATGCACAAAGTTTTTGGTCCAATATATAGCCCACCAAAAGATGGTTGATAAATAAATAAAATTGACATCCAACAAATACATTTTTCTTTTATATTTAATTTGCTTAGGTTATAATTATTTATCAAATATATAAACTATAAAGTCGCTGTCTTCCTGACAACATAATCGATGGAATTGGTTGAGTGTCGGTATACATGTCCATTCTTCACCAACCAACCACATACCTTTGTTTTGAGATGATGTGAAGCTCTTTCATTTCTGTCCCATGAAAGGAAGTTTTTAATCTAGAATATTTATTCTTCATACTTTCAGTTTCATATAGATCATTTAATTGGTTGTTCAATTTATATGCAAATACACTCATTTTGAGTATCATGTATTTGAAGTTTTGAACAATCTCAATTCTACCAATATTTCCTATTTTCTCCAACAACTGAAGGTAAATTTTTGTAACTAAAATTTGTTTCTTTTTACCGAATGATTTAGAGATTCTTCAGAGATATAACAGTGTTTAGATAGTTTATTAGAAGTGTTTTCACATGAGGTACAATTTGACAATGTAACCACTCCCAATTCGAAGAACGTTTAGCAATGTTTGTCTCGACTATTAATTTTTTGAACATATTAACACGATCTCTTGATTTAAAATTCTAAACTTTTAACCCGTGCACTTTGTTCTGTGCATGAATCATATTCTTAAAATGATAAAAAACCAAATTCAAATCATTCCACATAAAGAAAACTCGTGCTCCCTTTGCTTCCTTAACTCCCTTGATGATTTGCTAGAAGTGACAGTATAATATGTCGCAAACACGACAACTGTTCCTTCTGCATATTTCGTTGATCCTTGAGGCTTCTTAGAATATTCAATTTGTTAGAAGTTATGCGAACAAACAAAGATCTCGCTAACATTGTTATTGACACCTTAAAATCTCTCGATACTTTAAATTTCTTCTTCTTAATTTTTTTATTATATTTGATAATGAATTAAGGAAAAACATTTACAATCTTTGAAAAAAAAAAAAAACTACTGGATTCCACCCCTAACCATAACTTTGACCTAATACTTCATATACTTTCATAGCATCGGTCATTAAAAAGGAGTATCATCACATCACAACAAAAATAAAATTAGAGAATGAACCAAGATACCGTAAAAAAAGGAGTTGCTAAAGGTCGCCCTTAAAATTGCTAAAGGTCACCCTAAAAAGTTTTAAAGTTACACTTTTAACCCCCTTAGCTTCTTTACCTTCCCTTCCTCAAACAAACATCACTTGGACTAAAAAACACTATCTAAGGAGAGAAAAATTCATCATCGTCATTTTGAAGCCGATATCGTCGATAGGACGTCTGAATCATGAGTAGCGACTCCGACGAGGTAAAAACATTAACTGGAAAAAAAACACAGAAAATGGGAACCGCGCAAGTGACCCGCGGTTGGACCATGGCTGGACCGCAAATGACCTGCGGTTGGACCATGGTTGGACCGCAAGTGACTTGCGGTTGGACCATGGCTGGACCGCAACTGAGCTGTAGTTCAGCCATGGTCCAACCGCATGTCACTTGCGGTCCAGCCATGGTCCAACCGCAGGTCACATGCGGTTCAGCATTTTATGGGTTTTTTTTTTCAAATCAGTATTTTCTATTTTTTATATGATTTATGATTTGTTCCATGAGATAATTTGTTGGGTTTTGATTTATATAATTTTCTAGATTTATTTGCATAATTATTTTTGGAATTGAAGGATTTAGCATTAGAAATTAAGATTAGATTTGGCCTTAAATTAAGATTAGATTTAATTTGGTCTTAATCTAGAAAATTAAGATTAGATTTTGCATTACAAATTAAGATTAAATTTATTGCATAAATAATAGATTCGCATATGAAGTTATGATGATTATTAAATTTAATATAGTTATCAAATTTTAAATTTATCATATCGTACTCGTTAAATTGATGATATAGAATGTTAAGTTTTTTTTTTAATTTTGTGGGGTATCACTTATAAATTCTTATAACATTGCAGGATATTGGAAGTTACAATCCGGATGACCATGATTACACCTCGGATTTCATTGATGGCGTGAAATACACTACGAAGTTGCAAGCATATGAAGCAGCTACTGAGATTGCCAATGGTTTTGGGTTTTATTTGGTGAGGGCATCGAACAAAAAAAAAATAAGAATGAAGGTACTTGGCGACATTACTTACATTGCACCCATGGTAGGAAGAAGAAGTCGAAGGAACCTGATCCGAGTAAGGAAAGGAGGCCTCTTACATCTACTGAAAAGTTAGGGTGCGAGTTTCAGATCAAGCTTGAGCGGTCAGGTGATGGATATTGGTTGATCCTAGGGGTGGCAAATACAAAGAATCCTGGTGCTAATTTGGGTTTCCACAATCATCAGTTGGAGCTATTTCCGGAGGGCTCAAAGAGAAGGAATGTTTTGACTACAGAGGATAAGCAATACATCAGAGAGCTGAGATCAGCCGGTGTCCCACCAAGGAATATCCACAAGGCAGTGAATGAGAGAAAAGGTGCAAATGGAACACACAACAGAAAGAAGATTTATAACGAGTTGCAAAAGATAAGGAAATAAGAGCTTGGTCAGATGACAGCTGTACAGTATACTTTCCGCGTGGCGCATGAGAAGGGTTACTATGTGCAGTATATGGACGATCGTAACGTGCTTACACACTTGTTCCTAGCCCACCCTGAGTCAGTAGTGATGTTGCGAGCTTGGCACCATGTGATCGTGATAGATGCAACATACAAGGCCAATAAGTATGATATGCCTTGGGTTGAGATTGTCGGAATGACACCAGTCGGATTGAACTTTGTCATTGCATCGGTCAATCGCCCTTTGACCGCAGTCAGCCGTCAGTCAAACCGCGGGGCCAGTTCGCTTGGTACCTTCTCCGGTGAGCTCGCGAGCGGCGACGGGCGTCTTCTCCGGTGACGATGCGAGCGTGCGACGGGCGGTGACGACGCGACTGGACGCGAGCGGCGACTGGACGCGAGGATGATCGGCGGCGACTGGACGCGAGGGCGACAAGCGGGCGGCGGCGCGGCGGGATGATCGGCGGCGACTGGTGAGATCGGCGAGAAGCTTCGGCGGCGGCGAGATAGGTCGGCGACGGCAATCGGTTGGCGGCGGCGAGAGAGGAGTTGAGGGGGGAGGAGAATGAATTTGAATTGCTAAGGGCTTGTTTGTTTAAGCCAATTTTGAGTTTTTGCTTAAGGGTATATAAGTAATTTTACATTTAAGTTAGAGCGACATTTAGCAATTTTTAGGGCGAAATTTAGCGATTAAGTAAAAAAGAAACCAAACAAAGATCAAAGAAGATACCAAACCTCTACGAAAAACTTGTGTAATTTTTTACCATGTAAAACGGCAAGGAAGACACCGATGAATCCCATCAAACCAGGGTAAAAATCCTATTATGGTTAGGTTAATCGATTGATTTTTCTGCAGAGGATCTTTTGTCCCAGTCCACTCAGGTTAGTTACTACGAGACTACAAAAAACTTCTCCTCCCGATTTCACTGCCCTTCTTTTCTCACTGTCCGCCCCAATCTCGCGATACAACAACCCTTGACGATCCAACCAAAATACCGCCACACGGGAAAACGAGAGAGATAAAAGGGGAAGGCAGAGCAAAGGGGAGAGAAGAAAGAGCAAAAACCAGACACACAGAGAAAAGTGGCGAAGAGATAGAGAGAGAGAGAGAGATACAGAGAGTGGCACTGTGGAATCGCGAATACAACAGTGAAAGCACGGGAAAGCAAGGAAGGGAGAAGGGTTTTTTTCCACCATCGTTCTTTGCGGGTATGTGAATGGCTTTTGGAGCTTACAGAGGAGAAGGATTCAGAGTGGGTTCGTGATCGTGGTCTGCTCCGTACAAGGTTACAGAGAAGGATTCAGAGTGGTAAAATGTTAAAAAGCGTTTTCAGTCAGTGGGGGAGACTTGCAGTTGCTTCTTCTTCTTCCTTTTTTCCTTTTTTCCCCCTTTCCCCTGTTTTTTCTTCCTTTTTCCCTTTCTTCTCTGCCCACTGTCCGATTAAACAAGAATTGTCTCTAATGCTGTCTTTACTACGACTGCATGAAATCAGAATCCCCGATTTCTCCATCACCACTCTCCGCCTTTTGGGTTAATTAACAGGGACGGCCAAATCTTAGATAAGCAGCAAACGAAAAAGCTTCCACACTCTTCCCTCTCTGTAGACAGAACTGTACTCTTCCCTCCCTTTTTCTGTTCAGTTTCTCTCCTTGTCTCATTCAGCCCCGTTTTTGGTTAATGTGCTGAAATTTTGTAACCAAACTTCTTCTTTAGCGCTTTTGGGTTGTGGGGTTTTGTAGAAATGTTTGAGTTTTTGTTGCTTTAACCCGAAAGGAGCAATCTTTTCTAGTCTCTAGTCGTTTCCTCTGTTCTTCTGCAACTTCCAACTTCTGGGTAATTTTGGGGGGAGAGGGGGATTGCTGTAATTTTCGTTTTCCCCAATCTGGATTCCTTCCATTTTTTCTGGGTTTTGATTTTGTTTCATTTCATTTCCCCAATTTGCAGAGCAGAGAATCGGCGGTGGAGCAAATGAAAGAGTTACTGGAGAAGAGCTTGGATCCACAGCTATGGCACGCTTGTGCAGGGAGTATGGTTCAAATCCCACCTCTCAACTCGAAAATCTTCTACTTTCCACAAGGCCACGCAGAGCACTGCCAATCCCCCGTCGATTTCCCCTTTTCCTCCGCCCCTGCCTCCAAAATCCCGGCCTCTATCCTCTGCCGCGTCGCCGCCGTGAGGTTCCTCGCCGACCCGGAAACCGACGAGGTCTACACCAAGATGAGCCTCGTCCCCCTCCCGCCAGACGAGGAGCTCGATTTCGACGACGAAATCGGCAGCGGAGTCCAAGAGAAGCCGGCTTCCTTCGCCAAGACCCTCACCCAATCCGACGCGAACAACGGCGGCGGATTCTCGGTTCCGCGTTACTGCGCCGAGACGATTTTCCCCAGGCTGGATTACACGGCGGATCCTCCCGTCCAGACGGTGGTAGCTAAGGACGTCCACGGTGAGGTTTGGAAGTTCAGACACATCTACAGGGGAACTCCCAGGAGGCATCTGCTGACTACTGGGTGGAGCACGTTTGTCAATCAGAAGAAATTGGTGGCCGGGGACTCAATCGTGTTTCTCAGGGCGGAGAACGGCGATCTCTGCGTCGGTATCCGCCGCGCCAAGCGAGGGATTGGCGGCGGCAGCGGGCCAGGATGGTCCTCGTCTTCTTTCCCCCAATCTGGTTGGGGCATTAACGCAAACACTTGCGGGGCAACTGGGATGGCGAACCCGTACAGCAATTTTTCGGTTTTTCTGAAGGAGGATGAGAGCAAGGCATCGAGAAATGGAAGCTGCGGTGGGAAGGGATCGGCGGCGGCGACGAAAGTGAAAGCGGAGGAGGTTTTGGAGGCGGTGAGATTGGCTGCAAGTGGGCGGCCGTTTGATGTTTACTATTACCCCAGAGCTAGTACTCCAGAGTTCTGTGTGAAAGCTTCTTCGGCTAGAGCTGCGATGAGAATCCATTGGTGCCCTGGGATGAGGTTCAAGATGCCCTTTGAGACTGAAGATTCTTCGAGGATTAGTTGGTTCATGGCTACTGTGGCTTCTGTTCAGGTTGCGGATCCCATTCGCTGGCCGAATTCGCCATGGCGCCTTCTCCAGGTCCTTACCCAATACTTGATTTGCTATGGTTTTGCTTAAAGTGTCGAACTTTGATCTTTCCAATGACTTATCTGGGTTTCATTGATGAATGGAGCTTGATCAATATGCAATCACTGCTAAATCTTAAAACTCATTTGTTGGTTGATATGAGGGAGGTTTTTTTATCTTAGTAAATGATGGAAGTCGTCCATGTAAAGTCAGTCCAATGAAAATGATGAGACATGTTTGTTACTCTTTTCTGGGATTGTTGTCTCAACATTGATCTTCACTGAACTTCCAGCGGGCTCATGGTTTTTCTTTGGTCTTTGTTCATGGACAGGTGACATGGGATGAACCGGAGCTGCTGCAAAACGTGAAACGAGTCAGCCCATGGTTGGTTGAACCAGTTACGAACATACCAATGATCCAACCATCAGCTTTCTCCTCGCCGCCAAGAAAGAAGTTTCGGTTCCCATCAGGACCATTCGACTTCCCACTTGATGGCCAACTCCAGTTGCCGTCGTTCTCAGGCAACAACAACGCCCTTTCGTCCAGCAGCAGCCCATTTTGTTATTTGTCAGATAACAGTGCACCTGCAGGCATACAGGGAGCCAGGCATGCTCATATCGGGGTATCTTTATCCGATCTCCACCACATTAACCACAACAAATTCCACCACCACCCACCAACAGGAGCACTATTCCCGCCCAATCTCCACCAGTTCAATCCACCACCACCACCACCATCTCTACATTGTTCCAGAATCTCCGAGAGCAGCAATGAGACGGTATCTTGCTTGCTAACTATTGGCAATGGCAACTCCAGCTCTTCTTCAAGCCTAGAGAAACCTTCTTCTTCTTCTCAAGAGAAGAAGAAGCAGTTCTTCCTCTTTGGTCAGCCGATACTCACAGAACAACAAATCTCCCACAATCATTCGAGCGAATCCATCTCGAGAAGTTCGTGCGACGAGATGCAAATCTCGTCGCTGGAGAAGCCCTCTACTGCTGGTGCATGGAACCAGAGTTGTACCTCCAATGCCGGGGGCCACAATTGCAAGGTGTTCATAGAATCAGAAGATGCAGGGCGGTCAATCGACCTCACGGCCTTTGCTTCATACGAGGAGCTATATACGAGTCTGGCACACATGTTTGGAATGGAAAGAGCCGTGATACTCAGTCACGTTCTCTATCGGGATACAACTGGTGCTGTCAAGCGAACCGGTGATGAACCATTCAGGTAAACCCTGTGAACTATGGTTTGATAGAAATGTTTAGCAATTTGCGGTTTATCGTGATGGGTCTTTAACTCTTGATGATGATGGTAATGCAGTGTGTTCTCGAGGACTGCAAGTAGATTGACCATACTGGTAAACCCTGCAGGGAATGACAGTGCTTCCAGGTAATCCCACGAAACTGTTTGGTGATCGACGATGTAGTTTTGGATCGATTTTTTCCGTGGCTGGGTTAGCTAAACCAGTGTGCTCTTGTGTGATGTGCAGGACATGGATGACGCGGAGTGCTGAAAGTGGACTGGAGGCTTCAAACAAGAGAGGGCCATTGAGCATATTCGCTTAGAAGAAGAAGAAGAATCAATTGGAGCGTGTAGGAAGGAGCTGTTATAAATGTTAATGAATTGTGAATGTTATGTAGCTATGAAGCAAGACGTTGACTGTGATTTGCTGTGGTTGTGGAACATGTTCTTCTCTTGCTGACTTTCTGATGCAGAAACCTGCTGTATTGTACTACTGGAACTTGCTCTACGGTTTAATGAACTCCGTGTTTTTTTTCTAATTCCAATTTTAAAGGGTAAATGTCATATTTGATATCACTGATAATACTAAATCGTGTCAGGTTTAGTCACTAGAAAATTTTAATATTAATTTTGGTTACTCGAATTACTGAAATAGGTCACATTTAGTTAGTAGAAAATTTTAATATTAATTTTGGACGAAAATTAATGGGAGAGTGACTAAATGTGACATGTTTCCGTAATTCGAGTGATCGGAGTTGGACGAAGGCTAACGAGAGAGTGACTAAATGTGACCTATTTCAGTAATTCGAGTGACTAAAGTTTATATTTAATTTTTCTAGTGACTAAACGTGGCACGATTTAGTAATCTCAATGACCAAATGTGGTATTTACCCCAATTTTAAATGTTGCGATTCATTTCGGACTAAGAGTGAAAATTACATTTCACAACTCTAACAAACACAATCTCTCCCCATTAGCACGAGATTTTTATTTTTATTATTATGACTTATGAGCGCAGATTGCAACTCCACATATACGATTTGTGAATTATTTTTAACAGCAAGTTGAAAGGAGAGCATCGAGATTCACAGGATATGAAATACACATTTTATTGTTGATATTGTTTAAAGATGAGTATCATCTAACCACGGAATATGAATCAAACAAATCAAGACCGTTGATTTACTACTCTATCGTTAATTTCGTTTTAAGGTAGCTATTAATACAGAATAAAATATTCTTATAGTAACCAAAATTGTTTTATTTGAGTTCTTTTTGGGAAGTGGTTACTAGTACTTGAAATTGGTTTCCATTTGGAATTTTTTATTAATTATTTTTGGTAATAATTTTTATTAATTATTAAGTTGGAAGTAATTAATTGTTTGCGTGGGGATGGGGAATATAATAAAGAAATAAAGCGGGGAATCCAAATTCGGGATAGAAAAAGGCATGGGGATTGGAGCGAACCCTGGAAACATGCTCCGGCCGGGTCGGGTGTTGACTTCTATTGCTTTAACTGACTCCCACGCCCGCCCGCCCGCGGTCCCGCCAATTTTGACGCCCAGCCTGGGTTCGGGTTCGGGCCCGGTCGGGCCATGGGTGTGGGTTCGCCCGGGCCTTACTATTTTTTTATGGGTTAATTGCAAGGATGGTCAATGGGTTTACTAAAAACGTTCATGTTTGGTCACTGCAAATATTTAATTTCATTTATGGTCACTAAGATTAGTTCAATAGTTCAAGTTTGGTCACTCTCCGTTAGTTTTTGCTGATGTGGCAGTCAACTATTAAAGTTGACTGTTAAATGAGTGACGTGGCCATTAAAAAAATATTAAAATAATAAAATTTAAATATTTACAATTTCCACCTCATTTCACAACTATTAAAAAATAAAAATAAAACTTAATAGATGGCCTCCGCCATCTACGCCACCGCGATTCTTATCCCTCCTCCTTCGAATTGTGCTGGGGTTTAGTGAACTGGGTTCTTGTCCTCTTTATCGATTATGCAAATTATGAATTTTTCTTCTTATTATTATTGTTTACTTTAGGTTACTCAAAAGATGCTTATCCACAACCGGGATACCCTGTTCAGGGCAGCCATGGACAGAAGTTCCCTTCCCAAATTCAGCGTAGCGAGAAACAGCCAATCAACCATGGACAGAGCCTCTTTCTTAGCTCCACCACCGCCTGATTCCCAGTTGTTCCACTACACCCACTCTACCGCGTTGTTAAAACCACCGACGACGGCGACAGCGGATTCCTTGAAATGGCATCATCAATTGCAGTACAATTTCCATCAGCACCGACAAGAGGAGGGTTCCTTCCACGACGATTACATGGGTTGCGTTTAAACTGGTTTCACGACGTCAGCGGCGGCGAGGGTGGTGGGTTAGGGGAAGTGGTGGAGATGAGCCGGAGCCCTTCTTCTCCTGTTAAATTGAAACCCGACCCAGGTTTCTACTAGCCTGATTTGGTTCCGGTTGGGAATCATGTGAACAGTTCGCCAACGGCAACAAAAAGAAGTTGGCTTCCTTGAAGGATGGTCAGTTTTCCTTCCTCCCTTTTACATTCTCCTTCGATTACTCACCCGCCGGATATTCGAAGGAGCAGGGATCTGAATTGCGGTGGCATAGATGGCGGAGGCCATCTATCAAGTTTTATTTTTATTTTTTAATAGTTGTAGAATGAGGTGGAAATTATAAATATTTAAATTTTAATATTTTTTTAATGACCACGTCACTCATTTAACGGTCAACTATAGTAGTTGACTGCCACATCAGCAAAAACTAACGGAGAGTGACCAAATTTGAACTAATCTTAGTGACCATGAATGGAATTAAATATTTACAGTGATCAAACATGAAGATTTTTAGTAAACTTAGTGACCATCCTCGCAATTAACCCATTTTTTTATGCTAAAAAAGTACCACCCCGCCAGCATTTGGGAAAAAATCCCACTGTACACATGTTTTTAAAAAAAATTCTCAAAATACACATGTTATGAAAAAAATTCCCAATCTACGCATGTTTGGGCCTTCACCGCGTCAGACTAAGGCGGTGATTGCTTCACCGCGTTAAAGAATAGCGGTGATTGCATCACCGCGTTAGAGAAAAACGGTGATTGCATCACCGCTGTAGACAAAAACGGTGATTTCAAAAAATGAATTATTTTGGATATACGGGGTTTTGAGAATAAGTTTACCTTTCTTTTTTAGGAATCCAAGTACATTCCGAAATTATGTCTATGATAAAAATTGTAGTCCTCAAAAAGTTATCAAAATAAAAAAAAATTCATGATTTTCGAATTGTGGAGCACAAAGTTATGGTCGTTCAAAGTTTGACGAAATCGAAAAAAGGCTCATTCGGGGTAGCAAACGACGTTTTTTCGGGACGAAGGCGGGACCAAACCGCCTCCGGCGTTTGCGGCTTGCAAGATCTCGAAAAATTATGCGGAATCAAAAAAAATTTCACCACGATCGGATAACCGAGCACAAAGTTACGTTTTTTTTAAAGATTCGACGCAGGTCAGGCCTTCACCGTTTTTCTCTAACGCGGTGATGCAATCACCGCCTTCCTCTACAGCGGTGATGCAATCACCGTTTTCGTCTAACGCGGTGATGCAATCACCGCTCTTCTTTAACGCGGTGATTCAATCACCGCCTTGGTCAGACGCGGTGAAGGCCCAAACATGCGTAGATTGGGAATTTTTTTCATAACGTGTGTATTTTGAGAATTTTTTTTAAAAACATGTGTACAGTAGGAAATTTTCCCCAGCATTTGCCAGTCATTCGTTTTATTATTATGTTATTTCCCATGGGTTAAGATAACTAATTTTACTAATTTACTCTCGATTGAACTAGAAATTCACCTATTATCGGTTAGCAATTTTTCAATAACTATGACTATGATTGCGTCGAAATTGTAAAAAAGACAACGACTACAAGTGAAAAAACAATGACAACTTATAATAGTTAGCCAGCTAACGGATCCAGTTGTGCGATTATAGAATTCATTCCATCATCAGCAGCACTGCAGCAGGGACTTGTTTTGCTGAGACAAATGGAAGTAATTAATGGTGATAATTATGGTAATTAAGTGAGCACACGTGGGAAAGGGAGCCGAGACCAACTCGGGAAAAAAACATGAGGCACGTGGGTGGGTTCCAACTCTAACGCCGTTTTGGTGGGCGGGCCTGCCCGTGGCCCGGTTGGTTGCCCTTTTGTGCGGGTCCGTTTATGGGCTTTGGATTTTAGGTGTGTGGGAAATGGTTCCGGATCAAACTCACGAGAATCGTAAATCTAATAGTAGGAGATTTTTTATGGATCGAGGATTGGATAAATCGTGCATTCGATCAGTTTTGGTCCGATCGAAAGACTTGCATCTCCGACGACTCGGAATGGGACTTCCGTCAAAGCTTTCCTGCCTTGAAGCGAAGGCAAAATATTACTCCGGTGCATTTTTCTTCGGTGTTTGTAAAATTCGTATGACCATGGATGGAACCATATAATACTCTGTTTCGGTGTCCGAAAGTTGGTTTGGTCTGGTGCAGTCTGATATCGATTGAGCCGTTGCACGAATTTCCACTCCACCCTTACACCCCACTTATACACTCGCGCTCGTTTCTTTGCTTTTGATCCAACTCATTTTTTAATTCGATTATATCATAAACACTTGATCTCCACGATTCATTGTACATAATTTTATTGTGAATCTTTTATCTCAAATGAAAGTCAATTTACGTATTTGGAGTTCCCACAAACCCACCACACATTGTATTTATGTCAGCTTTTGATATTGTAGCTGACTGGAGGTTCAAACATATGCTCACTTGATCAAATCAGCTCGATACCAAGTAATCAACCGTTGCTCTATTAGAAGAAGGTTAATCATGCATCTTACACCGCTCTTTAACTATCACGTCGGAACAAATAACCACCCCTAATTGATATGAAGGGTTGGGTCCATCCAATAATTTCTTCCCCAGTTCCCCATATGACTTGGTTGGCCTATGTAGCCACCAAAGATAGTTTGAATGAAACAATTAAATACAAATAATTGCCCATCCAACAAATATCGTGTTTCCGTATTGTTTTGGTTAATTACTTCAAAATTTATTTATTTATTTATTTATTTATTTATGAAAATGAGAAGTCGCTCTCTTGCTGACAACCAAATAGATGGAATTGGTTGGGTGTCGGTATACATGTCCCAATTCTTCACCAACCAATCCGATTCCCTTAGCTTTGTTTGAGATTATGTGAAACTCCTCCATTTTTGTCCCCATGGTGTATGTGATAATTTTCTCGTTAATACAACTGATCTTTTGATAAAAAAATCTTGAATTTGTGTTGTTGTGTATTTTATCCTCTTATATCATCATTGAATTAACATCTTGAGATTAAATTTCAAATTGTCCTTAATTATTCCGTCAGATATTGAAAGATGAAGAGGCAAAGATAATTTAGTTACGTTACAACATTAGGGTATAAAGCATGCATAAGAATAAGATTACGAAGACTTCATTTTCGCGGGGTTATAAGTTATAACGATGTTCATGTCCTTAATAAACATTAATTAAATTACCCCTATTCTCTCTCGCCTACCCCAGTTGTAACTTGTAAGTGTTTAAAAAATATGATTATGATTTGCTTAAATGATCAATACGTTCGAAACGATTTTGGACTACTGTTTATCTTCTATGTAGCATATGCTCGTAATTTACAATCATTGCTTTTAATTAGGGATGACAAATTGTTCGTATGACAAAGATTTTGCTATAAACAACTTCCAACAACCATCAAATATAATTTTCGCTACTAAATGTTGATGGAATTGTAATATGACTTATAAAATCTGATTCATTTGTAGTTTCCAGAACATCCATTCACATCATCTTCAAACACTGGCATATTGAATTCTTTGATAAAGTGTGAAAATTTTCATAGGATATTGATGTTGATTAGTTTTTTCCCCCTGAGATACTATATGGATAGTGAACGAGAATGCACAAAAGTGGGGGGTTTTTTAGGGAAAAAAAACATTAAAAAAATTTAGTGATATGGATGCTCTAAAACATACTAGGAGTTTATGCAATTCTTAATGCAGTCTTGTGTGCATCTTAGGAAGTTTGTCAGACTTATATCAGGTCTGATTGTCAGATTCTGACCCTCGCCTTGAAGCTTGCTCCTAATCGATGATCAATGGCAATGTCGACCAATCTTGGCACGTATCATTTCCCCCTCCAATTGGCTTCTTGGATCAAAGTGATGTTTATCTCTAAGGGTTTTAATGGTCTTGCTAATTGGGTGGCTTGGATTGAGCGAATGGGATCACTTCCCTCGCATTGGTTTATTATTGCTGATCTTATTTCTCCTTCGCTGTAGGAATGTACTTGGCTTCGGTTGATAAGTTATGGAATAAAAGCAAATCTAATTGTAAAAAAAAAATACTAGGAGCATATTGTTGGCTGGTTTGGACATGAATACTTAAAATATCAAACTAACATAAAAATACTTTTTCGTTGGTTTCACACAAAAATTAATCAATTTGTTTTATCAGTTCGATATTCCTCATGAAATCGGTTCGTAGTGAATTGTGTATCATGAAGTTGGGTGAAAAATTGGTTTAAAGAAATAAAAATTAATAAGTTACAATAAAATAATTAATAAAAACCGCCTGAAATAAGTGATTTATTTCTGATTCCTTGTGCTTGTCAACCTTTCATACGTGGATTAAATGGAATTAAAGCTGGATTAGGTTTTGGAAATAGAATATTGTTTGTTTGTTTAGTTTCGGTTTGACGCAACGCTTCGTGGTAGAGAGATAGAGACTAGAGAGAGAGAGAGAGAAAGAAGTGATAAAGAAAATGGCGGGTGACTGCCTGACTGGTGAGGTGAGACAAATGGAAGAAAGACCAAACCAGAAGAAAAAAACATTTCACAGCAAACAGACACACTCAGAAAACCGGGAAACGATAGAGATAGAAAGAGAGAGAGAGTCAGTAGCGAGCCTGTGGATCGCCTCCCCTCATTAAACAAGAGCTGTCTCTAATGCTGCTGTCTCTCTACTACGACTGCATGAAATCACAATCCCACATTTCTCAATCACCACTCTTCTCTCCACTCTCTGCCTTTTGCTCTAAGTAATCGGGACAGATTCAGGTTTAGCGTGCAGAGATTTTTTTGCAACCGAACTTCTTCTTCTACCCTTTTGGATTGTGGCTTGTGGGTTCCCGAGAAATGAACGAGACTCTGTTCCTTTAACCACAAAGGAGCCTTCTTTCTTGTCTTGTCTATTCATTTCCTCTGTTCTTCTGCAACTACTTCTGTTAATTAAGGGATTCAGATTGTTGGAATTGGTTTGATTTTCGTTTTCCCCATCTGGGTTTTTTTTTCCCCCAATTTTCTTTGTGGGGAGAAAAAAAAAAATGAAGGAGTTGTTGGAGAAAAGCTTGGATCCACAGCTATGGCACGCTTGTGCAGGGAGCATGGTTCAAATCCCACCTCTCAACTCGAAAATAATCTACTTCCCACAAGGCCACGCGGAGCACTGCCAATCCCCCGTCGATTTCCCCTTCTCCTCCGCCGCCGCGGCCTCCAAAATCTCGGCCTCCATCCTCTGCCGCGTCGCCGCCGTGAGGTTCCTCGCCGACCCAGAAACCGACGAGGTCTACACCAAGATGAGCCTCGTCCCTCTTCCCCCCGACGCCGCCGAGCTCGATTTCGGCGCAGACGAAATCGAGCTCGGCAGCAATAGCGGAATCCAAGAGAATCCGGCTTCCTTCGCCAAAACCCTGACCCAATCCGACGCCAACAACGGCGGGGGATTCTCCGTTCCGCGTTACTGCGCCGAGACAATTTTCCCCAGGCTGGATTACTCGGCGGATCCGCCCGTCCAGACAGTTCTAGCGAAGGACGTCCATGGCGAGGTTTGGAAGTTCAGGCACATCTACAGGGGAACTCCCCGGAGGCATCTGTTGACTACTGGGTGGAGCACGTTCGTGAACCAGAAGAAATTGGTCGCCGGGGACTCAATCGTGTTTCTCCGAGCAGAGAACGGCGATCTCTGCGTCGGTATTCGCCGCGCCAAGCGAGGATTTGGTGGGTCGTCCTCGTTTTCCCCACAATCTGGTTGGGGCATTAACACAAACACCTACGGGGCAGGTGGGATGGGGAACAACCCATACGGCAATTTTTCTCTGTTTCTCAAGGAGGATGAGAACAAGGCTGTAAGAAATGGTGGAAAGGGATCGTCGTCGCCGGCGGCGGCGGGGAAGGTGAAGCCGGAGGATGTTTTGGAAGCAGCGAGATTGGCTGCGAGTGGGCGGCCATTTGATGTGTACTATTACCCTAGAGCTAGTACTCCAGAGTTTTGTGTCAAGGCTTCTTCTGCTAGAGCTGCAATGAGGATCCATTGGTGTCCTGGGATGAGGTTCAAGATGCCATTTGAGACTGAGGATTCTTCTAGGATCAGCTGGTTCATGGCTACTGTGGCTTCTGTTCAGGTTGCTGATCCCATCCGCTGGCCGAATTCGCCATGACGACTTCTCCAGGTTCTTACCAAACACTTGCAGCATTGCTATTGTGTTCCTTAACGTGTCAAAATTTGGTCTTTTTGATTGTATGCTTAGTATTTCAGCCATGAATGGAGCTTGATTTTAGGTCCCCTTCTTGTGAAGAACACAACTGCTTTGGTTCAAACACCAGTGTTTCTTCGATTCGGCCGAAATTAGCTAGAAATTAGTATGCAGACACTGAAAATTCTCCAGCTCATTTGTTGGTTGACGACATGTGAGGGTCTAATCTTAGTAAATGATGATAGTACGAGCATCTTATGTTAGTCCAATGAAAATTATAAAGCATGTTTCTTGGATCATTGTCTCAATACTGACTGACTGGCCAGCTCATGCTAAGCTAAGAACTTTGATTAACATACTCATCCGTACAAATTATGTGCCGGTGATTCCAATGTTATGAATTTTGTTTTCTTTATCTGGCATTGTTTCTTTGCTTTATGTAAGGGATGTTTCTGTATGGGACAACATTTCTCCATCGGTTGTAATCGATCCAATGTAGAATGACAGTTGGGGGTGGTCTGGCTTTTGGTCTTTGTTAGGTGACTTGGGACGAGCCGGAGATGCTGCAGAATGTGAAACGAGTCAGCCCGTGGCTGGTCGAACCGGTCACAAACATACCGATGATCCAACCATCGGGTTTCTCCTCACCGCCGAGAAAGAAGTTTCGTTTCCCAACAGGACCGCTCGACTTCCCACTCGACGGGCAGTTCCAGTTGCCTTCGTTTTCAGGCAGCAACAACCACCCCCTCTCGTCCAGCAGCAGCCCATTGTATTATCTGTCAGATAACAGTGCACCTGCAGGCATTCAGGGAGCCAGGCATGCTCGTATCGGGGTATCTTTATCCGATCTCCACCACCTTAATCACAACAAACTCCCCCAACCGCCATCCAGCGGGTCATTCCTCCGCAATCTCCAGCAGTTCAATCCACTACCGCCAGCACCACCATCAAATCATTCTAGATTCTTGGAAACCGGCAGTGAGAGCATATCCTGCTTGCTAACCATTGGAAATGGCAACTCTAGTTCTTCTTCAAGCCCCGAGAAGCCTTCTTATTCTTCATCATCTTCTCAAGAGAAGAAGAAACAGTTCTTTCTCTTTGGCCAGCCAATACTCACCGAGCAGCAGATCTCCCACAACCGTTCTGGCGAATCCATCTCAAGAAATTCGCCCGATGAGAAGCAACTCTCATCGGAGGAGAAATCCTCCAGTGCTGGCGGCGGGCATTCATCACGGAACCAGAGTTGTTTATCGGATGGTGGGTCGCAAACTTGCAAGGTGTTCATAGAATCAGAGGATGCAGGACGAACGATCGACCTCACTGCCTTTGCTTCGTACGAGGAGCTGTACACAAGGCTGGCAAACATGCTTGGAATGGAAAGAACCGCGATACTCAACCACGTTGTCTATCACGATACAGCTGGCGTTGTAAAACGAACTGGCGATGAACCATTCAGGTACCTCCCCTTTCCCAATTGTCCCCCATTACAGATCTTTGTGGTTGATTAAACTTGTCAGCATGTCGCATATAATTGTGATTGGTCTTAAATTGTTGTTTGATGATGAATGCAGTTTGTTCTCGAGGACTGCAAGTAGGGTTACCATACTGATAAATCCTCCCAGGAATGACAATGTTGCAAGGTAATCCAAGGACCGATGTGGGTTTTCACCGGTTTTTTCGTGCTCGATTCGTAAACCCAGCGAGTTCTTATATGATGTGCAGGAAACGAATGATTCGAAGCGCTGAGAGTGGATTGGAGGCCTCAAACAAGAGAGGACCCTTGAGTATATCCGCTTAGAAGAAGAAGCGACAGCTGCTGCAGAAGAATAAGAATCCAATCCGTTGGAGCGTAGGAAAAGAAATGGATGGAGTTGTGAGAGTTTAAAGTGTGAATCATATGTAGAGCTATCTCTGAAGGCTACAAAAACGACTTTTGACTATAATTTGCTTTTTTTTGGAACATGTTCTTCTGTCCTTGTTGACTATTGTTATGCAGAAAGTCTGCTGCTGTCATGTACTGGAACTTGGTTTTTTCCTCAGAAAAGACCTCTTCCCTTCCATGGATATTGATTGAACAAGTCAAACTACGATCCAATAAAAATTGAACATACCTCCTATTTATGACATTTCATCTCCCCAAAATTTTAATCATTTCATCGATTCATCGCATTAGATTACATCTTCACATTGAAACTCCTTTCTTCTCCGATTATACTGCGCGCGCATCACATTTGCAACTTGCAAAGGCTAAACAAAAATTTGGTAAACGAAAAAATCGAACTTGAATCTCCTCACCAACGAAGAGTCGATGGTGCTAAACGACAAAGAGTCGTGACTTGATGGATTAAGTTCGATTTTGTTAATTGTTATTTCGTTCGAGAAATCATCTGTAAGAGTGTGCAACTAACTGGTCCGATGTAAACCGGAAGTAATTGCGTGGGCCGTGGAGGATGAGGAAAGAAGGAAAAAGAAAGCAAGAAGGGGAGGATCCAGATGTGGCGAGGGCATGGGGATTGGAGCGGACCCTGAAAACATGCTCCGGCCGGGTCGGGCGTGTGTTGACTAAAAATGACATCAAGCAAGTTATTGGTTGCACCAATTTTGACGCAGCCAGCCTGGATTCGGGTCGGATCGGGTCGGTACTCGGTGTGTCGTCGTCGTGGCCAGTCGGTCACTCTCCTTAAAAGTGCAGCTTTTGGCAATCCCCAGCAATTGCCAGTCATTCATTTTATTATTTGTTTTTTCTTTTCCCTCTTAGAATCTGTTTGATTATTATAATGAAATGATTCTGTGGTTATGGAATTCATCTGCAAATTGCCATTGTTTTTACGTTGTCGTCTCCCTTTGGATTTACATTTCTTTCTTGGACTCAACGACGTCGTTAATAAAAAAGTGAGCACACGTGGGGAACGGAGCCGAGTCCAACTCGGGATAACACGAGGCACGTGGGTGGGTTCCGTCTCTAACGCCGTTTCGGGTGGCCGGGCCTGCCCCCGGTTTCCTTGCCCAGCCCGCCCTCCTCGACCGGTTCAACCACTTTCCCTTTATTTTCTCAGATTTGATCATTTTCCTTTCTCCAAACATTCGTTGTGACCTTGTCCATTGCACCTTGTGAAAATCAGGGTATGCCGTTAGTATTGCACATCCATGATTTCTAACTCGTGGCGGATTATATTAAACTGCGATTTAGTGTTGTACTATGTTTTGGATTCGCCGTTGTTTTTTACAATAACACATTGTTTTTTTTTTTCAATTCCGAATAGCTTTTAGAAGTGATTACTTACTTACTAATTAATTAACATTGTATTTTGAAGACAATTGAGTGGTGAGTTATAGCTTATAAGCACTAAAAGCTCCATCTTCAATGGCCGGGCGCGGCTATTGAAGCAAGACGGTCAACAATGGGCGTGCATGGAATGGACAATTGGCCAAGACAGAAACATGGGGAATCTTCAATTCCAAAAATTTCTTAACCCTAATTTCATGGTTTTCAGTTCCAAAAAACCCTTAGATTCAGGGATGTGCTTGTTTGGTGCCTTTGCCTGGTTGGGGAAAAAACACAGAGAGAGAGAGGCAGAGTTCCTCCATTGATGAGATTGTGAGAATCTCTAGAATGGGTGACTTCAAAGATTTCTGTGGTGGCCAATTGGGCATAGAATGCTGAATCCTATGTATCAAACCACTAAATGTTTATTAGATGTGTAGTTGGAAGTTAAAATCATCAACTACTTGTTGTTATGTCAGAAAATTTACACACACAAAAAGAAGGTAAATTATGCACCTCCATGGAAAAAAAAAAGATAATCATGGGTTATGTACGCAATTATGTTATTGATTTCTCATGAAAAATGTAAGTTGTGCACGTAAGATAATATTTCAATCACAACAAAAAAACAAATAAATTGTATAACATGTCAAATCAACTCGTTTTTGCTAATTCATTTCGCGATTATAAAATTATATTTTTCTTATTTTTCGAATATCATCATAAAATCAAGTTGAGACATGTCGTGATGAAATCATTTGGGCCCATACTACTATTTTTTAAAGCAATTACTAATATTTGTTATGTAATTGTTTTTAAAATTTTTGGTTAAAATCTCCGCTCTCACACGAGATCCAAGATTCCTCGTGTGCAAAACGGTTGACCCGCTGGATATAGCCCACAACCCGGCATTAACTAACCTCCACATGCATGGATTAATTACCCAAACCACCTTCTTCTTATATTTTAATTATTGATCTATGGGCTTATTTAGTTATTTTAATATTTTATCTTGGATTGATTATCTTACCAAATCTTGAAATTTTAAGTTTGGGTTCTATTCTTCTTTTTTTTTTTTAAATAAAAGAGACTGAAGTTGGAATCTCTATTGATAGATAATAAACTTGTGTGAATTATTAAGTTGTCATTGTAAGGTTAGTATTGACTTTCTTGTTTTCGTCATTGGACACTATTTTATTTGTTGATGAAATATTGACTCCATAGATAGTTACTTAGTTAGATGTAAAAGATCATGTGTTGAATAATTCCAATTTAATTTTCATCGTTGGTTTAAATTAGCGAATTATTTTTAATTAAACGACAGAGAGTTGACAAACATAATTTAAACGACAGAGATCTGGTGAGGTGGCTTCTAACACTCGTTCGTGCGGCGGGCCCCACAGCCCACGTGTTACTGTCCTTTTGACGTGGCGGGGACGGAGGCTAGGCCCGGGCCCAGGCCCACTAGCATTTAAGGTTTTTTGGCAGATGTTACGTGTACGGTAGAGATTCATCCGACTCGGTTTGCTTTCAATGGACGAGATTTACTTCTCTCTTTTTTTTTTTTTTTTTACCGCCACCTGTTTATTTCAATGAAAAAATCGTCTCGCGCATTCTCAACTTCTCCCGTTGTTTTTCCTACATTCTCGCGACGAGATATACTAACTGCCCCTTGCTTTGCTTCTACTATTCTGTCGGCAAAACGTGTGGTTTGTGATACCAAGGTCGTACAGGATTAATTAGTAGGAGAATGATATTTTGAGACTATATTTTTGTATTTAACTGATCACATATTAGTAATAATATCATTAGTCAAAATGGTATATTTGATTGGCACATATTAAAATGGTGTAATATTCGTTTCAACGGATAAGAATGATTGCTGGTCACATAAAATCGACTGACAACAACTTAGGATTAAAAACCAGACGTCCAGACCGAATCAATTGTGCATTCTGTCTAGTTTTTTTACAGTCCAAATATCATTTTTGGTTCACTTTTCTTTAGTATTTCTAAAATTCATAGTACCAAAGACCGTATTGCATTATATTATATTCGGTATGATTCGTTCCAAGTGTCGCTTTGATCTGGTGCGGTGCGGTACAGACCAAATCGTTGCACGCTCCTATTTGCATATTGTGAATCCGATCGATGACCGAGAGAGATAAAAGTGTGCGAGAGAGTGATACGACACTTGAAGGGGAGAGAGAGGGAGAGATAAGAAAGCGAGAGAAAGAGAGTCTAGATTTGCTCGGTTTGTTCGGATAATGCCAAACAGAACCATACCAATAATCAATTCAATAAACATCGAAACCGAATGATAGTTCGGCTCGAAATCAGTTGTCGGTTTGAGCATTTCTCGATTTGACTTTGATCAGATTCGATTTCATTTTGTCCGAGCCGAGCCGATGCTCACCCTGGACAGCATGATATGATGGAACGTGTGTGTGTTAGTAATTACTTGTTGGCATTACATCAAACCATCACTCTCCCCACATGTCTACAATTAAGGCTAGCTATTTGGTCTTATCCGAAACCGGACCGTATAATAGTCCGGACCGGGACAGGATAGCAAACAATTCAATCCCCTCTTCGGACTTAGATTTGAGGCAAAAAACCGTTTGGAACCGGATCGAAAATCGGATAAAGACCGGATAAGAGAGCCCAACACCCAAAACTTAACCAACTCCTCACCCTTTGAGACCTCAAACCACTCAAATCCCCACAAGCTCAATCTAGAATCAAAACCGAATTGTGACCGGACCGGATCAAAACCGGATTGTATCCAATCCAATCTTTGGTCCTTATATTCCCGAAAAGACCGGACTGGGACCGAATCAATTCGGGCCAATTTAACCGGACCAGACCGTATAGCCACCCCTATCTACAATGCACACCCATAATTACGATTACTATTGCTAATGTCGTTCTCACCATCAGTATCGACCCATCAGATTCAATTCTAGGTGTATGTATGTACGTTAGTATGTATGGTTTTGGTGATTTGTCTCTGTCGATGTCTCTACTGTCTGTCACTTACCTCTCTTCTTGATAGGGCTCTTTCAAGCATTATGGTTTGGTTCTGCATCAACACTTTTCTTCTTCTTCTTCTAACGATAATCAACTGCATGTCCCACCACTTCAACAAGATTCCACCTGATCCTCTCTCTATGTTTTCTTCCCTCCTTTTCTTATGGCCATGGAGGCAGTGACGTCATCATCAGCTAACCAAAGAAGAGGAAATGAGGAGGGAATTGGTGGTGAATGGTGATGCTCATAGTCAAACTACAACATCATCATGGCCATCAACAAACAGCCTGCAGAGTTACCATCATGATGATGATGAATCATGAATGAACACCAGCAAGAATTGATCAGATAATCATTTCTACACCCACTAGATTTGTTTGGGTGGCTTTCCCTAAGCTTGTTGATTATTGAGAGGGATGGGATTAGGTGCTAATTCTTATAGGGGTTAGCACCGTGATAACTAGCAAAAAACGCTACTAAAAATAACGAAATCACTACTGATTATTATAAAATCACTACTTATTCAAACTAGTAGTAGTTTTTCCCTTGGTTAGGACAGTGCTAACTATTGTACAATTAGCACCGTAGCCGTTCCCTTATTGAGAGGGTGAAAAAAAAAATATAAATTCAATAATGAATTTTTTGTCTTGATTGTTTGATGTTCAAATCCGTAATATATAGTTTCAAAATTCAAATAAAATGGTTTAAACAAAAAAATTTCGAAAATGCCCTAAAAAATCCGCCCGAATTGGTTTTTAATAGACTTTATCATTGGTAAAGAATAGTCTCATGTAAAATCCGTGATCTGTAGCTTTCAAAATTCAAGAAAAATGACATTTCGAAAAAATCAACTAAAATCTGTGACGGTTCCATTAATCACTGAATTGACCAATTTATTTTGGGAAGACATTTTGGTAAGTTCATGGGCGATTTTTTTTTGAAAGTCCATTTTCAGTTCGGCCTGAGGCTATTCTTCACCAATGATAAAGTCCATTAATCACCGATTTGTACCGATTTCTTCCGGGTCCATTTTTGGCAGGTTCCAAAGGGGTATCCATCACAGAATACGAGCGATTTTTCCGAAATGCAATTTTCTTTCGATTTTGAAGGCTACAGATAACGAATTCAGCCCCAGGCTATTCTCCACCGATAATGAAGTCTATGTATCCTATTATCCACCAATGATGAGTAAAATACCTCGGGTGTCACTTAAGTTTGAGAATTGGAGTAGACATACCCAATGCAGTCAAAATCGGGATTTTGATCGTAAAATCGTAGGATTTTAGGATTTTACTTAGGGATTTCGATCCTGATTTTAATATAAAATCAATGGAGCTTAAAAATCGTTCAAAATTGGGATTAAATCGTTAAAATCGTACCAAAATCGGGATTTTGATCCTATGTGAACAAAATAGGCAGTTTGAGCCAATTCAAAAGAAACAGAACTGTTTTGGTGGGAAGGGCAATGACGGGGATCTTCTCAGATATTTTTCCTATTAAAAGAACATTTGAAAAGGGAAAAAAATAACCTAATTAGGATTCGATCAATCACTTTTCCTTCCCCTTGTTTAACTCATCGGTAAAATAGTTGTCATAATATTGTAAGTACGAAAGAATTAACATCATTATTAACAAATTAATTGATTAATGAATATATTTGTACCAAACCAATGACATTAAAATTCTTATTGGAGTTCACTTATTCTTAGTTTTAAATCATGCTTAGTAGACGATGTCGGAATACTACTTTGAGTTAAACTACCTAGACATAACTTGAAAAACAAGAGCCAAACCCCATGAGCTCTATCCCTTCCTCATAAATTATTTTGAGTTACGCATTAATTAACAATTAATATGATAATTTTGGAACATTAATCTAGAAAATTATCATTTTAAATGTTACATGTCTTTGTGTTATTAATGATTTACCTTATTAATATTATTATATGTTAATTTCTATGTGATACTTAAAATCCAACGATTCTACGATTCGATTTTACGATTCCGATTTTACCCCAGTTTTCGATTTTACATACCACTTAAGTTTGAAAAGGGCGTCGAGTACCACTGAACTCTATTATATGTGCACCCGGTACTACTTAAGTTTACAGCTAAATGCATTCCGTTAAAGTTGACAGAATATTCTTGGAATTTTCCATTTTCTAAATATCATAATTGGTCATTCTACTTTTCTTATTGTAAAAAAACTCATTTGGACTTATACAAAAACAACATTTTTTTTATTGTTTAGTTAGAATCCTCTTTTGAATACTTGATACCAAAGCAATTTTTAAAAATTTAGAATCAAGTATAATTATAATTATTTTGAATGATCATTATGTGTTCTAATAATTGAATTATTCCATGAATGTTGTAATAGTTATATTTTCTTTTCTACATTTCTTACTAAATGTTGTAGCTATTATATTTTATTTATTACTTGATTACTTTCCATCTCTTTTCATTATAAATTTTTTCAATTAGTGGAATATTTTTAATTCTTTCTTATTGTGTTCCATTTATCCTTCTTTGATTTTGATGTATTGATGATCGATTAGGTTCTATTTTATCTATTTCTAATGGTGCTTCTAAATGAATTATGGGGCTTAAATAGATATCTAATATTGATTTTAAATATTTATGATAATATTCTAGTATATTTATTCTTCTTCTTGATATTCGTTTATTATTTTTACTAATTTATCTATTTTATTGAAAAAATTTGATTAGTCATTCTAGTAATAATATGTTTAGAATTTTTTTTAATTATTAAATTAGATAAAATTTGTTGAAATATAGTTTTGGATGTTTTTAAAAGTTTTGGGTATCTAAAAGTAATTAAAAGTATGGGCTGGATGGAAAAGTTGACGGATTCACATTTTGGCGACATTAATGGTATTCGACGCCCTATTAGAATTTAAGTGGTATGTATACTCCAATTCTCAAATTTAAGTGGCACCTGAGGTATTTTAATTTTACCCATCAATGATTAAGTCCATTAAGCACCGTATTGGACCAACTAATTTTGGGTTGGATTTTTCGTAATTTTTCGGCAATTTTTTTCGAAATGACATTTTCCTTGTATTTTGAAAGCAACAGATCACAGATTCGGTATGAGGCTATTCTTCAACGATGATTAAGTCAATTAATCACCGATTTGGGCGGATTCTTCTGGGTCCATTTTTGACAGATTTATAGGGGTACCATCACAGAATTCGAGCGATTTTTCCGAAATGACATTTTCTTTCGATTTGAAGGGTATAGATCAAGGATCCAGCCCCAGGATATTCTCCACCGATAATGAAGTCTATTTATCCTATTCTCTACCAATGATTAAGTCTATTAAGCACCGAATATGCCAATTTATTTTGGGATATCATTGTTGTAATTTTTTAAGCGATTTTTTTTTCAAAACACCATTTTCCTTTGATTTTGAATGCTACAGATTACGGATTCAGCCTGAGGCTATTCTTCAACGATGATTAAGTCCATTAAGCACCGATTTGGGCGGATTTCTCCCTTGTTCATTTTTGGCAGATTCCAAAGGGGTACAATTACAGATTTTGGGCAATTTTCCCGAAATGTCATTTTCTTTCGATTTTGGAGGCTACAGATCACGGATTCAGTCTGAGGCTATTCTCCAGTGATAATGAAGTCTATTGATCCTATTCTCCACTGATGACTAAGTCCATTAATCATTGAATTAGGCAAATTTATTTTGGGATGACATTTTCGTAAATTTTTGACATTTTTTTTTTCAAAAGACCATATTCCTTGGATTTTGAAGGCAACAGATCACTAATTCGGCATGTGGCTATTCTTCATCGATGATCAAGTCCATTAATCACCGATTTGGGCGGATTTCTTCCGGGTCCACTTTTGGCAAATTCCAAAGGGGTACCATCACAGATTTTGGGAGATTTTTTAGAAATGTCATTTTCTTTCGATTTTGGAGGCAACAAATCGCGGATTCGGCCCGAGGCAATTCTCAACCAATAATGTAGTATATTGATCATATTCTCCACCGATGTTAAGTCCATTAATCACTGAATTGGGCCAATTTATTTTGGGAAGGCATTTTGGTAAATTTTTGGGCGATTTTCCCGAAATGCCATTTTTCTTGGATTTTGGAGGCTACAGATTGCGGATTCGGCCTGAGGCTATTCTTTAAAGATGTTTAAGTCCATTAATCTAGGGATGGCAATGGGTCGGGTCAGGTTTTGCCAAACCCAAACCCATGGGTTTATCCATGAAAAAATTGGGTAAAACCCATTGGGTTTGAAAAAGTCAAACCCAACCCAACCCGCTGGGTATCCGCGGGTAGGGGTGTACATGGGTCGGGTGGTTCGAGTTTAACCATTTTAATCACCCGACCCATGCACTAGGGTTTGAGAAATATTAAACCCAAACCCACCAAAAAAATTTTAAACCCTACGGTTTATTTCTAATTGGGTTGGGTCGGGTTGGCGATATTTTTAAGTAAAAACCCAACCCAACACAAAATATGTAATTATTCTACAACATAAAATATATTTTATAAATAACTAAATTTCAAATGAATAAACCGAGGTGAAAGGCATCAAATTTCACAAATGTCATTTCATTTTTAATAAAATGTGATTTACTTCAACATATGTCTACTTTTTTTCACGATATTTGTTAAAATAGGCTAAAAAGGTTAAAAACGAATGCACCCATAATAAGTTATTCTATTAAAATTGTACACAAGAAAAAGGAATACGTGAATCATAGCTATATTAAATTTATGTCTAAACTTTAAACCTAAGAATGCATTAAATTAGGGAGACCATGAGAGAAAAACATGGTGAAATATCTTAATTTAGCATAATTATAAATGACATAAATATTTTTGGATACGAACTCCTACCAATAGTTGGAACACGGGTTGGGTCGGGTTCTACGGGTTGTGTAATCCAAAATCCAAACCCAACCCAATAGAGGCGGATTGTACAAAAGAAAACCCTCACCCAACCCGAAATCTTGTTTTAGCGATAAATACGGGTGGGTTGGGTCAGGTTGGACGGGTGGGTTGGTTTACGGGTGTGTTTGTTCACCCCTATCCGCGGGTTCATGTGTACCCAGTACCCACAAGTTTTTGTCGTAAAAAATTTACAATAACAAGTTCCTATCAAAATTAAAGTCAAATATCAATCTCTCAATACAAATTATCCATATATGAAACACCATTCTAGAAAATTCAAGCAAATCACAAATTAACTATACAAATTGTTCAACACCAATCTAGAAAATTCAAGAAAATTGAAGCAAATCACAAATTATCCATAAATAACACGATTAATTGAAAGCTTCTTCCTTTCAATTAATTTTGTTCAGTCTCCACTCGATAATATCAACTTCATTCTACACAATTAGAAAGAAAAAATTACACATGTCTCCACAAATATAAATAAGATTAGTTGTTTAGAATATTAAATATACCGAGAAAATTAATTATAAGGGTGTGGCCGGGTACCCATGGGGCGGGTTTACCTAAACCAAAACCCAATCCAACCCGGTGAATAGTGAACGGGTTTAAACCCAAACCCGGCCCAAAACCCGTCAACACGGATTTTACCCGCGTTGACTGGGTTGGGTCGGGTGAGTACCCGTGGTTTCGGGTTTTGTTGCCATCCCTACATTAATCACCGATTTGGACAGATTTCTTCCAGGTCCATTTTTGACAGATTCCGTAGATTTTGAAGGCTACAGATCACAGATTCTGCCTGAGGATATCCTTCAACGTTGATTAAATCTATCAAGCAACGATTTGGGCGGATTTCTCCCTGGTCCATTTTTGGCAGATTCCAAAGGGGTACGATCACATATTTTGGGTGATTTTTCAGAAATTCCCTTTTCTTTCTATTTTGAAGGTTACAGATTACAAATTATTCCAGAGGCTATTCTCCACCGATATCGAAGTCTATTGATCCTATTCTCCACCGATGATTAAGTCCATTAAGCATTAAAATAGGCCAGTTTATTTTGGAATGGCATTTTCGTAATTTTTCGAGCCATTTTCCTTGTATTTGAAGACAACATATCACTGATTCGGCCTGAGGCTATTTTTCAATAATGATTAATTCCTTTAATCACCGATTTGGGCGGATTTCTCCGGGTCCATTTTTTGCAGATTCCGAAGGGGTTCCATCATAGATTTCGGACAATTTATCCGAAATGCCATTTTCACCCGATTTTGGAGGCTAAAGATCACGGATTTAGCTCAGGATTATTCTCTAGTGATAATGAAGTCTATTGATCCTATTTGATAACGATGTAATTGCACGAATTTGCGCCCCTAGTTCTTATCCGTTTGAGGGGCATAGTCGTGTGTTTTAGGTGTGCCTATTTTACGCCGGGTTGTGCTATTTTGTCATATTTCAGGTCCCTGGCGTCAAAGGAAAGGCTAAGCACGAGTTTCGGGGCATTCGGAAGTCATTTCGGTGAGCTGGAGCCAAAACACGGGCACACCTAAAACAGAACACGGCCGTGTTCTGTGACCGTGCTTTTACTGCCGAGAGCTAATTCGAGTTTGGACCACATTGGCCAAAACACGGGCGTGCTTCACCAAAGCACGGCCGTGTTCTCCCAAAGCACGGGCGTGTTCTACCAAAGCACGGGCGTGTTCTCCCAAAGCACGGGCTTGTTCTCCCAAAGCACGGCCGTGTTTGCACCAACACAATGGCCGTGTAATTAACCCTAGCCAAAGCACGGGCGGGCTGAGGCAAAGCACGGCCGTGCCCTCGACCGTGCTTTGGCCACTGATGCCTTTTTAAGCAGATTTTCAGCCAAACAGAAGGGGATTGGAGTTTTAGAGAGAGAGATAAGTTCCTAGAGAGAGAAAGCGATGAACAAGAGTTCCCAAGCGCCCTAGCTTGATCTTCAACACCATTGGAGGCCAGTTTGAGCTTGGAGAAGTGCCGATCAACGTCCAGGAGCAGGAATCCATCCTTCACAGTATGAATTCCGCGTCTGATTCTGCTTTTGCTTTCTTCTCCATGGAGTAGTTCTCCCATTCATCTGGGTATGGAGAACCCTAGATTTGTATGTTAGGTTTGATTGTATGAACCCAAGTACTGATTCTATGATTGATTATATTCGATTGAGGTTTTAATGATTGAATGACTTGAATCATGATCAAATTCCTGTTGTTTCTGCTTTAACCTAGAATGAGAATATCTGCCTAGGTTAATAGAGTATCCTTGATTGAAGGTAGGGAGTTGGTGACTTTAGTCGAGGAACCAACTCACTATTCTGTACCGGATTTACTCCGGTAGTGGAGGTTTCGTTCTTAGGGCCTCAATCTGTCTACTCCGGTGGAGGTTAGTCGCCCGCTAGAGATTCAGATTGAGAGGGTCTGAAGACCTTTAGTCGAGACTTCAGGCTGTTTAAGAACCTTCTGCAGTATAACTTTCATAGAAACTGAACTTGGTAATTACAATCCGGCTTAACTGCAGTCTGGGGGGAACTATATCCGGGTGACCTCTCTTAACCTGAATACAACAGTTTACTTGCTTTGTTTGTTTGATAGTTTAGACTTGCATTCAAGTTTCATTGCTAGATAACAAGAATTCACTGAGTAGTCATCAGGACTAGGACCCGGGTTGATAATTAAACCCAAACCCGCTATACTACGCTTTAGGAAGTGGTTTCACTTGGCCAATTCCTGGAGTGACAGTAGAAGTGAGTCAATCCTATTATCCACCAATGATTAAGTCTATCAAGCACTTAACTGAGTCAATTTACTTTGCGATAGCATTTTGGTAATTTTGGGATGGCCTATTCTCCATCAATGATGAAATCTGCTTGAGGCTATTCTTCAACGATGATTAAGTCCATTAATTACCGATTTGGATGAATTTCCTCCGGGATCCATTTTTGGCAGATTCTAAATGGTACATCACTGAATTTGAGCGATTTTTCAAAATACCATTTTCTTTCAATTTTGAAGGCTACAGATCACAAATTCACCCCCAAGATATTCTCCAACGATAATGAAATCTATTTATCATATTCTCAAACAATGATTAAGTTTACTAACGACCAAATTTGGCCAACTTATTTTTGGATGACATTTTCATAATTTTTTAAGTGATTCTATTTTAAAAAAACAATTTTTCTTGGATTTTGAAGGTAACAAATCACGGATTCGGCCTGAGGTAATTCTTCAACAATGATAAAGTCCATTAAGCACCGATTTGTGAGGAGTTCTCCCTGGACCATTTTTGACAGATTCCAAACGGGTACCATCAAATATTTCGGGTGCTTTGTCTAAAATGCCATTTTCTTTCGATTTTGGCGGATACAGATCACAGATTCAGCTCGAGACTATTCTTCAACTATGATGAAGTCTGTTGGTCCTGTTATTCACCAATGATTAAGTCCATTAAGCACCGAATTGTGCAAATTTAGTTTGGCATGACTTTTTCATAATTTTTTGGACGATTTTTTTGAGAAATGTATTTTTCTTTGATTTTGAAGGCTATATATCATGGATTCTGCCTTAGGCTATTCTTCAACGATGATTAAGTCCACCCATCACAGATTTCTTGTGATTTTTCTGAAATGCCATTTTCTTTCGATTACGGAGGCTACAGATCAGGGAATTAGGCCGAGGCTATTCCCAACCGATAATGAAGTCTATTGATTCTATTCTTCACGGATGATAAGTGCATTGAGCACCAGTTTGGGCCAATTTATTATTGGATGACTTTTTCGTAATTTTTTTGGGCCGTAAAATACCATTTTCTTTGGATTTTGAATTCTACAGGTCACAGGTTCTCTCTGAGCTATTCTTCAACGATGATTAAGTCCATTAAGCACCAATTTACTCGATTCAATTATTGGAAGATTCCAAAGGGGTACCATCACAAATTTAGGGCAATTTTTCTGAAATGCCATTATGTTTCGATTCTGGAGGCTATAAATCACGAAATCAGACCGAGGCTATTCTCCACCGATAATGAAGTCTATTGGTCATATTCTCCACGGATGATAAGTGCATTAAGCACCGGTTTGGACCAATTTATTTTCAGATGCCATTTTCGTAATTTTTTGGGCAACGAAAGGCAATCTCTTTTGATTTTGAAGGCTACAGGTCACGGATTCAGCCTGAGGCTATTCTTCAACATTGTTTAAGTCCATTAAGCACCGATTTGGGCAGATTTATTTAGGGTCAATTTTTGGCAGATTCCAAAGGGGGTAACATCACAAATTTTTTGCGATTTTTCCGAAATGTCTTTTTCTTTCGATTTTGGAGGCTACAAATCACGAAATCAGCCCGAGACTATTCTCCATCGATAATGAAGTCTATTGATCTTATTCTCCACGGATGACAAATGCATTAAGCACCGATTTGGGCCAATTTACATTCGGATGGCATTTTCGTAATCTTTTGGCCTAAGAAAGTCCATTTTCTTTGGATTTTGAAGGCTACAGGTCACGTATTCGGATTGAGGCTATTCTTCAACGATGATTAAGTTCATTAAGCACCGATTTGGGAGGATTTATTCCGGGACAAATTTGGGCAAATTGCAAAGGGATACCAACACAGATTTTAGGCAATTTTTTCGAAATGTCAATTTCTTTCGATTTCGTAGGCTACATATCACGGAATCAGGCCGAGGTTATTCTCCACCTATAATGAAGTCTATTGATCCTATTTTTTACGGATGATAAGTGCATTAAGAACCGGTTTGGGGCAATTTTTTTGGGATCATATTTTCATAATTTTTTGGGCGACGAAATGCCATTTTCTTTGGATTTTGAAGGCAAAAGGTCACTGATTCGGTCTGAGGCTATTCTTCAGCAATGATTAACTCCATTAAGCATCAATTTAGTCGGATTTATTCCAAGTCAATTTTTGACAGATTCCAAACGGGTACTATCACAGATTTCTTGCGATTTTTCCAAAATGCCATTTTCTTTCGATTGCGGAGGATACACATCACGGAATCAGCCTGAGGCTCTTCTCCACCGATAATGAAATCTATTGATCATATTCTTTTCGGATGATAGGTGCATCAAGCACCGGTTTGTGCCAATTTATTTTCGGATGACATTTTCGCAATTTTTTGGCCGACGAAAGGCCATGTTCTTTGGATTTTGAAGGCTACAGGTCACTGATTCAGCCTGAGGCTATTGTTCAACGATGATTTAGTCCATTAAGAACCGATTTGGACAGATTTATTCCGGGTGAATTTTTAGTTGATCCCAAAGGGGTACCATCACAAATTTCTTGAGATTTTTCCCAAATGCCATTTTCTTACAATTTAGGAGGCTACAGATCATGGAATAAGGCCGAGGGTATTCTCCACCAATAATGAAGTCTTTTTTTTTTTACAAAACCAATAATGAAGTCTATTGATCCTATTCTCCACGGATTATAAGTGCATTAAGCACTGGTTTGGCCAATTTATTTTTGTATGGTATTTTCGTAATTTTTTTGGCGGAAAAATGCCATGTTCTTTGGATTTTGAAGGCTACAGGTTACTGATTCAGCCTGAGGCTATTGTTCAACGATGATTAAGTCCATTAAGAACCGATTTGGACAGATTTATTCCGAATGAATTTTTAGTTGATCCCAAAGGGGTACCATCACACATTGCTTGAGATTTTTCCGAAATGCCATTTTCTTACGATTGAGGAGGCTACAGATCATGGAATAAGGACGAGGGTATTCTCCACCGATAATGAAGTCTTTTTTTTTTTACAAAACCAATAATGAAGTCTATTGATCCTATTCTCCACGGATTATAAGTGCATTAAGCACTGGTTTGGCCAATTTATTTTCGTATGGTATTTTCGTAATTTTTTTGGCGGCAAAATGCCATTTTCTTTGGATTTTGAAGGCTACAGGTCAGGTCTTTGCTCTGAGTTATTCATCAACGATGATTAAGTCAATTAAGCAGCGATTTAGGCAGATTTATTACAGGTTAATTTTTGGCAGATTCCAAAGGGTACCATCACAGATTTCTTTTGATTTTTGCGAAATGTCATTTTTCTTTAAATTCCGGATGCTGCAGATCGTGGAATTAAGCCGAGGCTATTCTCCACCAATAATAAATTCTCTTGATTCTATTGTCCATGGATGATAAGTGCATTAAGAACCAGTTTGGGCCAATTTATTTTCGGCTGACATTTTCATAATTTTTTGTACGACAAAGGCCATTTTCTTTGAATTTTGAAGGCTACAAGTCACGGATTTGGCATGAAGCTATTCTTCAACGATTATTAAGCCCATTAAGCACTGATTTGTGCGGATTTATTCCGGGTCAATTTTTGGTAGATTCCAAAGGGGTACCATCACAGATTACAGGCGATTTTTCTGAAATAACATTTTCTTTCGAATCCGGAGGCTACATATCACGAAATTAGACCAAGGCTATTCTCCACCCATAATGAAGTCTATTGATCCAATTCTCCAAGTATGATAAGTGCATTAAGAATAGGTTTGGGCCAATTTATTTCGGATGACATTTTCGTTATTTTTTGTTCCACAAAGGCCATATTCTTTGGATTTTGAAGGCTACAGGTCATGGATTCGGTGTGAGGCTATTCTTCAATGATGATTAATCCCATTAAACACTGATTTGGGCAGATTTATTCCGGGTCTATTTTTGGCAAATTCCAAAGGGGTACCATCACAGATTTCTTGTGATTTTTCCGAAATGTCGTTTTCTTTCGATTGTGGAGGATACAGATCACAGAATAAGATGAGGCTATTCTCCACCGATAATGAAATCTATTTATTATATTCTCCTCGGATGATAAGTGCATTAAACATCGGTTAGTGCAAAAAAAAATTGGATGACATTTTCGTAATTTTTTGTGTGATAAAGGGACATTTTCTTTTGATTTTGAAGGCTACAGGTCACGGATTCGGCCTGAGGATATTCTTCATCGATGATTAATTCCATTAAGCACCGATTTGAGCGGATTTATTCTGGGTCAATTTTTGGCAGATTCGAAAGGGGTACCATCACAGATTTCTTGCGATTTTTTCGAAATGCCATATTCATTCGATTGTGGAGGCTATAGATACGGAATCATGCTGAGGTTATTCACCGCCGATAATGAAGTGCATTGATCGTATTCTCCCCGGATGATAAGTGCATTAAATACCTGTTAGGGCCAATTTACTTTCGGATGACATTCTCGTAATTTTTTGGGCTATGAAAGACCATTTTCTTTAGATTTTGAAGGCTAGAGGTCACGGATTATGCCTGAGGCTATTCTTCATCTATGATTAAGTCCATTAAGCACCGATTTGAGCGGATTTATTCCGGGTCAATTTTTGGCATATTCGAAAGTGAAACCATCACAGATTTCTTGCGATTTTTCAGAAATGTCATTTTCTTTTGATTCCGTAGGCTACACATCACGGAATCAGGCCGAGACTATTCTCTACCGATAATGATGTCTATTAATCCTATTCTCCACAGATGATAAGTGCATTGAGCAGCGATTTGGACCAATTTATTTTCGGATGACATTTTCCGAATTTCGTAATTTTTTGGGCGACGAAAGGCCATTTGCTTTTGATTTTGAAGGCTACAGGTCATTGATTCAGACTGAGGCTATTCTTCAACGATAATTAAGTACAGTAAGCACCGATTTGTGAGGATTTATTCCAGGTCAATTTTTGGCAGATTCAAAGGGGTACCATCACAGATTTCAGGAGATTTTTCCGAAATACCATTTTCTGTTGATTCCGGAGGCTACAGATCACAGAATCATGCTGAGGCTATTCTCCACTGATAATGAAGTTTATTGATCATATTCTCCACGGATGATAAGAGCATTAAGCACCGGTTAGGGCTAATTTATTTTCGGATGACATTTTTGTAATTTTTTGAGTGATGAAAGGCCATTTTCTTTGGATTTTGAAGGCTACAGGTCACGGATTCTTCCTGAGGCTATTCTTCATCGATGATTAAGTCCATTAAACATCGATTTGGGCGGATTTATTCCAAATCAATTTTTGACAGATTCCAAAGGAGTACCATCACAGATTTCGGGTGATTTTTCCTAAATGACATTTTTTTCGTATCCAGAGGCTACATGTCACGGAATTAGAGCGAGGCTATTCTCCACCGATAATGATGTCTATTGATCCTATTCTCCAAGGATGATAAGTGCATTAAGCACCGGTTTGGGCCAATTTATTTTCATATGGCATTTTCATAATTTTAGGTGCGACGAAAGGACATTTTCTTTGGATTTTGAAGGCTACAGGTCATTGATTCGGACTGAGGCTATTTTCAAAGATAATTAAGTCCATAAAGCACCAATTTGGGAGGATTTATTCCGAATCAATTTTTGGCAGATTCCAAAGGTGTACCATCACAGATTTCTTGCGATTTTTTTCGAAATTTCATGTTCTTTCGATTCCGGAGGCTACATATCACAGAATCAGGCTGAGGCTATTCTCCACCGATAATGAAGTCTATTGATCATATTCTCCACGGATGATAAGAGCATTAAGCACCGGTTAGGGCCAATTTATTTTCGGATGACATTTATCTAATTGTTTGGGCGATGGAAGACCATTTTCTTTGGATTTTGAAGGCTACCAGTCACGGATTTGGCTTGAGACTATTCTTCATCGATGATTAAGTCCTTTAAGCACCGATTTAAGTGGATTTATTCCAAGTCAATTTTTGGCAGATTCCAAAGAAGTAGCATCATAGATTTCGGGTGATTTCTCGGAAACACCATTTTCTTTCGATACTAGAGGCTATAGATCACGGAATCAGGCCGAGGCTATTCTCCACCGATAATGAAATCTCTTGATCCTATTCTCCACGGAT